TTCAGGTAGCTATGGGTCTGGTTACTTGGAAAAGTGATGGTGAACGGGAAATTGTTGGGGTTTAAGGGGTAAATACGGGGGTTAAAGTTCGTCATATTAGCATATTACCTCTGCGGAGGAGCCACTGTTTTGTTTACGACTTCAGAGCATGGCAAGTGCTTGTTATCATAAAAAAATGATCTAGAGGGAGTCTTTTAGAGCCTCTTCTTCAAATTCCGACATATTGCTACAATAAGAGTAGTCACGTGACCAATTTTTACCCCTTACCATATTTGCAAGGTGAGCTTTTTTAACAGAATACCTTTGTTCTTTTTTTTGTACCACGTATTCTTTTGTTTGATACTCTTAAATGTTAAAAGATGCAAGTTAAGGCAAAGATACCTGCATTTGTCATTGTTTATCCATTTTAGGTTTCATTTTCACTTTCTTTATCATCTCCGAAGGTCACGTCTTCTTCAAGATCCAGGAACAAGTCAGTCAGTTCGTCTGGAAATGCTTGTCGTTGCCAGTCTATAGTCAGATTCCCTTTCCAGCCAAAAGTAGAAAGATCTGTCAAATTTATGGACCTTTCACCCGATGACTTCCAAATCTTTGCAATGATGTTTGATCGCAATATTTGTAGCCTCAGTGATGATTGACATGTAGGCAAGAGTGAAATGTCTACGGCTTTGCCTTGCCTTACATACTTCTTGTCAAATAATTTTTTCCTCACATCATTGACATTTTTTTGCCGGTATCCATATAAATGGCAAACATATTCTTCAAGGTTAACAAATATTTGCTCATCAAGTTCCCATACCTGCCCAAGTAGGGAAAATGTGTTAACAAATCTGTTGTTCTTCTGGACAACCTCCCAACATTCTGATTTCCCTTTGCGGAAAAAAAGACACATACATGTAGTTATTCCCCGTGAATGCATGAAAGCCTATCAGGCATTTCTTCAACCCATCTTCCATCTCAATATCAGACAAAAATAGTCCTTTTCTATTCAAACCAACTCCAAAATCGAGATATACTTGACTGCTCTTTAATAATACTTAATAAAATTACCAAGATGTCGAGGTCTGAGGATGGAGAGCGTACAACAACTTTTTTCGATGGATGCCAAGTTAAAGCGTTTCTTTTTCCTTGTAAACTCTTTGTAGCAGAATTCATGGTATTAAAATTCTTTAGCTATGAGATCAACATCTTTAATTTCATTATAAATGTTCTGATCGATATTGGCTTCAGCAGCTTCTTTTACGTTAGTTCGGCCTGCTTCGTCGTGATCGTTATTGGTACATGATGTTTCTGTTGACTCTTTACCCGGTACTTTTGGCAAAAATTACACACCTGGGGATAAACATCTGGTCTCTGAGTAGCTGCAGTCTTTAGTCTTTGTGGACGCTGAATAGCTTCAGTGCTAGTTTCTGCGAGGAATTTCTAATGGGACAGGATCTTTGTAAATTTTTTATAACAAGGTTCTAAGTGAACTTCGTGCTTATTTGGATCAACCTCGTCAGGAATGGAGCTGCATTGTTCTTCGTGGAGATTTTTGCCATCAAGTCGTAAACGAGTAGCCTTTGCAATTTGATCTTTATTGATGTCAGACAAATCTTTGATAATACTGTACAGACAATCTTTGCTCGGGTAATGAACAATACAGCTTGGGCCTTGCATGTTTAAAAATATAAATAAAACAGGACCTCCTCAATACTTTAAAGGTACACAGAGTATCCAATTTTTAGAGCGAAAATAGCAACTTACATATATTGAAAATGACGCTTAGAGCAAAACAATTCTTTCTTGGTAATGATGCACACTGGTATTTTTGTTCTGCTACTTATTTCCGTGATTTCTTGAGTTCATTGCGTTACATATTCGTGTTACTATTTGTACAAATATTTTCAAAGCGATGAATTGCGGAAAAAGTTGCCCAGCATCTGAAGGAGTTGTGGAGTCATCACGAAATAACCAAATGCGGATGAAATCAAACGGACCTAATAAATTATCATGTCTTCGCAACCATTATTCTACACATAGTCATAGTTAAAAACAGTCATAAACTCGAAGTTATTCAGGGTATCTATCAACAACAGCTCGGTTGTAGAATAATCTTGATGATTTGTACATTATTGTAACATTTAAGAGTATTAAACAAAAAAAATTCGGGTATTCTGTTAGAAAACGCTCACCTTCCAAATATGGTAAGGGGTAAAAAACTGGTCACGTGACGACTCTAATTGTAGCAATATGTCGGAATTAAAAGAAGAGGCTCTAAAAGACTCCATTACTTTTTTATGATAACAAGCACTTGACATGCTCTGAAGTCGTAAACAAAACAGTGGCTCCTCCGCAGAGGTAATATGCTAATATGACGAACTTTAACCCCCGTATATACCCCTTAAACCCCAACAATTCCCCGTTCACCATCACTTTTCCAAGTAACCAGACCAATAGCTACCTGAAAATACCAATTTGAATTTCTCCGCCCTGAGGTGGTACCTACCGCCACTGTAGCCTGGTCTAGGTGGAGTTATGGGCGAATTCAGTCCCAAAAATATATCATTCCCACAAAATGCGTCATTTCTGCCAAATTTCTGGCCATGCGTAACCCTGAACAAGAACAAAACGATGGTGCAGAAACGAGAAAGCCTGAACTCAGGGCTCAAACTTCTGCTGGTTTATGGCGAAAGGCCAAATATTACAGTTCCTTCTTATGCGAATGAAATTTTTGAAGATGAGAGACAAGGATTGTTTGTTGCAGCTCATGACCAGAGAGAGGTCATTCCGGCCTTTTCCGGGATCTTCCTTCCACCAGGGTATCATACCATTGTAAAACTTCGAAAGAAGGTGATCCGCAGGAAAGAAAGTCCGTACCCTTCCAATTGCATTAAATCTGGTCAAAAAACTGGTTTCAATGTCTTTCCTGGCAAGGCTCGTAGAGATAACTGTTTATTTTCCTGTTTAGCATTACGAGGCTATCAGATCTGTCATGGTGTTGATGAAAGATTCCGTCCATTTATGAACAAGAAAGAGTACCCGAATACCTTGAATTATACCGATAAGAAAATGTTTGATTGCATGTTTGAGGTTGTTCAAAGTGTCGACGCCGTGAATTGTAAATGTAATGTCTATTGTGACGAAGAGGTCTACGAGACTCAAACAAGTCGGGTTCCATGGCCGCAACAATGGAAAGCAGAGGAACTTACGCGCATTTTCCCAAATTTCACAAGTTCAACAATAAGGCAAACGTTCATTAAGCTGACTATTTACTATGAAGAAATCAGCGAGTTTAGGTACACAGAGGAAGAGAAGTACAGCATAATGAATGTTTGGACTGATTTTGGAGGACAAATGGGCTTGTTCATTGGCGCATCTTTGATCTCTTTTGTTGAGATTTTGTTGTTGCTGCTCGGTTGTCTTAAAAAATGTTGGAAGAAGAAAATTAATGTAGTTTAATCTTAATGACTGTCTTCTAGTCGTAAAAGGACCAAGCCAAGATTTGCTATTCTTTCCCTTGATAAGCACTATAAAAGAAGAGAGTATCTCAAACTGTTTAGGTCCTGCGTCCTCCAGTAATGTGTAATAGGAATTCATGTTATTATCATACCTAATTATTATGCTAACCTCGCTTTCGTTTGTATATAAAACTTAACCTGAACTCGAGTCGCTCGCTTTTTGTCTTCACTCTCAATTCGTTGACTATTCGGAGTGACAAGGGTTTTAGAGGAAGTCTAACCCCTGTTACAAATGGAATAGAGGGCCAATCAGCGTAATGCCATTGAATCGGTATCGCAGCTGTGGGTGATTCCAGTCTGTAAAAGTAACCAAAAATATCGGAACATAACAAAGGCTTTCTTTATATCGAAAAAACTATGGCACGACTTGTGATTTTTAGCGAGATTCTTCAGCTTTCTAATCTATTTGCTATCACAGATCATGCTGACTGATTTTTATTTCTGATCTGTTTACTATGATAAAGCTACTATGACAACTGATACCCTTTTGAGGTCATGGCAATCTGTGTCTATTTTACGCTACGATTTTCAGCATCTTGTGTCCAATGATATGAATAACCCTACAATGCCATTGTTGATCTTAATTGCTGAAAGTGTTTTTTTGAGTTTTACGTTCTACCGTTTAAACATTTGATAGAGGAGCCACTTCTATAATAGCAAGTAATTTGTGTATAAAATACGGTTCTTAGTGCTCTTATCGTGGATTAATTTTCTTATTCGGGAAAAAAACACCAATACAAATAAAGGGCAAAAAGCCTCCTCAGAAAAACATGCCATAGACAGCAGAAGGTCAGTCATGAGGCTATGTTCCCACATCATCGAGAGCGAGTTGGGATGGGACGTTGGTGCATCAGCGCAAATCGCTCAACCTACCATAAATCTTTAACAGAAAGGGGTTACTAAGGGAATTTACACAATAACTCCCAAATTTGATTGATAATTGGGAGGAAAAGAAAAAGTGAAGGTTTTAGAGATTTGAACAATGCCGTAAAAATTCAAATAACAAAGCTATACCGAAAAGGCATTTCCCAATAAGACAAAATGAGGGAGGGATGGCTGGAAAATAAACCACATACTTGTATTGAGGTTTCACCAACAAAGAAAGCTCTCCATGCTCAAACCTTAAATACCTCTAGATTAACCAAGGCAATAAAAATTCCACGAACCACACATTTTACCCTAAAATTACAAAACAGATCTTCAGTAGGCCGAAAGACTCCTTGCATTGCCCATAAAGTAGTAGATTGAATACAAAACAAACCTGAGTAGTCGTGATACAAAACTCATACTATTCTTATTCATCTGTTAACTTCTTTTTGCTGTTATAATATCCGATGCAATTTGCTGCCCCAGGTAAGCTTTTTGTTCCGTCTATGATCTCATTTTCAATTTTACTCTAGTTCATTGAGATATCTTCTCATGACTTTTGCATGTATCTGATTTTCTTGAAATTTCACATTATAACCATCTTTCGAAGGTTTTTATGAAAAATTTAAACCGTTTTAGAACAAGCCAGATTCTGTTTCAATGGGAGATCTTGATGCAATCGTAGGTCAACAAAAAAAAACGAAATATGTTTTCACAAAATATCAATGGAGTATTTTGATGCAAAAATAAGCAAGTAGAATCAGAATCAAGGGTTGAGTGTGGGAAGCTATTGGTTAGGAAAAAGAAAAGATGTGAAGACAATAGGATTTTAAAGACAAAGAAACGAATAAGAAACATAACTCATCAACTTTTCTAAGAGTTTTATCTGAATGATTTTCGCGAAGGTTATGCTTGTGAAAAAAAGGGCACAAGTGACCTGCAAAGAAGAAATTATTCGACATGCTGGAATTGTTGAAAACGTAGCAATAGGAAGCTACGATTGTCTAGATAAAAGCTGAATAGGCTAATACAAAAATAAAAAGAACAAAGAAGTTTAGAAGGAGCAAAGCATATGGAAGTTTTGAGGATGTCTTTGAGAAGAAACAAGAGTTCTAATTTTCCTTATTAGGGCCTAATGGGCCCAGCTACATGCTCATCAGACTTTCCATAACATCATCAAATAAAACAAAATCAGCCGAAGAAATGTTTTGAGATTTTAGAAGATAAAGATTATGTTTACAGTTCTTATAAGGGGACGATGACTGCAATACACAAATATGCAAACTAATTCAAGCAGGGAATAACAAGCAGGAAAGTTTCTAGATATTCAGTATTTAAACGGGCCGATGGAGCTGGAGCAACCGTTAGAGAAAGAAAAGTTGAACGACGTGCAGAGTTCTGTCTAGTACGTTTCTCTCAGATTGGACAGAAGCCATATGCCTCATGCCATTGAAATAGGAGCATCTGTAACCATCAAATCAAGAAAGTGACATTGAAATATCTCTTAAACAAATGGAAATAGAATGGCACTAGTTTGAAACAAAAAGAGTACCAAAGCGGGATGCCACAAATATTTCACCTGAAAGAAAATTGAAATATACTTCTATTTATCCAGAATCAGTTGCATATGTTACAAATATACTGAACAATGGCCACATGAGCACAGCCCGTTCCCCATCAAGCCACCGTATTTATGTCTCGGTTCGTAACTTTATCTCTAATTACACCTATTTATCAACATATGTTGCTAAATCTCCTTGTTTAAGTGTATTCCATGGTGTTCTTTTAGGAAATGTTTTCAAAATTCAAATATTTAGTAATGGATTTTTGACGATGTAACACTTTGATACACTATTGTAAAACTTAAATGGATTGGAATTGACTGGTACAGACTGGTACGGAGTGGGACGGATTGGGATGGACGTGGATGGAACAGGATGGTACTTGAACTGAGACAGAAAAAACGGCCAAAGACAGTTTGCAATCAACAGCTGTATTTCATTTTTTAGTAACAGAATTATGATGATCATCGGATTTACGGAAATCATAATTAAAATACCCCTCAATTTTCAATTATTTGTAGAAAAAGATGCTGCAGTTTTATGCATTGACTGAGACCATTCGGACCCTTTAACGTTGAAAATCTGCATTGGTATAATTAACTCGTGATAACAGGACAAATAATGCCTCAAAAATTGCTGATTAGGTAATTAAACGGGCTTTCTTCTCGTGGTCTCGCACATTCACAAAGTGAAATCACATTCAGAATTTTAGGTCAATAAAAAGCGTTTAAAAAACATAAATCAGCAATGTTTATCCAAACTAAATTAAGATCTGCGATAAATCACCTGTTAGCAAAATATTTATTGGCATCAGGTTTCATCACGATCTTTCTTATTGTAATTGATTGGCATTGAGTTGCTTGGCATCTGGTTTCAATGCGATCTTTCTAATTATAATTTGACTTACGATGAACATCGGTTTAATTGAAGTGAAAGTTACAAAGCACATTTTATGGCCCGCCGTGACCAGTTGAAGCAGTTTAATTGGAGTAAGGCTAGTTTCATTGGAACGAGGTCACTATCGTCTTTAATTAAGAAAGGACGAGATCATCAACATAAAAATACGGGTACATCGCGCTGTGAAGACTGTGCAAGAAATTTCAGCTCTCGGAAAGATCAATTCAATTATTTACAAAATGAAAGAAGAAGGAAGACGCGGGCATTTTGTAACTGAAGAATCAAAAATGGAAGGAATCAATTCATTGACGATACATGGAGTGCCTAAAATCTTCACAACAAAGTCATACTTCTCAAGAGTGCTGTGGGCCTTATTATGCACTTCAACAGTGGTATTTCTTATATACTTCATGTCGGACGCAATACGAAAGCATCTGAATTTTGAGATTTATATAAAAGAGGAAAGAATTCCAAAGCATGAGATGAGCTTACCAGCTATTACAATTTGCAACACCAACTTTTATTCTGGTGATGATGATGATTATGCTGTTAATCAAGTTCTGCCAAAAAACTGCTCGTACACTGATGCAGAGTATTTTGAAACGGAAACTAATAGAAAGTATTTTCTGGATATCTGCCACTGGTTCCATGGTGGAATTATGGGCGAATTCAGTCCCAAAAATATATCATTCCCACAAAATGCGTCATTTCTGCCAAATTTCTGGCCATGCGTAACCCTGAACAAGAACAAAACGATGGTGCAGAAACGAGAAAGCCTGAACTCTGGGCTCAAACTTCTGCTGATATATGGCAAAAGGCCAAATAAGACAGTTCCTTGGTATGGGAATGAAATTTTTGTAGATGAGAGACAAGGATTGTTTGTTACAGCTCATGACCAGAGAGAGGTCATTCCGGCCTTTTCCGGAATTTCCCTTCCACCAGGGTATCATACCATTGTAAAACTTCGAAAGAAGGTGATCCGCAGGAAAGAAAGTCCGTACCCTTCCAATTGCATTAAATCTGGTCAAAAAACTGGTTTCAATGTCTTTTCTGGGAAGGCTCGTAGAGATATCTGTTTATATTCCTGTTTAGCCATACGACAGTATAATATATGTCATGCCATTGATGCAAGATGGCGTCCATTTATGAACAAGAAAGAGTACCCGAATACTTTGAATGTTACCGATAAGGAGAGGATTGATTGCATGTTTGAGGTTCTTCAAAGTGTCGACGCCGTGAATTGTAAATGTAATGTCTATTGTGACGAAGAGGTCTACGAGACTCAAACAAGTCGGGTTCCATGGCCGCAACAATGGAAAGCAGAGGAACTTACGCGCATTTTCCCAAGTTTAACAAGTTCAACAATAAGGCAAACGTTCATTAAGCTGACTATTTACTACGAAGAAATCAGCGAGTTTAGGTACACAGAGGAAGAGAAGTACAGCATAATGAATGTTTGGACTGATTTTGGAGGACAAATGGGCTTGTTCATTGGTGCATCTTTGATCTCTTTTGTTGAGATTTTGTTGTTGCTGCTCGGTTTTCTTCAAAAAGTTTTGAAGAAGAAAAAGAACATAATTTCTTCGCCATCTTTGGGCAGCGAAGCAAGGAATGGAAAAAGTTGATAAAACAGGGCAGCATCATAATCGCTTTGGCTTAGGCCCGCAGTTGATATTAGTTGTTTAGTTTATTGAGATATACTTCATAACTGATTTTTTTACAATTTTCAAAAAGCAAGAGGACTCGCTAATCGAGGAAACGTGGCCTTTACCGCTCTCAAACAGAAGAATGCTTAGCTATGCAAATAGTATTGTTATATCTCCTTAGATGTCGATGAAAGAATAACTGAAAAAGCGTTCTAGAAACATCGTGAGCAGTCCAATAGCAAGATATATTTTCGCTCTTCCATCTTCTGATTACGCATAATTTCAACACTGTGTCCTAAAATGTTTACATGTGTTATGATGCACTAACTTGCTATTCATGTTTCCATCAAGATGGCACTTAGCTCAATGCCAAAGAACGGCTTAACAGCGATCTGTTGAATATGTATTCATTCGTCATACATACGGCATTCCATTGGACTTGGCAGCTGCAACTTTTTGGACAATTTTCGGACATTGCGGAACGTACCACAGTTTATTGCTTGTAGACCTACTGCCTGGTGCTTTCATCGAATCTCATTGGCACAGGTAACTCTGCATCGCAAAATTGGCACCAGTGAAAATAGCCTTGCAGCCATTGAAAATTTTAGCATCATCTTTACTTACCACTCGCTGTAGCAAGTAACGAGACATAGATATAAATCAAATGTGTTTTTAGCATAACAAAATTTGGAAACGATTCCACAGAAAATGGAAACGAAGGTACTAACATAGGAGTGACTACTGAAAGTATAAATGTCGAATAATGGACACAAAGGTAAACAGAAGAAGGTCGAAACTAAACGAACCTTTTAGGTACGACCTCGTTTGTAAGAAAACCAACTCCCAGGACACAGAATAGGAATTGGGCAGAAGGGGAACTCCTGCCCATCAGGTGAAGCCTGAAAATTCTAGCGCATGCGCTAAATTATACGGGGCTTAGCATGTATCTGTCGGGGAAATTTAAAAAAAGGATAAAAATAGACAACTTTATTTAGACGAAATGCACCATGATAGTAAACAAATTCAATTATGTATCACAATTCGTTTACTGTCAGATTAATGAATAATAATTTGTTATGGCTAAGTTCGTCTAATGAAATCAAGGTTAAAGGGGAATTTAGAAATTTTATTTTTGACTAAGGCTTCAAAAACAACAAAGGAACCTACGAGGGTTGCCCTTCTGTCAATTTTCTATTTTGTGCCCAGGATGTCTAAAAACAAATTATCAATAGCGCTGATCACCCTTGAAGCTAAAAGTGATTCTTTTTATAATGGGTTAGAAATGATTCTTCTAGACGATATGTGCCTATTTGTGACTCAGTTAACATGCACCTTATGTTATCTCATAAACAGCTTGCCTAACGAATGGACTTAAAATTACTATAACTTTACATCTCAATGGCACTGACAAAGTCTGGGTTTGACAGGAAAGCCCACCTGTTTCGCTTCAATTGTTATCCGGCGTTCATGACAAGAAAGTCTTTCAAAGCCTCTTCTGCAGGACTCGACACATGTTCGTGGTAATGCAAACCGTCAATGGAACCTAACGGATACGAGGCAGTAACCGGGTACACATCAAAAATGGGTATTCCCTCGGAACAAAGTCTCATGTTCGTATAAGCATTAAAAAGTCGAATTCTTTGGTTTGTAAGGAACCGAGAATGCGATTTAGTTCGGAATTTGCCTTGTTCTAATGGAGCAAATGTTGTCGTCTTCCAAATAATTAATGGCACTAAAGCAGGATTCCTTTTCGTCTTTAGATCGCTTACAATTTGAGCAAATCTATCAATGATTTTTTGACACTGCGAAAAGTTCAAACTGATAATCAAATGAAGGCCAAAGTTGATCACTAGAACACTTCTATTGTTCATTTCAGAGTCATTAAAAATTGAGTGAATTGGTGCGAAAAATCTAGCTTCGTTGAAACCCTTTCCAATGTTGACTTTGGTATAATCATATTCCTTGAATTCATAAGTGTATGTAAACGTATGCGTGCATAAATTAAATAATTTTTTGCATAACATTTGGCCTGACACTGACTTCCACCAGCGATGCCCTAGTGAGTCCCCGTATATCCATAGCTTGTTATAGCGTCTGAACGGCAATGACTTCTCGCTTTGATTAACAACATGACCGCTTGCCCATTTGTACTTTTTCTTGAAACCATACCAGTTACCAAATTTATCGAAAATGATGTTGCATTGAGGTATCTTCAAATCTGTAAAATGGTGACAACCAAATTCCAGTGACTCAGTTGGACGTTTCTTTGGAAGAGCTGCTATATCAGCAGCAGATGGAATCTCGACCGGCAATGCGACTGCGGGATCTAAAACAAAAGAGCTGCTTACTCCAAGAGCTCCTTGCTCTTGAAAATGGCCGTGAATATCTCCCTTTTCAAACCAACCTCTCGGTGGATCCCTAGCACCATCACACAAAGAAAATTCAAGAGTTAATTCCAGAGAATATGTCCCACTTTGAAATGGACAAAAATGCACCTCATACGAGCCATCCATACGATCAAACACAAACGCAAAGTGCACCACCTTTCCCCGCAACACAGCTCGCCACGAATCACCCCCAATGCTCTTAGGTTCCCCATTCCTTGAATATGTCTGCACGATCACCGTGCTACACTGTCCTTCTCGATTGATCTGGCGATAGATTATCTTGGTCATATTAGCCTTCGTTCCAAACTTATCTTTGGCTACTATCGAGATTTCGTTTAGCCATGACATTGAAGATTTACACGGATTCATCAATGCTTTCCAGTCGAATAGATACTTATCTATGCTTTTATAGTTACATCTGCCGATGAATGACTCTAGTTTAGGAATGACTGAACTCGTTTCTTTGGCTTTCCTGTATAGGAGTATCTGACCAGTGAGAAGCAGGATCATTGCAATAATTACAAGCACAGTTTTGGTCGAAGCCATTGTGTCCTCCACTCTCTTTGCCTAATAATGTTAGCTATAACAATGCTTCTTTCATCGTTATTAGGACAAACATGCGTCCATGGTAACTAGTTTTTAGTTGCTAGACAGAAGGATTTGATCGCTGCACATTTCTTTTTCATCCAAATACAAACTTACACATGATCTTATCTTCTACAAATAGAGCACCTGTTTTTTTCGAACTTCTCCTCTGAAAACAAGGGAAGAAAGTATCACCTACAAAGGAACTTCGCAACCAACCATACAATGAGGAAGCTATTAAAGCGACCGCTGCATTCAATGTTTTCGAATCAAACCATGGATTGTTTACTATTCTTAACATATTATTGATTTGGGAAAATTTTCCACCTGGGCCTATAATTTCTACATATTTTACAGAGCAATTTTTGTTTCCTCTAGAAAGGCTGGATCGAACAACCTATTGTTCTCCTAAATCTGCACGAGGATGTGATCGAGTCTCTCCATGTTGGGGACTCTCCCGCCTAAAGCTTAGGGCTGCCGTGGGTAAAGCGGTACACACACCTAGCTGCGCTTTTACTTGTGCATAAATCATTTAATTCTTGAATAATCTAAAAAGCAACAGGCCTAGAAAAACGAGTGAACAGTTGATTCTTCTCCACTGAACCTAATACCACGGGAAAATGGTTATTTTGAATTTTGCTATGAAAAAGCAGGTTAAACTAAAATGATCGCTCTCTAGTCTCAAGCAACACGGCGAGATTGTAACATTGGCACTGCAATATGAGATCAACGCTGGCCAGGAAAAACTCGGTCCAGTCTTTTTTAAGATCAGTGTTTCAATCTGCACAGTGGACACATGAGCCTATTGTTTCTGGATTTGTTTTTTTATGCCCAACCGCCAGGCCAGTGAATATTTTTTAGAAGTCGAGCTTTGGGAAGGATGGTTAGTCGGAATGTTCGAACGCTCAGATCTCGCTGATTGAAGAAACATCCAAAAGTGGATTGAATCCTGTTCCTAAGAAAAAGTAACTGCAATATCGTTTAAAAGAATCTTTATGACTAATAAATAAAACTGAAATAGAAAATATGCTTTTCATGAATTAGCCGAAGTGTTTCCAACGGCCTCCGCTACTCCTAGTACAATAATGATAGTTGAAAAAAAATTATTTCAAAATGGCGTATGAAAATTTTTATTTCTTGACTTCATCCAACAACTGATATTAATTAGTTTGCATTCACTCGCAAGATTGTTGTTATCATATAAAAACAAATACCAAAGATAAGTATATTTCTTTATTTTTAAAAATTCCAGCATTGATTATTAAAGATTATTAAACATGTACAAAATATACAGTAAATTGAAGTTCGGAGTGAGCCTTTTGAAAAGTTTCACTCAGAAGATTTTTGCCAAATTTCCACTTTTCTGTATGAATGAAAAGAAAAAGGAATGGGGAATAATTGAATACGTTGTTATCATTATACAGTTTCTGTCGGCTTGTCTGTAATAATTGTTCTTTCCTCTTTTGATAAGGGCTTTATGGATCTTCTATAAACAACGTCTCTCGAGGAATAGAATGGCCTAGAATTAGAATGAGTTAAATTTAAATTAGTTCAAGCACATTATCTAGAAAGAAAAACAGGTCAAAAGAATATATATGGGCTAAATATATATAAGGCGTTTCAAATCAATAAAGTTAACTTCTAAGTTATAAATAATTTTGAACAAAGACGTTTGCAAAAATAGAGAAAATACTGTTGATTTGCTAGGAAAAACAAGTTCTCTCATAGTTAATATCGTTGAATTTCATAATAACCCTCGCTCGTAAACAAATTTTGTAACAAATAGATGAAACTTAGCAGTTGCCTAATAATCTTATTAAGCGTGAAACTCAGAACTGCAACTCAGAACCGTCCTCTTCCATACATCAAAAGGAACCTTTGTGCCAGCAGCACAATGCGGCAGTAGTGATCATGACTCGTATTACCTGAAATCAGCGCCTTTTATGTTCTCAAAATAACTGTGATTATAATCAGAGACTGGTATCTTATTCTTGTCAAGCAGCCAGCTTCTGCTATCAAAAGGCCCAGGATGATAGCCACTGTTTCTCTCGTCACCAGCTTGTTTGTCTGTGTCAAGCTTTAATCGCTCGTAAAAACCCAATGAAGAGTCGACGGTTGGGTTAAGAACGACCGACAATGCGGGGATTTTCTTCAGACGCAATCCAGGAGCAGATAAAGCGTATTTTCTAGGTTCACTTTTCAGAATATCATCAAGTCTCGCAAGTTGTGATGAAGACTTGAAACCTTTTGAAGTCAGTTCTGTCTCAGTGGCACACCTAAAATGGCAAGAGTTGTTTAACAATAACTAGCTGTGATTGAAATATGGCTGTTTTGACTTAAGTAAAAAGAGGAACAAGTTAAAAGAAAAGTAAAAGTGGAGAAAGTAAAAATGAAACAAAATATTGTTCTTTTTGTCTCCAATTGAGTAGCAGCAACTGCATCAACATAAATGAATACTATAGGTTTATGAAACTGTTTAAAGATATAAAAATGATGAGGCAAAAACAGTAAAATAAAAACATAAATAATTTGTTCGGCACTTCATAGAAATCAATTGCCAGGCATTGAAATTATCTACAGATAATAGGAATAAAGGAAATCTGGTAGCTCATTAAAATCTAAAACTGCAGATTTTCGATTTGCGTATTTATGCATTGTGCCCTAGAAATTCAATGATTGCACATATGTTATAAAAGGCAAGCTTTTCGAAAAGGCATCGATGCCGCATGGTAAGATAATGTAAAAGGCGAAGCGCAGAAACTAGCTTCCAATTAAAAAACTGCCATTAAAACAAGATGGATATTAAAGATTTATGCAGCAAAACCATGGTAATAAAGCCTTGGAGGACATATGAAGTCAATTATTTCGTTGACGAAGCTTCACTCATTTGAGCCTCATTTTAGTGTCTTTGTTTTGACCAGTCACATCTAGCTTTCTTCTTCTTGTATCCGTGATCGCGAATGGTTGATATCGGGCGAGACAACATTTCAGTATAATTAGAATAAATAAATAACGAAATTTATGACCAAGCCTTTTCAAGACCATGGGCGCTCTATGGATAACGCTCTAATCAAACTGCATGCAACCTGTATTAGTTTCGGTTGATGGCTTTCAGCTCATTTCAAAAAACGCATCTAAAATATGTAGCAGTCACAGCGTGGTTGATCATGTATGGTGACCAATTTCCTTTTTCTTGTAGTTCAAAACCATACATCTGTAGGAAATCTGTCAAATTATTTCCTACAAAGGGTATACGTATTGCCTCTACCTGCCACGGAGAAGATTTGCATTTGTGAGAGAATCCCTGCAAATTATTAAAGACACGCACATATTGATATTCGCTTTACCTGTGCATCTTAATAAACATGTCATCAACCACCAATGAACGCTCCCATGTTTTCTGCTCCTCCTTTCTGGCTAGTTTCTGTTCTCCTTTCAGCGTATCACCGGCTAAATGAATTGTTATCGGGGGTGCTTTATCGAAAAACTCCTTTGGCTTCTTAAGAATATCGAAATCGCATTTTCTTTCTTCCCATGAAAACTTCATCCTTTACAAAAAAATAGCAAAATCATACTATCGTTTTATACACAATGTCATTGCTAGCAACGGAGAGGACAAGTTAACATTTATAGGTACACATTAAATTGGAACGATTTTAAAGTCTTTGGAATATTTTGAACAAAAAAGAAATCAAAACATATTCAAGAGCCAAAGAAAGGGTAAAACTTTTTTACCTATCTACTGTCGGTTTCAGTTTGTTAGCATGGAGAATATTCTCTCGCCAGGGCTGAAATGAATAAAACAAATATAAAAACTGGCCCCAATTACCAAGGAAAGTAACTTTAGCAGGCAAATACAAGTTTCTTGAAGTTAATGAATTTACATAGGCAAATTAAGCTAAAAATTTACTTTTAGAACAATAAACAGAATTTTTTTAACTAAGCGGAGGTTACGTGAAAAGCAACTAGAAAACTTTCTATGCATATTGATGGATCACATTCAGTATAAAAGCCAGAAGTATGTTATGAAAATGAAACCTTTTTCAGTTCATCAAGACGGGCGCCATCGGGGTGCCTTGGGTGTTTGTTAGATTCCTGTGATGTTTTTCGACCAGGAAAGACAAAACCATCTGCTGTTCGCCACTTTGTCCTGGAAGATTCCACCTCTTCTTTCCGCACGTCGTCAAGGTTGTCAGGCAGCACGGTTGCGCCGCCAAACTCCTGGCTGTAGGTAAACCTTGAGTCCGGATCCTGGAAAGAAAGAATCTTGAAAATATGTAGATTTTTAAAGCCTAGAGAGCCGAAAATATTAGGTAAGGTATAAATAAGCCTGGATACCCGCAACTAACGAGCCACCTCTAGCCACCAAACTTTAGGCCGTTAGATTTAGAATTAAAAGCACTGATACAAGAGAGAGAGAGTTTGGATTGAAAATTATCATTTGTAAGAAACCAGCAAGGACCTCTTATAATTCATGTGTAATTTCGATACTAGATGCCATTAACAACAGCAATGGCAACAACAACAGCGATAAAAATGTTACACTCAACAAATAGGTAAGAAGCCGAGACAAATATTACCGCTGCGAGGAGGCTGCGCAGTTTTCTTTTAGCCATCTCTGACGTGTTCAGAGACTGAATACTGTAGTTATGCGCTTCGAGATTACCAAGAGAGGCTGGGTCACACGTGATGGTCTTTTCTCTTTTGATTGGCTCGACTTGCTGGACGCTTGACTGTTATAAACACATAAAAGTATGAGCTGGTAAACTTAACATGGAACAAATTTTCAGCGGTTGCACTAATGTGTATCTAAGAATACTTTTTAGAAACTATGAAAATAGACTTAACCTTTATTCATAGCATAAAATAATGAAAAAAAACAAGAATGCAACGAGTTATTATCATATAAATGACAACTCTAAAAGAAAATCAAATAGACATACAATATTTTCTGATAGGAAATTTTTTCGTGTTTTTGCTTCTGTTCTGCTTTTCAAAACACTCTCATAAGTTTCATTCTTCAATTGCAAAGGTGTCCATGGTCTACTTGTTTTAAAAGGCTTTTCCTCTATCGTTGTTCTCTGTCCACCAGCGTAAGAGGGAGGTTCCATATTCAGGGGGTCTGGTCTGTCGGTAATTGCAAATGCTACGAAGTGACACACAGCCAGTTATATATCAATTTTAACTCAATAACTTACATTGACACAAGAAATGAATAGCACTAACAACAGTCACACTGCCTAATAATTTATAAATAGCTTCTATAGAAAATAATCTGAATGCATTTGTTATGGAAAGAATTCTCTTTCGCATGTCAATCGCAATGCATTAGTTTAAGCGGCCGGTAGAATTATTTAGATGACTAAACTACACTTTTTTGCTAAGTTTAACAGTTAAGATTAAAATTATGAGAAGAGGAAAAAGCTAGCTTAGATTACAAACTGACAATTTTGACATGAAAGCTTCACATGTAGATAACGAGAGAGCTCAGAATCAGATAACGAGAGATAACGAGTAGATAACGAGAGAGCTCGAGAGAGCTCAAGCAACAGTCAAATGTAATTTTATTAAGACAACGTGCATGGATGCTTCGAGAATAAGACAAGTTGGTATTGACAAGTTTACCTTGAAGATCTTCAACTGTGAGTGGAATTCCAAACTCTCTGCTAAGAGATGCTATCATTGCATCACTTGGAAACAAATCATTGCGAATGGCATCCCTTAGTCTCGGGCATGATAACAGCTGGATATGTAAAATATTGTAAAGATAAAAAGATAGGCAGATAAAGCTGACTGGATATTTGGCAGAATATATGAAGAGAGCGAGATAACCTTAACAGAATTACTCATTAAAATTTCATCATTTAAATTATTCCTGGGGCCTAGAATCCACAGATTTATTTCCTCAAGAAATGGGATTTGAGGTTGGTTGGGAAATTCGAACTTTCAAAATCGGATTATCTTTAAATGTAAAATTGTATCTTCACTTCAGTATTTTAACGTCTATTTGCAGAACCCAGCTGCTGCAAATTAGACTTTCAAACTGGGTGTACTGCCCTGGTGTTTTGAATAATGACTATCTTCATTTAGCTTCCCAAGATTGATAACTAGCGGCTAGTTTGTTTTGCTAGAAGTGAACTTTAAGTGATATGATACTAAAGTATTATAGCTTGGCCTTTGATCATGAATTGTTCGCAAAGATACTCCGTACTGAAAAAATACTGCAGAGAACTTAAACAAACATTGAGATAAAAGGAGACATGAATCTCTAACTTACGTCATAAAGTTTAAGAACGGCCTCAAGACAGAGCCGGGGTATCATGTCTCTGACATACAAGAGAGGCAGTTTGACAATGGCACCCAGTGGTTGATGGAGCCTTACTCTTGTTAGATCAACATCTAACGATGCGTATATTCGTTCTTGAAACGTTATGTCGGTGTTGTACAATGACAATACATTGCTTCCTGTAAGTTGATATAAAAAACAACGTCAATTTTCATACAAAACCTTGCTAAAACAATTCACCAAGTCATCAAATGATATGAAGGTTGCCAAAACAATTTATGTAAAACCAAATTTTCAAAGAAATTAAAGGTAAATAAGATGAAAAATATGTCGGGGAAGAAAGGGTATAGGGCTGTTGCCTCCTAGCATCGACCTGTCGGAAATTTTTCTCTTTCATGTTTCAAGAGTTTTTATTTACAAAAGGTTGGAGAATGGACTTTTTTTCAGTTTTGTCCTTCAATCAAAATTTTGAAAGGTAAGCCAATGTTGTCAGGCCTTACTTTAACAAACATTTCCTTTTCTAAAACCACAGCAGACCGTTCCATATTGAATTGTAAAACCCTAAAGTTACTTGCCTTCTTATGGAAAAAGAGCTACGTCTGCCTCCTTCTACAAAACTAAAGCCAAATGCATAAAGTGAATGTACTTCGTGGAAGCGAACTAAAACTTTATCTTGAATTATATTTACGATATTCAATAAAATATCTGGGCAAACATAATAAACCGGCAAACAGAGTATTATTAAATGAAAGAAAAAGTCCGTAACGCACCGTCTGAATGTGATTGGGACAAATTCTCCCACAATGTTTTGATGCCATGGTCCCTGAGGCCTTCAAGCACGAATATATGGTGCACTCCATCAATGATCTGCATAACGGAGACAATGATGACAAATAAGATCGAAATTAATGGTTGAGCATTTGAGTAACAAACCTTGAATTTTTGAGTAAAAGAATGCATCATGAATACGTTTGTAGGTTCTTAACCAGGATGGCATCCACTGCAAATGAAGGTAGCATCCACTGCAAAGTGTGAATGCAACGTGCAATTACGTCAAATTTCATTACAATACGTAACTGGAGCATATTTTGGCTAGAAGCATATGATTGAGGGGGAGTTTAGTTAAAACAAATCTGGTTTTCAACTTCTAAAGTTTCTTGTGAATCAATTTAGGAAATATTCTGTAAAGGAGCAATCTAGAAGTACCTGGAAGCCAGTGATTATGTTCAGCGACTTGCTTATTCTCTGCGCACTTGTAAGAGAAAATGAACAAAGAACTATCAAAGATTAAGAAAATTCAAAGACAAATCTTTGAAACCGCGCATAACACCCTCTCTAGTTGCTTTTCACATACATTGTGGAGCTTTAAAGGGGTTCTTTTGTTATCTGAATCTTTAAAACGCCATTAGAAATACATCCTTCATAAGTTCAGAATTTTATTGCTAAAAACATTACAGTACAAATTCAAAAGCAAACCATTTTAAAAATACATTTTCATGCCATATCTGTAAACCACACTATTCCCTTTCATAGCTACCACATATTTAGCCAAGTTAGATCTACATCAATGCGGAGTTTCGGTGACACTGTAACAAGAGACTATTAGTACACAACAGAGACGAAGCCAGTATTCCCAAATGGGTGTTAGGAGGTGGGGGGGGGGGGTTGATTGTGCTAGCAATAGTCGGGTTTCTCTGGTTTTCTTTCCTACTGCACAAGCAACCTTTATTGGTAGCTGCGACTACATCTACGTCATCAACACACCAACAACTACTTCAATACTTACTCGCTGAGCTTGTAGGTTGATAAAGCAGCCTCGATTACATGTTGAGGAAAGTCTTTTAACTGCAAAGTTTCTGCGTTTATTGACATTACTTCACTTTGAATCTTCTGCAGAAAGTCTTTGCTTTGGTAATCGAAAATGTAAACTAGTCTTGAGAACGGGCACTAAAAGAGCATTAAACAAACGATGATTTCATTTCATTTTCGGTTACTGCAAACCAAGGACAGATATCAATAAAATATATGAAAATTTACGATAACTAGTTGCAAAGTTGGTTCGCGAAATTTCATTTGAGGGTGCGACGATAAACCCCTTCTTGATATTTATAGTAACAATGCAATAATGAAATAGATAAATCCTTTAAAGAGAAAACAACGTTCATAGTGGCAACAGACCTGGAAAGACAAAAGAGGGATTCACCCACCCAAACAGTCAACTTGGATGGCCCGTGTGACTTTTCTAAGTCGTAGACGAGAGAGTGGTATGACTCCTTCTCACGGCAATGTCACAGAATCTCTATTTTGATATTTCATTGGCTTGAAATATTACTGTGGGAGGTTCAGCAGTATAAATTGGAGTGATCCTTCTTGAAACAAGGCTCAAACACGATAGCTCTTGTTTACTTGAAGTGGGGCTGGCCTATTGAGCCTCTTTTTCACTTTCTATTATTCTTCTTATTTTCACCCCCGACGTAAGGACCCAACCTATGCCACTGACAGGAACGTACCCAGAGGACTACAGTGGCCATTTATTGTTAAGATGAAAAGATTAGACTGAGACACTTAAATACGCGGATAGAAAATGACAATATGCAAAGACATGGGTAGAAGAACAACCTCCATTGGTTCTGCGACTGTTCTCTTTAGCTGAATATCTTGAATGGTTTTGAGAGGGTAAGCTAGTTCAATTTTAGCTTTCAGCTCACTTCCAGCTTCGATGTAGTTTGCAACAGGCATAGGCATTTCGTCTGTAAAAGAGTTCAGATATCTTGGAGCTAGCCAGTGTCAGATGAGCAGAAAGCAACAATACAAGCAAACAAAAATGACTTTAAGGATCTTCGGTACCAAGGACAATTGCCAATTACCAAACAATATATGTTGGTAAGGCAAACAGTTCTTATTTTGTTTCTTTTCATCAGTATGATTCTTTGTTTGAAAGCTCGTTAGACTCATTAGATGCAATATTAAAGTCTCATTAGATTTCAAAAAGGTTCCCTGTGTACTTTGGATTACAATTGATACAAAAAACGAAATATGATCTTAACAGATGATACAAAAACGTCTTCTTATGAGACAATTTATCTTAGTTCCATATTAGAAAATTTGACATCACAATCTCCTAGTTGCAAAAATCATCAATCAAATTTTGAAATTTTCAGGCTTAGAAAACACATACTAGGGCCATCAACACTTCCGGGTGTCCCGACAACTTTCTCGGAATTATTGCCAATTCCGCGCCCGTCAATAACATCTGGAATTTTGCAGCATCGTATGGGCACGAATCCTTCGATAATCTTTTCACCAAGGAGAAAATCGGAGAGGTTGAATGTTGCAATGCCATAAGGATCCCACACTTTGTCTTTTTGGGTGAATGGATTGTGGTCAGTCCGTCGCCCTGAAGCAAGGTTCAAATAATAATAACAAAACTGGGAAACATTAATAGGCTGAAGCTACAAGTTCACGCTTTGTCTATGACAATTTGAGAGATGCTCATCCAGGGAAATATTTACAATATGAATACATTTGATTGGGGCTAAACGAGGGGATATTTCGTCTGGCTTTAGAAGGGCAAGTTCGAAAATAAACATAAAAAAGCATATATTATCACAAAGATTTGTATTTTTCTTTTCTTTTGGTCTAGCATTACCATGTTTTGAGGGGGCTCTTCTAAAGAAGAAATCTTCTAAACTTGCAAAACTTGCGTTGAAATTGCAGAAGAGATGAAACTTGCGTTGCAATTGCAGAAGAGATTGAACTTGTGTTGAAATTGCAGAAGAGATGAAACTTGCATTGCCATTGCAGAAATGTTTGACCAAAGCAGAATGAGTAGTGCTAATGGCCTATTTATCCTTCAATTGGCGAAAAGGTAAGCTCAGACAGTTGGATGCACAAGCCGGCAAGGATGCGAAATGAATCTAAGAACACAGGTATTTACCTAACAACAGTCAATAATGTACTCTGGAAATGAACTTGTATCATTAGCAACTTTGCTTTATGTTACACGACCTGACTGGTACTAAATTCTAGTTCCCCTTAAACAAGCAGAAACCTTTGAAACAGATAATGCACTAGCGTACCTTATGGACGCTTATCTGCATCCAGACCCTACGATAGTGCATTAGCGCTTAGAAGAAATGTTGATGCAAAGTGAAAATCAAAATTCCAAAGATTCTAACAAACAATAAGAAATAATTTCAGGAACAAGAGAATAGACGGAGAAGGTACATCTTCATATCAGCGAGGTCTTACCAGTAACAAAACTGGCTTTGTTGATCATGTTGTCATCTTCATGTTGCCCAAATATCGTCGGAACATCGTTTTTCTGGCTAGTATCTCGATCGCGGTCATGAACCTCGATTTGGAGACCCGGACCTCTTAGATACTCGAAAAGCTTCTCTTTTTCTTGAATACCCAAGAGGACAACATAAACGTCGTCGACTTCGATTTTTGAAGCATGAACACAGCCACGACTTTTGTGCAACGGTTGATCGTGAAAACTGTAAGAAATGTATGGCGGCAAACACCTGTGAAAATATAAAAATGTCAGTTAAATGAAGTCTAAAATGCAAATAAACAAGATCTTAGGAATACATAGAAGGCAACAATGAACATGGTCCCTTGTCAATTATGAAAAACGAATGCATGTTTGAATGTGACGGGAAATTGTTACAACCGTTAGTCAAAAAACATGGTGTTCCCTTTTGCCATACTTTAACTTGGCTAAAATATCTTAAAAAGACATGATAGAAAATAAGATGCAATGACAATAAGATGCAATGACAAAAATATGAAAGACAGGAATAGACAAAATCCCAAATGATCAATGAAAGATACTTTACTTATCAGTGGCAAACATTCGTAAATCGACAGGCCGCTTTGTATACACATTTGGCCAATGATGAAAAGTCTCTAAACCAAACCAATGAAAAAGGCTATGCTTGAAAACATAGCATGAAAATATGAAAGAAAAATCATAGCATATTACATCGGCTCTGATTGGAACATCCAAGAGCTTCAAAGACGTAATCAAAAAGCTCTTTTGGTCTACCACTAGCTTAAATCCTCAGATTATGAACATATGGAAGAGTGTCTGAGTCCATTCCAGACTTTTAACATATTCATAACAGAAGAAAGAAATCTGCATGAATTATGATGCCTACGTTTATGTCCCGTTCTGCAAAGAACCGGGGCCCAACTGAACTGATTGACTACCAACAAATGTTTAGGGGCTGACGATTCTTTCAAAAAAAGGTGTTAGACATATGTGTAGTGTTTCTATTTCTTGGCTTGTCAACGTACATTCTACAAAAATTCACTTTAGAACTTTCGAGAGCGGTACAGATCCCGAGAATGGTACTGATCCCACTAACCTTTTACGTAAATGACTGTAAGACACCGGTTGTGATGGCATGTTGTTTGCAGACAAGATGCGAATTATCAATGGATTTAACGCTTTCCTTTGCGGTTCTGATAAGAGTGGCTGGTCCACAGATAAGGTAATAACAAGATCCTCCACAGTGCCAATAGGGAATTCAAGCCTGCCATTTATCAAAGAGACGCCGGTAAAGAACGAAGACAACTTCACTGAAACGGAGGTTAGGCCGTGCGCCTTGATGTGGGCAGCTCTTGCTTCAGCTTTTTTGTCTGTGGCTGCAGCTGATTTTGACTTTGAGCTTCTTCCTACCAGACAAAAACAAACAGTTAGCATTCCATAGATCTGACATCTTTACAGAAATCTTCAATTTGCAAAAACTCCTCCTTTATGAGATGAAACATTGTTCAAAATTACATTATACAGAAGCTCGGGCTCAGCTTGTTCTTATAAAATTTTGAGGCTCCTGTTCCTATAAAATCGTTCTTGTAAAAGAAGAGTGTACTCCCTACAAGACACCATTGTGGTTTTCCCTTACAAGACACCATTGTGGTTTTCCCTTACCTGTCGATGAACTTCTCTTGCCTAGATTGCTCACTGTCTTTCTTGCCATCACCAAGTCAACATTATCCAGTTCCTCGTCGTCATCCTTCTCTTCTTTAATTCCTACTGACGCAAGCTTCATTAGATTCCCCATCTGTGGCTCCTTGTTGTCATTCAAAAATACTTTGACTTTCAAAACACTATTAGAATCTGCAGTTGGGGTATCAGGGGACTCTTCAAAGCCCCCTAAATTTCTGTCCCCAGGTTTTTCTTGCAAAATGTCTACTTTCATGTGGTGACTGGTTGAGAAATCTGTAGCCTTCGAAGTGGGCCTTACCTGAAATGAAGATGAAGCAGTTTTCGTGAATAAACACGAAGGAGATGCTTAAAAATATAATGCATAACATTGAATAAAATGACTAATCTTGTTAACTTATGAAGTTTTCGGGAGAGGGGGGGTCGCTTTCAACAAGAACTCAAGGAGAGACTCAGTTTGAGCTACAAATTACCATATTGCACATTACGATGCGAGAACTCGGGTGCCATCATTTTGAAATGAACTTAGTGTGCAACTTTTATTATTGAAGAAATTTGCCGCTACGAAAACCATATTTTGGCAAATTGCAAAGCAGATTGCTTACTTTTGATTTTGCGTTTGGGTACATTCCTTCAGTCCTTGTTTTCATGCCATGGGTTGAATCTTTTGGTTCCATCGCCTCGGCTTGCTTATCTGCGAAAATAAAAAGGGAAAGCTTATCATGCGGAGAAAAGAGATCATTTCACAAACAATTTACATCATTGAAACATCATCGTAAAACGAAAATAAAAAACTTGCGTCAATCAAGATAAAAAGAAACCAGAGGAAGTTACGGAGGGATTTCCATAAAAGGCACCATATAATTGTGACAATAGATTGAGAAATCAAGCCTTAAAGATTCGAGGAAATCATTATTTTGTGAGGTTACATTTCCAATTCCAAATTATAATTCACCAAAAGGGTTTAATTGAAAATACCTTTCGGAGAATTTCAAGTAATTTATACAGCTTCTTCTATCTCTGTATACATTACAGAAAACAATACGCTTCTAAAATCCCTTCCTTGCAAAAAAGTCCAGCTTCCTCGGGGCAAATGGTAAAAAAGTTGCTTGCTAGGACCTGATCTTCGAGAAAAACGAACGATAGATGGTTTTACCTGGGTTTATTGATTGGGTTATCTGAGCAGCCTCCTTTTGAGAAACCCCGTGTTTTCGTAGAAGTTTTTTAATATTTTCGATATCGAATTCCTCATCGGCTCGAAGCTGCGGTAGTTTGAATGCTTTTGGTCGGTCAAACCTCGCTCTGGGTGAAACCCTCTCTTTTGAATCCCAAATCTTCAACTCCAATGAATGATTGAACATTTTCAATAAAACATCTTTAGTTACTTTGATTTTGTGACTGGAAAGAAACAAAAAATCATCTTAGACGTCTTCTTCATTTGCAAAACCGTATGTGCTTGACATATGCAATGTGTATATTAAATGACATGTGAATAAAAGAAGATGCACAATCACAAGGGGCAGTTGCTATTAAAAGCTTTCTTGGAAGTTACAGGGGAATTTTAAATTGTCTCCAACGAAATATTGTCTTTCTTTTGATAATGATGCATTTATTTGTTTTTTCTTTGTAACACTCAAATTTCTTGCATTCTGAAAATGAATCTTTTCAAGAGAAAATGCTTGCATTTCAAGCAAAGTCTTAACAAATTTGGTAAAAAACTTGCAAAATTTCATGCTTTGTTCCATAGTGTGATATTGTACATTGAAAAGCACATGGAGAGTATGTAATGTTTTCATGTTATTTTGTCTTGTTCGAGTCCCTTGAAGAATGATTGCTGCAAAACCAGTGGTGGCATCAAGGGGGGTATGAGGGGGGGGGGTAAAAACTCTCCCATTTTCGTCAAAACAGAGTTCGCATATTTCTTCTAGAAATTGATTAAAAAAGTATAAGGTAGGGAGGGGTAAATCATATTAATGCCTAAGGAAAATTCACCTGGCACAAAGCACTGCAACAAGGCAAAAAGGCGTGGCCTCACTGGTCACGCCCATTACCCTCCCACTCTGCAGTAGCTGGTGCCGCCACTGTGCAAAACTCACAATGAATCACAACATTTATAATATTGAGATTTGCAGCACCACTAGTCTATGGAAAGGATGTAGCAGGATTAAAATGAGCTGGCTAATACTGTCTTGATTTTCAATATGTTTTGACTAAAACATTGCTGATTTTCTGGTTCACTGGCACGTTATGTGGCATGTTACATGACACCAAATTCAGTCAAGTTTTCATGTCAATTCACTTTCAAAATCGCAAGTTAAGAAATTTCCTTGTATTACTATTCTAATCATGAACTGTATCTGATGGAAATTAGTTTACACAACTGATGGATAGTCCTAATTTATCTGGTTTGACAGATTTTGCAATTGATGGCCCTTTTTTAGAGTTGACCTACATTGTCAATTTATGAATCAATTGCAAAAACCAACATATAAAGCGCTGAGATGATTTTACAAATAACATTAAATTGAGTTTATATTCCAAATAGTCTCATTTTCAGAATTAAATGCAGTTACCTGTTTGTCCAAGCTACCCACGTTTTACCTCCATCAACCCATGTTCTCAAAACTCTTGAATCACTTTCTGTATAAAGTTTTGCAGCAAAACCATAAGTCACAACATCAGTCTTGACACTCTCTTTGTCATCTGGTAGCAATTTGTATGTGCAATGAAAATATGTCTGAGCTTTTGGTGCTTCAATAGATTTTCCCTTCTTCTTCAGGCTACTAGTCATCAAGTCATAGTCTGTGAGTAAAATATTGACTGAAATATGTAGTTAAGTTAAAATCATGGTGTTTAACATTCAAGTTAAACCTGTTTCATCTTATTCAAAGTGAATACTGTATTCAAGTTGTATATTTTGTTATGTCAATGTAAGAGATATTAACTAGCCTTCTATGCTAACAAATAGCAGAAATCTAGTCCCTGAAGTAAAATGTTCTAACTATAATAGGTAGTTTTATTTAGAGGATAGCAAATAACAAAGCATTATCTTTGATTGGTTGTTCATATTTGTCAGCATGCTATTTTGATCCTGCTACACTTCCTATAAACTTCTTAGCTTCCATAAATAATTCTGTACATCCAACTTTAACCAATTATCGGAGTGATACACCCTGGACAAAACATCTTCTACATCATATCATCGAATTTATAAGATAAAAATGAGGTTATAAAAATTTACCAATTTCAGAGGCTTTAGCGATTGTTACAGTAATGTTAACTTCATGCTCTCCTTCTTCTTTAGTAACTTTTCGCTTTCCCATTTTCGATACTACAAGCTGGTGATCCGTTTACGAGCCAGGGGCTTGCTTCTCCTAGGCCAGGCCACTTTCACAATTTCTACGTCGAATTAGATGAAAAACACCGAACTAAAAGCATTTCAATTTCCAAATTAACTCATAAAATCAATATTAAAAAAGATCTGTCCTCAATCAGTTGGTTTTACAGTCTCTGCCTTAAGATAATTTTGTCAAATCAGTGGATTTGATTCTGCACTTGGTATTCTCCTGTTGTGTAGCCATTTTCCTGCCGTTGTCATGACGACAAAATTGAGCAATCAACAGGGTAGCCATAGAGGCCAAGAATCGTGTCCTGCGCACTGACAAAGTCTGATCTACAATGTCAATGCCTGCCAAAAGTCTTGGAACACTGACATCAATTTCCAAGGTCAAAATCAATCATCCCCCTCTCCCCTACAGAACAATGTTGGTTTACTTTCAAACGGGTTAGGATTTTAGGAAGCATTTTCTTTTGCGCTTCTTCTATGATATTTCTCTAAATCATCAACATTGTTTCAGGGGGAAGGGGTCGGAAGTAGTGATGTTTTTTTTATGAAAGGAATGGAAGATATCAAATGCAGCGTGAATTGCTGGGTGTTCCAAGTTCTCTTGGCAGGCATTGTAGTTTCCCCGCAACCTTCTACCTTTGAGTTTTAGATTCCATTCACACAAACATGGATAGTTTAAAAGAATCAAGGGTGCAGAAGAGTAGCCAAATTGGTAAGTTCTTCTTTAATGTGAATACTATAAATTAAATCATTTGAGCCTGAATATATTCTTAAAATATGACAAAATTCGCAACTGCAGGAAAATGAGACACAGCCATGCGAGTCGAGGCTGAGCTATGTTCTTCAAAATTGGATGATTCCGAGTCTGGATATTTTTTACAAACAATTTTCTTCCAAAAAAGGAGTGAAAGCAAGGGGCAAAGGCGGGAGCACCTACCCTAGCAGGGGAAACTTTGGTGACCACGCTTTTTGTGTTTAAACGCAATTTTACTAAACTAAGCTGATTCATTGGATGTGTGGCATTAACTTATTGTAGATTTGCGTAAGACACCAACTCTCTGAAGAGAAAAGGGGCGTGACAGAGGAACAGGGTCGCATAAGGATGAGAAGGTCCTTTCGTTAATTCAACCTAAAATTTCTAGGCTGTATATAGCCTGCGTGCAGACTAAAATTGTTCCTATAGTGGAGTCTGCGCGCGGGCTAGTAGTGTATAGATGCTTCTCATACTCATTCTCGTACATTTTGGAAAAACATATGAAAACCGACTCTTTGGAACGAGGAACAAGCAAATTAAACACTCTCGTATTCAAAATCCTTTTACTGTATCTTATTTCACTAAATAAAGCAGCAGTTCAAAAATGCACACTATGCGAAAAACAAACGCCTAAAAATATGCCTGGCAGTAGTCTGCAAATATAGACCCACAGCTGCCCCATCCCCCCTCCCCCCATTCACCACTAGTAAAAGCCTACATGTTAAAAAAGATACCACACACAACAGACTATGTATTACATCAAATGCTTCGCAAGTTGATACAACAAAAATGAGGCAGTTTATTTACCAGCAATTTCGCATTCAAAAACTCATCTTTTTAATTCAAACAAATTTCCCAAATTCTTCAGAATATTTACATTTCGACCCACGTACAATTGTGTTCGCAAAATACACAAAAATTTAAGATTTCTACAAATACAGATACCCAATCAAGAACAGTCACGGTCAAAAAGGTTGACAACTTCAGGGAATTCATACCCCTTACACGCCTCTGAAAATCAACTGGGGTTGTAAATGAAAAATCATTCAATGACAAATATTCCAATATAACCGTCTTTGAAACAAAACCAATCTATGTACCACACCTAGGAGTAGCGTTGTTTAAATGTTTTTGGAAGGCCCGTAGCGTTTTGTTGGTGTATCTGTCAAACAGTGTTCTGGACTGGGTTACAAATTTTATGCTTATTGGTTTCCTATTTTGCTTAGAAGAGGACATACCAGTTCGGCGCGTAAGGAGTGATGCAAATTCGCTCAAAGTTAAAAGACTGAACGGCATTTTTACCACCAGGGTAGCGAACATTAACATCAAAATGCAAATCTTATTGAAAATGCTAAAATCTTAGTGAAAGAACCTTTATTACCCGTTTATCAACAAATATATTTCAACGTAAAATGCGAGAAAAACATAATTACTAAATCTTTAAGATTAACTTTGAAGATCCAACTTGCGGCCCTTGGTAGAGCAGAAAATTTTTCATTGACAGAGAACAAAAGGAAAATACTTTCTAACGACTTTGGAAAGTCGATCTAAAGAGCAGTTCACTCAGATAAGTTGCCATGTGAAAAGTTCTTGTTAACCACGTGGAAATAAACAATTGTTATATGGCATAAACAAGTGTGAAGAGTAACGTACAAAAACTTACAAAATAGTTTTCACCTATGTGTGAAAATCAAGTTTTATCGCATGCGCAACCAAGGACCCCGTTTGTGTGTATATCCTAGTAATCTTTAATTCTAAAACCAATAAAACAATGAAGTTTCTCGTTTGAAAAATACATTTGCTACCGCCTAAGTTGGTATTTAACGATTCTAGCTAATAGGGACTAGAGCATTGGACATTGACAAATCATCCATACCCGCCTTTCAAGATTAAGCAATTGCACGTTGTAGCCAATTGCCGTTATATTTTCTGTCTGGTTTAAGATTTGTAAAGTTGAGATTCAAGCGGATAGCAAACATGGAACGCAAAATTAAAAACTTAATAGCATTCTAATTCTAAGTTATTTAATCTAAGGAGCCTTTTCATGCAGGGACTAGTGAGACTGTGATCATCGCGAATTAAAAATTCGAAAATCTCACAATGATGTGAGATCTAAGATCACTAAAGGAACAATCATTGGTAAATGAATGCTCAATCGGTGATCAACTAATCATCGATCAGCGATTAATATATATATTTATATATTGCAGTTGATTATTGTTGGATTCACACTTCAAACTATAACCTGTAGTCGGGTGGCCTCTCTTCCGGTATTGGCATTGCTCGTATATTTGTCTTTTGATAAACACTATTATTTCTCTGCAAATTCGATGATTTTCCGCCGCCACATAATTTGAAAATTCTCATCAGTCCTTTCTTTTTCTTTTTCTTCTCACCAGTTTGTTGCGGACTGTATGTCTCTATGTTAGCCTCGATACCAATCCTTGAATTATTTGGACGAACAACGCCGATATTATCTGGTTCACCTGTTGTACGGGGAATGGTTGTTGCGATAGGGCGCCCATCGGGATATTCGTATTTGTAGAAATTTCTAACTGGAGTGTACTGGCTATTATAACTTCGGGAAGAGTTATTACGTTGGTGGATTGTGACATTTTCAACATTCACTGTTCCACGTTCATTATATTCCCTTGTCCTTTGCCCCGATTCGTCTTCAGCCTCGTCTTCAAAAATGTAGTCACCATCATTCGAGTCAGTCGACTGGGTTCTTATCATAGGAGTCACAGGGGACAGCGGCTTACTATTTTCATGGCAATCCTCTTCGCCGTCATCATCTTCTTCATCGCTGACGTCATCCTCCAAATGGGGGGACAGCTTGAATTCTGATTGGGCATGTCTGAGGGGCGTGCTGTGTTTGATGCTGGAAAGGTCTTGCATGCTCAACGATTGCATTTTCGTAAGGTCAGCGGACAGATTATGAATCTTTTCATTTTGCTCAACGCACTTTGTTTCGAGTCTCTTTTGCTTCGTTACTAAAGTCTTTTCTCTAAGCCGTGTCTCTTTCAGCTCCACCTCCATCGCCTTCGATATTCTTGATGACTCTTCCAATTTGTCAAGTAACTGTGAAATTTGTTGTTCGTACTCCTCAAGTTTGCCGCTTGACGTCTGTAAAATGCAATAAAAATGGCTAGTCAGAATCCCAAACATGAAGTATGATATAATAAACCTGGTAATAAACCTGGATGTTTAGCGCGTTGGCCAGCTACGCATACTTGGTTTTAATTTCACTTCGACATTTAACAGTGAATTTCCGACCCTAACATGGTCCAGAATTTTCATTAGAGGGACGAACTGATTTATGAAAATGCAACATTTTTTATTTAGTTCCTCATTCAAAATTAGCAGGTGCCAAATTTTTAACAGTTCCAACTAAAAGTTCGTCAGTTTTATAGGAGATCTCTACCAGAGGGCATTGGGATTATTGGCTTTGAATGAAGCCTATCGAAATTGATAAAAGAAGAAACCGTTCGTACAAGCAATATATCATAGCGCTGGCACTTACAAGATTATTAGCCACATTTGCATATTTGAGGTTGAAAGACAGACATCGCTGTGACAGGAAATACTTCATACATCTTCATTACATACAAGAAGACCGATATTGAAAATTCATATTTTCATTTCTCTTTGTTTGTATAAAAGCTTCTTTTGTCTGCAGAATCATCTGAAAATCCTATACACAATGCTATGCGTAAATATTACAACTTGGTTTCTGCTTATCTGCTTATGCTTATGGTATCTTATCATCATTCTATGTTGCTAAAGAATTGCATACAGCAGGCTGTCATCAAAAACTTTGTTACAATAAATGACAATTCGAGGTCATCAAACTCTTTACCAAAGCCATAGATTTGTTTATATACTAGGTATTAACAATTTGTGCACGTTGTAGCAGCCCCATAATCCAAAGAATGACTCTTTAAAGTAATTTTTCCACAAGACAAAAAAATGCGATCAGTTTCCCAAGACAGATTACCAAAAGAGATTTGAACAGGTCAAATCAGAGAAGAACGGTCGTAGACAAGTATAAACAGATGACCAGAAGATACTGTTATTGACATTGAGAACAGTCACGATGTGAATCAGCTATCAGTATCTGATACTGTCAGTTGGCAGGTACCTGAAAAGTTCAGCTGAAATGTATGCTACATATCTGTATCAACCAGCAGCAAGATGTTCTTTAACACAACGTGTATCAATAGATACTAAGTAATGCCTCCTGATCGACAAAATATAATGATGCCCCTGCTGCCTGAGAAAACAAACTGGATAACGATGTTTGCTGAAATATTTCTAAATTTTCGTCAGGATCTCGCAACATTGACAAATTCAAAGAAAAAAGCGATAGAATACCTCATTTTGCTTCTGTTCCATATACAGCCTTAGCTTTAAATCGAAGTTTTCTTTTTTGAGGTCTTGTACCATCTAAAAATCAAGAACAGGTTTTGAAATCAAAAGTAAAACAGATGAAACACATAAAATCCTCAGGAAAATTTTTAACAAAATTGGACATTACTGGCAAATTGGATTATCTCCTTTCCATGCTATAATTTTACATTTAAAAGAACCTCAAACGACTTGGCTTCAAATGAACAAAATAAAAAATTTTTTGTAATTGAGTTGTAGAACACATTGAGAAATAGTAGCAACTCTAAAGCATATTGCAAAACATACGAATGTCTCATCTGGGATTTCGTGCATTTTCTGAATCATTAAAGGTAAGACATGCCTGTGCTAGACATTTGTTGAAATTCTGGAAACTTACAAGAAAACAATAGCTCAATTTTTTCGTCTTTGAAAAGTAGCAAAAGGCTTACGTGTTCTTGATCTTTGATAGTCGGTCCATGACTTTGTATGGAATCTGCAAAAAAATGACAAATATGATAGGTATAAATCAGCGGCTTCCTGAACAATTTGTTTTGAATTATTTTTTAATGTCCCACGTTGACAACAACCCACGTGACAATTTTCCCATCGTCTGAAAGTGTATCTTTTTTGCAAGTACCGTTATTGAGGGCAACTCCTCCGTTGCCCCTTCCTTAAAAAGGACAGCTTCGCTATATTCCTTTACTATGCCTGAAACAACATTAAAGGTTCTTTGATTAACCCTGGCTAAATTTCCCCTTTCGTCCCTATTCTAAACCGTAACAACACTCATTGATGGTCAGTGGTCAGCACTTTTGGCAATGGATTCGCCCAAACACGATAAAATGCAAATCGTCAGTGGCGAAGCTAGCGGTCATGCTGGTCATGCTGAGCATGACTAAAAATTTTCAGAGCTAAAGACATTTATTATAATGATTAAAACTTTTCTTTATTGAAAAAGTACCCTCAAAACTCCATTCGTCCAGTTGATTCTTATTATTTCACTGCCCTTCCCTACCTTGGTCCCTTGTGGTTAGTCATGCTCATTCTGGAGAGCATGACCTGCCATAGGGTTTCTTTACTCAGAGAGCCCAACCGCTCCTGTGAGTCGGCTGAGTTTCAATGACTTTTCAGTTGGTATCCCTGCGGTAAGTCATGCTCATTTGGAATAGCATGACCTCGTCATTATAATCATAAACCTAGCACTGATTTGATTGGCTGAATTCTATCTTGCGCATGCTATCTTGGCCCGTTTTGGACCCCAAGTCATGCTCATTTTTTTCAGCATGACCGACCTAAATCTCCCATACATGAAGTATCTAAGGTCTACTTGTGAGCTGAGAAACATTGCTGCAAGGGAGTGGGGAAATTCAATCGAAGCTATTTCCGAGAGATATATTGTTTATTAACTGCTACAGGGACCACTTGCGTGTGGCTGAGCAAGGTAATTGTAAACCAAAATTGTAATTGAAAACCAAAGGCCGACCCTTATCGATGAAGAATCCTACCACTACGCTGCTGATCATACCATAACTTGTTGCTGATGGACGAACTTGTACCCTGAAACTTGCCTGTGTATTCAGCATTTCACCAAAACCTCTTGCTCATGGAATTGTACTCTTGAAAATTTCCTGTTTTGTCAAAATCACACAATAACCTGTTGCTGATGGATGGAATTTTACATGATGGATGGAAATTGCCTGTCCATTCTATCTGGTTTATTCAATATTACAACCTTACTTGTTGCTGAGAGGGACGAACTTGTACTTTGAAAACTTGCCTGTTTATTCAATATTTCACCAAGACCTGTTGTTGATAGAAAGAATTGTGCTCTTAAAAATTTCTTGTTTAGTCAATATTACAACATAACTTGTTGTGTATAAAATAAAATTCAAATTGCATCTTGCAATTTGCCTGTTATTTAATATTACACCATAACTTGTTGCTGATAAATGAAATGGTACCCTGAAATTTGCCTGCATTCAATATTACACCAACTCTTTTTTGATAAATGAAATTGTACTCTTATATTTCCTTGTTTATTCAATTTTACACCATAACTTTTGTTGATAAATGAAATTGTACCCTTAAATTTGCTTGTTTTTTCAATATTACTCTATAACTTTTGTTAGTACATGTATGTAATTTGCATTGTACCCTATGCAATGCAAATGTATTGTATCCCTGTAATTTGCCTGTTATTCAATATTACACCATGACTTGATGATGATAATGAAATTGTACTCTGGAACTTGCCTGTTATTGGATATTTGACTATAATTTGCTGATGGATAGAATTTAGAAATGATTTTTAATCACACTATATATGTAGCTTCCACACAGCCAACCTTTTCAGTGCAGTTTGATTTCCCCAGGGCTTTCGGTTGCCAGGAAAACTATGGGGTTTCTTAAACATGGAAGACCAAAGTTATAGGAAAGCCCTTGATGTTGGGCTTGGACTTAACTTGTTGATGTTCATGGCATGTTACACCTTAAATACAGGGGTCAAAACTTTTTGTATATGCTAAACAGTACTATCCTTGATACATTTGTTTTAGATATGTAAAAATTAAGCTTATAAAATTGAAGCTAAGTATAAAATTCTGAACCAAGAAACAAGCTTCCCACAATTCCCTGTATCATAAACAAGGGAGGGCCTACCTATCATCGAGGGCTTATCTTGCCTAATTCATCTTAATTCAGAAACATCATCAAAAGTGTCAATAATTAATAGAAAGGGAATGGATATTTCTTAGCCCTTGCTGATTTAAATAAGCTGATTTATCAAAAGTTTAGATTTTGAAAAATATTTGTAGATATTCTCTCATCTGCAATGTTTTTCCAGTATGATCAGTAGTGTTTGTTGGGGGTTTTCAAATGCACAATTTTTCAAAAACATTGTCCCAAAGATATTTCCAAAACAGAACATTGGAGAATGGGGTGGAAAGAACATTTAGATGTTGAAGTCCTTGACATCATTGATTGCGATCTAAACAAGAGCTATTTGATTCAATATACTAAAAAGGGCGTTACCCCCCTTTTCCGAGCATCTATAGGGTGTGGTTGTGTGTAATTTTCCTGGGGGCTATGCCCCCAGACCCCCATCCCCTTTCTCTCCCATACAAAGCATGACCATTGACTTAAGGCCAGCTTCGCCACTGCAAATCGTCCCAAATTGTGATTTCCAGAGCGTGGATCTACGACATAAATGGCTGAGAATATCCATATCCTATCTCGCAACACGTGACTATGAAGTGGATGGCCCTCTTTAAGTTATTTCAGGTATGATGATTTGTAACCAACCAGGTTCTTTTGACAAAGAAAAGACAAGACAGAAGATCCCTCGTGACAATCGATACAGTTCGCCCTTCCAACTTTCCACCACAGGCTTGAATGGATAGATTCAAATATTGAACAAGAAACGGTTTGAAATCGTATGAAAAATTACTCAGCTCCAAACTGTGGTCAAGACAATTTCTCATGGTTGGAATTCTTATCGTGGCGGTGCCAATGGGTCATGAAATCGTTGCCTAGCAAATTGTTAAGATGACGTCAACGGAATCATATTGTGCTATGTACAAGAAGGTTCTGTAGAGGACTACAAGCTTTATTCAATGACTACTGTACAAGTGATTCAACATCACGCTTTTGTTAACTAAACAGCACTAGAACAGGCAGCCAAAGAAACGTATCGAGTTCCAAGCATGAAATCGTCTTTAGACAAAAGCATGAACCTATATAAAAGATTAAAAGTTGTCCCGTGCTATAGAAGCAGGACTGTTTATTTTAGAATGCTTAAAGTATACCCCGTCGTTTCGTTCCACAGCGAGTCTAAAGACTAGCAATAATCATAAGCTTTTAATAAGTTTCAGTGGAAAGAAAGATTGAATAGATATATTCTGAATGCAGAGTCAATAAGTTGTGCAGCATACCGTCTCTCCTTGAGCGGATACGTCCAAAAAACTTTTGAATGCTACTTGTCCGAAACATGGTGTCGTTTTTAGCCGTCGAAAAAAGTTATGATTAGGCCGAAACAAATGCTGTAGATCCTGACACATGCGAAACAAAACCCACGCAACAAGACCATAAAATAACAAAAATTGCCTTTTAATTGCAGAAAACGAAACCTGCGCATTCACATGAAATTTTTAAGGGACAGGGCTCTAAAAATGACCAGCTGGCTTGTCATTAACAACATAATCAGCCAGACATTGGCACCCTGTTCTGCAGGCTGCAACAGAAACGCTTATGTGAAAGTGCTATGACAGGAATAGTGTTTTCTCTAACAAAAGTTACAGAGGACTGCATGAGAAAAATTTTGAATAATGGAGTTCATAAAAATGCTTCAAAGAAAAGAGGGAGGCGAGGTAGCATGAGGAACTAGCTTTGCGTTGAAGAGGAGGCTAAAGGCCTCACAAGATGTGTACCTGTCAAGATTTGAACCTGTCAGGATTTGTACCTGTTTATACAGCTAAGAAAAATTCAAAAGGCTCGTAACAAGGGTTTTTTGCTGAGAGCGAAGAGCTATAAACAATCCGTTCGTTCGCAAAATTCAGTGAAAAACAAGAAATAATACGGAAATTCCCTGATGACGTGATACATTGAAAACGATGATTTCTTTGTGTTTTATAATTACATCATTAAAAATGTCCTAATATAGGCCAAAACAAAAAAGTCTTTGATAAACATTACGAATAAAAAGAAGGATTCGATGAACAGCATATTGTGTTTGAATTATGCAACATTATCTCTTTACGGTTACGTTAATACACCAGAGTGCAACGAAATTTTCAGTTCAGCTGGCGATATTTTAGTGAACAAAAATTTAGTTGATATGAAAACTTCAAACTTCTCAACCATAAAACCTGGAATATCGACTTACACGTAGCTTTGCTCTGATTCTTTAGAGTTACGCTTTGTCGCCGCACAGTACTAGACTTCACGGTCACCAAAACGACTGGCGCTGTGGTGGACATAGCCATCTCATTTCAAGCAATAGTCAGACTTCGTATTTTATTGCCTTATAGCAGAGGAGAATTGACAGCTTTATAAATATTACCATGACACATACGGACTGAGCAATTGTGTTTTAAATTTCTTATCTTTCGATCAAAGCCGGGGGATAATACAACACAAAATCAAAAGAGCGTAACATTGCGGGAGAGGAGAGTCCAATCTTCACTCGAAAAAATTATTTTCTATTCGCAGCGAGCACATTCATGTGACGTAGATTGTGCCAAACATATTCAGTGACTTCAATGAGAAAGAAGGAATATAAACAGGTCTGTTAAATTCCGCCCTGTCAAAAAGAAACAGGTATGTTCTCTCTGATCTGAATTTTACATCAGTTTAAAGCAGGTGTCATGGTTACGGATATACCTTTCAAACATCTTCACCTGACAAAAAACAGGGGAGCAATCTTTATCTACTTCCAGGATGATATTTTTCAGTTTTTTCGTTTACTGTACAGCAGAGAAGCATTATTTTTTACTATTGATAACGTTACTTTTGTTTGAAAGGTTATACATTATTTTACCAAGAGCAAGGCAGCATGCTGTATGGTCTTAAATAGTCATTGGAGACTATGTCCCTTAGTCCCCCCTCCCTCCAATAAAAAATAACATAAATTAAAGGAGAGCCTACCAGGGGAGACAACTGTAAACAAGAGTGTCTTGATAGAGTGCTTTGATTGCACATATTGTTTCATCACGGATACTGTAGAGTAGTAGCATTTGGAACATTTGATCCCTGTGAAATGCTTGCAGAAGTACACAAAACATATCGTTACAACTTTAAGTATTCAATCTTCTCACTTTCTCAAGAATTTGTCTGATAGAGAGAATTTTTACTAAAGTAGACCTATTAAAAAACTCATTCTTGGCTCTTTCTCGGAATAGGATCAAGAGCAGGTGGGAGGTGGTTAGGCAGCAACTTGTTGCAGATTTTTGCCGCTATAAGCAGAAGAGTAATTCTGCAACAATTACTTAGGAAGAAAGGATGACCTCTTTTAGGTGTGGTGATGTTATACCAAATTAACAAACAATGCCTGAAAATGCCCACTGTAAAGTACAACATTGGGCCACTGCTATCATCACAGAAAAGACCACAAAATCCAACATTAAAGGATGCTCCTTGCCATTCATCATATTGCCTCTAAGATTATTTACACAGACAAATTTACAATTTATGAGTACAGCCTCTCCATCAATTTTAAACCCTTACTTTCTCCAAGTTATCTACACCTTCAATTTCTTCTTTAATTATTACTTAAACCCCATATCAGATACCCTACTACCCCACTTAAAAGCACATACACTTATAAACAAAAATTCATGATTTTCTCAATTTCAGGGTACAAAAAAGATGATTCAGATACAAATGCATAATACAAATAAAATGGATAGCCATACTGCTTTTTTTGTTTTTGCATCTTTCTTCCAAAAATCATAAGATTAAGATCCAATAATAAGTGCACTGCATCTTTAAATGAGGTGTGCCAATAAGTGGGGTGATACAGTAACTGTTACAATCTGTTGTTTTAACAATGCATATTTATAACACCAATTTCAATAATATTTGCTTTTTCTCACCCATCACCATTGTTATCATGTGTGAATGCATGTCAAGTGTAAAATGATGTAAAACTTTTCTGTATCAAAATAAGATAAGTTTTCAAAAATATTTTTCTCTTTGGTATACCACAATTGTACATACCACTTACAATGAAAATCATTGAAGTTTCATATCAGCTTAAAAAATGGTGCAGTAAAACTGTTAAGGATCTGCATGACGCGTATTTATTTGAAATTCAAATCTACTTTCCTGCTTCCTTGTTTTTCTGTTTAAACATTTAATAACACAAAAAATTGATTTATAGCAAGACTGTTCCAGCAGTGAAGGGACACAGCTGGATCAAATTAACTTTGCAGCTGACACAATGATTCTTTTTCATTTCAAGTAATTACCAAAGGGAAGCAAGCTTTTGCTCCATCAATAATTTGACCAGATGTCACCAAAGACTGATATGTCACTGAAAAGTTATTTTCAAAGTGGTTCAAGTGGTTCTGAGATGCCATACTTTAGGAAGAAGACCAGGGGCAGATTCAGGGTGTCACACAGGTTGCATGGAAGACAGTCAAATTTTCAGAAATTAGTTTTAGTCTTCCGTCATTGAAATAAGGCAATCATGTTTACCACAATCTTTTTTCCCCTCCTTACAGATAATACATTTACCTCTCTTTACACAACAAAAACAGGACTGAACTTGGTCAATCTCACACACAATGCTACGATTTAAATAAATATAGAAGAAATTCAAAAACCATCCTAGACCGTAAACAGTATGATTTTTAAGCATGTTGCCTGTGCCGCACAAATATGGGGGTGGGCGTGGGGGGGCTGGGCAGCCTACCCAAACCCAAAACATACCAAAAATTATATTACATAAAACTAAAATTTAAAGCTTACCCAAAACTTCTCATCTTTTAGCATTTTGATTTCATGCATTGTGAGCAAAACTGTGCTACAACTATGTACAGTTTTGACAAAAAGATAACGACCCTGGCGCACTTGCAACTGATAGATCCATACCTCAAATTTTGATGAGACACGGCTTAGGAAGAGGTTTATAAAATACAACTAAGAATATTGTATACAAAGTTGAAGGCTGTCATTTGAAGGTTAGCAGCAATTATGTATAATTCGACATATCTGCAAATTTGATGAAAAATAATTACTTTTAGCGCAATAAAATCATATTTTTATTTAAAAACTAGATGGAACATGTTTTTAAAGTATAAGGTACATATTTTGCTGAACTTAAACACGCCTATTTTTTAATTTACTTGAATCCTAATATAGACTACTTAAAACTTTCAATCTTGTTGAATTTACGAGGAAATTCGTTATAAACCGTTGTACTAATAAGACGACTATTACTCCAAATATATAGAAGAGCCAAACTTGGAATCGATATTCTACGAAAGGCCAATATGATTCATGTTTGTAGCTTTGGTTACAAATTTCTACATTGAACCATTATGACCTCTGATGCCCAAGGGGTCACTTCCCGCAAAATACGGAAGGAATTTAAAAGATTTGGAATTTCAAATGTCGAAAAAGCAGACTTACCATTTCCAAAATCGTCTTCATCCATACTCCTCAAAGTCAGCCTGTTTGAATTCAATGTATAACGTCTTTTGCCTCGATTTATCCTTTTAAGAAAATCAGAGTAAAAATAAATTCCTTTTTGAATTGGGTTCGTTAGGTATGGGCCTAAAGTTCTACAGCGGTATCATTCTGTTGCTGATTGAATCGCTCTAGTGACTCTTATAATTTGTGTTGTTTCTTAATGCCGAAATTTGTGCTGCCTCATCGCATACGACTTATTTCTTTTGCCATTTGCTTTCGTAAATAATGACAGGTGATGTATTGTTAACCGTGCACAAATGCAAATCGAGCCCCCGCGCCTCTCTATCAACTGTCTGGAGAAGCAGAGATGTCATGGTTTACAGGGTGTACCAGGAATGCCGAATAGACTTTTTCAAAACGTTTTCTTATAGACTGTTAGTTTTCATACTCTTCTACTGGTGACAATTTTCAATTATATCCGACCAAATGGGCGGGGGAGCATGGCCTCGCAAGTTTTTTGCAAAACAATAGAGCTTTTTCAAAATCTTTGATCATGGGTGTTAAATTTTCCCTTGGCATCCCCACTTTCCAACCTATGTCGGAGCCCATGGTAACTACTGTGTAGTCCATTATCGATTGAAATCTGTTTGGTTGTCTTACAAAAACACTAATATGCAAAACAAACTTCGTGGAAAACCTTGAAAAGGATGACATTTAAGATATTAGCAGGACTGAATCATTGCATGATTTATTCATTTTATGATACAAAAAACTCAACTACAAGGAAATCATGTGACGCGATAAACTATTGTGATTGGCTCAATTGACTGGTTATTAGTCATCAACTTTCTGAAGGGTCGAATATAAATATAGTTAATGACCTCGATACTGCGTCGGCAACTTTCTGAGGAGGATTAAATGACGTTTGGAATGAAAAATACTCGAATTATTATTATAATTCAACACTATTTGCGATTGACTTTTTATCTTGATTTTGTTGTAACGGTTTTTTAAATTCAACAATTTCCTGACATGAACAACTCTGATAAAGTAACTCTTTCCAAGAAATAAATTTCTGTGACCCCGATGGCTTCCCGTTATGAAATGTTGAAAACACGAAGGAACAAATAACCTTCTATGTTAGTAACATAGATCATTTAAATTAGGCTTACGTGAATTTAAATCTTGCATATGAAACCGAAAATTACATCCTATTATACAAATCGGATGTTCATATTTTTCCTGCCTTTCTTGAATAATTTAAATCGATTCAAGAGTCAATTTGACATCCAATCAGACAGAGGTACAAGCCGGCTGCAGTAATTGCCGCTTTAAGATTTAACGATCTACTGAGTGCTGGGAGATTCGTGACTTAAATTGCACTAAATTTGTTGCAATTTATTGTCATCTGTTGTGAGAAATACCTGTAAGTGACCATTTAACTATCAATTTACATCTTACATAATAACTACTAACTGCCTGAAATAAATACAATCGCATTTGGAAACAAACTGTGCTCGAGAATTTTATGAGTTTCTCGGTTCTTTGAATAATCACAGTTTCGCAAGATTTTCTTTTATTACTTCAGCAAACAATATGACCGTCGATTAAATAACGTGGGAAAGGCTTTATGTTCAAATTAGCGGGAAAGCTTTCTCAGGCAAAAACAATGCTACGCTGTCAACTATCTGCTAGTTTTCAATAAGAATTGGTCGTTCTTAGGCATTGAAAACAATACGCCTCATATTGTCTCATTTTCAAGGTTTTTGAAGTTATGCTTCTACTAATGTTACTGTTTCAATGCTTTGTTGGGTCTTACCAGTCAATACCTTGGCAACGTTATATGTTAAAATTATTCTATATATAAATCTTTTTCGACCCTAGTAGTCCCTCATTTTCCCTCTACTTAATTTAGCTGTTTCTAATGTATTTAATTTGTTATTAGCACGGGCGTCTTGGTTGAGGTATGAGTCAGAGAACAAAAACTCAATCAGCGTTATCAGGTTTCTTCATTACGAGGAATACAAGTCATTATAATTTCTTTTGGCTTTTGGTTTTTAGATGTTTTTGTGACAGTTAATAATTTTACCTCCGTTTTGAGCTAGCTTGGCTATAAAAAGAAGCAGTTCATGTTGCTGAGGACCGAAATTGAAAATAAGACTCTTCTGCCACTTTTTTAACAGCTTTGCAAAATCTAGTTGTAAAGTCATTCTATTGCATTAAATAAAACTGAAACAAAACTGGCACTGAAAATGAAAAGCTAGATAAAAATATAGATCGCTAAACCTGAGTAAAAGTAGATGTTAAAGGAAACTTGCAAATTAGAACAGAGGATGCTAGATGTTATGCATGCTGGAACTTTTGCTGTTGGTGTCAACTACATTTCGTCAGCCCTAATCTTGGCGTTTTAATAGGTTTAAGAATGACCTGTGTGCTGCAATATTATATGCCTTTCATCAAGCAAGACACTGTAGCAGCTTTAGGCCGCAGGAAATTGATGACATAGGACAAGTTTCACATTCAGAAATGCACTAAATGGCATGCTCTACTTTTGGCAGAATTATACTATAAATGTACACTGTTAACAGGACATAAAATTGAGAATGAAAACTAAGAACCCCTTGTCCCGATAGAAAATAACAGGCATAATTCATGTTTACCTCGGTTGTGGCGAATTTATGTCATCAAATACATCCATGGTTCTTAAACTGAACGCACAAAAAACTGCTGTTTGCAAAAGAATAAATCAGCCAGATCTGCGTAATTCTATGAAGGGCAAAGTTAGCTGAAGCCAATTTGTTTAGCTTAGTCAAATCTCCAACTTTTTTCCAACGCCGTGTGTGCTAAAAACATTTTGTCTTTTATAATCACTTGCAGCTATAGCGTATAATATACATTGGTATACGTGCAAATAGCGGCTTTGTTCCAATGAATTGCAACGGCAATAACTTCTTGCTACTTTCTTTTGTTGTCTCTCGTGTTAGAAGAACAGTTTTCATCGTCACATATCGAGCACATGCGTTCTACCTGATATTTCAGCCTAGACCAGAGCAGTTAACAAACCGTAGACTCGCGTTTTGCTTAATAGCGAGCATTTCTTTCTTTTCACATGCGGTTCAACCACAAACTGCATATATTCATGTAATATAAAAATAGTTGGGAAGGGGATTTCATACTTAATGAGTTAAGACATTGTTCAGGTTCCCTGAAAGATCCCAACCAACCTTAAAATCATTCGCGTGACTACCTCCGCTGTTTATCCTTAATAATGACAGCTTTGTTGCAAAGTAGTGTTTTTATTGCACTAAATTACTGTTCATCTTAAAAGACCGCCATTAGCAGCAGTACAGTGACCAATATATCTTGTGCAACGAAGGAGTATAGGGAAACAAGAAGAATTTTCAAGGGTTCATTTATAACCACAAGCTTGCTTCATGTAAAACCCATTTTAATCAAACTGGCCCCAAGAATTGATTAAAAGCTACAGTGCTATAGTCGTCCCTAGCCGAGAGACAATTATTTCAAAGGCAATTTCTTCCTTAGATAGTGGTTCATAGAAATGTGTCCGGTACCATGCTGACACTGTGTTACCTTCTACGAATGCTAAATTGAGTGATCAATAATGAAAATAGATAACCATATGACTCTTCAGTAGCTCATACAATTGCACAAACAAAATTTAAACATCATTTCAAATCATTTTGCTAATATATCTGTATCACCTATAACAAGGGGGCTCAGCCTTGCACCCCTGCTATCACCTTGAAATGAAGGCTTAAAATCTTCTCTAAGAAAATTTCTGTGGATGAATTTTTTATACTGTTGCTGCAGAAAATCGAAAATAGCACACCGTGAAATGCGTCTTTCCTTAATAAATTTTGCACCTTGCAAGTTAATGCAAAGAATAAGCTTGATAATTAGATCCTAAGAAGATTAAATTCTAAATCGTCGCTATGAAACAAGGAAGAATGCATTTAAACTCACTTTTCATGGAATTCCATTTCCGTCCAAGTAACAGAGTGCATCAGCGAGGGTCGACTGGAAGTGCTTTGGTTCGAATCGCAGCGCTCGTATGATACAAAACCAGAATCCATTTTGTTGTTTCTATCAATTGAAAGATGTGAAAGTTTTAACTGAAACCTCCTTGGCAAAAGTACCCTGCTTCATGATGCGTCTTTTTGTGTTGAAATAGCGTATATGATCAAACAAGATACGTATTTCACTAGGAAACGGAATTCGAAGCGACCTGAAAGATAAGAATAACATCGCCTCTATGCATGCATCAAATTCATAAGGCGCCAAAATTCGTTACATTATCATTTGCTGAATCGATAGTATCAGAAACCAAATATTCGATCTTCGTCAATTAGGCCTCTTCTACTCTGAAGTGACATGAAGATAAAGTTGCAGCACAAAGAATCATAGATTACTAGAAATAGTTCGATATTTTAGGTCCAAAGAATACTGACCATCAGTGGCATGTCCTCTTGATGGTTTTCATTGTTGACTGTTTGAAACATTGAATAAAATTGATCACTCTGCTGCGCTTGTAAGCAATCGCCCATTTAAGGAAGTTACATCTTCTGACAAGATATGGCTTGCTCATTAAATCCTTGAGATTCCTTGTCGATCAATTTCCGCAGCAGAACTGAATGACAACTATTTGTTGCTTTACGGCCTTTCAAGGCTGACACAAGTTCAAGAAACAAAGTCAGTCGGCGATCGAATTCGTTAACCGTTTGTAATCCAATGGATTAATCAAAAGTAAACAGGTCTTCAAAAGAGGAAAGACATGTTCCAACAATTGGTATTAGATTTGTTTGCCAGACATTTTCATTGTCATTGTCTCGAAGTTCCTCAGTTGGGTTTCTCGATTTAAGTCATCAAATTTCAAAGACGATTTTTTTAGTCGAGTTATGATTATGATTCTTGATAATGCATTCTGATGAATATGATGATGATGATGAAAATGGCGATGATGTCAATGTTACGTAACGAGGCCCAACCAGGGAAAAGCTTCGATAAGGGGTACAGATGATGGGTTTCAATAGTTCTTGACCCCAGATTACCCTGGAATGATTGCATAAAGTTAAATTTTTACATCACTTTGGGTGGGGGGTCATCAGGGTTTGCGGGACAACGATATTCCAAAAAAATCTGTCGCGGATTAAAGAAATCTGGCAATTTCTGGACAGAACAATAGCAAATTCTCCACACTTGCCGGGCACAAAATTTAACAGTTGAAATCACCAGAGCCGCGGATTTCAACGTAAGACTGCGTGGTACGGCGGATTTCTAACCCCCTTGATGACCCCTACTTTTGGAAATCGATCGCAACACCTGGCTGTTCCAGAGCATTCTCGAGCGTTCCTTGAAATTCCCATGCTTTCCAGAGCGTTCCAAGTTCTTGGACGGAGCCAGTTAGAAATGTGCCAATCGTCCCTGTGCACACACAGATTACACTGTCCCCTGAAACTTTTATGCCAACGTATGTTACAGCATAAAAGAGGATAATGAAAATTAACAATAAACCATTTACAATTTCCCCCTTTGCCTTGAGCTGACATTTCTCTATTGCTCGAGGCACCTGAGGTGTGTGCCGAGTATGTGGTATGGATAAAGCAATACCATCCTGTCTTAAACGAAATAAGCATCCTTATAGGTAAGTAATACGACTTTCAAGGGTATAAAGATGAGAGGCCGTTGTTAAGCTGCAGTATCATGATTCATAATATAAAATCTCGAAAAAGGTTGATTATCAAACACATAAAATTTTTCCATTTACAAAAATTACAGGGTTTAGTTATAGACAACAGTAGATATCAAAATGACCCAAAAAAATCTTACGAATTACGCAATAATAAATTACGGAGCTTAAATGAAATAACTATCAACTTATTAATTCTAATATATCATGCAATAGACAAACAATTACTGTATAAAATTTGCTTCGATAAGGTATCAAAATTATAATCATAGATGTTCGCCACAGCTACGACAAATCATAAAGATAGGACAACAACCTGGTAATTGAGATATTTAGAGGATGAGTGAACGCGAAGCAAACGAAAAAGAAATATCACGTGAGAAGAGACAATTTTAACCGAAATTTCAGCAGAGACTCGCTTAGGGGGTGATACAAGGCAGACAAACTTTTTTAATTGCAGGGGGGGGCCAAAGAAGGAAAAGAACAAAAAATTAATTGCTTTATTTGGGCGTGTTTGCACCGCATACCAGAGTTGTGCAGAAGAGTGCAACATTGCCGACCAGCAGCCTTTTAATCAGAGGGAGAATTATCTAAACAGTTTTACCAATAATTGTGAAACATGTGCCTTCCTGACCAAAAAAAACTTGTTTTCTGCAGCAAGTACTCGAAATAATCGAAATAATCTGGGAGTATAGTTCAGAGTGGTATAGATTTCACGTTCATGTAAAAAACAAACAATCAAGCAAGAGGAAATGGGAAGGGGAGACAAAAAAGAGGACCTGGTGACGTCAGTCAATGGAAGAGAGGGATCACTCCCAGAAAATCTGATTCTGGGAATGATCCAACGATGATAAAATTTCTTGCCACCGTTGAGGAGGGATTTGAAACGAAGGAAGATTCAGCGCAATTCCTAAAGGAAGCTTGTATTCATGGTAACTACTTTGGCTATCGGGTATATTACAAGGTTAAGTTGGAGGAGACAGGTCGCTTTGATAATTCATTGTGGCTTGTTCACCTACGAATAAAATTTTATGTTTGCTGTTCTGTTAGTTAAAAATTTCTGGAAGTGGTATTCTGGAAGTTGAAAGATTCGAAATTCTTCTTGGCAATCAACAAAAACAAAATTAGCTAAACAAGGGCGAAAATGATATCGCTACATGTTATTGTTTAAACGTGGTTTTGACACTCTGATGTTTTCTTGAATTCAGGGATGGAAACCAATTCGATAGTATAGCGTGGTTTATAAATTAATTCAAATTCACTCCCACAAACTGTTCTATATCGATAACATTGTTAACCATTTTTGCTTTTTTAGATACATATATATATATAAACAGATGCGAATCGTGAAATCGGTTTCGTGAAATCGGTTTCGTGAAATAATATTGTGTATTAGCTCCCTCAAGACTCCATGATATCGGAGTGTTTCACGTCCAAAATGAAAAGAGCAACAGAACCGCAGCAACGCAAGTTAAATACATCATTTCAAGAGCTGGTTGTGATTCGAGACTTCCACCGTTTACATTTGATTTCGTTGAGGCAGTCGGTAAATTTGTTGGGGCAGTAATCAGCGAGGATGGGTAGTCGTCACTCGGTCGATTCTCGCACCATTGATCCGAGGCTACAAAAAATGGCGAGAATGTCTTACTGTTTAAACAATTGTTACTCAGTCAATAAACCTATGTTATGTCGACTACCCATGCTTTTTAGCAAAAATTAGTGTCTTTCTATTCACATCACAAACAACTGTCAGCCAAATTGCTGTTACCCCAATTGGAAGCAAGAGTAAATGCAACTACTGTTGCCTTCAATTGTCTGTAAATTAAATACACCACAATCTCATCTAAAATATCATCTCATCGCCTATTGGATACAGAAAAATATAATCTCGAACTATTAACCAATTTCAGGTATTTTTTATCTTCACGCAACGGAAAGGTAGAGAGGTATACTGATATGTCGTAACTTGACATACACGTTCTAAAAATTTAGTTGCAGACTAAGCCAATTGTGAAAAGTTTTAAACTACCAGCTCAAATACGTTGAAAAATAAAAAGTTTTAATCATAGTTATTCAATACAAAGAACAACTATGGCATTGAAAGACATGAATCATGCACAATGAAGTGCAGACACCTATGTCTTCGAAACTTGGGGAAACTTTGATTTCCCTCATAATTTTTTTAAAACACATTCACTTTGCATGAGGCTCTGTTTGGTTCTATTGAAAACGGTCGCTGAATCATTTTCAATGTATTTCTGATGTGCAAAGCAAGTGAAACCTAACAGAAAACGCTTTTACTATTTCCAGCAGGAAAGATTTCAGTCTCCTAATTGTGCCTCATTTCTAGAACTTTTATTTCTATGTTAGCGTCAAGACAAAAGACTTTATTTTGTAAACAACCAGGTAGCACGGAAATGCAGGGTAAAAACACCAAGAAGCTAGGTGTCCAGGTAAAAGGGAACTTCGGCAAAGACATTTCATACTAGATGAAAAATATAAAACAGGTAAAATTGGTAGAACATAAAATAAGGAGAACTTACGATTGGCCTCACTGGGCACAAACCTATACCAGAACGAGACATCCACTTGTTCACAGGCTGTGTCGCAGTAAAATGCAAACTTCAAATTAGAAGAAGGTGCAGAGTAGCATGATCTCAAGCGGCCCTGAAATTTCCATAAAAATTGGGATCAAGAAATTAGCACTTACCGATTTTCGACTGATTAAATGTCTCTTAGGGCCAAAAAACCATTTTGAATCGAAAGGGTAATCATTCTTTTCTTGTGAACAACATCCACTTAAAGTTATCTTCCAAAAACAAGATGTTTGGTTTCATGTGAAACGCTAAATATTTAATGCCTTATTTACAAAAACAACACAGTGATTGAATAAAATATCACGAGCTATAATCGCTGTGTATTGGAATGTTGTTTGATGCAATGTTAAGGTTCGGTGTGGTCCAATAGATTCCTTTCAGATAGCTATGCTATTTAACCCTATAACCAACATTGTTTTGGGGGAGAAGGGGTGCGGTGTCAGTCCTTTCTCCCCGAAACAGTTATTTTTTAACACTAAAGCGGTAGGACGCTCCGAAATTTTTGGGCAGGGATTGTACAAATTGCATGCACATTTCTTACTGCACTTCTATAAAACACAAAATGATCGAATTTTCTATTTATTTCTGAAACATCATACAGGTCAAATGACCAGCGAAGGTCCAGCGAAGAAAAATGCTAGGTAGGATTTGAAAAGACCATTGTTCGTTCTAACCACCTTATTGGTTCTATCATAAGAGCAAAGAATCCACATAAAACATCATGTAATCACATGGGTGCTTTCAATGTGACCGTTGGCTCTTTATCCCCAATTTTTTTTAATACAGACATATGATTAATGTGGTTTATGATCATTATTGAAAGACTCGAAAGGCATAGGCCAATAACGTTAGTAGATTTTTACCAGGCGTTTAAATTTCTACTTTTCATGGACTCATATCATTTGATTTAGCTTCACTGATGCGTTGCATAAAAATAAAGTCCCTACGGACACTTGTTAACAGTATTTCTGATATGCATGTCATCAAACCAGGCTCAAGCCTTCAATCCTCCACACATCGTTTGCTTACTCAGTGCCAGGTAGCACCAATTACAAGGCAAGAACTGGCCACCCTGTGACCTTACCTCAATATGCCGTTGACCAACGACAGTATGTGCACAGTATGTACGGATGGTAATACATTTCATAACTAAGTTCAAAATTGCTTTTTGAGACAAACTGAAAAAAGCAAAAAGAATACCTGGCCACATTCACGAAGTGTGTTTTCATCTCCAACGCTGGAATTCAAATAGTTAAGTTCTTTTTAGATGCAATACTCTTATGTGCACGCTTTTTGATAACATTGAGATGACATTTAGGTCAAACAAAATAAAAGACTGAATAAATCAAGCTTTCTGCTGACAAGTAAGATACAAGTGAATTGTATTTGCTTCAAAAAAGAACCTGGATCCTTTCGTATCCTTTCCTAATATTGGATCTTTTCCTCAATGCTTGGATGACTAATGTACAACAAATCAAATTTAAAAGCAGCAAAACAAAACAAAATTCACAAAACAGGAAAATATTTTTCTAATTGTGAAAACCTTAACTGCCAGAGCTTCAAAAACGTCAGATAAACAGGAATAAAATCATAGTATTTATCATACTTGCAAGTGATACATTTAGAAAAGACTAAGCCTTTGTAGAATATCTAGAGCTCCTTCTTATCTGGTTAAAAATTATAACTTAATTAATTTAAATTTATATTCCAACAAGCATCTTGCTTCAAGGTGTGGCCTATCGTTTCATTGAAATCTGTTTCTTTGATAGAGTTAACATATAGAAATATAACATAGAAAAATATATAATTTACCAGATTTTTGCTCCCCCTGTGTTTGTTTCACACTAGAAAAAAACCAAGTATCAAAAATTTGACTTTCTAAAGTTAATTTTAAGACACAAGTAGGTGGATGTCTTTCCTTTTAAGATACTTGCAACCTTTTTCTCTCAGTAAACCTTTGAATGCAGTAATTTTCAACAATGCATTTTATTATTAATAAAACTGAAATCAGTTTTTAATTGTAAAATTTACTTAAAACTAGCCCAAACATTTTGCAGTTATGGGCAACGTTAATATCAGGTCCAAAATGCTGCTCATGAAACAAAGATCAAAGTTCAAGATGAATCTCAAATCTGATTTTCACATGACACAATGGAAGTAATCCCTGATATGACAAAGCTTTCTTTGACATGTGATACAAGATTTACTAGCATTTCTATGCTCTGGTATCATCAGCTATATTTAGGTAAATCAGTTCTTGTTGAAATGCAAATAACTGAGAATTGGCTGGCTGTTTCTGCTAAAATTAAACCGTTTTGAAAATTTCAACACACAAGCAACTACACAAACTAGTGTATACATGCCTGTCGGTCATAAAAAATTGTCTCCATTGTATAAAATATGTAATTTGGGAATTAAACAAGGTATGCAGCAGAGGATAGAACTACAAAACTATTACATATTAAAACTTTAATTGATAGCATCCTGAAGATCCAGAGGGTAATTTCTAATTTTGCTTAAAGTAACCAAATCAATTACCATTGAAACAGCATAACAAAAAAATTGCTAACATGCTAGTCCCTTGAAATGAGGATCGTGGTACCAGAGGTTTAAAGCTAGGGGCATCAGTTGGGCTACCCTTGTAAATGCCAAAAGTAGCTCTTTCCTACTTAGTCTTGTTTTTTTTAGAAATTCTTCGCAACCACCATTTTTTAAATATTCTGGCAACACATTACTGGGTGGTAAATACTCAGCTTGTAAAAAGAGTTTGCTTTAACACAGAATTGACTTCCTCTTCTTATCCAGTGCTTTTCAAAGGTGCATCAGTAAGCAAACATTGTGTGCATTAAATGCAACTTTGTAAACAATTATTCCCTTTAACTTTTTTTATTTTAATTTTAATTTAATTCTTTATTTTCAACCTTTTTCACATTTTATAAAATTGTCAGTTATTTAGAGTTATACTATTGCTTGGAAGCTTATTCTGTTTACTTCCCTGTGGACTGCATTCTTTGAATGATTCATTGAGCCAATGAGAAACCCATACCTTGATTTCAACATAAGCAGTAGAAGGGATTCCTTTCACCTCAACACAAGGTGTCACCTTCTGTGTCTGCCCATCCGTGTAAGGCAAGACACCAGAGAAGTAACCAAGAGGATTTGATGAGGTTGGGTCTCTACTGTAATTTGATTCATTAATAGCATTGTAAGCTACACAGTTCTTGAAGCTTAGCTGCTGTCCTGCAAAATAAAGATATCTTCATTTGATAGTGATTTCAAGATAACTCAGTTGCTCATTTGACTGTGATACTCGAACTCAGCTTTCATAAACCAGTTCCCTTATACTTGAAATTTGTAAGCATACCCTGTTTAGTTTGAGTTATTTTATTTTACTAAGCTTTACATTACAATGTAACAAAAAACTATTGCTCTATGAATTTCATAAGCTTGTCTCTTGAGAAAGAGATTGAAGCAATCCTAACTTATTAAGATCTAATCTAACCAATTCCTGATCAAGGCTGCAGCTGTGTAGTATTGACATACATTATAAATATATATATTAACATATATGAATATATTTGACTGTAAATCATAGCCGGACACAAATCGAACTTAAGTATAGTAAATCAGTCAAGCAAGTTGCAAATTTTTAAATCTAGACTCTTACGGTGCAAATGACTTGATAGCTCTGTAACTTTTTCCATCTGTCCACCGGTCTTATACTTTTTAGTAAATTTTTCCTTGTTAACTTTTTATCATATTTAATAGCAACTATAGCTTGTAAGCAACTAATGTTATGCTAAAAAAGTCTACGAGATACCAGAAAATGATATGGTTCAGTTTAAAAAAAACAAGGGAGTTCAAATTCAAAACAACAGTTATTTTATCAAGCAACACATTATCATAATATATACCTAGGATCAGATAAGCAGGGCCCCGTTTTCTATTCAATACATAGAAAGCTCTCTAATTTATTCAAATTAAAAAAATCAAAATAGAGAAAGATGTCAAAACCACATACCGTTTATTACGACTGTTAGAAAAATTATCTTCAAAACGATCTCTTGCACACTCATGACTGCCTTCCTGTCTCCCGCCCCGCTTCCGTAGAAATGTTGTATTCTGTGGTCTCATTCTCGTATTTTGCAAAGGAGGCTACAGTCACAAACAAAACTCAATATATTTTCTGCCTTTTTTAAATCAAAAAATAATTTCAAGAATAATTTTTTAAAGAGGGCTGTCGGAAGCGGGGAGGGAGAAGGGGGAAGGGGGCTGCAGCCCGCTTATAATTGTCAGACTGTGCTATATTTCCTTTATAATGGTGTAATGAATGGGAACAAAACAATGGGCAGCCTCCCAATATGAATTTCGTTACGACGGCATTAAAAGATAGAAATTACATTGTTATGTTATGCATACCAGCAGGGGCGAAAATACCGGGGGGGTGTGGGGGGCTGTGACACCCCCCCCCCCAATCCGAAAAATAGTCGATTTCGCAGGGCAATCGAAGATTTCGCAGGGCGCCAAGAAGAGCTTTATTGCCACGCAGAAATGCCACCTCTGAAGTTTGTAAAGGGCCGTTCAGGAATTTTGAAATGAAAACATCATATTTGTTATGAACCTACCTTCCTGATATTGCATTTCAGAGAACGAAACAGGTATGTAAGGAAAAGCTCCGTTATTTGCAAAGCGAAAGCATGTCTTACCGAAAGTCATAGCCAATGGATGCAATGATTGATGCATATGTTTATGAGGGCAAGGTTGAGTTATGCAAATTAATTTAAGTTGTAAACTATTTTCATGACAAGCACGGCGTCACTGGGGGGGGGATAAGGGGCTGAAGTCCCTCACTTTGGTCAAGATAGGAATTTTTTATCATTTTTTCTATTATCTTTTAACAGTGCATGAACTAAAAAACATAATAAATCGTTAAGATACCGATTTTGTTTCATCTAATTGCTAACTTTTTCACGTATATTTTTATTATTTTTCTTTTATTTGCATTAATTCAGTAAATCATTTTCTGTATCATTACAATGTTTTAATTTTGGATGTGTAAACATGGCCTTCTTGATACAAGAAACTGCACATTTCTGTTCAGGAAAAAAAATTCTCCCAATCAAAACAACATCTTCCTCTGTCATTCACAACTACGTGCAATCTGAAACGAAAGGTTGCCGTTTCTTTCCTTCCCCAACGTTTAACACTAGAGTTTTAGCATGATATTCCCCCTCCCTGTTTTTTCCAATAAACAATAATATTTTCAATAAACAATCAGTTCTTTTAGCACAATAGTATTTTGCTAAATTTTTGTGTGAAAGATGCTTTTTAGCCCTTTTAGAAGGTATAATTTCAAAAATTTTCTTCACGTCGGACCCAACCATGGTGGGTCCTCCTACCTCATTAAAATTGATTCTTAGTCCCCCTGAGCTAAATTTCGTTGTGCTGTCTGCATCAAGTATCCCCCTCCCCCCCCCCCCATTAGCTGTTTATTAGCTAGTATTTTGCAAACCAACATTAAATGAAGTGAATATAAAAAAAATTACGCTCACGTAGAGAAATAGAAATTTCATAGGCAATGAAGTTTCAAGTTTGTTTTTATTGCTTAGAAGTTTGTCCTTGGTAAAGACCAGTGTACACTGGTAAAGCTTTCACTAGTAACCTATAGACAAACCGTTGCTACGAGGTCTGCAGGGCACCAGTCAGTTTTGCAGGGCAGAAACCCTTTTCACCCCCCCCAAACCTAGTGGCCAAGTTACGCCCCTGCATACCAGCTTTGATTAATGAAATTGAATATGCTGAAATATGCCGAATGACACATAAAAGACTCAAAATGACAAGCGTATTTAAAAATGGGGGGGTCAAAATGTTAAGGCTGTGAAAGAGTGTAGTAAAGTCCAACAGAGGGAAAATCCAAGGCCATATTTTCAAGCTTTTATCACAGTGTCCCATAGGCCATAGTTTCATTTGTTTTATTTCAATGTTGACATGAAACAGTAAGAGTAAAGGTCTTGCATATTTTAAGAACAACCTTTTAAGTGCAGCAAGTAATCTATTTTTAAAATTAAAGAAAGAACCAAAGAAACACAGTTTAGCATAAAAAGTTCAACGGAATGACTATAAACTAAAAGAAAACAGATATAGCAATTTTGCAAAGTTTGAATACTATTTTGTAAAAACAGATTTTAAAATTTTTGAAAATAAAGTGCTTTTAACAAATAGGACTCCAGAAATGAAAAAAAATTCAAATTAAGCTGGTCAAAACGAATTTTAATAGATTTTGTCAATATATCTAAAATCTAGATTGATGAAGGTGTAATTTTATACGCATATATTATTCACTTAGCCAGGAGATCCAAAAACATAAATTTTGATAGCTTTTTTGAGTTGGTAGATGATGGGGTACAGAAACCATCAGAAAATTTGCTGACCTGGTAAAGATCATATGGTTGCTTGCTTTAAGAAATTCCTTCTCGAGAGACAAACAATATTGTCAGATTTTTCTATGAATTTTGCACAGGAATTAAGCTGTTTCGAGCTGAATCTAGTAGCGTTTTATTAGCACAACAAACGTAAGATTGAATAAATGAATTATACAGTTTTACTGGATGCTTTCCTATGTTGTTCTGAGAGTACAAGGGTAATAGATTTGTCTTTTTGAAAACCAATTTGGCGTTAAAAAATTATAGAACTTTTATTTAGAATGAACATAGTATTTGAAATCTTGAAAACAATTAATTTAGTAATATTCTTACTTTTAATGAGATAGTTGATTTGATATCTATTGCTTTTACTTCATTCAACGGAGCAGGGACGTCCCGAAGTTTTTTGGGGTGTTTGTGGGGGGTGCTTGGAGGGGTTGTTTGGATGACTTTACCCGATTTTTGAGAAAACGCCTTTATCACATGAAAAGATTTCATCCGTTTCAAAACATTTACAAAAGGTATATTACTAATTATCATGTATTAATTAATTGATTCTCTTCTTCACAATTTCTTCAAGCTTAATATTGTCAGTTAAATCTCTCTCTGCAGCAAAAGCGGTCATGTCATTTAACTTTTCTTCGCCTGTTTCATTTCAATCCTTTTACAATCCTTTTAATTTCCTAAGTGGAGTCCAACACGTTCCATCTAATATTAGAAACAAAACACATCCCCAAAGAGAACAGCCATCTCGGTCTTGCAAATCTAAAATAACAACTAAAACCTGCGATTCTGCTATCGGGCAGCATTTGCTAGAAAACAATGATTGTGCAAAAAACTATAATGGCGACATGTTTCGGTTTATTGGTAAAGCCCGATCGTCGTTCCACCTAGCAGTTTTAGAATCTATCTACATAAGCACGAAAAAACCGCTACTGTGTAGACAAAAGGAGTTCGTTTTCACCTTAGGACTCCACTGGTAACATTCTAATAGGCAAGCGGCACTGATTGGTCAACCTCAATGGTCATATGCTCGTGTTTCTGATTGGCCTATTTCGATCCAAAACTGGGTATATATATTTCTTAGCGTAGAGTTTTCGATCTATGTTCTGACATTTTAAGCTCTGAAGAGTGTCAGATGAAAAGCTTTAGTTTACAAAATGTTTGCTTTTTTCAAAGCCATTTAGAAGCACAATTTCGTGACCAACCTTTTCTTTTGGAGGTCTTTCCGAATCTTGTGCTTATATTCACACTAAAAATAACTTTAATTATGCTCTGTTTATAAACTTCCATGCCTTAGAAATATAGAGTAGAGACTTTTTAAAAGCATTTCTCTTGACTCCATCCTTGCATCAACTTAGGGCATATCCCGCTTTAATTTGGCTTTTCCTGACATGAGGTTCCGTGTGAAAAAATATCTGGGGGATTAAGCCAAATTCTGAACGGGTGCTCAAGCTCACATGTCATGTCTCCACAAATTCGGTACCCCTATAGGATTGAATATAAAAGCAACCTGCATGGGTTTGTCACTTAAGATTTTGTTAATAGGTTGCTATTTTTGCGCTAAAAATCCACGACGAAATTTTGCCACGAAAAAATTCTGAAAAGTTGTCCGAAGTTGTTTTCGACGAAGTTTATTTGCCGAAAATCTAATTGACGAAATTTTTTGTTGCTAATGTAATGTAGATGATTTTTATAAGGGCCCCAGGGCCCCTGATTTCAATGACAAGGTAAATGTTGTTTACTTTTAACGTCAACAGCAACAACTACAGAGCATGGCACAGCCCGGTGAAACAACGCATGCGTATGAGTTATGTCAATCGATCGTGAAGGACCTAGACTAAGATGTCTGGATGAAGAGACGGGGCGAATACAAACTCCTCAAGGTTTTAGAGCATATCTTTTCAAAACATATATTGCATTGAAGTTTGATTTTTAATCCCTATGTTTACTAATTTTTTAGCAAGGAAGCTGTTTTGCCTGATCTAAGCGAAATCTTTACTTGACTAAAGTATGGCAACTTATCTTACAGGGTTTGGACAAAAACAATTAATGTACAAAAGCTACGCGATTACAGCGTTGTAACCCTCGAACTGCAGATAATATGATCTTTCTGTTCGATATGGCATTTCTTTCCAAATAACGAGAAGTCTATATTTTCTTAGTATATGATTAGTTTTGTGATTTAATGTTAATAATGACACGAATCTGCACATAGGCCCTTAAATTTTACAACTTCCCCACCCCAAATATTTATAGCTTTTTCCGCACTACTATAAATTAATCATTGCTCTCAAGAATTATAAACTCATGGCAATAAAATACAGACTCATCATGAAACAAACACTATATTAAGATTTTCAAGTTTTAAAATTGTCATTTTTCAATATGCCATCTTATTAAAACCTATTCTTGCTGAAACAGCTAACCATTGCAACTGATCAAGAATTGGTTCTGTATTGTAAACATTTTCGCTCCAATTACAACCTATAACAGTAATCAACTGAAACATTCCCTCCATATTTGATAACTTAGTATGAATATATCATCTTTCAAACTAAAATTGTGAATGTGAAAAAAGCTGTTCATGAAATGAGAAATTGTCTTTACTTTCTTATCAACTGGTACCATATATTTAAACTGAGCAGTTTGTTAAAGTTTGGACTTTTGCAGTTTCTTACAAATATTGAGCAGATTTCTTGACATCCTTTTCAGAATGGAAAATGCAAACAGAGGTTACTATTTGGAAGGAAGGAACAACAGCTATCAAGGAAAATCATATCAGAGTGATAGAAATGGCAAAACCGGTCAAGATTATTATGGAAAAGATACTACAGAGCAAGCTGGATATGGCCATCAGAGTGGAGGATATCAAGTAGATAATTTTAATCCTTCTAATATGGAATGGAATTCAACATATGATGGTCAAGAAAACCAACACCATTCTGACGATGGCAGGACAAGAGGGGTAGAGGGAGGGAATGGAAAAGGTGATATTTTTGGCAGAGGTGAATTTTATGCAAAATCTGACCAGTTTGGGAGACAAAAAAGAGGGTATAATGAGCAAGAAGGGTTGAGGGGTGGAGATCGAGGACATGAAGGTGTAAAAGAAAGGGACAGAGAAATTGATAGAGAATTGGAAAGAGCAAGATACGGTGGTAAACCTGATAGAGAGACATGGGACACGACTGCCAGAGGAACTAGGGACAGGGAAGAAAATGACAGACCATGGGATAGAGAGAAAGAAAGAAACAGAGAACGTGACAGGGGTAAAGATAGGGAGCGAGATAGAGACAGAGAACGAGATAGAGAAAGGAACAGAGACAGGGAAAAGGAATCATACAGAGACAGAGATAGAAACAGAAGAAGAGATGATGTAAGTATAAAAAAAATTTAAGTTAAATCCTTTTGTGGTTAGTTTTTGACACAACCCTTTGTTGATTAAAACCTTATAGAAATAAGCTTTGTTTCTATAGTATTTTCTGGATAATTTTTTGCATTAAAGAACTTGAAAGTGGCTTTGAAAAAGGAAAACATTTCACAACCTACTATTTGAAGATTTTTCGTTTGATACTCCTCAGAGTATAAAACATCAGAATGAGAGTTTGAAAGAACATGATGGAAATTATATAACCAGTTGTGGATAGAAGGAGACCAATTAAAATAATCTTTTCTGTTGTTGTGGGAATGATGAGTTGATATAGAACTTCACCTGTGAACATTTATTAAGATTTTTAACAATTAACATCAATCCTCAAAAACTTTCAACAGCTTTTGGACTGTTTTCATATCAATTCACCATTTGTTCCAAGGTCATCACTCACACAGATAATAAGTAAAGTCTCCATCTTACCAGGCTTTTGCCATCTTCATATTTCCTTAACTGCTGAGTAATTGACCATCTCTATTTGCTTTACAATTTGCTTTCTTAGAGAAGTGAAAGAGACAGAGATGTAAGGCAAAGAGACAAGGAGTATGATGACAGATATTCTAAAGAAAGGAGGAGGGGTAGTGTTGACAGAGATCGAGATGTTGATAGAGAAAGAATTTCACCGTCGGCTCATATCATGGTGAGAGGTTCACCATCTGCATTGACAAAAGAAGACGATGTGAGTGTGCATTTATAATAAATTTAAATTTTGACTTGCTTGTTGCTCAGAAATTTTCTTGCTGCACAATGTTTTCATGATGTTCTTACCACATATGAATTTAGATTTATATTAGCACATGTTTTCTACATGAATAGAAAACACTTTATTAAAATGACTCTTTTGATAGACTCATAAAAGTAGTTGTGCAAAGAAAAATATACATAAAAACAAGCAAAACCAATATATATATGCCAAAAAGAAGATGAATAACAAGATGAATTTTTAAAGCTCTATGTACTTGCATTTTGCTCTAGCCTATAATGATATCTCAGAGCTTGTAGATATGCTATTGATGTATTTTTGTAGATTGGTGCAGAGCTGCAGCGCCATAATCTAGACTACCAAGATATCAAAATTGTCAGAAATAGACATGGTAAGTCAGACCTGGCCGTTTGAGGCTATTCATCGCTCGCCTCAATGTCAGTTCGCATGTTAACCGCCCGCCTTGGTCTTCCTTTCATTTCTCTACACCTCTTGAAGTAAAACTAAAATATTGATAGGAACTTGATCCCCTATGTTTTGACTTAGAAATAACGTTTTAATCTCTCAGGAAGTCATCTACTCCTGTAAACTCATTAACTAATTAACAAGTCATGCAAAAACAAATGAAGCATTTTTAAATGAAATTGGGTAGAAAATCTTTGAATGGTTTCATTTCAACCAGAATGTTATTTTGAAGGCCAATTGAATATTCCTAACACGTGAAACCCGAATCATTTCAACATGGCAAGTAACCAGAAAGGATCGACTGTTGAGCTTCAAAAGCTTCAAAAAAATACGACAACAGGGCTGTTCTTGGAAGAAAAAAATTGAGGAGATAGATGGAAAGAAGATGGTGACGTTGTTTGGTGCAAACTTTGCGCTAAACATAAAGCTTCTATTCTCTTGAACCCGCTTTGAAAGGCAGTGCAAAGGGCGGCTGTTGAAGCCAATATCAATGGAACAAATTTTGAATATTGTTGATTTGTGATTATATGAAACTATCGTTATATTTTTGTCTGAGAGTTGTCATCTTGTTTTGTAAACTCAGCTGTTAAAGAATGTTGTTTATCCATATACATTTTATTGACGATATTCAAGAGACTAAAAATTGCCCGCCTGACTTTAACGAGGAGAGCGATGTACCGCACGCCTGCTAAAATGCTCACGGCCAGGCCTGGTAATTGGAAATCAGTCAATTAGGATTGGACTTAATGATTGTTTGATGAGTGTATGGAGTGCATCTGTTATTCCACCCAAGTATTATTCCATCTAAGGGCATTTCTTATCTATTTTAAACTTGTTTTGTGTGCAGTATATCCCAAATTATATGCAAAAATTCTTTTCTCCTTATGTATATTTGGTAGATCTTTTTTGAAGGTTCATTGCCTCAATTCTTAATTCATTAATAACTGTATCTTTTCAATATTTTTCTCAATATTTTAAAGAAATTTTTTGTTCCTTCTGAAAATAAGCCTTTTATTGGTTTTAACAAGATAAAATAAGGAACTAAGATAGTCTAACTAAAACCCTTCGATTTATCTCCCTTTTTGCATCTCAATTTTTGGCGGAACAGGCTCTGTTGTCCGAAATAAGACCATATTTGACAAGAGCAAGCCTTGCTGAGGCAAATGAGCCGTTGCTCTTACATTTCTATAATGTTTTAGTACTGTTTCCAGCCACTTTTTCTTCGCCAACTTTCGTTTTTTGTACGTTTTTGTATGCCCTTTGCAAAGGCAAAATGACAATTTGGTCTATTCATGATCTAATTTTGGCCGCGAGTTTAATTGTTTTCAGCTATGCATGTCGATAGAACCCATTTTTTGAGTGCTTGAACTTTGCCTTCGCTAAGGGTATACAAAACCATATAAAAAAGGTGAAGGAAAAGTGGCTGGAAACCATACTAAATCATGATAGAAATGTAAGAGAAACAGCTCATTCGCCTCTGCAAGACTTGCTCTTGTCAAAGTGGTATTGTTTTGGACAACAGAGCTCATCCCACCAAAAATTGGGATGCGAAAAGGGAAGTAAATGGAAGGGTTTTAGTTAGTTTAGACTATCTTAGTTCCTTATTTTATCTTGGTTTTGATAAATAGGAATAGCTTTTAAATTGTTCTTAAGTGTTTAAGCACAGCTAACCAATATAGTCAGTTTAATGTATTTTGTTTACTAACAAAATAGGCGAATCAAGAGGTTTTGGATTTGTTGATTTTTATGATGTTGCAACAGCAGAGAAGTGGATGAAACTCACAAGGGTGAATATTTCCATTTAAATTAGTAAAAACATTTATTTGACACCAGCAGAGCTTAAAAGATACTCAATAATTCTACTGAATGCAATTCATTTTGCTATTTGTTGTTATTTTTGCTTTGCTTAGCCCAATTTCAATTGAATGCAATTTGGATAGAAACGTTTGAAAGGTTGCTACCCAATTGCATTTGCATTCATTTTTTGACACTTTCCAAATCATGTTCCAGTTTGAAAAAATAATATCCTTGTTTTTTTTTTATTTTGAATCAGGGAACAATTGTAGTGAAGGATCAGCGAATTTCTTTGGAGTATAGCAAAACAAGAGCACAGCCATTCACACATCACCAAATAGATGTTGACTGGTACTGTAGCAAGGTAAACAAAATTTTTCAATTCTTTTTATATTTTTGCACTTTTCAATGTAAGCATTTATTTGATATTGTGAATTCTTGTACAGTGCTGATAGATAGGGAATGGTAACTGTGAATATAAACAGTTTTCTTTTCCATTTAGAATTACAAATTGTGTGTAGACAAATTGCAAGATTTTCTTCTTAGCAGGTATCAACTCCTATTTCAACCTATGCAAACTTTACAAGAGGCAAAGGCACCTTAATTTTTTTCAAAATGTGATTTGTAGAACTTTGATTATGAGCTTGTGTATTAGATCATTTAGAGACAATGTATTGTGTGTTAAATCTATCTTGCAGTGTAGAACGTTGAATTATGCATCCCGGAAAAGAGTTACTTGCTTCTCCTGTGGAGAGCACCGCAAAGGTAATAATTCAACTTAGAAATTACTTTCTTTCTTTTTGTTGATTAGTAAAGCATGACTACTGGCTCAAGATTTATCTCCACTTATCAAATCATATTTTGAGAATTTGTATCATAATGGCACAAAAAGCAGAAAATTTGCACATCTGGCACTTCTTTGATGATATAACCTAGTGACTCCCCTGCGCTTTTAATCCCCAACCATCTTCCTGTTGGGTTTTTCCGAAGTTTGTATTAGGATATCAATTTATGTTTTAAACTATTGATCTTGTTGAATTTCCTTATCAAAGTATTGTGCACAAATTATCTGCATTTTCATGCTATTTAAATATTTTCTAGTTGAAATTTTGTTCCAATAATTATTTGTGGGATACCTTATAATAGTGATAGGTTCCCTGATGCTTTTAAATTTTAATTCATGGTCATTTCTTAGGTAGTAATAATTTGATTGGTGATGATCAATACAATCAATTTTAGAATATGTTGCAAAATAATGTCCATTGTAATAAACTTTTTATTTTTGTGTCTTCGTGATCATTTGATACTGTGGTCCAAGATGTTAATTACATCATGACATTTTTGCTTAGACTACCATCCAGATGGCTCTGATGATTATGATTATGATGATGTTAGCCATGTCCGAGATTCTCCAATGTCAGCACCTCCATGTAATGGTAATGAAGGACTTTTTTGTTTGAATCAGTTTTTTCCAAAACAGATTGTAATTATTGCCATATTGCAATGTTTAAGTATTTGTGTATTGATCTATAAGCAACTGAGAAACATTACGGACTATCAATGTGGAATATTGATGTCTCTTTGACGATTGGAATGAAAGGCTGCTTGCATTGGTACTATTGTACTGTATGCAGCTGAAATTGGAAACCTAGTTTTACATTTGTCAAGAAATTTGTTTACAAAGAAATGCTGCAGCCATAAATGAAACATGTGCCAGTAGCCACATTTATCTGATTGTAGATCTCTTTTAAAGGACGATTTGAAATCACACTAAGAAATTGCTATTGTGTTTCCTTTTTTTTAAAGAGCAAATATTAATGTTTTTTATTTTATTCAACACTGTGGCCAGTTCACTAAGTGTGCGAATTTCATTTCAGTCTTGATGATGCGAGGACTTGATACAAATACTACAGAGGAAACGGTAAACAATCATCCAAATTATTATAATACCATCACAACAAGTGCCCCAAAATACCCTTATAAGCAGGCCTCTCAGTTTGTGGTGTGTGATTGTGCACCCACGCCTTGGCCATACTTATAGGAGACAAGGTGCAAATTTTGTCATGCCTCTGCTTTGCAAAAAGTATAGCAGAAGAGTGATGAATCAAAAAGCTAAAAAGCAAAATTTTTCATCAGGGCGCATTCAGCCATGCACCTACTTAAACCTTTACTGGAGGACCTGCTTATAAGGATATGACATCAGAAGCTAGTGGTACTTTTCCTCTTCTCCTCTTATGTGTCATCTTTCTATTTTTGTTCTGCCTAGCTACCATTCCTGCCCACAGCAGTGAGCTTAGGGTATATCTCCTTTCATGCAGAAAAAGTGCAAAATTATTATAAGATTTGTCTGAAAATATCTTAATTTTTTTATAGTAATCTCTACCAAATGTGTCTTCTTTTTATTCATAGCCCTGTTTATTACCCAGTTTGTGTGATGATGTTTTTTGTTTCTAGATTCGAAATCATTTGCTAGAGTTAACAAGTGTACCAGTTTATGATGTAAGACTTATAAAAGACAAAATGACTGGCATTTCAAGGGGATTTTGTTTCATAGAACTTGGTTCCACAGAGGTATTTACATTGCATAGTATTTTCTTATGAATACTAATAAATTCAAAAATCTTGTCTCCAGGATTGGCGGTAGGGCTGTTTCAAGGTTTCCTTGGATCTTTCATCAAATTTTTATGTGTCTAAATCTTCTATCAAAGTGAAAAAATCATCAAACAGTGAAAAAAATATTGAGATATATTCATGAACCAAACTCATGTATCATATTTACAGGCAATGGAACATTCTTTGGTATTTAAAGGCATGGAGTCATTGTAAAAGGAGATGATATACCCAAACTTACCCAGATCTGCTGCCATGATTTTTGTGCTATTGATTGACCTGGAATTGGTTACATGAACTCATCTCATTCTGAATAGCAAAACAGTTTCCACCAATAGCAGGTTGTCAACAATGTATGATGATATCAAATGAAACTGCAGCGATCACACCAAAATCAAATGACCCCTTATAGAGAAAGCCTATTTGCCATGCCTCAAGGCCTTTTACAGAGCATATTTTCTTTCTTTCCTTTTTTAAAAATACCACCCTTCAAAAAGAGTGTAATTATCACAATATCTCGTAGGATGCAACAGCACTTCTTGAAAAAGTTCAGGAATCAGATCCAGCTTATTTCATTGAAGGCAGAAGGGTTTCTGTTGGCTATGCAAGGAATACTCCACACCCACCGCCAAGACCTAAACAAGGGTATGACTGCAGCATTAATGATTCTGTTAGTGTACATAGGTCAGGAAATATATTCATTAAGACCATTTTTATCAAGCAAGTTTAAATCATAAAAACAAATTTTACTACTCAACTCAAATTTTACTACAGCACCTCTTTAGGCATGGAAGAAGAGCATGAAATTGGCTGTTTTCTCTACAGTGTCATTTAACAAATATATTGGGTCTTATTTGTTTTTGAAATTGTTTCAAATTCTAAATCATTGTTTGTAATTACTATTTTTGGTATGACTGATGACTGGCTGGAGTTTAGTCATCTTTTGTGTATTCTGTAGTCCCCATCCAGGATCTGGGCAGCCACAAGGAACAAAGAATGTCAATTTAGCAAGTGTTGCGATAGCTCAAGCCCAAGCTGCACAGGTTCAAGGACAACCTACAGAATTTTCTTATAACACCCAGTCAAATAAGCAGGTTAGCATCAACAGTTTTATATAGATGAGAGTTTTGCGCTTGGGATGCTTTGTTTCAGCTGTTTCTCCCATTAGTACTTTCTATTAAATTTTTTGTAGATAATTTGTTTTTTGGAGTTATTTTTGGTTTCATTTCATTTCTTAACCTTCCCATTCTGGTTTTATCATATCTATCATTCCAGTAACCAGACTTGAAAAGCTTCTTGCATGGTTAAATATGTTAACCTTTTTTAACTTTCCTGCATTATATCTTCACTATTTGATTGGCCTCTTTACCTATCTTTTCTTTTAAACTGTCTTGAACTTTCTTAAATCTAATCTCTTAACCTGACTTACAATAATTCACAAACATTAATTTGCCCAAGCTTCCAATCTTCATGATTTTCCAAAGTTTAAATTCAGGGGGAAAAGATGCACATTGCAAGCTTGTTGCAGTGGCTTGCTTTTTGAAAAAGATGGGATCACCTGGCCATAAAAATGGCCAAACAACGTGAAATGTCCAATTTTGGTCTGGTAGTTTTGACAATATTTCTCACATCTCTTTCTTCATCAGTACACCCAAGCTGTATCAGGGTCTCAACAGGCTACAGGTATGACACCATAAATATCTGCAACTACATGTAAGCTGTATGGAAAGGTATAGTATCAACATGTTCTCATAGCCGCCTGAAGATTAACCATCAAAAATTTGTCAACATCCAACCTTGATGGCTTGTTTTTCTGCCAAAATGTCTTTGAGATTGACAGAATGTTCTATATTTGGTTATGCTCTAACAATAGCAGTAGTAGTGATAAGGCAATTTCTGTTAAAATTCCCAGGGCACATATACAAAGCGGTTTTTGTTTTGTGGTTTTGTCTGTTTAAAGAACTTTCTTCTCTTGATGTAATCTTTGTTGCCAATCCGTTTTAAAGAGACCCAGTTATTTTTGCAAATCTCTTAGCATTTGCTTGCATTTCATCAAAAAACATGAACTATAAATTTAAAAAGGAAGGAAGTGCTAGGGAGTTTGTATCTGCTAAATGTACATGTGCCAGGAAACAGAGCCTATGACAGCAAACAATACAAATATCAGACAGACGGCTTGCCATTACAGTCTCACAATATCCCAAACATTTCAGAGCAAATTTTCCTTCCTAGAGGCCATACTTGACAATTGTAATAACTATCTTAGATAAAAATTCCCTCTGTAGTTTTTCTCTATATTTAAAAGTTCTGCTTGAAAGTATAGTATAGATCTGAAGACAAGTTAGAGGCTGGGCAATCAATAATTTGTTAAGACTATATAGAATGACTATATAGGATGGGAATCATTCATCAATCTGTCAGTGTTGAAGAAGGAGGAAAGATGAATTCGTATTTTTATTACTCTCGAGATTCTAATCATTTTATCCTTTCTTTTGTTTTCAGATGGTTCACAGCCATTTGCTCAGTCAATGCAAGGTATCATCTTCTTCTTAACTTCAAGACTAAGAAAAAAATGCATGTTTAGTATGCTATTAATTAAGTCAAGACAACAATTTTTTTGCGGTACAGAATTTGAAAATGGCTTTGAAAAAAGCAAACATTTTACAACATACTAAAAGCTTTTTCGTCTGACACTCCTCAGAGCATAAAACATCAGAATAAGGTTCCGAAAGAACACGATGGAAAATATATACCCAGTTGTGGATCGAAATAGTCAAGACAAATTCAAACAATCCCCATGCATCATACAGGCAAACCTTCTTTAGGGTCATTGGGTTCTGTCTTAAAAATTGAGTAGCATCACGGAGCAATATTGGCAGAATTCTGTTGATTTTTTGCAAGCTTTACCTGTTTCTAAAAGAAAAGTGATAAGTCACTGGATAAAAACTAATTTTCATGAAGCACCAAATATTGCTTATTTTTTCCAGTTCATGAAATCTTTACCAAGACTGTACGTCTTACATATGTATTTCTGATATAAAAATTTCAAGTCAGTATTGACTACTTCAGCTCAACTACCATGGACAACATGACAATATGTGAAAATTTGTTCAACCTCTTTGTAGAGCCAAAGTTATATCATGCAATGTTTTCATTATAGCCTATGGTGAAAAACAGTCACATACAGAAGCAGTGCAGCAACAAGCAGCTCACCAACATGAGCAGCAGCAACAACACAAGCCCCAGCCCCAGCAACGTCCTGCTCAAGGACAGAATGTGTATGCTAACTATACTTACGACCCAAACACTGGCTATTATTATGACTCCACAACTGGTCTCTATTATGATGCAAACACAGGGGTTTGTCTTTTATCAATTTCACACTTTTGCTAAAGATTCTTTATTAATTTTAAGTTCAACATTTTCTGCATAGAGTTCCCACTTGTTATAAAAACATGAAAGTCATACCAATTACCATGATTTATGCTAGGGCTGTTCATTACTGGGGTTCTCCTATTCAGTTATTTGGTCTAAATTTTTATGAATTTTTGGTTATTCTGTGGATATTGTGGGGTCAACCAGTTGTGGCAATGTATTGTAATCTGGTGTAAATAAAAGAACTAGCAAGCAGCAGTCATAGCTATTTGATCACTCAGACCAATTATCATATTTGGAATCATTTTCTAGCATTAAAAAGGGTGAAGTCAAAAAAGCTTTTGGAAGGCCCCTAACCCCTACCTTCTAGGCCCGATCCACTCCCCTGTTATTGAACTTATGCCGGCCTCCATCATGTGGTGTTTTTGAGCTCAGGTTGGTATTCATTTTAGGCTTAGTTTCAATTTGTCAAGAAATTGCTTCATTGATTTATGTTTGATAAACTGTTAAAGTGAATGACCTTAGTTGTTTGCCCCACATGGATGTGATTATCAGCAAATCAAAAAGATGAACTAATTTCATGCAAGAGTCTCTTTCATCAATTATGAATACAGCTTGTGTGACCATGTCTAAATTGCAGTAAACTTTGGATTATTTGTAGAACCCGCTTTTTAACTTAGACCATTCACTTTAATGCTAATTACATTTGCATTAAGAATGTAGTTTATTGAATTAGAGCTTGTTGCAATTGTTTCTTTATTATAGTTGTACTTTTCATTTCTCGAATGTTGATGATATTTGTTTTCTATTGAAGTATTACTATAATGGAACAACAGGAAGGTTCCTCCACTGGGATGCACAGCAACAGCAGTACTATATAGTCAACCAAGATGGGTAAGAAAGTGTTATAATGAATGACCTTGTACAGGTAGCTTCACAGTTTAGATAGTTTAGTTTAATGCGGATGTCTAGCTCTTAACTTGGTGAAGCATGCAATGTGTTTGTTCTGCATGAATTGGTTTAGGCAGATAATAATTGTTCCTCCTTATGCTTATATTCATTAGAATGCTGGATGAAGCAGTGTATAGCAAAATTTAGTGCAGCTGTGTCATTAACAAGCCAATTCAAAATAAAATTTTGTGTTTTCAACATTTATAGACTAGGCTAGTGTCAAATGGTTGTTTCTTTGCTTTGACTAAAGTCTTATTTTGATAAACAAGATTTTCAATCTAGCATGGAATTTAATGTCATTTAGATTGTTTGTCCAATTTTTATATCAAATAAGCAGAATAATATGCCTATGCAAAAGAAATGAATTTTAATTGAAAGAGCATGATTTTACAACTCATTTCCTGAATTTTAATAGAATAAGAATATTTCATAGGTAACTCTATAATTGTCCTGCAAACTTGATGTAATTTTTCTTCTAATAAATTTTACAAGTAAGATAAGTTTTTTCCATTCCTGCCAAACTTCCATTAAAACTTGCTCTGAGTTTGGCTGTTATAAGGATCTGAAAACTCAAGACTTTGATTCTACACTTACTATCATTTTTCCAAAGAAATATGGAAATAATACTGATGCAAGAGTCTTTTTATTATTTGTTTCATTTAATAACATTTTTCAAGTATTCCACTTGTTTTTGGTAAGCCATTAAGTTTCAAAACAATACAGCTCAAAATATTAACAACAGGCCTGGCCATCAGACTTTTGGTGGGGGAGCAGTAAACAGCGCCCCTCAGTAATTTTCAGGTGAGCTGTTTGTAGATAAAAATGAATAGGAACAAAGGAAAAATTGATTTTTCTTGGAGAGCAATTTGCTTTTTAGAGCAGTTTAGGAAAGCAATCTGTAGCTCCCCTCCAGCATTTGAGGAGAGCCTGGAGGGGAGCAAGAGCTATGGCTTTCCTCAAATGGCCAGACCTGTAACAATCTATTTTATTTTTTAAAATGATTTTCTCCTATTTCAGATCTTTGTCTGCAATGGACAGTGAAGGCAATCCTTTGGCAGCCACTGCAGCACAAGCAGGTAGTCTAGAACTATGCCATGCTTGATTTCTGCATTTATATCATATTTTATTTTGTATCTATGAGTATAGATTCATGTTGATACATCTATTTAAGATTTAGGTTACTGATATGTCGTAGAGTGCTTGATGTTTTATACACATTTGTCTATAGAAAAAAGTAGTACTAAAACAAGTTGGAATTCAAGTTTTGTGCTGAATGCCATCATCAGGCAGCTGTTGAACTACAGGCCTGGCCATTTGAGGAGAGCCATAGCTCTTGCTCCCCTCCAGGCTCTCCTCAAATGCTGGAGGGGAGCTAGAGATTGCCCTCCTAAATTGTTCTAAAAAGCAAATTTGCTCTCCTTGAAATAAATTTTTCCTTTGTTGCTATTCTTATAGCTCACCTGAATACTACTCAGAGCTGTTTACTGCTCCCCTGTTAAAAGTTATACAGCCAGGCCTGAACTACTCTTTCTGCGGGTGTTATTAAATTTAGCTGTTATTTTATTAGGGGTATTTATGTATTTAAATTTTGGTGTTTTGATAATATTAATGAAATATGGTAACATGCCATGCCACATTCTGTTTCAGAAAAAGTCAAAGCGAAGCCTACAGGCTCAAGTGCAAGAAAAGTGAGTCCATGATACCAAAACTGAAACTAACCTTATTCTGTTGATTAGTGTTCATTAATTAGTGTTCCATGTTTTGATGCAAAATGTTAGTTGCATAATGTGTACCTAGTAAGCAAGTAGCAATGCATGTGCAATGATTGACAAGTGTAACTCACTCTGCATTATGCTGTATATAGAAAGATGGTTCAAACACAGAACCCAAATCATGCAGCTTAACTATTACTAAGAAGTCAAAGGTGGAATTGAACACAATTTGAATGAAATGAAAATTCCTGAATCCAAAAGAAATGCTTTCAGTTGTTAAATCGAACAAGTGAAAGTGAACCTCTCTCTTCCAATTTTGTATGGATACAGAGGCTTTTGCATGTGTGCAAGCACATGTTTGTGTATATTTGATAATTTATCCTTATGTTAAAATTGTCATTATTATGTTCATATTCATCATTTTAGATTTATATTATTCCAGTTTCATCTTACACCTTAGATTGCGAAGGATATGGAAAGATGGGCAAAGAAGATGAATGAGGCCAAATTGGCTAAACATAATGCTGTTAAACAAGCCCAAATAATGCAAAAAGAACAAGAAGCACGAGAAGAAGCTATTAGGAGGCAAATACAAAATGAGATCATGTTACAAAATGCTGCTGCTGCTGCCACATCTGCCCAAAGCAAGTCAGATGCTGTCAAGGTTTGCTTTGATTTACGTATCTTCTTACTAATGAGACCAAAGTATAAACATACACAGAAAAGTCATATGTTCAAGACAAAGTTTGATAATTTGATTTTCATGTGTTTGTTGGGGAGAGGAACAAGAGAAGGTTTGTTAGTGAGTAAAGAAACCCTTTCGTCAAAGAGTATCCATAATGAGCAAAGTCATTTTTTATGCATGGTCTTTGACTCTAGGATGATGGGTTTTCCCAATGAGTTGAAAATTTATTGAAATTCTGCTAACAGAAATTCATCAACATAATGTATTCTTGCCTCATTCATAGATTACATCAAAAACATTGTTTAGTGCTGAAGAAGATGACAGCAGGCAGTCCCTTGCTGCTCTGATTGCAGCAAAAACAGATCCTAAAGGCCTTGGTATGTTTTTTGATATGTTTCTTAGTGAAATAATCTAGTACCATCTTTCTTACAAAATTCCTTGGATTACATACTAAATATATCTTGGAAATTAAGTGTTTATCTGACTTTCTTTATAGGTGCAATGCTTCCCACACAACGCACACATGCCATAATAATCAAATGTTTTAACAGAATAACCTATCAGTACAATATATACTGTTATCATTAGGGTCCCAGTACTTTTGTCATGTAAGTGTACATGCCCAAATGAACTTTGTCTATAAACGACATTGTTCACACACCTCCAGCTTTCTGCATGTACAGATCTGCTAGTTGTTGTATATTACTTTGCCTGAAACAATATCATTGTAATAATTTTTCTGAAGGTCTAAGATAATGATGATTTTTTCTAGGATCAAGCCTAGTTGCAGAATATGGTGACGATTCTGATGATGATCAATCTGAAAAGCTCATTGACTGGGATAAACTTACTTGTCTACTCTGCAAAAGGCAATTCCCGAACAAAGACATCTTAACAAAACATCAGCAGATGTCTGATTTGCACAAGGTAAAATGCAGTGGCTTATAGAGAAAACAACTGAGACATGTCCCTATTTACTTACTGTTTGTGGTCCAGTCCAAGGGTTTAGAGCATTTCAAATCCAATGGGCAGAAGTAAAAATGATAATTTTCACATTCATTGAGGAGAACTGAGTTCATGCCTCAGATGTAGTAGTTTTATAGTATTGAATACAAGTTAAATTTGGTCTAAAAAACTTGGTTATCAAAATATTTTGGCACCCCTTTGAATCTATGTTATGCCACTGGTAAATTATTTCTATCATATCTTTGTTTCTGAAATTTTATACCTTTTCTTATTTGTTTATGCTGAAGTTTTTGGTTTTCCTTTCCGTAGAATCCATTTAAATGCTATTTTGGTTTCAAAAATTCAATTATTTTACAGCAAAATTTGGAAAAATTCAAGCAGAAGCATAGATGAATTGGTATGTGAGTAAATTGCTTATTGATAGTTTATCTTAAAAGAGTTGGATTGTGGAAAACTTAATCCTAAAAACTGGCTTCGAAAAAGCCATTCTTTTGAAAGAAATATTTGACTGATTTACTTCACCTTGAAAAGAAAACTTTCTATTCAATTCTTTTACATTCTCATTAAGTGCGATTGGTAAGGCTAAAAAGCAATCATTCTGTCTTTAAATTAATTGGCTTCTTTGTTGTAGAATGCTTGAAGGCAAAATTTTAAACCATTGCATACAGGATAAACCAGCAGACCATGCAACACAATGTATCCGCAACCATGCCAAATAGTGTACATGTACAAGGAAGGCAGCAGTCCATCTGAGATGAGGGAATGCCTGTTTATTTGTATTTTGTTGCAGCATCTTGGGATGACAATTTTAACTTGCCGTGTTCCAGACTTGATCTCAATGTTGTAATGCAGCTCTAGTCAATCCTTTGGTCTCAATGTTCTAGAAGGGATCAGTTTTGTAACAATGACTTTGTTTTTAGTGTTGTCTTTTCTTTATATCAGACTATTGACAAAACAAAGTGTGTGCTTGAGGAAAAGATGTCTAATTTTTTTAATCTGTCATAATGATTTGGTAGATTTTTTGATTAAGTTGCAATTTGAAACTATTTTCCAGACATCTTTGCAATTGTTTCAAGGAACTGTTAGCATTTAGCTTCTATGCCAATGTCAGCCTCTTGTAGTTATTTATGCTAAGTGTTTTTAGCCAAATAAATTTGAATTTTGAGAATAAACAGAATGTTAATTATTCGAGTTTCAGGGAACAACGGATAGCAATGCTACCAATGAAATTATTTTTCCACAAAAACTTTTTTCTTTCAAGCTCTGTAATCAACAGAACTATCTTGCTGCCTGTCTTGAATTTCCTTATTAGTTAGTGTAACCAAAAACAACTGTGACTAAATCAGGAAAGGGTGGACTTCTCAAAGATTTTTGTATAAAATCTCTGATCAAAATCAGACCTGTGAGTTTTTGTGTGGTGTTGCTCATGTATGAGGCAGATAATTAGTGAAAAATGGCAACAACATGCTATGCTTGTATAAGGTAATTGGATGTCAAGTCTCCAAAAGCATTCAAACTATTATACTAAAAGTAGAAATACTGTACAGGTGTAGCAGTCTATCTGATACCAATTTCAAAAGTTGCAAGCTTCACAGAAGCCACTGCTGAAAATTTCAATAAGAGATAAATGTTTTCTCTAAGTACAAACAAAACTATGGAAATGTCTAGTTTCAAACTCTAAACCCTTAACTTAATTTTCTTTAAACAATTTTTTACATTATGAGATATGATTGAATTTATATCCAGGTTTATATTCACATAGGGGATGATGGTGATTTAGTAATAGGGGCACACCTGAAAGTCCCATAAGGCTTATATAAATTCTTCCAAAGAATGCTTCATCATATAATCATTTTTTGCAATGGTCAGATTATTAGTAAATATTAACTAAACAAATGTTTCAGAAAGCCTATGTTGGTGTGCATGGGGGTAAAGGGGTTTGATGGAGTTAGTGTTAGAATGTACGCAAAATATTTTTTAGATACTGTTTTTCCAAACTGATTATTGACTCAAAGCTACAACCATGGGTTGTGGTACAGTTCTTTATTGGGGCTTTTAATGGACCTCAGAGTAAACATTTTTGTATTATTCTTTGTATCACTGTTGTCATTTGAAAAATGTTCCTCACACCATACTGATTCATTTGCACAGTGTATCTGGCAGATAAATGTGCATAGGGGGTTGGAATTTTGCTAATAGGGGTTTTAAATTCAAAGATAATGTATGCATGCAACGGGTGCGGGGCTGAAAATATCAAAACTTTTGCACACATACTAAGTGAATAACCCCTTTAGGAACAAAAATTGAAAGAATGCATCATTGCTAAGTCATATGACTAACTTAAAAAAACACTGAACATATCCAATACCACTTTGATTTATCAATGCAGATCAGATTGCATGTAATGTTGGCCAAAAGTAGTTGAATACTTCATTAGACCACACTTTCACATTTTCAATATTTCAAGGTTTCTGCTGGGTTTCGTTGTAACCCGAAATGTGCTCAACACAGTGTTCAAGAAGGTAGTCCTTTGCTCTCAGTATCTTGTACAGGGGCATAAATTGATTCATATTTTTGTGGGTGACGGTTACAAAATGTTAGACTGACAATAAACCAATTGTAATTTTGTGACAAAAGTTTATAAACCTTTAATTACACAATATACAGTTCAGTAGCTTCCTTTCTGGATCAAAGATTTATCTGCATGATGATGTAATATTGTTCTCTGATGTAAATGAGCATTGGAATTATGACTTGATTTTCTGATTTCTCTCAAACTTTTCAGCTGTTTCTAAGAATTTCAAAGATTGGTGGGTGTGACACCCTCCAACCCCCTCCCAAAGTCTTTATGTGCCCAATCTTTTGTGTATTTGTGTTTTGCTATTTTAATGTAGTGTGGAGAGCTGTTAAACATCACATTATACTTGGTGAATATGGCAGTTTTTATGGTGTGTTATTTCTAAGGTTGGCATTGCTTGGCTCTATTTTTCAAAAATATAAACATGGGGAATGGTGAAGAGGTGAATTTAAGGATTCATTTCAATGTAAGTGCAAATTATCCTGAGACAGCATTTGTCTAGAGAACTTTTTTTAATGATTAGCGATTCATCTCAACTTGTTTTCCAACCCTTGCGTTAATTTTGCCGTTGGAAGTTGTCTTTCTGGTAAAATTGCAGCTTTGATCTCATCCCAGGGATGGCTCAAATATTACCACATTCTTCAGGCCATTGGAAGCCAAGAATAACTTGCACCAATGACAACAACCAAATTTGGCTGAAGCTGCCCAATCTTACTGTGTCCAATGACACAGTAAGAGGCTCAGGGGCATTTTAACTTCAGTGCACTAAAGCCATTAGACCAGGCTTAACAGTGCACTAAAGTAAAGAGCAGATCATTTGACATTTCATGTTACCATCATGAGGAGGCTCTTCTCTCTTATGTAGACGATTTGAGATCCTGCTCTGTATATGTTTAGGCATATTTGCCAATTGTTCGTACCCGCATAGAGTTGAGTTCAGTACACATGCAAGCTGTTTTATGCACAATTGTTCAAGTTTAATTGGGCTTGCCCTGAACGCCAATATTTCATTTGAATGCTTACTGGGCTCATCTGACAAAACAGAATTTGAGCATCCACCGAAAATTATCACTTCATCATCATCGTCAGATTCAATTGCTGTATGCCAGATCCTTCTTGGGGACCCTGTAGCAAATGAATTTGAAACAACTTCAGTCCACAGTTTTGTTTCAGTATTGAACAGCCACATATCTGAAAGGGGGGTACCACCAGTATCAAGACCGCCATGTAAAAATATTGACTTTTCTGATATTTTACCCATTACATGCCATGATCTCCCTTCAGGTGCTGGTGAGTTGTAGTTAACTTTGTGCCAGTTAAAACTATCTAGATCCAAATACAACATGTCGTTGACCCTCGTATCTCTATTTCTGCCTCCAAAAATATATCCATTGTTGAGGACTTTAGTTGCTGCATGAGCTGCTCTTGGCAGTGGTTTTTCGACAGATAATTCAGGATATCGCCATTTAATCTCTCCTGGAATGGAAAAGTCAAGCACACAAACATCATTATTCCACCCAACACCCAAGGCAATACGCCCTTCCGTTTCATCATAACAAAACTCCCCGTTCCTTCCGTTTTTTGCCTCTGGGGGAGGCCCATAGCCTCCAAAGAAAATTATTTGATTCTGGTGCACCCAAGTGACAAACTTGTCTCTTCTGGAAGGGTAGGGCCCCTTTACAATTCCTTCTTTAGTAAGGTTTCTCCAAACAAGTGTCTTAAGGTCGAGTTCATAGACGAGTGATAATCTCCCAAGAGCACATCCATATCCACCGAACACGATCATCCTATCATTCAGGACGCATGCAGCAGCACCAGATATTCCTGTTCCTGGAAAGCTTCCACTTGTTTTCCTGCTCTTCCATGTAGAGTCTTCCATGTTGTACAGCCATAGCTCGTCCGGTGGCATATACATATCGTTCACTCGTTGGCGACTGGCAAGCCTCTCGTTATAACCGCCATGTATTATGATGTTGCCGTTGTGTTTAACAGCCGTGTGCCCACTTCTTGCTTGCGGACATTGATTCTGTTTTATTTGTGGTGTATAGAACGACATTTTCGTAAGCTCAACTTTGAAATATTATCTCAAATGCAAGAAAACGAAAGTGATTTAGTCCTACTGCTTCCAGGAAACAAATTCTTTGTTTACAAACACATCTTTTCTAAATACGCATGCGTGGGCTACGTCGATAGTATAATAAAAATTCACTTCAATATGCAGTTTGGCCACTGCTCAGTGACGAATTTTAAATCGTGTGAGGTTTTTACTTTCTAGTTGGGTTTTTTCAGATAGGAGAAAATTAACCAGTGTTACAGTTTCATAATTGAACAATCGTTTTGTAATATAAAATTTAAGAATGGCTTTTAATTTAAGAAAAAGCAAACATTTGAGTTGAGAAAACTTAAGCTTTTTTCGTGTGACACTCTTCTGAGTATAAAACTTTTCATATACTTCAGAGTTTCATAATTTTGTACATAATTTTTCTAAGTAGATTTTTGTAAGCAAATTTCTGCGTTCACAAGGCATTGTAAATCCGAATTTGTTGCGAAGGTGACCCGTAGAAATTTATTGCAGCCGCCATTGCCCTACCTTGGTCTGTTTATTATTGTAAGCGCGCAAAGGCTCGCGGTTAGCAATGGGTCTTTAAGCAACAGCCTACAGGCATGGGAGAGAAGAACAGCAATTTGAGCCTCAATTTGAACGCAAGCTTTTATGCGAATAATCATCTTGTAAGCACGCGGAAAGCTGTTAACCAAGTTATATGAAAAGCTGTTGCATAAAATTTAAATTTTGCATTTAACATGGCGGTTACTACATATTATCAACGTAAATGCTAGAAGTGAAATCCTGAATGGTGCTGGATATTCAAGAACCTGTCCTTGGTCCAATCTTGTTTAACTAATGCATAAAAGAAGCACAAAGAATTTTAAATGAAAAAGCCATCTTGCGCATTTATGCAAGCGTTAACACCCACCTGATTTTGTTTGTTTGTAACCTTATTTTAATTCGATATTTTTTCTAGCTTTACATATATATATATATACATACAACTAATCTAAATCGAATCTACTGCATAACAAAAGAAGAGGATATAACTAAAGAAATAAATACGTACATAAATAAGCTAAATATATGAAGCAACTTGGATATGAATGGTCAAATATTACAGGATATTGATATCATTATATTTACAAACGTTGCATTTGCAGCTAGGACCATCCCATCGTTTTATTATACGTTTGAAGCTGTAAAGATTGTCAGCTGATTTTAGTTCATTTTGCAGACAGTTCCAGATCTGAGGTCCTATGGCTTTAAGGCTCTTGGAACCGAAAGTTACTTGGTTTGGTCGAAAATGATTTAAGTTATTAGGATTCCGAGAAGGATGTTTTAATGTTCTTGAACTAAAAATGCTATGCATAAAAGGTGGATTCAAATTTCTAATTGTCTTGAATATTTTGATACAGAGGGTTCTCTGACGAGCAACTTGCATTGTACACTTTTTTGACCTAGTAAGAAGATCATCATCGGAACTTTTATGATCATTGTACAAAAATCTTAGCGCGCGTTCCTGTATTCTTTCAATTTTCTGAAGTGATTTTGAAGATGAAAAATACCAAACTAAAGGACAATAGTTAAAATTCGAGTACACGAAACTTTGAACCAGAACTTCTTTTTCAGCGAAACCAATAAATGACTAGAGTCGCTTAAGAACGTTCAGTTGTGCCGCAGCTTTTTTACAAAGGTTTGATATATGTGGGTCAAAGTTCAGTTTGTAATCTAGTGTTACACCTAGAAGTTTGACAGTCTCTTCAGATTTGATAGAATGTCCTTGAAAGTTAAGATTTATGCCAGAAGTATTTGTCTGGTCCTTTTTAACAGAGAGTGCATGGAATTTGTTCGGGTTCGCAATCATTTCATTTCGTTCGAGCCATGACAAAGCGCTGTTGGCTTCATTTTCCAAAACCCTGACGAGATCTGGCAAGGATTTGGAAAAGAAAGCAAGCGTGTTGTCATCAGCATAATTGTACATGGTTGCTTGCTTTATAAAAGAGAAAAGGTCATTTATGTAGAAATTGAAAAGAATGGGACCTAGAACAGATCCCTGTGGGACTCCTGATACAATTTCTTGGAAGGAACTGTAGACGTTATTTATTCGGAAACTCTGCTTCTGTTTTTTAAAATAGGAATAGACAACCAGGGCATTTTCTTCAAAACCATATGCATGGAGTTTAGCTATAATCAAATCATGCGGGATGCAATCAAAAGCTTTTGACAGGTCCATCAAAACGGACCCTACAATAAAATTGTTGTCAAGCTTAGATTTCCACTCTTCCACAAGTTTAATCAAAACATGCTGTGTACTGTAAGCTGTTCTATAAGCTGCAATAAAAATTGAAAGAGTCTAATCAAGGAAAGGACTGAGCTGTTCCTTTAGAATTTTCTCAAAGATTTTGGAAAAAGTGTTGAGTATACTGACTGGACGATAATTTCTCTCCACAGTACGAACGGGCTCACCTTTGTCTAAGGGGCAAACTGCAGCAGTTTTTGCATTCTGGGGAAATATGAAATTTCGAATGCTGCAATTGATGGCTTTAGTAAGAGGCACAGTCAAATCATCGCTAGCGAGAGAAACAAGTTTCGGTGGAATTTGGTCAACACCTGTTGACTTACTGCCATCGAGCATTTTCAGTTGGAGCCATACCTCACTAGCAGTAACCTCATTGAAAGAAAAAGATTGAAAGGTTTGCTCAGGGTCTTGAACTATAGCTAGAATGCTTGGATGATCCTTGTATTTGTCAAGAATTAACTTTACAATTTCGCGATCATCGCCAATCGAATTCGCATTGGCGATACTGGAAGGCTTCTTACCAGAAGTATTTTCGACAATATTTATGTAGTAATCATTAAAAATCTCACCTAAATCATGGTCATCAGTGACTATTTTGTCATCTTTAATCAGGGAAATATTGGTACCAGCTAGAACACCCTTATTTGAGAGAAAAGGTTTTACCAGATCCCAGAAAGCTTTATTGGACATGAGGCCATTGCTTGTAACTCTCTTGAAGTGATTCTTTATGGCCTTTTTACGGAGAGCAACACAGTGATTTCGCTGCTTCTTGAAAGCTACTTCATTTTGCTTTGAAGGGTGTTTATTTAATCTTCGTTTAAGCCTAGCACGTGTGTACATCGCTTTTTTCAGCTCCGGGTTCATAAAGGGTGCATTGTTTCCCCTTAGAAACTTCGTTTTGATTGGAGCGTGTTTGTCCACTATATTCCGGAATGTGTTTGTCAGATGGTCGTAGGATTTATCCGGGTTAGTCCCGTCGCATTCAAATTGGGCGTGCTTTACATCGCTCAAGAAATTCTCTTGGACAAACTTTTTGTAGCTGCGATACTTTATTTGTTTCGGTTTTAACCTAGGAACAGTTGCTTTACAATCTTAGAGCAAGAATGAAATGTTGAATTGAGTTACTGTTCTCTCGTCTTGCATTTCTTGCTGCAGGTTGATGGAAAAAAGAAGTTCAACGAGCGGCTCTAAAGATTCTTGAAAATAATTTTACCAGCTCTTCGAGGCAAAAAATCCACCTTTCATTATGACCACAAATTGGGAATACAAACAATTAAATTGGCTGAATAAAGTTGAAAGTTTAAGAGACTTGTGAAACCATTGGATGGACCAAATTGCAGCTGCAATGATTGTGGTTAGCAACTGAGATATGTATTTGAATAGCTTGTAATTATTTAAAAAGTAGAGGATGTGAACGTGATAAGAGCTTTTCCATAACACAGCAATGCTAGAAACGTTTTAACTACACTAAATGCTCATCGATTTCTGTTGAAGGAAATGGCCTGGGTATTAGAATGTTTCCTCCTGATTTAAGTAATGATATTTTGGTTGCCTTTATCAAAGCAACAGTTTCGTTTTTGTTTCTCAAACCTAGGGGAAAACCTAGGGCAAGCCCAACTGTGTTCGTCCTTTCTCCAAAAAGTTATTTATCCTTTCTAAGTTTATTAAAAGTTTAGAATAACTGAACAATAAATCAACAACTTTCAATTGCTTATTTTGATTGTTGGATTTTGAGAATTCCTTCAAAATACAGTTTCTAACAAGTTTTACTTTTTCAGTACGATGGCCTTACACATTTTAATGTTGCCAGTGTATTTACTGCAATAAATTATACATATATATATTCCATTGTGGTTGCCAAGAGTAATTAATGTTATATGAGATTTTATCTACTTGTATAATCCTTTTTGTTTGCATTCATAAATTATTCTATCGACATTTGAAAGTTTCTTATACAGACTGTTAAGATTATCTTCAGAGTTTTTCATCTTTCTTGTGTAGTCTTCGGTGAGGCTCTTTGACCTCTCCACTTCCACCCGAAGCTCGTTGTTCTCCGTCCAAACTGCTTTGTTCTCCTTCTCTAGGTTTTCGATCTGTGCATTCATATTAGCCTCTTTCTCCTTCCATTCTGCAGTAAGAAGCTTGATCTGTTTTGATTTGTTAAGCAGTTCGAGATCCTTACGCTTAACTGTTTCGCACATTTGACGAAATTCCTGAAACACTTCAAGCTGCTCTGCTCGCAATGCATCCAATTCTGAGCGATATTCCGTTTCTACATCACTCATTCTTTGCCGCTCTTTCTCCATACTTGTCTCGAATGCTCTTAGCTCTTCCTCCTTCTCCTCGATTCTTCTCAGCAATTGTTTGCACTCTTCTTGCAGTTTAATCTTTTCTCTTTGTGTCTGATCAATACAAGCCAGCAAACTTTTGATGTTCTCTTGCACCCAGTTTACTTGTCCTTTGATTCCTTCGACCTCGTCCATGATGAGGTAAGCACGTGAAGCAGTCACCCTCTGCATCTCCTTGTTGCGGCGAGACCTTGACTTCTTCGCTGCATGCTCTCCGTTTATTGCTTCCTCTGGCGAATGGAATGATGTGTTTCGCGAGCTCTGCTTACTTCCAGAGCGCATCAGATATCGTTGCTCAGAAGGGGATGCTCTAGTGAACTCCAGCCTTTTCCCATCTACATCTATTGCCTGCTTCATCTGTTCTATCAGCCCTTCTTGCATGAAATTCATCAGATTATCGAGTTTCTTGTCACTGCTTTTATGATGTTTAAGCAACAATGCTCTTGTTTCTTCTAGTTTTGCCTCCAATTTACAATTTTTCTCATTAGAATCATCAAGCTGGGCTCGATAGTTCTCCAATTCCTCATGCATTGCAATTGAGCTCTTTCTTTCTTCCAGTAATTGCATCTCCAAGTCCCTTATTGCTTCCTCTTTTCTCTCAATCTCTACTCTGTGAACTTTTTCTTCTTCCATTGAACATACTTCATCACTTTTCGCTGTCCCTTCCTTCTCTTGCAACTCTGCTAGTTCTTTTTCGTAAACATTCTTTTGCCTGTCGATCTCTCTCTCGTATCCAGACATTGCAGCTTTTGCGTCACACAGCTGCTGCCACAGAAGCTTGCAGCGCACCCCGTGCTGGAAGCTCTTATCATCCCTTGGTCGTAAGTTTTCTTCGTGTGCTATATCGTCGATGGTACCGTCTGTTATTATTGCATCTCTCTCGCGTGCAATGTCGATGACTGCCGATCGACTACCATGGAGGATGCATTTATTGCTTGGTTTTGCCGTGAGCTCATCTGCACTTTTCGAAACATTGATCAGACTAGCAGTTTTTCTCGATCCAACCTTCTTAATTTTTTGAATCTTCGCTTCTGCCCGCTGTCTTTCGTTATTCACAGATGCCAATCGAGATTCTAGCTGACTTACCGCAATCCTCAGTTTGTTTAGAACCGAGTCGACGTCGATGTCAGTCAAGGACAACCGCGACAGGATGTAAGATTGCTTTTCAAAAGGAACCTCGCCTCTTTCGTGTGAAGGCAAACTCGATCTCTGTGCATTCCCATTATCAATTTCATCAAGATCAGTTTTTGAGAAGGTGGCAAGCTTCTTAATCTCTTCCATGTTGGCTGAGTCGACCAGGAAAAGGCCGTCGTTCCCTTGGAGAGCTTTCTTCAGCTCCAATATCGCTTCTTTTGACTCATCGATGATTTCCTGAAGTTCAGAAGACTCGCATTCAAACTCCTTGACCAGCGCTTTTAATCCTTCAACAGAATTCAAATTTTCTATCTTCGAGACATTTGAATTTGTTTCTTCTTCTTTCGGTGCAGCTGAAGTTTGAATCTCCAGGCTTTCCTTTGAACTTATCTTCCTACTCGGTGTAACCACAGTGTTTGGCGCACCACCCTTTTTACTCGTGGAAGGGCCTTTTATATGTTGCTTCAACATTGCGATCTCGTCTTCCAGAGCTTGAATCTTGGCTTGGCTTTGTTTTGCTTGCATTGTTTTGTCACTCTCGATTGCTACGATTTTTGCCTTCAATTGTGCTATTGTCTCATTCTTTGATGTTTGCAACGATATGTCAGAACTTCTAGATTCCGATTCAGTCACTGTAACGGAACCAACTCTACTGACAGGCGTGTTCCAACTTGAGCTCCTCGATATTGCTTCATTGCTAGGAGTTGATCTTTCTGGGGTAGCAAGTCCTCTTCCTCCCTTCCTCTGTTGCTCCTAAAACGTAAGCATTAAAAATTCTAATGACTTTGAAATTTGGTCTTCAAAACATCCTAAACCCTTCTAAACAATATAACATGTTCGGTGTCGTCCAACTAGATCTACATCAAAACACTTATGAATGGTTTTGTAAACTTAGCGTTTGTGATTTAAAAAATAATTAAACATTAATCCCAATAGCATTAGTTTTCAGGCAATAAAGCATAGAAGCGTTTTTGAAAGAACTCCAGGAACAAAACTTAAAGTAGAATTTTGTCACTTCTTGCCACTTGCAAGAGGGGCTGAGCCCCCATGGGTCTCTGTGACCCCGTGAGTTCTTTAAGTCTTCTTAGCATTAGAAACTTGCTAAAAGTATACCATAATATCAGGACATAGTTTTGTCTAAGTTTCAATAATAAACCGTGATTCTGTGAACATATGTGTATGCATGCGTTTTTACATTAAGAACCTATTAAAGAGATCTAAACCTAAACAACCCCTTTCTTCAATGAAATCAGCCAATGATGAAATATTTCCTTGCATGTATTTATCCTTACCTCTCTTAACTTGCTTTCGTATCCTTGTTTTATCGACTCCACAGAACAACCTCTTCTATCAAGGGCATTCCTCAGCTCTCTGTTTTTCTTTTCAAGGTCGTCAACCCTCTTTCGAAGCTCTATAGAGTCATCATTCCATCTTTCTGACCTCTTCTTCATAAGGTTTGGAAATCCATCTTTATTTTCCGCCTCCACTTTGGCAGCAATTGCATTCTCGTATGCTCTTTCCTTTCTTTTAAACTCAAGACTTTCTGCTTCCAGTTGCTTTCTCTTTGACCTCTCATCAGCCAGTATTTTGTTTACCTCGTCCAGCTCGTTGTAAAGGTCTTCAACCTGCACTTGCAGGTCCTGTGAACTCTGGCTTGCTGAAAATTCTTTCTTGAGTCTTCCTTCCATTTCTTTATTTCTCTTTTGCAGCTGCTCAATTTGCTCTTCAAAACACGATCTGATTGAATCGATGTCATGTTTCATCGTTTCTTCAACATCAGAGCAGTGGTCTTTTTCTTTGCGTATTTCTGCATATAACACTGTATTCTTGTTTTCTAGGTCTTTATTCTCTCTTTCGAGATTGTTGTTTTTGTTTTGTAGGGCACTAATGGATTCATTTAAGTCTTCAATCTCCAATTCGAGGCCTCTTATTTGCTTAGCAAAGTCACTTTCCTTCGGATGATCTTCGTTACTCAAAGATACCCTGTCTTCATTCTTAAACATTTCCAATTCGTTTTTCATGCGTCTTTCTTCTTCAAGCAGGCCTTCTCTTTCCTCCTGCCATTGTACCTTGCACCTTTCAATGTTGTCTTTCAAGCTTTTAATCTCCTTCTTCAACTTATCCTCCGATATCATATAAATCTCTCTTTCATCGCGAAGCTGCCTAGCAATGTCTTCGCGTGCTTTCTCTGACTTGGCAAGATGCCCATTAAGCTCCGCGAGACTGTCACGAAGAGATTCCACGGCATATTCAGAAATTCTTTCTGCTGACAGAGTACTCGTTTTCTGGTCACTGACCACTGCTCGAAGATCGGCATTCTCTTGCTCCAATTCAAATATTTGGCTCTGCATGGCAGAAATCTTTCGTGCAATTCCGCGAGGCTCTTCATTAATTCCAGCTATATCTATCTTGAAAATGTCCATGGACGAGGTTTCCATGTCTCTGATTGTACCACTCTCTTTTGTCATGTTGCAATCGAAAACTATGCTCAGCTCCTCGAGTTTCTCAAAAAGCCCTGTTTAATGAAAGTAACGAAATTGTAACGATCATTATGAAAGATTAAAAGTTCTGTCGATATTTAGTTTTGAAAAAGAACAGAAGCATAGTGGAAATTTTAGAGTGGACTCTAAGTGAACTTTTCTAAGAAATTCCACTATAAAAGCAATACTGGGAGCTTGAGAGGGCAAACATTGATCCCCCACCCCCCTCCAAACAACTGCCATTCTAATAACGCATCATAAACATTGTTTGAAATTGTATTGCTTCGAAAAAAAAAGTTTTCCATCGTTTCCATTAAAAATATTTCTCGTAGAAACGTAACGCTCCACAACAATTCTTAATTAATGAATTAAAAATTGGCTTCCAAAAAAGCAAGGAAAGCTTTTCCTTTGACACTCTTCAGGAAATATAACGTCAGGACATAGATCGAAAAATCTAAGCTAGGAAATAGATATACCCAGTTATGGATCGAAATAAACCACTCAGAAACTCGAGCCCATTGACTCTTGCTTGCCAGTTGAATGTATAAGCAATGGCGTCCAAGGCTCTACCAATAATCACAAACATGTGGCCATTATAATTTTTGGAGAGATCTAGTTTGTCGTGTAAATGCTGCTCGATGGCAGAGTCACATGTTTTTATTGCTGTTGTTTTTGTCTTGCAAGACTCATATCAAGCGGAACTCTTTTTGGTGGTAGCATAGTTGATAGAGTATCGGTGGTAGGAACAGAATTCTATTAATTGGATCGAAAAATATTCTATTAAAGGGTTGCAAGGAAAGAAAAGTTTTGTAACGGGCACCAATGATTAATTCCAAGTCAAAACTTGGAATGAACTTAATCAACTAAAAAGGTCTTTCAGGATAATGGCTACCAAAAATACAAATTTTGTTTGCTATAGGATGTGGTCTGAAATCACTTACCTATATGTTTGAAATTTGACGACAATAAATTTATCAATGTTATTAAGTTTTGCTTGCTAGATAGCAGGCAAAGAGAAAGAGAAAGTTTGGCCATTTTTTATAGGCTGCTGACTAGGAGCAAAAAAAATTCACTAAATATGTAGGTTGCGTGTGGTACTTCATCCAAAAAAACATATACATGCTCGGAACGTCGTGTTTTTAACAATCGAACTATCATATTTTCATCCTGGTACTCAATTTATTTGCTAACTATGTTATCGTTAAAGAAAATTCATCCCTCCTATGAGCCCTGCTAACGCTGAAAAATACTTCTTACTGTTCTCAAATGATGCACCTAGAATTACTTGTCACAAGAAAACAAGTTGTGGTGAAGTTTCTTGATGAGTTACTTTCTGAGCCAAAAGAGAAAGCGTTTGAATGCGCTTTGCATACCCGTTTCCCTAACTAAAACAATGGCTCTTTGATGGTTATATGAAAATTTCAAAAATCAAGCTTTTACTAAACAAAAAAAGAAAATGGAATAAAGGCGCTTATGCAGAAAAAAATATTAACATTCATTGTGAATTTTTTCTTGCTAAAGGAGAATGTTTTTAATTTACCTTTTGTTTTGCAATCATTGTGATTGATCTGTGGATCTGAGACAAGCTCAAACAATAGTAGCTAAAAATGTTTTTAGAAGTTTGAACAAAAATGAATTGGTCTTCTCAGACATCCCTTTTAAGAATGGTAAAAAGTCTTGAACAGAAGGGGTTTGAAATTAGAAAAGTGCAGAGGAGCTATTTGCCTTTTTCCTTAAATATTTAAAAAAATTAGGATTACAGGATTTTTAATTTTTTATTAGAAAATAATTCAAAAATTTAGAATTTTTAAAATTACAAAACCGGAACCGACTTCTTTCTGTTTCTCTTGAGTTAATGCTAAAATTTATTCCAAAGTCGATATTTTTGTTATATCTAGAATTGGAAGGCCATGACGCCTGTGCAGCGGCGTTACATATAAAAGACATACATGTCCAAAATAAAATTATTTTTACAGATTAGTGAAACCCTTAAACTCCCTCTCTACTGTCACTTCAAGCAAAACAGTACACCAAAAACCGTTGATTTTTTGCTTTTAGCATTCCTAGTGTAGCTTGAAAAAAGTAACTCATATTTTACCTTGATTTTCTTCCTCTTTCATCAAAAGCTGTTCTTGCAAAAATTCGACTTGATTTCGGAGACAATCAACGTCTGCCTCTTCATAATCTTTAGCCATTACCCAACTTTCTTGTCTTTCAAGATCTTTTCCATCTTCAATGAGAAAGGTTTCTTCACTAAGTCGTTCTTTTACGGTTGTTTCTGGCTCAACATTGTTTTCCTCCAACTCATCAGCATTTTCCTGGGCTTTATCGATATGTTGCAGTTCCTGTAACTGCTTTGAGAGTTCCTCAACTTCCGACTCTTTAGCACTGAGTTCCCTCTCGAGGAGTTCACATTGTCGCTCCAATTCATGCCGTCTTTCTATTTCAAGTTGCTTTTCTCTTTTGACTTTTGATACCTCATTTGTAAGATTAAGGATTGTGATGTCCTTCTCTTTTCCGCCGGAGGTTGCTTTTTCCAGTGCGATTTTAAGCTGATCAAGCTCTGACATGAAGCTTGCTGCATCTCTTTCAGCCTCTCTTTTTTCTTTGATAGAATTTTCTTCGGCAGCTCGACTTTTGTCTAGCGAGGCTTGCAAACTGTCAACCTGGAACTGAAGAGATTTTTTATCCCTAGTCAAACGTTCGCATTCATCTTCCAGCTCAGAAATCTTGCTAATAGCACTGCTAGGAAGGCCATCCTTCCACTCGTCCTTTACCCAACTCATCAGGTTGCAGTTATTGAAGTGCAACTGCAAGCAAGTCTATTAAGGCGATTTGAAACTACGCCATTTTGCTTTTCGTGACCCGACGTTAAGACGAATCTCTCAGAATTTGAAATCGTTCTTATTCTACGATACTTGATTCGATTAGAAAGAAACATTCGAAATTCGCATTTTCCCATTGTTTCATTGTTACTTTTGTGGAATTCGGTCAATTGATCATTCAGTCGATTTGTGCAGCCAGTTCTAGTCTGACGTTCAAAAATAGAATTTTAATATTTTAACAAGAAATAAAGGGAAGCCGATAAATTCATCAAAAACACTAAAACCTATTGATTCAAAAATTAAAAGCAGTAGAATTTGAAAAAAACCGAGGCAAGATACTCACCTGTAATGTTTCATCTGTTGCAAGACTGTTTCCCAAAAGTGTGTTGAGACGAACAGCCACCAAAATTGATTGCAGCAAATCTTTGAAAAACTCCAAGGCAGTCCTTTTGGTCTCTGGAAAAGAAAAATATGAAAATACCTAGATTCACTCACTTTATTAGCTGGCAATTTTTCCCTTCATTTGTATATGAGATTCTACTGAAGAAACCCCCCAATTTTCTGCAGAGCTAAAGAAAAATGGATAATCTATTCCTACTAAGAAAGAGGAAATATCGATGAAATTATAAATTCTATTCAAACTCATTTTGTCAAGCCCAGTTTGAAGGTTTTTCAAATTTTTGTTAAAACACTTAATTTCCGAAAAAGTTAAGATCAGATTTGAAAAAGTTATATCGTAACTGTACAAAATTGCTTAACTTTTTATTTTTAGTTGATAGTTCTTCTGTTGATATTTCAACGTTAATGTTATTTAGGGTACCCCATCTTATTTAGGGTACTTTCAAAATCAAAAAAGGGTTTCATTACGAGCCATATGATAGTGGTTATTCTAAAACTTTGCAAAATTTTTCTATTTTAAGTCAACATCACAATAGATGCGACCATGTGACACCTTTAGTCAATATTAATTTTAGATACAGTTTCTGGCCATCCCTAAGACACCATAATTCTGAAATTTTTCTTGCCATCAACCATGGTGGCGGCCTTTCCTAAGCCCTTTCAAGACTTTGATATTTTGGCCCCTCCACTTTCAAATACGTTTCGCCGGCCCTGTTTTCGCTGCTCTTTTCCATGCTCGTTTCTGTTCACTGTCATATTTATCAAATCGTGTAAAAGTGGCAACCAAAACCTTTTTTCTTAGTCAATTGTGTTTTTATATAAGACTTCTATAAAACAATCTTTTGGTGGTACAAAACTTGAAAATGGCTTTGAAAAAAGCAAACATTTAGTAGACTAAAGCTTTTCGTCGGACACTCTTCAGAGTTTAAAACGTCAGAACGTAGACCGAAAACTCTACGCTAGGAAATATATATACCCAGTTGTGGATATTGAGATTGACCAATCAGTGCCGCTTGCCTATTTAATACTACAATTTTTGATACAGCTCGGATCCCCTCTTTCATTTTTCTTACTTACAACTGTTGTTTATATATGCAATGCTTTTATGAAGATTTTACGAAACTTTACGAAGCTATAGATCAATGTATGATACTGAAATAGAAATTTAGTATAATTTTATTTCTTTTTGGCAGCACTAACTTACGTTTTATTCAAAGCATTTTGGTTGTAATTGTGTGCCATCTTGAGTTGGAAACATTTAACCCAAGTTATCTGCCTTTTTTACAGAAATGGCATGGAAGGGTACAACACAAAACTTTGCACTTTTCAAACCTCAAGATTTGATATCACATAAATGCTCAAAATGCCAAGCATATTTTTTGAATTTTTTTGAAAAAGCATACCAGATTTTTCCATTTTCCCTTGCTATTTAACCAATTCCTGTCTCCTGAGAAAAGTCTTCTCCTCCACTGTGTTACGTTGACGGTCAATTTTACGTTGTGAAATGAATTTGATGTCATATTGCTTAAATTCTTGCAAAACGCGCAGGGATTTGAGTTATCATCATGCCACAGGACTTAAGAATTTCGATCTTCATTTTGACGTTTCATCCTCTAAAGAGTGCCACATGAAACACATTTACACGTCTTCAAATGTTTACTTTTCCAAGCCATTAAAAGGTTTTTGCCACCAGAAATTGTTCTGGTTGCACTTTTTTAAAGAAAATAAGGACTCGCCTTTTAAGAACCTTGAGGCTCGATATGCTAAAAATTTAAAACAATGTGCAGCTTATAAAACAGAGCCGTTCTTATCAGTAATTTATTGTTTTAGATGCAGAAAAATAAATACATCAATGTTGCAAAAGAACAACATTAACAAATTATCAAAAATTTCAAAACAACAAGCCTTGAAAAATATGGGGTGATATCTTTGACAAAAATCAGTAATCGAAATCTGGAATGTGTGATCTGCATTTCACGAATCCAGCAAATGTGGATTCAAATAATCTGGTTTTTACAGAAAATTTTTAATTTGTAGTCAAAACATTCTCATGAATATGACCTGTCTGTAAATTTTCTGCCACCTTAATCGCATCGATGCTCCTTGTGTATACGTCCGAAGAACAAATGGCGAATGAATAATCTGCCACGCTGTCAATTCCCTATACTTATCAGGCGGAAAAGAAGAAACATTTACCTCAGAGACAAGAAGAATAGAATAACTTCCTTCTCTCGTAAAGTGGGTGGCATCTGGTTGAGGTCTGGCAATTTTAGCGATAGAAAGGCTGCGGTTATATATTTCAAAATAAGGGCCTTTGTATCGTAAATTTATTTTGGTTAGATAATTCGGAGTATTTGGCTGTAAATACATTATTTATTGAGGCTTGGGAGTTAAACTCATTCGGATTCAATTTATTGCAACCAAATAGCAATAAGCAATAACTTTAGCAATAAACAATGGGGAATAAACCATTGCACCCGCTTGTTCTATGCTCTGGACTGGCCTGTAACTTGCTGTCATCAATATGCATAGTTTTTGTCAACAAATGGATTTATGTCCACTATGGATTCCCAAACATGACACTGACCTGCCTCCACTTCATCGTGACAACCATTGGGCTTCAGATCTGCTCATTCTTTAATGTATTTCATCCGAAAAGTTTGCCAATAAAAAGCATGATCCCTTTATCCTTGTCGTTCTGTGGCTTTGTTGTGCTGACAAACTTGAGCCTTCAGTATAACACTGTTGGCACATACCAACTCATAAAAACATTGACTACACCGTGCATAATATTTATTCACACACTGTTTTATGGAAGAAGTTATTCAACAAATATTAAGTTGACTCTGGTAAGTATCAATTTTAGTTTATCTTTTTAAATATTGCACATGCCAGACTCATGTCAGACCAAAGTGAACCAAAATCCAAAATTGATATATTTTTGATATGGGAGATCTCAAGCCCCATTTAGAATTTCTCATATCATGCTTATGTAGAATTTAATGTTGGTTTTTGAATTTAAGTTATTTCTCACGTTACTTCCTGATTTGGTACAAGAAAATCGTAAAAAATATAATTGTGATGTTTTTTTCTATTAGAATTCCACAGAGAGTATCTTGAAAGATAAACTACGGTTGAACGAACATAACAAAACAACTTATACAATCAGGATATATTACTAGGCCACATTACGTATTCAGCGTAAGAGTAGTAAAAAAATGTGTTCACAGCATGACTGAGCAAGGCTTAACTTAAAGTGTCAATCAATGATACTATGAGTCAAAACATGATAATAGTAAATGTCTTGTCATTTTCACTGTTAAATTTTGTATAACTATGCTTATTTATAGCTATTTATAGCTGCGTTCATCAGCTAATTATGTTAAAATACATTTTTTGATTTTAGATATAACTATCTTCTTAATATGTTTCAGATACCAATCACATTAGGTGTATTCTTGAATTCTTATTATGATGTCAAGTTCAACCTAATTGGAACAGTATTTGCAGGAACTGGTGTTCTGGTCACTTCCTTGTACCAAGTGGTAAGCTGCTAATTAACAGTGATTTGATAATATAATTTAAAACAGCAATGAGCATCAGTTGAAAATTGTCAGGAATAATTTATGTAAAATTAATAACAAGCCTTTCATTTTTCTTTTGCAATGTTGAAATTCCAGCCTTATAGTAAATCTAATAGTTTGTTCATATCTTTCTTTCAGTGGGTTGGTACCAAGCAACAGGAATTTGGAGTGAATTCTATGCAATTATTAAACTACCAAGTAATTGAATTAACATCAATTTTTCTATATCATAGTTTGATGAAAACCTTACATGTTGAAAAACAATAAATATGTTACTATTATGCCAGGTTTATTTCTCCATTGGTTACACATCTGATTAAAGGATATAATTTTGTCTCAAAATTGCCTTATGATTATGACCATCATTGTACCCAACTGAGACAAAATTGTATCATTGTGCCCTGGAACATCAATGTTTTCTAAAAGATTTTGAAATTTTGCCTGTTTGTTAGAATTTCTTATTTCAGCCCCAAAAAATTAAACTTCCACAGTGCCCCTGACTGAAAAATTTGAGAAAAATATGTAACCAGACTTATTTTTGATTCAACTTCTGCATTTTTGATACTACATGATAGACAATTTTAAAATGCATTTGGTAATTTCAGAAAACTCTTACTGCAAAAGGGAGATGTAATGAGTACAAAACTTGTTTGCATTGTCTTGTGTGCACAATGAAACTTCATCTGTCTTGTTTTCAGGCTCCTCTTTCTGCTGTCATCCTGCTTGTTATGATACCATTTTTTGAACCAGTCACTGGAAAAGGTGGTGTTTTAAGTCACTGGCCAGCAGAAGTTGTGGTATGTTACAAATGCTAATTCTGTTAACAATCAATTTTGTACAGACTTTGAAATTGACAGCTGATTACTTTTTATCCACCCTAAAAAGCTTGATACAAATATGCTCACCATAACTGTTTTAATTAAAAACAATATCAGTTGAATATCATTTGTTTGGACAATCTTTTTTTTTAGGGATTGGTATTTCTCTCTGGTGTTATTGCATTCTCAGTTAACTTGACAATATTTTGGATCATTGGCAACACCTCACCAGTCACGTATCCTTTGATTTATCTATGAGTAATATCTTTGTTCTTGAGAAGCAATGAAGTAGTTAACAAACTTTTTGTATTCTTTCATTCGGTCTGTGTTTGTTAATGGTAGCTTGTTGCTTACATTGTTTATTTGACTGACTGTGGACTGATCAGCATAATATAAGTGGGCTGGAACCCAGTTACTGCTCTTTGCTATTCTATGAACAAATTGCCAGCTCGTGTGATAACAGGAGAAGAAGTGACAAAGTGTTAGTAAACGTGAAGGATTTTCTGTAGAATAATCTGCCAAAATTGTTGTTATTTCATATAGCTACAGCTTTGGTGGCAACATGGAGAAAAAATGTGTCCAGCAATTCATTAAATTTATTGCATTTCTGTTGTTTAGTATCACTGCATGTGAATGTATTGGGTTTATTGTGCTCTTGTTAGCTTGCAGTTAACCAAGATACCTTGCTGTTTTTAAAAATTGATAATTCTAATTCTAGTCTGTCAAACTCGGGAACGTTTTCTCGTCCCCGTCACACTGTGCTCCGTTTTTGTCATTTTCAGAATTCAGTTATTGCAGTGAAATTTTGAACTTGAGTTTTTATTGTGTTGATGATACCATCGAGTCCTGTGTTCAAAGTTTGATGATTTACTAGTTGCTGTAAAATCTGTGTTAAACACTTTATTTCTTAACTCACAATAGCTATAACATGGTTGGTCATATGAAGTTTTGCATCACTCTAATTGGAGGTTACCTTTTGTTCAGCGATTCAATGAAACCTCATCAGTTTCTTGGTGTGTGCAGCACTTTCTTTGGCATTACTCTCTACACATATCTAAAGCTGGAAGAGCAGAAGACACCCAAAAGAATAATTAACAAAATATAGCTCTAAAGACAGTTAGAAAACAAATTATAGGCAATAATAGTAAGAAAGTTTTGAAGTTGCTTCTGAGGAAGCTTCAGCTTCGAAGTCACCTTTGGTCTAAATTATTTTATCATAATCAAGTCTATTTATTTTAATAAATATCAATATGAAATAGATTTTAATATTGATTAGTTTGATAACCATTCTGGTAGTTTATATTTGTCTTTTTGTATAATGATGCTTTAATGAATGGGGTAGGATAAACTGGAAAAATCGGAAAAGTCTTTTGTCCTGAATAAAAGGATATGAGAATAAGAGATGAAGTTCTTCCCGTTCTCATTGAAACAAGGACTAAGTTGCTATGTAAAAAAAACGCTCCATTTTCAGCCTAATGTTGAGCTCTACCAATAAGGTCTTCTTTAATGTATATTTTTCAATGTGTTTCATGGTCGTTTGCTACTACTGTTTTAAAGTATGGGGACCTAATTTAAAAACGGACGAAGCGACGGCACCAATACCTGAGACAATTCCATATTACAGTGATAACAGCTGGGCATTAGTATCGCAAGAAATGTTCCTTGGGGAGTCTCACGAACCGCTAGTACCATCGCCCCTTGGCAATAGGGCCGTTTCCTTAATATTTATACATGTAATCAAATTAAAGTGTGATTAACTTTTGTGCCAGATCTTTCTCTATTCACTCCTTTTTTCCAATGAAATAAGATTTTTCTATTGGTAGGGGCTTCACGCCATTGGTTTCATAAAAGATGCAGATATAACTACAAAAGGCGTGTCAGATTTTAGCGTTGTGGACCCTACCCTCATCCCACGATGCCCTTAGTTAGTAAGTAGCAGAGGGATATTATTATTTTTGAAGAAAATTAGGATGCTTTTAGCGTCCCTCAATTCGCTAGAATAACAAGAAGCGCTCCTGCATAATATGCTGTAAAAGCAGAAATACAGTGGAATAGATAGAGGGGGTCAGGGGGGGTGAAAACCCACCTGTAAAGCTTAACAGCTATTTTGTCGGAAAATTTCTGCTCTTGTCTGAAATATAACATGGTTTCCTTTTTTAACTAAGTGTTACATTTTGAGTGGGAAGGCTTTAAAGGTTATTATTACGACTTCTTCCGTTGTTTTGAATCTGATGGGCAATCGCTTTCATTAAGGTATGGGACTTCAAAATGCCTTTTTAGAGGAGGAGACTAGAAAATCTTTAATTAGTATGATTTATGACACTTGACTTTATTTCAGTACTAATGCCTTCCTTTTATGTTCAGATTTATGAAAATATTTAAAAGTTTTTTATATTTTTGTCGGGGTGAATTTTCCTATCTACACCACTAAAAACTACGCCACAACATGGTGAGAAATATTTATTGGCAAAATTACTCTCCTAGATCAGCATTTTTCAACCTGTGTCGCGGCAGAAAGTGCGTGGTCTGGTGTGTTGTGAAAAATTGTCCAATTCAACCTAATTGGTCTAAAAAATGAAAAACACCATCTTCCTATGAAAAAAGACACCATAGATTAATATATAATGCAAAAAGATATGCCAATGTAGGGTGCAGTGGTGACTTTCAAGGGGGCGTAGGGGGGCGGAACCCCTTGTTAAAAATTTTCGTGATTTTGGGGTTGGGGGCTTGATCTTGCTTTCAAAAAAATCTCCTTGTCCTTAAAAGGGCTAGATATGCATTATTTGCAAAGATCTTGATGGGTGCACACAAATTGTTAATTCTCTTAGTCTTATCGTAGGCACCTTTTTTAACAGTGTCTAGGTATTCCTTCAAAGCTACATTGCTGTATTGATTAATTGTGTTTTCTATGATCTCTTGGATCTTCATTGCTTTGAAGAAACTGTCGTTAAAATGCACATCATCGGATATTAATTTGCACCTCCTCTTATGAAATCAACCTTGGAGCCTCCTTTGTTAATTTTTTTAGAAATCACTCCTGGTGGGATGGCTGCTGACTTTTGGCTATGGTTGAAAAACCTTGGAACACAGGGAACACATAGAGGTGTATAGAGTTGCGAAGTATCCGTGGCAACGAAATGAGCAATCATAGATTCTACTATCTCCGTGAGTTACTGAAATGCCTATTTGATGGTAAATACGGAAAGAACCGAGGACTGTCAAGAAAAGGGAGACACATGAACAGTGCCAATTTCAAATTGTGGTAGATATTTAGCTTTATGATCATATCGATAGTCAGCAAAGAATTGTAGCTTGACGACAATGGTTACCAATTATTAGGCCACAGTGCGATAATTAATACCATTGTCTCATGGCATGATATCAGAAATATCAGTGGAATTCCTCGGCGCGTTATCTAGAAAATTAAATTTGACGTATGAATCAGTAGAATCTTGGATGCAATGTTAACTACTCATTGGAAGCCCGAAAAGCTCTTCTTTTTTGACAAGGACAAAAAGTTACGTTGGCGCAAAAGGCAGAAGAAATCTGCGGACAGCTTGCCAATCACGTTGCTAAGGGAAGCAAGGCCATCGGTAACATTTGCTGGTGATAGATTAGGAAATATATTTAAAAATAAGAAGGAAAACAGCTTTGTAAAAGGTGATGGTCGAATAGAAGAAGAAGGGGAAAACTCTGTTGCTGATGGCAATGAGAAAAAAGTCCTTGGAAAAAAACATAAATTGATAAATGAACTAGAATATGATGAAGATGAAGACACACAAAGGTTTCTTTATGAAGAAGCAAGGTTTTCAGCCCCAAACTTACTAGCGCAGATTGAAAAGTTTATTATCTTATTGTTAAAAAAAAGAACTAACGAGAAGGAGGAACTTGATCAGCTAAGTGAAGAGATAGAAGCAATTTACGGATCAGAATGGGACCAAGGTCTTCAAGAGGACAGAAGAACAGTTCTATATATTCCTGATGATTTGTACACCAAGCTTTGTTGTGATTATGAACAGTTTGCTGAAGGTGCAGTGTATGTCATGCGAAAATGGCAGACCAATGTTTACCGAGAGTTAGCTGCCCTTCAAGAGCTTAAAAGCAGTCATAACTTTATTGATTTTCAATCTTTGACGTCATCCCCTGATCTTGCTTTGCTCAGGACATTGTCACGTGAAAAGCAAAAAGTATCAACAGAAGAGAGAGAAGGACGACCTGAGAGTAACAAACCACCTCCATCTTCAGATGTCGTTGATGGTAAAAGCACAGTGGCTGAAGCTGAAATGGAAGGGCCACCAATAACCAATATTGGTCGTGAGTCAAGAATTTCAGGAGGAACTTTCAAACCAAAAACAAGATTAGACAAGTTCAAGGTTACTTCTGATAGAGATAAAGGTTTGTACTCTATCTACTTCATTATTGTTTTATAAGACAGATGAGGGCCATGTAATTGTCAAATTATTTTACAAGACAGCAAGGGCCCTGTGACTGCTATTTCCTAAAGACTTCCAACAAAATTATTCTGCCCAAGGTTAATTTTTTGGAAAACAGGGTTCTAAAATCAAGCATGTTAGTTTTTGTGAGCAACTGATAATAGTATCTGATGTGAGCAAATGCCATAGCAATTGACAGTTCATGATAGCAATAATTAAAACATTTCATTTAAAATTTGCATCATGAATTTATACATTGTCATATAGGTTGTAAATGTCATTACTATAAGGCATATTACTACTGAAGTCTAGTCCCCACTGCAAATTATTTTTGTGACCAGGAATTTTTTTCTGCCATTTCTGTTTGTATGGGAACAAATTGTGTTACAACAAAGCAGGTTGAAGACTGTGGGATCTTATTTCCAAATACGATTTGTAAGCTCCCTTGTGAGGCTGTGTAGGGCATTCAAATGAAAATTAAGGCTGTGTTGCAACTGTGCAGATTTTTCTAAATTTTTAAATATGCACACCAGAGATTTGAGGAAGTATTATTGTCTTCCCTGCACATACCAAAACTTTGCAGTCTGGTGCAACTCCATGTTGATGTAAGATTTGATTGCAACATGGTGATTTAGAATTGAATTTTAGAACTTTTGACACTAAGTTGTGCCATGCTAAGCAAAGTGTAGAAATGAATGTCCAGGCTTAGTATCACTGGTTATTAAAACTGTTAAGAGATGACACAAAATAATGAAAAATTGGATCTTAAAGATTACATCAAACTGCTGGATAGTATTAGATTTGAATTTTTTGGAAATTTCCTTAAGATCTTCACAAAAAGAACTTTCTCAATTTTTTTTCCAAAAGCTGAGATGGAAATTAATGTAGGGGAGGGGGTATTTAGGGGCCACTGCCCCTGAATTTTTGGGTCAGAAATTTTTGACACCAATAAAAATTTACAAGACAAGTTTACTGGTGACTCTAGATGCAAAAAGACTTTAAAAGATTGCAAGGATGGAACCACAAAGTGCAATATACTATGAGTATCCCATTCTGCATAGTCTGCAAATGAATAAAAAACAGTCTATATAAAGAATTTTAATAACATTGGTGGCTCATTTAGGTGAGTGGAGCAAGATACTTCTTAACTCAAGAACTCACAGGTCAAGGAATTTACCTCAATAATCATGTTTTTGTAGAGGAGTGAAAATTACTTTTTACTGGTCAGTCATTAAGCTGTTCATGCCATATAGGCAGAGCTGTTTTGCTGTATAGAGCAGAATGGTTTCAAGTTCCTACTCTGAGCTTTACACTTAATGTGATAAACAGGCAATCACTTGCTGCAACTGAGAACTTGGAGTAGCAACTTAGATTCACCATGTTCTATACACTAAAAGTGTTATTTTGTAAAAAAAATATAAGAGAGAAGATTATTCTACTATTTGAATTCCATGATTCTTATTTCTTATGTTGTTGCTCATGTATTTAATTTCATTTTGCTAGACAAGAATAGTCTTCCTTGATGAACCCATATTATTGATTAATTACACTCTAGATCTTTGTAGCAATTTATTTTTCTTTAGGCCCAAAAGCACCCTCTTTGCTCATAGCTGACAAAGAAAGACAGCAAAAAGGAATAACCGGTGCCAAAATAAGTGTTGGTCCTCATGAAAGCTTTGAAGATGAGTTTGTCTCTGTCAAAGGCTGGGAGACAAATTTCGAAAAAAGTATTGGTAAGTCCTTTTCATTTTTCTATTTGGTCAACATCAGGACATTTTTGTCTATGATGTCTGTTCTAGAAAGGTCTTTAAATAGAAATGGGCTTTTAGGGGGGCCTGTTTCATCAATCAACATGAGGAATAAGCTATTTTGTTGCTTATTACCTGTTTTTTATGTTAAAAACGCTTCTGAAAATGGTATTAAACCAAAAAAACATGGGAAATGCAAAGTATGTAGAAATTTGAAGCATATGTTGTCTGAATTTTTATTTTTACATTTCTCTAATCTGATTGCTAGTTATCCACAAAACTTGTAATTAATAGATAGAGTCGTGTTTGTGTTCATGAAAGATTCAAAAAAGAAATTTTGCTTTTAATTTACAAGTAATTTTTCTCTCTACAGTGTCAAACCAGAACCAAACATTTCTTCCTGGATCTATTTTAAACTTTTCTTTGGCTTCAAAGGCTTGTCATGATAAAGGTATGTAATTCTGAGCAACTTCCCTGAGCAACTTCCCAGAGCATTTCAATGTTATGTTAGCTACAATTAACCATGATTCTTCATAATGTGCCTTATATAAGGGTCTTCTGGATCTTACAAGCTGCTTTTGAAATTCAAATGAGTTTATTTGTTTGCCTAGGCTGGGTTCTTAGCAAACACACAGCAGAAGACTTAGAGCAAAAAAGTATGCTTGAATGGATGGTAACACGTTTGAGACAAAGTTTAAAACAAAGGTTTGTTAACTTTGTATCTCGTTATTGATTTGGAGAGTTGAAGAGTGATGATTCAGAAATTCCCAATGAAGAAAGCTTTAATTTGCTATGGCTTTCAAATTTGAATTTGTGTCATTTCAACTTTGCAGGGATGAAGAGGAAGACAAGGCGAAACTTCTCAACGAAAATGGACCGTTAATTAAAAGAGATTACGGTGATGCAAAAAGGGAAACAACGATAAAATACAAACGGGGCGTTGCATGGGCAAAGTTTTTGTCACAAAAGCAGACTGTTGCACCGAAACGGTTCTTGACAACACTGCCTGATGGAAGCACTTGCTGCTTGTATCCTTCTCTTGTTCCCAGGCCCGTGATGTTTTTGTATTTTTGTTACCTTTTTGTAGTTTCAAAGTCATTTTATAGTTTAAAGACTACTCTATCACCTCTGGTTTATGAAAACTGGTTTCCCTCATTCTATGCCACACCTCTCTGTATGTGCGTTCGTTTGATCTTCCCTGAACGGTTTCCTGAACAATATTTGTGCGTTTCTATCGAGAGCTAAGTATTTACTTTTTAATAGGCTTATGTCGAACTGATTTTCCAATAATCTAAGTTTTCTTTTAATCCCACGAGATCTTAAATATAATCAACAACTAATGTGTCCCACGATTGAATCGGCGCCTCCAAAATAGTGGGAAATCGCAGCACAAAAAGTGGTACTGTCTCTAGCATTAATTGATGTTTCATATTTTAAATGGCATTCGTTTATCTTGGTCTCACTTGCTGCCTCTTTGTTTTGCACTAGAAGCTATTTTCCTTAATGATCTTTCCAAAAGTTACCAGTCAGGTAGAGTCGCTGCAATCTCTTCCAAGTGCAAGGCAGGTAACCACGGCTTCTATACCTTTGCATACAGTGATGAGCCAAATGCTAAAACTTTAGCTTGTTTCACACCAACCGGAAGAGGCTGCTGTAACTACTCAGAGAAATCAGTCAGGTGCGCTAAAACTTTCAAGAGCAATCATTTTGCTGATTCTAATGGAATTAACTATTCAAGTTAAATATTGGGCAAAAAGAAATAAGTTTTTTATGATTTTTTCTCAGCTCTTTTCAATTTTCCTTTTTACGTTGTGTTTGCACGACAATGAAGTTTATTAGCAATGTTTCTACGGGCAGTTTCATTGGGCAGATTGGCCTCAAACATTCGAAACCGTCCAAAGCGACTGTGTAGATGGGAAATTATTACTTTCAATGCGTAATTTTGTATCGTACGCAATTAGATATCAACAATAAACATTATGAACTGTGGGTGTTTATTACTTCAATCAAAATGTTTGTATAAAACATATTTACCCTGTGATTATTTTTGCTTTGGCATTTTCTTTCTTGTTATCAGAAAACTATTTAATTAATAGTTTCTTGATATAATCTTTGCGTGAATTTCCATGACTTTAGTTTGATAAAAGTTTCTTTACTGGCAGATTTTTGGTCACAAGTAAGGAAGCAACTTTCAACAGCGAGGTAACAAATTATATTACGTCATGTTGTTGCTCAGACCATTGCTGAGTGATATATTAATTTATTTGTCTATATGTGTAGCAAATCCCTACTGCATGCAGTCAAGTTGCTTGTGTGTGAACATTTCTCTTCGTAAATTGTACGTTAACTAATTTTACGTTTAAATAAGCAGGGAAAGGAACGTTTCATATCTTGAAAATTGTCGTTGCAAATGAATCAAAAGAATCTTTAATTCCAGATTCGTACACTTGTAACTTGTTAAAACGAACCTCTTTCATTTGCATTTTTGAATTTCTGATTTGAGATTCTCATTCTGAGTTATCTGAAGCAACTATTTTGTTGAAAACAAGAAGTTTTTTGATAAATCGGTAAAGACCGAAACATGTCTTTTTAAGTTTGCAACCCAAGGGTAATGTATAACTATTTGTAAACATTATCAACAAATCTTTTGAAGTTGAGAAGACTTTGAATGAATGCTAATCTCTCTTGTTCTCTAATATTCTCTCTAGGATGGGGTTCCAGATAAGAAATGGAAATGGGCCTATGGCAAGATGATGAACCCAGAAACAGTTCAGGTATGGAATTCAATTGTAAGGATTTCCTGAATGATATGTGGTTGAAGCTGCAAAGTAAATGTGCCTAAATCAAATAATTGAGATAATCAATATTTTGGTTTAACGATATCAGTTATTATTTCTGTCGCCAAATAATAATAATTTTTGGCAGCTGATCAATGGAAAAGGAATGTCACCAGGGATAGCTTTGAACTTTATTAAAGGCTACTCCACACACACAAGCCCTCGTATATATAAACTCAGATTAGTAGATTGGTCTTTCCTTTCTAATGTTCATTAATTTAGATCTCATTGGAAACCGACTTAACCAGTTCTCCTAGCATTTGTACGCCACAAGTGGTTCTTGGACGTAAAGTAAGGCCTCTCTCTCCCTCTCTCTCTCTCTCTCTCTCTCTCTCTCTCTCTCTCTCTCTCTCTCTCTCTCTCTCTCTCTCTCTCTCTCTTATTATAAACTTGTTTCGATTTCGTTCAGGCTGTCTCTCTGTAGCAGAGGGTTTTGCGTGATGTTGTAACTTAGAGAATTTTTAAGGGGTAGATTTTTCCACTGTGTAATGTTTTCGATAGTTTTTTCACAAGTCACAATGTCTAGAAAGATGCCCAACCCATGGGTGCAAATGTACCTTTGTTTTATCCCACCTCTTGCTGAAAAGGAGATGGTTGCAATTGCCCACCTTAGTGTTATGTGACCAATGGATGAGTAATAGAGTACATGAACTAGTTTATTCATTCGAATCCTTAATGGCAAATATCTATAGCGGTATTTTCTGGATGAAGACATTCACTCTGTTTTCGTTAAACTTTATGTACCTTTTCTTTGCAGTTGAATGAGAACATCAGCGTGCGCTGTGTTAGCCATAACAGCGTCAGTTTGACGGTCAATATTGAAGGCGAAGTTCATAAGTTTCACGTTTCACCATTTCAAGATGCCTCAGAGACAGACACTGACAATCTCGTAAGATGTGTCTTCTTTTTATTGCTACATTTAACAAATACCAAATCGTATTCTGGAAAGAACAATTTGGAGATGGCAGTAGAAACAGTCAATTATTTGGACTGTGTCTGAGATTAGCCTTCAGTTAGCAGACAGGCACGTTTTATTTAACCCTGGCTGAATTCTTGCATAGTTATGCATGTCATTTGTATATAGAAGCCTGAGTTCGTACGATTTCTCTGTCGTCATCACAATGCCAGCGTTTCTGTCCGACAACCACAGGTTTTACCATCGCTCGAATGCGTTTCAGTGGGTGCAGTCTAGTTTGATTTTTTGAAATTTCATTCTCTTTTGTTTAAGGGCTATCTCATGACAAATGAAAATTTTACATCACGTGGTGCCGCTGAGGTAAGTTTTCATCTTATTTTCAGTATTTCTTTTGCTAGCTTCGTCTCGTGGCATGGGAAATACAGATATTTTATTACAATTGTGTTATTGAATGCACTATGGTTTTTCGTGGAAAATCCGCCATTTTATCTTTAAATGCACGACCTTAGAATTTTTTTGATGTAAAGCGATGCATTTTATTGTACTTCAGAGAGAATTGAATTGTTCTCCTTTAATTGACCAATATCTAATTTTAGGAGATTTTGGTGGCTGATTGATTCCTATCATTTCTATTGTTTTTAATGATTTTAATACTTTGGTATCAACATAGCATTACGCATTTATAAATAATGATTCCTTAGCCCTGTTTTTGATATATGAATTCACAAGAAAACATCAATGTTAACATTTGGCAGATGCAATTTTTTGTTTATCTTCCTTAGGCTCTCCCGCCGAGAAAGAAAATCACGAGAGAAGAGAGGCGTGCAAAAAACCAAAAAAGAGATCTTCTCAAGGTTTTTTTATGATTTATTGTCACATATATTAATCTGTTATCCATTCTATTATATTATAGTATTTAATTTTACTTTATTTGAATCATTCACCTTGACTAATTTTTTGAATCTCTTTGAACTTATTTAAAACAGGTTGCTAGCTGCTAGGTAGGTGTCTATAAACTTAGCTTCAATTTCAGAATAACAATCCTGGACTAAGCGAAGAATCGCTTGCCGAGCGACTCAAGGATTTAGACGAAAAGTTTCCAGAGAGAAGGGACATAGAGCTAGATGCGCCGTTTCTCATTGAGCTCCACAAATTGCAGCGAAGGATAAGGTAAGGTCCGCCTTAGTCATACGTCTAGAACCCTTTGGTATCTATATAGAATCAATCGAATCCAGTGATAGTCTGTGTTGTCTTCCAGTTTATAATGCTGAGGGTTTTTAGACACAACAGTGCCATCTTGAAACTGTAACGGTGTTGAAGAGCACTGACATTGTATGTTCCTCTGCAGGAATATTGTGTTCGAGTGGATGGACTATTATCGCTCATCGGTAGGCATATCGAGACCAAGCAAGATATCCTTGTTGTCAAAGAAGAAGAACCGGATGAATTCAGCCAATTCCCTTCCGGGATCACTCCCCTCATTTCCAAGAAAAGCAGCTGGCTCTCTGCAACGTGCACCTTCCGCTCCTCCATTGTCGGATTCATCAAGAAGCAAATTTACTTACAATGGAGAAAAACTGAGTCAGAGAGATCGGTAAGCCAAGTTTTTTCCTTTTACTTGAAAAATTCGTCTGCGGCCACTCAACTATTGTGAACTATCTTTTCAGTCAAGTGAAGCAAGTCTACCGTATGTCACATGCATATCTCTTTGGGTTTTTTAGATATATTGCAACAAACAATCATTGTTAAATGGAAAATTTATTCACTAGAATATTGATTGCCATGTCTTGATCTATATTCTTGTTCTTTCAGCTTGTCTGCACGAGAGCGGACACAAGAAAATCGACCGAGAAGTAATAATTCTGGCCATGGCTCGGATGAAGTTTTCCACACTGATCTGAAACTGGAGGTGCCTCAGTTACCGAAATCTGCAGATACTGGAAGGTGAGCAACTGGTTTATCAAGCTTTCGTATTTTGTTAATTTCGTATTTGTCGTCTGCAATGCACCTGCAAACAGAAGTCTTTTTGAAAATGGCTTTGAAAAAAGCAAACATTTTACGACATACTAAAAGCTTTTTCGTCTGACACTCCTCAGAGCATAAAACGTCAGAATAGGTTCCGAAAAAACACGATGGAAAAATATATACCCAGTTGTGGATCAAAAGTCTTTTTGTAGGGCTGAAGATCGGCATTGATATATTTGAATGAGCAGCATACCGAGATTGATTGACAAGAGGTTTCAATGTAATTACAAAGTATGTAAATATTACAGTTTTAAAATGACTTCGGCAGTTGCATAAAAGACAAAAATTTTCTTTTTCTTTTTCTAAAGGCTGTCCTCGTCTGCGTCCCCAGCACCGAAAAGAGGCCAAACAGAAGATTCACCACGACCAAAAACAAATCGGCCATTGCTTCTTCCCAAAGAGGGTTGCCCTGTGTATCTTTTCAAATTATCTTTTTTGCCATTTATAGATTCCCAAATATATAAATAGCACGTGAAAGTATAAATAGCGTTTGTGAATGAGAAAGCAAATCCAAAATTCATTCGTAAGGTTTAAGAGTATACACTTATTGTATATTCGAAGTTTATTGAATAGCAGACATCTTGCTGAATGAGTTTCTTTTCTGCTATGTAAAATATACGAAATAACTCAGAAACGACGTCCCCTGAAAAGGCCCAAAGCAGCACCCAAGACAGCAACTACATATACCATGTGAATCTTGCCTTTGGTTGTATCGAATTTTTTGTAAAAGAGTTGTATCTGAAGTTGGTACTGTATGGTTCCATTCTTCTTTAAATCGCATTATCTGCAGACAGTTTTTCATAGAATAAGTCCTTTTTCATACTATCTCCATCAACTTTAAATCTTTTGATACTTGCACGTGTCAACGAAGACCAACAACGATGTAGTATTGACTTCCTTGACTCTAGTACAGGGCTTTGCACGCGGAAATGATTGGGGTCAAGAGTCCACAGTGCAGGTACTAAGTTTTCTTGCTTCATGTGATATTTTGGTTTTAACTTTCATTTTCCACGCGAATAATTGGCATTTTATGTACAGCCTTGGGGACGGCGGAATTATTCTGTGGATAGATTAATGTGGAAACAAATTTCAACTCCTGTGGAAACATCCACCTATGGGCATTTGAAAAGTATTATACTTTTCCTTTTTCACAAAAAGCCTCTTTTTTAAATTTAAAAGAGGTAGCAAATGATAAATATTTTTGGGAAACTGTCTAAGCCCTTGGTCGTCAAGTGTTAGTGTGCAACCAGTCTGACATTTTTAAATCTGATTCACGCAGCTTCGAATAATGCGTCTCGTTGAAAGGTGTAATACCCCGAGCAACTCACAGACCGCGTATTCAGAAAATATTCTCAGATATGTTAGTTGATAAAGCCTATTTTTTAATCGTAGATATTTCATGTCTTTAACTTGAACTTGCATTTTAGATGCGACAAGAGAAAGATACCATGCATACAGGACCTAGAATACGATGTTTTTATCAACCAGCACGTCCCATCGACGCAGCTGATTGTTGTTAGCATTGTGTCTTCGTGGTGAGCTTTGAGATTTTTGTCATCAGTTAGTTTACATCCAAAAAGCATGAGATTTTTAGACGATTTGAAACAAATCTTATGCTGATAACTTCTCGATGAACGATTTACATTCAAATCAAAATGTTTACCGATGTTGCTCTGTGGGGCATTATTTTCCTTTCGAGAACATCGCCACTGCCATTCTTTGTTAGTTTGTTAGTTTTACGATGCTTAAATTTTTATTTCTTGCCAGTCTTTGGTACGATCTAACTAGATCGATGCAAATAGTAAGTTTGACATCAGAAATTGCTGAAGGCTGTATGTGTTATTAAGGCTTGTTCCTGTACTGTTGCCATTGGTTACTATAGCATTGCTGTTCATCTCGCCACAGGTCTGCCAAGTCTCCAAGTGACACAATGCTGGATGAACTTTATTACGAAAAAAACAAAGCTCAGAATCTCCCGTGTGCCCAGGTTTGGTTTTTTCCTATTATTATTATTTTTCATTGTTGTATATCACTCTTGAAATCACCTTCATATATTTCCAAAGAATCAATCTATATTGAGCTTTTGAAACATCTGGCTTCCAGAAAAGATGTTTTACATGAGTTCTGCTTGTTTTTATAGCATATGGAGCGACCTGTATTAATATAATATTTTGATCAGCTTTGTTTTGTCCTTGTTATTGTCACCGCTCAAATTTTCCATTCAGGTTTTTATATTTATCTAATTTATATTGCAAAATATGTTGCAAATAGTGTTAATAATTGGTTTCTTAATGCTGATAATACCAAATTACGTTAATATTTACATCAATCAATACTTAAAATTTATATTTTGATTCACGTACTCCACATGCTATGGAATAATTGAATGCATTCAGTTTTTTGATATTGATATAGTTTCAGTCATTCATTTTAAGTATTGCCTCGTACTGAAATATATTTTGTTGCAGTCTCGTATGAAATATATTTTGTTACAGTCTCGCAATGATCCGTATCGCATTCTTCGCTATGATTTGGCTTCAGCTGGCTTCAACAACGAGACGCCACTGCTGCTGCGCAGGCACAATGTGGCGCCAGGAATGTTCTTGGTAACAATTTATCTGTTACGTCATTTTTCGAAAGAAAATGAAATACATTTATAGATAAACAGAGTGCCATAAGTGCTTTATTCACCTCATTATTTATTTATCAGCTCTTTCTGTGTTCTCTTTAACCTTTCTTTAAAGAATCTTTCTTTAAACCTTTTTACTGCCATTTCTCCATAAAAAGATTCTGAATGACTAGTTACATCATATTTTCAACGTTTCGCTACAATGATTGAAATGAAAACTGTTATTCCTATTTGAGAAAATGCAACTTCACCTTTTCTGGGTCAAGGAAATGGCTCGTTACTATTAACTGGAAATTTTCAGGAAATGTGAGCAACGTCCACCTTTTCCCACTTTTCTATTCAATCGACCTAGCGTACTCTGAATAAATATTTGTAGTTCTTTAAAAACTTCTGTTTCTTTTAGATGTATGTTGGAGGAAAATTATTGTTCGCTGATTACATATTCAATGGCTATGGAAACGCAAAGAAAGATTTCTTGAATCAGGTAGACTGGTTAAAGTTCTTGATTTTGAAAGAAATTTTGATAACTGCAACCATATTTGAATTAGCGCTGAAATTATCTAATCTTGAATTATCTTAAGTTGAGTATTTGCTCCTTCTAGGTGCTCAAGACACGTAAAGACTCGATGGTTGGAGCTGGGCTTGCTCAAGACTTTAGGTTTTCTACACGCCCAACAGGCAGAGAGCCAAGAACAGCTTGGGGCAGTGAGCTTGCTTTGTCTTTTGGCAGTGTATTCGCTACCACTGATGAGGTATTCCACAATGCCAGTGGCATCAATGGTTTGCCATCGCTAGTGCCGAAACAATCTAAAGGAAGGTATTTGTACAAAGAAAAGGACAGGTACTTGAAGTCTCGTTTGTTCCTATTCATTTATTCATAGTAAGATTAAACTTTGTGTTTACCTTTCCTGTTCTATGAAATTCTCATCGTTTACTTTCATTTACTTTCTGGTTGAAGTGTTAACTCGAGTAAACATTTTATTTTGAATTCAAATTAGTTTATTTTGAGCACCAGAGACTCATTCTGTACTCGCCCGTTCCAAGTTTCGTTGCCAATATCACGAACTTTGACTCTCTTCACCCTTCTTTGCTTCATCTTAACTGAACAGTGATATCAATATTTGAATATGACGCAAACATTATTATTGCATGACAATATATAACAAAATATTAAATACCGAAGGACACGTTGAAATAGCTCCGATGAGCTTTCGAGCTATGTTCACATTGACTGTTGCTGAAAATTAATCCAAGCTAGATTAAAAAAGCAAACATGACAAGATTCGAAAGGTTTTTACCCTTTTCTTGTCTCTCAGATTTTTTAACCTGTCGTCTTTCAATACTGGAATCAACAAGCTTGATCTTGCTTTACCCTTTTCTTAGACTCTTGCTTTTATTTTGATTAACTGTTTTAATTCCAACTGTATTTCTTACAGGCCAAGAACTCAAACCAGTTTGTTTTCATACAATCGATTCACCAACCTTCATTACTAAACGAATGCGTGGCTTACAGTCACCACTCAATAGACATGCTTAGGACGGAGAAGACTGCGAACTGCGCCATCATATGTCAACAAAACAGTTGAGAGACAAACGTCGCTATAAATATTTATAAATGCAAAGCTTCCTTTATTTTTTGAGATTAAAGATAAATAATGAAAGCAATATTAGATTTTATTTAAGAGGCATCATCGTCTTTATGATAATAATTCCTCTTACATGCTCGATATTGCTCTGGATCGTGCAATACAGTTTTCCCTTCAATGCATGATTAATAACTTGCTTCAGATTGAAATCAATTCTCTTCAGATTTTAAAAATTACATTATGCAAAATGTGGATAAAAAGAAATTGGGTTGTGAACAATTTTGTCTTCAAATTAACCAAATAAATTTCTCCTTTATAAGAATAAGTACCCTACCTTATATTGACCTTTTCTTGAAGTTTGAGGTCAGCCTCCTTTTTGACAAAGGTATGTTTTTCGAATTAAGCAAACTTTCTTGAGAATATTACATTTTTCAAAAGCCAAAGTGTTGACGTTTTTGCTTATGTTAAGTGAATAAACCCACAGCTTTATTTTTCAGTTTCTGCGTCAAATCTGGAAATTTAATTTCATTAATCCTTTATCATTTCCTAATATTCCAGAGTTTTAAAACTTCTCGAAATAAACTGCCTCTTTTCAAGCCAATAACTTTTTTCTGCTACTACTGAAGTTGATCAAAGGTCTCGCTCTCAATTTAAAGAATAACAATAGAATAAGCAATTTATAGTGATTATTTTCCTGTTTTTTAGTGGTGAATTTCAAGGGACTAGTAAACCCTTTGTTTTAAAAAGAAAACTTTTTTCGTGTTGTAAATCAATCTAAAAATGCAGATCAAAATACTTTTACACATGCTTCCAATAGGCCTTTTCCCGTTTTAAACACATAGAAAAGGAAATTTAAATAGTTTTTCACTAGCTTTAAACGTATTAAGATGCAGAAAACTCTTTTTGAAAGAAACAAATTTTGACAAAAACTGATTTTTTTTCAAAGACTATAGCCTTACTTTTTTGCCGCTTTTACACAGGTTGCTAATATGACTTTTTTCTAATTTTAAACACTGAGATATTGAAATAGTTTTCCTGCTAGTCTTCAACTAGAGTGCAGAAAACCGCTTTTTGGAAGAAAAATTTTTTGACAAAAACCGAAGGAGTTAAAATAGTTTTTTCAAAAGGTCATTTCCAAGTCTCTATAGCCTGTCTTTTAAAGAAAACAAATTTCGACGAAAACTCCTATTTTGGAAGCGTATTAAAAACATCCAGAAAAGAACTTTATCTTATATTGTGCAGTATATTGTTCAGCAGACATGTAAAGAAAGGCAGAGAACTATTGTTTTGGACAAACTTCTAATATATCTTACATCTGCATTTTCTTCACTTGTCTTGGAGAGTGTTCTCTTTCCGTGAGCTTTCAAGTAGCTGTTTTAGTTCTTGAAAAAATACTAGCTTATCTGACTTTCTCGGGTAAGACATCGTTCTCCCCGATGTTGAAGGCATAACATACATTGCCTACAATAAAAAGATGGTTTATTAATTCAAAAATTGACGTTAAAAAATACTTTTAGCAGCTCTAACCAATTTATTTTTTCATACATTGCTATAATTATTATTTAAAGACTAAATTTGGTTCGTAAAAAATCGAATAGTTAAAAAAACAAAGCCCTCCCTATACTTTGGACTGAATTGTTCACTACTGTTAAAGCTCTAGAAATCTCAGCTTATTAACAAAATAATATTGTTTAAAACTATCAGAGTGGTGCAGGTGCACTATGCGTTTCTGCATGGGCATGCGTCTCTGCATGAAACGCACATGACACCAGACTGGACAATTTCAAAGTTTAGCCAGCATTGAAACGTTTAAATTTTTCATTTAATCAAAAATTTGTGCCTTTATAAGCTTTTCAAAATTCTCCAGCAAATCCAACACTCAGTTGAAACAGAATCTTGAGATGCAAAAGTTTACACCCCTTGTGCACATCCTCCGTATAGAAAAAAGAAATTGGGATTCTTCTCCTTGACAACTTCCAGCCTCATCCACTTTCTTCCCATGTCAGCAGTTGTGTTGCACAGTAATCTAGCATGGTGTTTACAGACCTTTCGTGCCGCACAAATATGCCAAAACTTGATTGGTGAGATTTGGTAAAATATTTGCAAAAAATTATAATAACGATAGTACAAGCAAATTAACAAAGGGACCTGCAAATATGTGCGGCACGGACGACATACTTAAAAAACATCATGTACACGGTTTAGTTGAATTTCTTCTATATTGAATTAAATCGTAGCATTGAGCGTGAGCATCAAGGTCGGTTCTGTGTTTATTGGGTATAGAAAGTTAAATGTATTAACTGTAAAGAGGAAAATGAAGGATTGCTTTAATTCAATGAATGGAGACGGAAAATCATTTCTGAAATTTTGATGGTATTCCGTGCGGCCTGTGCGACGCCCCGTATCCACCTCTGGCAGAAAAAGCTTCTCAGCATATCAACATAAACAATTCTTTGAGAGTAAGAAAATCGAACGCACACTGTTTGTTCCTGGATATCTGTTGCTTTGAAGACCAACATTGCATTTCTTTTTCGAAAAAACTTCATATATTCCTAATAAATTGATAAAAAATCACATGATAAAAATCAAATGCAAAAGAAATTGAAAGGTAATAGAGAGCAAATGTATTGAACAAAAAATGCATTAAAAACCAGACTTATTAAAAACCGGACGTTTTAAAGACAATCTCACATCAAAATGGGCTGCATAGAGCGAGCTCTAAAGCCTTGCTTCACTAAAAATTCTTCAAACCAAAAGACAATTTCACATCAAAATGGGCTGCATAGAGCGAGCTGTAAAGCCTTGCTACACAAAAAATTCTTCAAACCAAAAGACAATTTCACATCAAAATGGGCTGCATAGAGCGAGCTGTAAAGCCTTGCTACACTAAAAATTCTTCAAACCAAAAGACAATTTCACATCAAAATGGGCTGCATAGAGCGAGCTGTAAAGCCTTGCTACAGTAAAAATTCTTCAAACCAAAAGACAATTTCATATCAAAATGGGCTGCATAGAGCGAGCTGTAAAGCCTTGCTACACTAAAAATTCTTCAAACCAAAAGACAATTTCATATCAAAATGGGCTGCATAGAGCGAGCTGTAAAGCCTTGCTACACTAAAAATTCTTCAAACCAAAAGACAATTTCATATCAAAATGGGCTGCATAGAGCGAGCTGTAAAGCCTTGCTACACTAAAAATTCTTCAAACCAAAAGACAATTTCATATCAAAATGGGCTGCATAGAGCGAGCTGTAAAGCCTTGCTACACTAAAAATTCTTCAAACCAAAAGACAATTTCATATCAAAATGGGCTGCATAGAGCGAGCTGTAAAGCCTTGCTACACTAAAAATTCTTCAAACCAAAAGACAATTTCATATCAAAATGGGCTGCATAGAGCGAGCTGTAAAGCCTTGCTACACTAAAAATTCTTCAAACCAAAAGACAATTTCATATCAAAATGGGCTGCATAGAGCGAGCTGTAAAGCCTTGCTACACTAAAAATTCTTCAAACCAAAAGACAATTTCATATCAAAATGGGCTGCATAGAGCGAGCTGTAAAGCCTTGCTACACTAAAAATTCTTCAAACCAAAAGACAATTTCATATCAAAATGGGCTGCATAGAGCGAGCTGTAAAGCCTTGCTACACTAAAAATTCTTCAAACCAAAAGACAATTTCATATCAAAATGGGCTGCATAGAGCGAGCTGTAAAGCCTTGCTACACTAAAAATTCTTCAAACCAAAAGACAATTTCATATCAAAATGGGCTGCATAGAGCGAGCTGTAAAGCCTTGCTACAAGAGAGCAAAACGTAAAATTAAAGCATGCTTCGAACACAGCCGCCATGATGATAAACTGCTGCAACATCAGCGATACAAACCTTTTCCGTTGAAGCACACAATCACCGGATTTGTTTCCGCTACCTTTCTGTTCATCTCTTCTATTCCAGCCTTAATCTCTTGACTACAAAAAGCAAAAAAAATTCTTACATGTCGTTTCAGAAAACCTTTCACTTGAATAATAATCATAATTATGTTCAAGCTAATTTATGAATTTAATGTGTGGAGCAAAAGAATGGCAGGTATAAAAAACAGAATTTTTCTTCGAACAACGATGCAAATCTAATCTTAAAAGCAAATTTACACATTAAAAATATATCGGTCTGCACCTCCCTTCAATCTTGTTGGTTTTCCGGTTTTCCTTTATTTCTTGAATTGTTTTCAAAACAACGAACAAAAGTTAATTAGAAACCTCACGTGCTCAAGTCACTGGAAGATCTTGTTGTTCTTTCCACGATGTTAGTAAGACCAATCTTGTATTCCAGGCATCTATGGTCGTCTGTGAAGGTAAGCTTCTCAGGTACCAGCCCAGACTCATAAAGACATGGCCCTTGAAATAGGAAATTAAGCGTCACATTCTAACGTTATTTTTATCTAAAGAAACATTGTATGAAAGGTAAATAATAGAAATATCCAGAAAGGCAAATAATACAAAATATTTTCACTGGTTGCCTAAATTGAATTAAAAAAACCAATGCAGGAATACTTCAGGCAATGTACTCCAACAAAGAGATTTTTGGGCATTGCTTTGAAAAAAAAGCAAACATTTTCAAAAATACTTCATTATGTTTAATTGATTTCTATTAGATATCACAGACAGTTGAAATTTAGGGCAAAACTTTAAAGATTGCTTGCAAGAATTTGTGCTTCAATTTCAGGAAGGTTTCGTATTGAAAATGGTATTACATATTTGCTGACAAAAACATATTTAACACTAAATAATTTTCGGACAGCTTTTTTTCAATAGTCTGTACCATCTGCTCACACATTTTTTTTAAATTTAAGTTGACAAGCTTGGGCCTTAATTTGTTCTTGTCTATCAATAAATGATTTTTGTAACGGATTCTATGACTGGAGCAATAAATAGTTCCAAAGAAATTTCGTTCAAGTATACACCTAATTTTGCACTGGTTGCTTTGGTAGCAAACTCAATCTGAATGTTCATGCATTGATTATATTAAAGAAGGATAAAAATGGTGAAAAAATGAGTTTATAATATTATTTTTCAAGGACATTCAAAGGCAGTGTACACAAATGCTAATGAGGGTGAATGACCTTACCAAGAGGAAGCTATTGATATCTAGGAACATAGATATCGATATAGATTGCAAAAGAAGCAGAAAATAAAATAACTTACAAAAATGGTTATTGTGCCCACAGTAGTGGTGACCTTTGAATGCTGACATCAATCCAGGATTAATACCAACCTAAAGTTAATAGTAATTACTTAATTCTTATATTTATTAATATGATTAAAAATCAAAGTTAAGTATTCAAATAGAGCCAGGAAGTTACTCTGCCTTTTCCTTTTAATGGCTGATTGAAGAAAGTGATGTAGAACTGATTGCAAAACAGTCAATAGACCAAAGAAACAGCAACTAATATCTGTTTAGAAAATAAAACTTCTACTTTTAAATCAGATTCTTGATCTGATTTGTTTACTTAGGACACTTGGCAGCATTACAAGCATATGTGATGCAGAAAATTACAAGTTAAAAATCATAAAACAACAATGATATGATAATGTGATATTGATATAATAAATTTGACTTACAAATAAAATATCAAGATTTGGAGCAAGATGATCTGGCAGCTTTTTCTCCAAAATCTGCTCAACAGGGATCCCATCAAACTTTTCTTTTTTACTTCTTTTAATGGGACTAGCTTTAGATTCTTTGCTCTGGACACTAAAATATAAGAGAAAGTGATTGGAGACAATTTTTTTCAGAGATTATGCTGACATGGACATTGTTAGTCATCACACTCAACTTTGAGGAAATTTCTTAGATGCAGAGTCAGTACAGCCAAGGTTGTTTTTCTCTCTGCATTTACAAACTGTTATATGTTCAACAGCATCCAAAGGTTTCCTATCACTGCATTACTGACATTTTTCAGGTCAGGAAGCTTAATACATATTTGTATAATATATAGATGCCATTTAATGCTTAAAGAAATTATGGGAATCTGCTCTCATAACTCAACTTCCTAACCGATTTTGTTATTGAAATTTGACCATAAGTGAATGTTTATTTCTCAGTTTTATTTGCTTAAATTTAGAGAATTTATTAATCAAAGTTTTGAAATTTAGCATTTTTTTATTTTAAAATTGATTGACAGTGAGAAAATATCTTTAAATTAAAGATTTCAATGCAGTCTAGGTTTACTTACAAATATGGACTACTAACTCCTTCGACTGATCTTTTCATTTTGCCTGAGATTCTAGAGCCTGATTTCCAGTCCTAAAATTGAATGTTTGAATGTGACAAATCCAATTGACTGCTGAATAGGTTCTTGCTGAAACAAAACCGAAATTTATGTTGGAAAATTTAAGAACAGTATACATCTGTCATGGGTGATATTGAGATGAGTATTTTGAACTTGAAGAGGACCAGGAAATTACTATGTACCAATGGGGTAGTTAGGTCTTTGACATTTAGGGGGGGGGTAAATTTAAAATAACATACAGAGGTAATGCACAAACATGTAAAAACCAAACACAGTCATGGGAGAGAGGGTTAAGAGGCAGCATGTGTACATTTTCAAACTTATTACAATCTGCAAAAGTTTTGGTTTGGGTTCCTCTAGTATATTGCGAGGCCCCCCTGCATCTTCCGGGGGGTTACTCCCATTGTGGCCCAACAGGGGGGTCCAGTCAGGGTCAATGTGGGCTAAAGGTAAAATGTTAAAATATTACCCTCAAATGGTAGCATAAGGACATAAATTATGTCACTGGTAGCATTCAGTTCTTTGTACGCACCTGGTCCTTTTTCGACAAATTTCTTCGCCATTGACTGTTGTTGTTGATTCGTGAAAAATAAGACCTTGTTCATTGTCTATAATGAATCGCAAGCTAAACTAAACCGTTGTTTTATTATCGAAAGTGGACCATTAGGTAGCCATTCGGTAAGACCTTCAAATCGACTGGACCCCCCATGTAACTGTGATATGATTTTGACTTGCTAGGTCTAGTCTCAGAGGGGAGCATGATAATATAAACCTTTTCCTAAACAATGCTTACCTTTTAAACATGTTAAACGCTTCAAAATGAGGACAGCATTACGACCTTTAACGATAGCCGAGAAGCTCCATTTTAATCATATTGTTTATATTCAAATTTCAGACAGAGGCTTCGAAGAAACAGCTGTTCGGTGGCAAATGGAAAGGAGGTTTTCCATTGTAAAGTTGTCTGAATAAAATACGCGATCCAAAATTCCGCGCCATTATAAGTAAAAATACTTACTTCTTTACTAATTGCACATTATAAAACGATTTAGCAAAGATTCCTTGCAGATTTGCAGATTTCAAATAATTCATTCGTAATATTTTTAGATAATAAAAAGTAAGTATTCATAAGCCTTTTTTTGGCAGGACATTTGCCATCTTGGTTAAAGTTAATAACCGCGATTCCCTAAAATAGAAAATCCTGCCCCGCTATCATAAACCTCCATCCCCAAAACAAACCATAACTCTTCAATTATCCTTTAACATTGTTGAGGTTTTGAAACCTTCGCAGCAGCACTATGAGACCACTGGTCGTTGTACCAAGACATACATCTTCAGCCAAATTAGTGGAATAATCATTTGAAATTTTCAGTCAAAATTAGGTGCCTAGCCTAGAAAATGACGGGAAAGCAAATTTTAAAAATTCACGATGTGATTTTAAGATAAAGAAGATAAGAGAATAAACAAGGTATTTTTTGCATCTTTTCTTACATCGACTACCAAAAAGAATCCTTTTCTGCAAACTTGCAGAGGCCACCAGTCAGAATCAAAGTCATACATTCAAATTATCAATTACAGTCTTCTTTTTGGTGTGTATTGTAAGGCGCCCGCTCCCCAATCTGGTGACGCCCCTGGTGATTTATATGTGCTGTGGTCTATACACAAACTGCAAAGCAAACTTCATTAAAACTTAAAACAGCCTCTAAAAGGTAAGCAAGACAAGCTCAAGAAAGAGACGTAGGTGTTGGGGGGGGGGAGAAAAGAGGGTACCCTGTCACAATGGACTTTTACCAACATTGTCTGGTGACTGGCGACTATAATAAGAGCCTTTCTAAACGTGGTGCCCTAAAATTATAAATGCTTCCTCTGTTTGTGTGAAGCAAAATTGATGTGTCAGGCAAAGTGTTGCAAAGAAAGAATTTTCTTGCTCCCATATAGAGAAAGGGTTTGCATGGACATTAGGTTATACCCAGATGTTAATTTTCGTGCGAATATATACAGACCTGACCCGCTTAATCAATAACTGACAGCTGGCTCACGTTTGTTACTGTGAAAAGACACGCATCGAATTTCAGAACTGGGCTGGGCACTCTTTAGTAACAACAAAAACTACGCTGAAATTTCCAGCTGCAGGAGAGGGCCTTCTTTCTTCAACTCACACGTGAATTTCTGTATTTAAAAATTGGCAATTCTATCTAGTGATATCCTATACTTTATACAAACAAACTTGGTTATAACATTTCATGTTTCATGCTAAACGAAATAAAAACACATTTTGACTACAAAACATTCTAGCTGAACTGAAGAAAGGAAACCAATTCTATAGCGAAGCACTCAGGAAATGAATGTTCAAGACTATTTTAATAGGCCTAGTCTCAGTGTGAAATTCTTTAACGATACGATCAAGCGGAAGATCTCAAAAAAGCTCTTTTTGATAGATACATGAATCTGCTTTTTTAGGCTAAAATCAAATCTAACCGGACCGAGTTCACATGTGATTGTAAAAAAGAATTATATCATCTCTTTCGCCTATTGTGAATTCATTGAACAAGATAACTGAAATCCACGAAGTTTAACCCAAATCATCTGATAGTTTGCCAAAACCATGAAATATTTCAGTTCCATTGTAAATCTCCCTGCCTGATGAATTTGCGTAAAGGAGATATAAAACCTGCTTCCGGGGGGTACTGCGAGTAAAAACTGGATGTGTGATTGAGTTTAAGTTTAAAAAAGATAAGCTCACTAAAAAGTCAAGGCTGTTTTTTCGAGCTGAAGCACCTGGCTTTATCCTCCAAAAATACGACTTCATTCAATACAGATGCAAATATATTCACTGGGGTACCACAAGACCAAGCCCTAGGACTCCTATTGTTTATTGTCCGGTGTACAACAAAAGGTTGGTAAGAGGTTTTGTTATTAATACAAACACTCTTCTGCAGTGCAGTTTTGACCTATCACAAACGCAAGCCCTGTTGCATCACGCCGAATCCTCTTCTATTTAATCAAATTCCTTGTGGATATCTATATATAAACATTACGGTATTGAATAACAGTTTAATCGACTTAGCGGTCCATATAATCAAACAACGACATATTTTCTTTGCTGTTACCCTTAAAGAGTTCACTAAAAGCCACATCTAGCAGTGAAGAATTTTCCACTCTAAAGAAACAACAAGACACTTTTGAAAAATCACGGTTATTCACGTAGAATAAAGAACAATCGCCAATAGATGAAAACTCCACTTCCCCTTAATTCTTAATGCTAAATCATTGTCATGAAAACAGGAATTCTTTTCAATTCGAGCGGAAGACAGTTCTTATTGTATTGTGTTGAGAGGCTCGAAAGCTAGAGTGGCTCATTTGTAGCAAAGCTATTTTCAGGAATGGCGTGGCTGACTTGGGTTACGGTCTCTGCTCTGCTGGTTAACATGTTCACCTCGTTACCAACAGCATCTAACAAAAAAGGAAAAGGCAAGGCAGTGGTATGTAAAACAGTATTTTTTAAGTAGTCTTAAGGTTGCGTTAATTGATCTGTATGTCCACTAGTTATGCGAAGTTGCTGCTTTGTGGTTCACCGTTCATGGCCCAGCCAAATGTGAGTACCAGTCAAGTACCTTGATATTCGAAAATGAATTCATAGAATGATCTGAGTCAGTGGCGGATTTCAGGGGGGCAGCTAGGGGCAGTTGCCCCTCCCTCGACGAGTTGAAGCAAGTATGGCGCCCCTTTTTTGGAAATTGTGCGCCCCTTTTGAAGAATGAGAATTATGTAAAAAAGTTTCTAAGACCAATAGGTTAATTTGCTTAAAGAATTACTTCAAAGTTATGTTATTTATTCTGAAAATGGATCTGAAGTTGTTGTATACAGCGTTCTCTCATCATCAATTTTTGAAAATTTTTCAGCGCCCCCACTACCAACTGCCCCTACTTCAAATTTGCTCTGGATCCGCCACTGATCTGAGAAGACACTTCCCGTTCGCAATTAGAAGGAAAGGTTTAGGCTCGAACATAACCGCTGTTAGATCTTTCTGGAGGACTTCATTTACTACTTATTTTGACAACATTAAATACACAATGAGAAAATATGGACAATTTTTGCAAAAATATAAATTATCATAGTTAAATTGTTTCTTTCTGTAACAAACTGTAACAAAAAGTTAAATTGTTTCTTCTACTCGACTTTTTGAAGGAGTTAATACATAAAGTTATTGCTTCCGCTTTGAGCTTTCGATTCTGTCGGTTGCCAAAGCATATTTGGTCAAACCAATTGAGTTTCCCATGCCCGCAGCCTTTGTAAACCTCTATCTTTATTCCAGTTTTCTTCTATTAATTTTTGTCAAATCCAATGTATGGAATCATCCCATTGTTTTTGAAGACTTATGTTTATTTGACGTGGTCACATAGTGAACAAAGAAACAGCGTTATTGTATTCAAAATTGAGCAATGCATAAGATTGAAATTTCGCTACATTTTCTTGTTCATTAATTTAAAAACAGCATCCTTTCCCCCTAGGATCAAAGAATCAAACACGTTAAGCTAGTAAATCGTGTAATTTACTCGATATCAAATGCCACTTCAAACAATCGAGTTTTTGAATCAATTCTGAATCAAACCAGTTACGTGTCAAGGCCTGTCTTTTTCTACAAATACAAGCATATCAAGCCCGAATAATTTAAGAGTTAAGTTCTATCTTACTAGGTATCCAGACTCCTATGACATAAAAGCGATTCATTCGTCACCACAAAAATTTATTTTTATTAGAAGATCCCTTTCGGATCTGATGCGATTTCTTTGGGAGGGGGAGGTTGTGTCCAGACTGGACCTGCATGGTGCTGGATCAAAATGGATCAATTTGAAAAGCAATTTCTGAGTTTGCAGATATCAAACCCGAATGTGATCAGAAGATCGGATTTGTTTAGCTCCGTTTCTGTGTAAATGGAGTTTTCTATCGATCCCTATGTTTCTATTGTTTTCAGGCGTCACTGCAAGGCCTATGTCTTTCTTCGAAAACATTGGGTTCCTGTATCGGTTTTATATCCTCATTGCCGCATGTCGTACGCATTGGTCGTACGTAGATAAAAAATATCAAAGAGAGCAAGCGCGCTTTTTAAACAAAACAGTTCATCTTCACTACAAAAGGATTGGGGAAATTCGTCTCCTTTCGCAATAGTCCACAAGAAAAAAAAAAGCAACACCTTTCTCAGGCACAAAATAGACGTGAGGGAAGTCTACGTTACTCGTCAACGGACGGTCAAATCTGTGGAAGCAAAACGTGCGAAAAAGTACGCACGTTAACCCAGAGCAACACATTTGAAATTTGAATGCTTCTTACACCTGATCCTTTCAAAAGTGACAAACGCAGAAGCTCATGAAGACAGAGGAGAACAAAGTGGAAATCTTTGTCATCGGCTTTTTTCTTATTCATTCCAAAGTAACATTCTGTCCAACTCCACCTTCTTCTTCATTCTAGTGCCCCATTCTAAAACTCTCATCATATGTAGTGTTAAAACCATCGCCCCAAAAAACGGCAGATTCAAAGCGCTCTTTCGTTGTGATGTTAGAGTTAAAATTCAGCTTCGAGTCTCCTTCGTTTTGAATATAGACCCTTTATCTTAGGCCCCAGATCTTAGGCCCCCTGGTCTGAGGCCCCCTGACTCAACAGAAGAGGTGACTCGCCTTCTTCTATGAATCAGTTTGCTCTATTCTTCTCAAATAGGCGAAAAACTTTTCTTCCACTTGATAACAAACATGGGGGGTTTTGGGGGTGTAGCACCTCCTCCCAAGAATAGACATTTGTGTTTTAGTCGGTAAAATTGGGATTTTAGTCGGTAAAATTGGGATTTTGATGGGTAAATGATCTTTTTTAAATTTTCAGACGAGAAATTGTCCTTCATGTAACTTTTAAAAACATTCAAAGATATTAAAAAGTTCTGCAGTTGTTTTTCCGTTGATCCAAAAGAGAATTTAAGGAACATCACAGAAGAAGATTAATCCCAAGAAATTTGACAAAAACAGACAATTTTAATCTGGGAAATGCATTTTTAGCCATTCTAGAAGACTTAATTTCATAAAATTCCTTTCGCATCGCACCCAACTATGGTGGGTCCTCCTATGTCACTAATCTTGCGTCTTAGCCCCCCAGGCTCAATTTTGTGGCCCCGTCTCTGAAACTGCGAAGCACAATGTTCCAGGATCGTCTACAATTTCTTACGTTAATTTCATGCGAAAAATACTTTTCAAAGAACTTAACTGTTATCAAGAAGTGGGTCCAGTTGAGGAACAGAAGAGTTCAATTCAGTGTTTCTAAAAGTTGAATAAACTACGTGACCACAAAAGCTTATTTTAGAACTTTCATAAAACTAAAAATTTTACAGCTGAAGCTGATTTGTAATAGCTGAAATTTAAATATTAACAATGCTAAAATATTCTGATTGCAATAACGTAGTGTAATGCTGCCAAAATGTACTCGGTAGATAAAGACTTGCGAAAGATAAAGAAAGAAAAATATGAACGGTTGAAATAACTATGATTTTTTTCGTTTTCAGAATTTTTTCTTGAAGTATGGATACATGCGAGACTTCTCAGAATCTACAGATGAAAAAGTTTTTTCCAAGACATTGAAACAATTCCAAAAGTTTGCAGGGCTGAAAGTAACAGGTAGTGTAATGTATCTCAAACAAAGACGTGAATATATTAGGGCATATTCTATCACGATACATTTAGTCCATACGCTGGGGTTGATCCGCTGGGGATAATGTAGTTAACGATTATGAAGAGTGAATTCGGGCACAAAAAATTCTACGGGATCAACCCCAGCGTATGGATCAATTGGCAGAAAACAAATTTAGCTTGTGGTTCTTATTGAAATTAGCAGTGTAATGTGCACTTTAGCTCAGCTTAGCTCATAATAAGCAAAAAATCAATTAATGACAAATAATCCATATTCTGATATACCAGAAATACAGGCAATACGAGAAATGCGACTATCGATAGTATTTGATAATAAAATGCAATTAGGGGAAACATTGAAAAACAAAAGAAAAATAAAATAAAATCCCAGACAACAAGATGCAATAAAAATGACAGTAAACAACGAAAAAGGTAACATACAAGAAGTGCCACTTAGCAATCGGAAACTCTCATTTTCATTAACGTAGCAAAAGAATTAACAGAGATATGAATGGTTTTAAAAAGTTTTATTACTGTTTCTCAATGTTTAGGTGAACTGAACGATGAAACAAAGAAGCAGTTCGAAATACCTCGATGTGGTTTATCAGACCCAATTGATAAGGTTGCACGCAGGAAGAGGAGATACTTGTTGCAAGGATCGAAATGGGACCTGAGCCAGCACAAAGATGTGAGACACTATGATACGTCGTCTGCATTCATGTCACAATATGTAAAAAAATATATAAACAAGTAAACAAACAAAGAAATAAATAAGCAAATGAATATAATTGCCCTTTATGTTCTTAAATTTGAAGTGGGGAAGCTCACAGATCGTGCCCCAATTAGTAATTCTTTTTAGGCGAATTTGTGGAAGATTTTTTTCTTAACAAACGGATGTTAATTTTGCTGATAAAATTATGCGGAACTTTCCAAAGTCATTTGGAATAAAAAACACAATAAAGTTAGCGCACAGACCAAACATTTCAATGACTAGAACGGGGAACCTCCGAGCTCGTTGATGGAGGGCTCCTCAAAAATAAGCTACGATGAAGGAAAACCCTCTAAAAATATACAAAATGAAAGAAATGAAAATGAATGATGTCAATGAAACATATTTTGCAGAGAACCTTGACGTGGCAGTTGGAGAATAAAGCGAAAAATCTAGAAAAAGATGAAATCAGAGCTGAGTTTGCAAAGGCCTTGAATCTTTGGCAGAAACATGCGAACATCAAGTTCCGCGAGACATCTGATAAGAAAGTAGATTTATCCGTGAAATTTGGGACCTTGTGCCACTCTGACCCGTTTTGTTTCGACAATAAAGGCGGGACATTGGCACACGCTTTCTATCCCTATCCAGGACAAGGTATTAACTTTTTCATCCCATTTCTCTCTTGCGTTAGCTTTTTTTCCTTCAGAATCGGAGACAGGTAGAAACCTGGTAAATTAGAGAACAGTTCTAACTGTATAGCTCTGCTGCTACGCTCGAAGAACACGAACCTCAAAAACGGTCAAAAGTAAAGAATAGATTAAGAAAAAGCTGAGAATGACCTACTTTAGAATGTGATTTTGAACAATTTTTCATCTAAAAAACGAGGAGTTTTTTTGCCATCTAGGGGTGTCTTGTTGGTGAATTTCTAACTGGTTGGCAAAAAAGGACCTTGCTAGCAAATGAGGCCTGAACACCTCCCTAGAGTGAGAAAGCTAGTAATCATACCTTTTATACCTTAATAATTTAAAACAAATTAAAAACAATCCAGCCTTAGATTTTCGTAAAAATTAAGAAAGAGCGTGGTTGTCGACAGAGGATTGAAGAGTGCAATTTTGCTTCGGTTCGCTTCATATGTAAAAATGACCTTATACGGATAGATTCAATGCACTTACAGAGAAATTTCTAATTCTTCCGCTAAATGATGATGTCATTTGTTCCACTTCAAGAAATATCAGGTGATGTTCATTTTGATGACGATGAAGATTATGTTATTGGGAAGAGCACTGGAACCGATCTTCTTTGGGTAGCAACACATGAAGTGGGGCACAGCCTTGGCCTGGAGCATTCTAATGTAAAGGGGGCCATCATGTTTCCATGGTATCAAGGATACAAGAAAGACTTTGATTTAACTCAAGATGACATTGAAGGGATTCAAGAACTTTATGGTAAGTTACCGACATCGAAAAATCAAATACAATGAAAACCCGGATAAAATAAATTGTAGATTAGGAACTTTCATGTTGGTTTTATTGCCAATCAAGCACCTTTTATAGGAGCAAAGCCGAAAAAAATTTTCTAATGGTTGGTACAGTAGTGACTTTCGCCGACAAAAGAGGCGTGTCTCATTCTTTTAGATAGCTTATTTCATATGATAGCTAATTTCATACGCTGCTTTAATGGGTTTCTAGTGCAATACTCAGTATTCGAAAAATTCAATTTCAAATTTTTCTAGTGTCATACTTTGAACGATCAGCAGCCACAGAAATGTTAATACGTTACGATTGTTACAAAAAAGTTACAATCATGCTACAGGGCGAGAAGAGAAATTTTTTTTGTTTCCTGGACAAAAAGTTTTATGTGCCGACGGACAAAGTTTCTTGGGGAGGGGGCGTACAGTGCCCCTCCTCATAACCCCTTTGGCGACGCCCCTGATCTTTGATATAAAAACTAGTATCTATATATTTTTATCAGTTTCATAATTCTGAAAGAAAATCTGCATTTATTACATAAAAAACAAAATTCTCCAACGAAGCTCAAAGCAGGTGCGATCGCACGCCGGAATTCTTAGCATCAGCAAAATTCCAGAGTGTTCGGCTCTGCCCCGTATTAAAAGGCCGTTATTTCCATCTTGCTGATCAGCATACAATCCCAGGTGTAACACAAGATTAGTTAAAAATGTTTGACCAATGTTCCATTAAAACTTATCTTTTAATGAAAACCTTTCAGGGCCAGCTGATCCCTTCGTTATGCCGCCAATCCCAGGTCTAACGACGACACGGCCAACAACAACCACTCCTTCCACGACGACTGCCCAACCGAAACCGACAACAAGTCCTTTAACGACAACGACTGCCCCGACGACAACTACTGCCCCGACGACAACGACTGCCCCGACGACAACTACTGAATCAACAACGACTTTGATGACAACAACCGTAAAACCTACGAGAAAGCCAACTGCACCGGCAAGGACGACTGAGCGAGTAACAGAGCTGAAACCAAGTACCGACAGACCATATCAGACGAGGACCACCGAGGGTCAACAACAGAAAACAACCGATTCCCCCCGACCGACAGAAAATCCGTACACAAACAATCGACGCTTTAGGTGCACGAAAGCCATTGACGCTGCGTACATCAGTCAAAAGTTCAAGTGGATGATCGTTTTTGCTGAAAACAGAATGTATCTTGCAAACAGAAATGGAATTCGTCACGGTCCACTGCTTGCCAAAAAGTATTTTCCGCTTATCATTGGCAATATCGACTCTGCTTTAGAGAACACGGCAACTGGAGAAACGATTTTCTTTTCGGGTCAAAAGTGAGTAGAACCAACAAGTTAACATTGTTACTTGTTTTTGCCTCTGTTGAATTGTTGATAAAATCCTTAGTTAAACGCGTCATTTTCTTAGAATGCTAACATTTAAGGTGGCACCAGGCAGGCAGCGAAACTATCAAAATATGAGCATTACAGAAGGCCATACGGAAGGCATCACAGAGGTGTTCTAGATGTTTTACTGTCTTTGCATTCCTTAGGTTTTGGATTTACCGTGGATTCACAAGGATTGCTGGTGCACTGTCGTTAGAGCATCTTGGTATTGATCGATCAGTAAGGAAAATAGATGCCACTCTGAAATGGAAGAGAAACGGACAATATTACTTGTTCTCGGGCACGCAGTACTGGAGGTTTAATCCTTCGAAGCCTGGTGTTGTTAAAGAAGGGTACCCAAAGGCCATCACACGATTCTGGCATGGCATTCCCAGCGACTTGTCAGAGGCCATCACTGATTTCGATGGCATCACCCGGTTTGCAAAGGCTGATCGCTACTACACTCTCATTGATCGGTAAGGATATAGTTATAGCAGTTCTCAAATGTCTTATTCGCTGCTGTGGTTTTTGTTTGTGGAAGCAGCATGAATTCATTGCAAGTGGGTATGCTGGGATGAATTCATTGCGAATATTGCAACGGATGCAACTCTCTAGTCTCAAAAGCCACGGAATGTTGAATGACTGCTTAACCCATTTTCTTATAATTCACCTCAGAACGACTTGCCTTGCATGGATGCGGCATTGTTCAGTTGTTAACTATCATTTAGAAAGGAAAAGGGTTGCACCCTTTCGACAGCTACTTAAAGGATATTGTCTTCACATGTGTTCATTTTCAGTGGCTGACTATAAAATAATCCACACAATTATGTAGCTGGGCTGGGCAAATTCTAACTTTAGTATTGCTCCGTATTGCTCAGGATTTGTCAAGACTAGATAGGGTCAGTCTTGGTAGACAATGTGATGAAGATCCTATTTTTTTCTAGGGCGGTTACGGTTGACGTGCCAAACTCTAACCGCATCGGGACTGGATGGATGAACTGTAGAGTTAACATAGTGGTGCCAAGGGCAAAAGTTCAAGACTACAATGGACCCCTGATTGCTGAGCCATAGACGTCGTCTATATAAATCCTTATAGGAAAAATTGAGTTTACTATATATCAGCTTTATGCAAGATTAATTTTCAGAATCATTTTCAAGACGTTTTTAAGACGTTGTTGAAATGTTTTTAAGTTAGGATGTCAAGCCAACAGAAAAAAAGCTGTTTCACTAATCATCATAATCATCATAAATGTAAATGTAGTTTTTGCTGGTATCTTTACAGTTAACCTAGCGCCTGGACCTTCGTTGCTACGAGCTACCTTGGGAAATACGAGCCTTAGCACGTGATGCATAAATAATGAACTGGTTATAGAAATGTTTTTTCTACCTCATATACTTCATTGAAAAAGTGGAAATGTACAACAGTTTGGAGAATAAAAATGCTTCTAAAGCAAATATGACGATTCTTGCATCTAGACTACAAGAATAATATGGACTACAAGAGGTACCACACATTGTTTTAGAAAATTGAAAGAATATTTCAAAAACAACAAAGAAAATTGTCTGTTTATATTTTGTAATTCTAATAAAATCAGGAAAATTCTACCTCTTGATGACTGGTAATAACATCGCCGATTAAATAAAATTACTAGCATTGGATGTTAAATAGTTTATCTAAATGATCGACAGTCCGCATTTGACATATTTCATACTCAGTTCTCTACTAACCATCACATCCAATGATGTTTAAACCTCTGTTTTCCCATTTTCTGATGTCAAAGGAGATTTCTCAAGTTTGCTCACTTCATCTTCTTTAACATGTTGCGCCTTCATCTCTCCGTGTTTTACAAATGTGTAGAGCATGGAACCACCAAGAACCAGAAAGTTACAGAACCACCACAAAACCGTTTTCATCTCGCTGAAATGGACTACAGCGATAATTGTTTGGGCACATGCTTTGGCAGTACCGCTAATGTTGTGGGTGAGTGGACTTGTTACTTTGATCTGCAAACCAGTTACATATCCAATGGCAATGCCGAAAACACCACTAAGAGTCATCATGAACCAAAAATACTCACTTTTCAAGAAGGGGAAATTATAAACAACAGAAACTTCTCCCATCAGTATTAAAAGCGGGGGAAAGAGAAAACATGCGTTGAAGTTGTTGTAAAGCTGGAGACGCCAAATGTTGCCATCAACAACAGGCATCATGCGCTTTGTGTAAATTGCATTTAGGCACACGAAGAGTGAACCAAGAACACCAAAAAAGACACCCTTATACGACAATGATCCATTACTACCTTCTTCATTAACACCAAGAAGAAACCCAGATATTATAATTCCACAACAGCCAATTGCCTTCATTGATGTTGTTTGGCCAAGAAGAAGATACGTGAAAATCTGCAAAATATTGTATGCTCTACATTACTTCAACGAAGCAAATTGAATGTCTTCTGAAACACAGAAAGTGTTTCAAGACAAAACAATTCTATATTTCTAATATAAATTAACTGCAAGCAAAAATATCTGACAGCTTAAGTTTTTCAGAACACAATACTGAAAAAACCTAGTGTGAAGTTGAAAACTTAGGCAACCTTCCAACAAGCTTGGTTTGAAACAATAACCGCTTCAAAGTTATCTTTTTCGCCTTGTGTTCCCAAGAACCCACTTGAAAAACGGATATGAGTTTAATGAAGGGGTCTCAGAGTGGATCAATTTTAACCCGGTTGACTCACCTTTGGATTTGTTGAAATAACAAACCCGGATAAATTTTTATCCACTTACAACAAAACAGCATTTTACAAGTAAGTTCAAAGACTGTCTTTGAAAATACAGATTTCTCTCCCAGTTCAGCGTGCTTTGTTTTCTGTTTATAATTTTCTAAATCTGATTTTCTTGAAGCGGAGAAGGCTAACGATTCATTTTCATTTTAACTCAGATTAGTTGAAACGCAAGCAAGTTTAAAGCGAACTGACATTTCCAATAATTCACTTTGAGAACGGATACATTTTAACCCGCTTTTGTTTCAACCTGAGCCAGTGGAAAGGCTGTCACAGTGAAACCAATGAAACAACAAACAATGGAATAAAAAATATGATAAATCTGATAGAGACTTACCACATTGAAAACAGTAGTCAATGCCCTGGCGACATTGTAAAAGGCAACTCCTAAGTACTTCAGGCACAAGTTGTTGGCAGTTATCATGCCTACAAATATGACTGATAGGGGCAGTATCTAGAAATGCAAAAAACAGTAATAATATACGCTATAATAAAACAAATATACAGATATGGTCTTCAACAACAGTTTGATTGATGTTGCTGTTGCTTGAATAATGGGATTGTTCCCTTTACTGTTTCATACATTGCTCACGATATTAACAACATAATTTACTATTTGTTTGTCAATTATTAAAATAAGCTAATCGAATATATCACTTGAAAAATATGGATAAATAGAAACAAGTCATATGAAGAGTTTGTCAAGAAAATGGCAATTACCTGTTTTGCAATTCCAGTTTCAATCTTGAATGCAGGGAATTTATCAATTCTTGGAAACTTATCACCCAACAGACTAAGCAGGAAAATGCAAACGAGGGATGTGATACATTGATACCAAGTGATGAAGAGCGGAGCATCCAGCTGCAAATGTCAAAATTATGCAATTAAAATTAAGGGAATTTACAAATCAGAAAAAAACATTTATAATCATTATCAAGATCATTTTAGTCTAACAAAACACTTATTAATATCAAAATTTTAAAGAATTTCCTAAAAGTTTAAAGAAATTAAAGAATAATGTTGAATTCTTAGCAAATGTGCTGCAGTTTGTGAATTCACAAAACTAGTTAGTATTTCAAACAGTAACACAAAGGCGATGAATGACATGCATGTGAACAGAAATTCCTACCAGAAACTTCTATCCTTGCTGCTTCCTGTTTCCAGGCAACAAAATATGGATGCTAAATCAGCATTAGAGGCTTCAAAATGACTAGAAGTGTACTTTCTCAAACAGGATAATAGAGACAAGGTCATTCAAACCCTTTGAAAACTTTGAACCCTTCAGTCTTACACCAAAAACCGTGGTCAGCTCTGCCTATACAGCATTCTAGCACTTTACATAATTCAAACTTAACATAATTTGACCAATTTTTTTGGTCCTCAAAGGAAACAAACCTTCCTAGTTCAAAATTTCTGCCAATTTAGGAAAAAAGCTGGTATATAAGTACTTTGTTTAATGGATAAAAGATATAAACAAGATTTTAGGGATAACTGACATAAAATCCAGGATTTTTTAAAATTCTAGTATAAATCAGACATTTTGTAATTGACGCATTATTACAATCTCCCAGAGAGTCTGAGTTAAACAAAGCTGAATTTAGCTATAAATCAGTTTATTGGTTGGATGTTTAGAGAATTAACTCTTAAAAGTTTTCAAAAATATTAGGAAAAAATTAATTCCTAACAGTCAAGTTAATAAGCTTAATTGATGTCCTCAAAACCATTGTCACTTTCAGAGTCTCAGTGTTTCTTTCAATTAAGATTCTTCTACCTCAATTTTTCTCTATGCCTTGTCTTTTAGAATCCTGGCCACCCTTGTTCAATTATCTCCTAGAGTTTTTGAATTCCCTTTGCACAAGGGCTTCCTGAAATCGAATCTCTTGCACGAATCAGATGAAAGTCACCATGTTTTTTAACTTCAAGCTTCTTATCCGTAACTTAAAGTTGTTACTTATTTATTGTAATTAGAGTAAATAGCAGGTACACATCAGCTGCAAGCTGCCAGTAGCCTACCTGATCACCAATAAAATTATGCATGTATGTATGGATGTATGTATGTCCTTAGTAACATTGAGCCCTTTCTACAATTTTTAAATGTTGAACTCAGAGGCATCTGAAGCATGATAACGTGGCAGGGGCAGCGACCGCAAAAAGGGCACCTTTGGGTGAAAAAATTAGTGCCAAAAAACCAAGAATCATTGTTTAGCCAGTAGCAAGTCTTGCTGTAGGTGATAGCCCTGCACACGGAGAGAAATCAGAAGACTGTTCCGATGACCATATACATGGCTTGATATAACATTTGGAAGTCCTCTGAATGGACTGTGATCTTGAGTGCAGAGGGAATCATATCAACCTTTTATTGTTACTTCTGATGAGAAACAGCCCTGCTTCAAAAAGGGTTCAAAAAACTTGTTTCCAAAATTTTAGATTGCACCAGGGCTCTTGTAAGGACCTCATAAGAAACTCAAATCATTTAAAATCCAACAACTTCAAGATACTGTCAGTACTTACTCATATTAGAGAAGTGCGCATTCTAGCACTGCTTACAAAATTCATGCCAAGCCTCTAGGATATTATCAAGGAATTTCAACTAGTGGGGATTCAAAGGGTCCATTTGGATAGGCAAAACGCCCTGCTGGAACAAATGGCCCACCAGTAGTCAAATATGAACAATGTGCTGTCTGAAAAAAATTTTGAATAAAATGTCTTGAATCAAAGACATCTTTAATCCCGAGACTAATTATTGAGCATATGCAAGCAAATATTGATTGCAAACTGAAATCTCTTTAGCATGATCATGAGAGTTAAAGAGAAATGACCAACAAGAAATTTTTTGGTCAAATTGCTTTGCAAATCGATTTTCAGTTGTCCTGTACTCTGAAAATATTGACTTCCTCTTGCATAAAGATATCAAAAGACACTTGAAACCTAGATTTCATTAGCATTTATATATTGATATGAATGGTTATTGCTCAGAAATCAATTTTTTGAAAAGGGCATTTTGCTGCCCCCATGCAACCCCCTCACCACTAGGGCAACTGGTTGAACTCCCGGCGTCAAAACCCTTTGCATTTCATAGCCAAATCTATGTTGGCTTGATTTGCACAAGAAATTTCCAATATTTGACAAGACATCAGGCCTCTCCGTGAGCATTTTAGCAGGCGCGTGCTCAAATGCGCGCCTCGCCTTGCTAAGGCGCCCGTTTTACCAAAAAATATATTGATGATAAAGTAGGCAAAAACGGCATGTTTTCACATGTAAATACTTTGTATTTAGAAATATCTAAACAAACTACTTAATAGAGCACTAAAAGCACAAATACACATCATTGTTGCAGTTCGTCAATTTCCAGCTCGAATTCCGATGAAGAATCGGAGTCAGAAGAAGTGGAAGAATCAAATTTCGTTCCATTGACATAATTTTCAATTGCTTTCTTGGCACTTCTTTTACAAAGAGGATTTGATAAAATAACGCTTTTGTGTTTTGAGCAAACTTTACACCAAATCGAAACCATCATTGTCTTCCCATTCCATTTTTCGGTCTTTGATCCGATAACTTCGTCCTTGCGATACTTACGAAAAGAAGGTAGCTCTATTTGACCCTTTGAATTACTGGCCATTTAAAAAACTTATAACAATCAGGAATCACAATGACAGTTTATTGGTTATTGACCGGAAATATATTCAAGTGGTGTTTGCTTTAACTTGGCAATAACAATTTCCTCGAAAGAGGCTCTTTGTATAATAACTATTCAAAACCAAAACACAAGGAGCGCGATTTAAAGGGTTCTTATAAACCAGACGCGTGATTTATTGCGCGTCTCGGCAACGACAGGGGCGTGCCAAGGCGCGCGCGCGTGATCGCGCGCCTTAAACGGAGAGGCCTGAGACATGTGTTGGATTATGGTTGGAACAATGATACTGTGACAGTTTATCAGTTATCAATGTCAAATATCACAGCAACATAATTACTTAATGACTTTTCATTAATATTAGAATAACAATTTTCATTAAGCACAGGATCAACTGGTGGGTTTTCTTCTCTATTTAGTCTTAAGACAAACTTCTAGTTTGTATTGTTTTGCAATCAGAATTGCTGGGTTGTGTGTTATTTAGATAGTGTTTTAAGTGGGTGCATGAGAAATAATGCCTCTGAGAAGTACAAGGAATGTGGGAAGCTGATCACCTGCCTCAATTGATGAGGTCTGCTCCTGTGGAGATAGTGAATCTAGCCTTGGATTAAGGAAACCCATGCAATTATTCTCCTTGAAAAACATATTTAAAGTGAGCAGGCCTGAAATTCAGCTCATTTTAATCAAACTGATTACAAAGTCAAATTTCTCTTGTATTGTATGCTCGCCATGCACTGAAAATCAAAGACTGACAAAATCAGTCCTTCCAAACATTGTGAATAAAGCAAAGCTAAGCTGGGGTGTTTTATCAGGTGACAATAACTCATCAATCTAATATCATATTTGGCATCAATGGGCAAGAAATTGAAATCAGTACAAAAAAGATACAAACCTTAAGCTTTTTGCTGCTGAGAAGATATTTATTCAGGAAGACAAGAGAAATGGAGATGAACCTGTAAAGACACAAATAATAATAAATATTCCTGAGGTATTCCTGATGAGGTATAGGTTCCAAGGCTTTGATTGGCTGAGCGACCAAAATTCTGCATACCCCATTAGCCAATCAGAATTCAAGAATATGACAAAAAACATGCCTCGCAGCTAAATTCAGGCCTATTTTGGACGTTTTTACCACTACCCACAAAAAAATAATAGCCTAAATGTGCTGAAAGATAACTTATATTTTCTTTTAAAAATTGAATCTTTGATGAATTTACGAAAAAACTGCTGTTGTACTCAGCAAAAATTTTTCTGCGATCATTAGCAACAAAGGCTTGAAACTGTCTCTTTTAAATCCTTATAATAATTAGGGGGGAGAGAGAAAAGAAAAACTACAGTTTTTAAACCTTAAAAGTTGCTTTATCCACTCAATTAACAAAATATGAACTTGCCATTACAAGCCAATGTTAAAATATTTTTATGTCTGCATTGATGTTTGTGTTAATGACCAAAGACTTTGGAAGAGACCTTGTATTTGTTGTTTTTTCTTGTTAACAGAAGTCAGAAGTTCGAATGGTGGAATATAAAGAGGGGAACATGACCAGATAAACAAATATTTTGCACGAAATCTAGGGCAGCTTCTTAATAATGCGCGGGCGGAAATAAGGGCAAAAATCATTGTGCAGGGAACGCATTTCCTGCACAGACCAAACTTTTCAGTCTGGCCAGTGTACTTCTAAAAGGAAGGGGAGGGGCAAACCAGTGACATACTCCTTTCTACACTGAGAAATTGTTGATAAGAGTATTCATTCTTATTGGAAAGTGTTTTAATAACATTTCAATCATGCAAATTCATCTGCAAACGCACAAGTTTGTGCAAGACAGTGATAAAGTTTAAGACATGGTCTGTCTTTCCAGCATTTTGCTATTATAAATAGCCATAGACTGGCCTGGTGAAAATTGACAATAATTATCAAGAGCTTGTGGAAAATGCCAGATTCAGGAGGTCACTTCAGTCTTTAAGGGAAACAATTCAAATTAACCAAAAAAGTTACAGTCATTTATCTAGGTCTTAATCGTTTTCACCGGCTTAAGAACACTTCATTAAGCAGAACTGCTTTCTCCTCGACTGCTTTCTCCTAGGGGCTGCTTTCTCCTCGATTAGTTTATAAACTACTGAGAAAGTTTCCTCCTTTAAATAATTCCCTTCCCTGTTTACAATACTAGCTTGTTTCTCCTCTGCTCTGTATTTGTTATGTTACGTTTATATAATTAACTTCCTTTTATATTGTTTATACTTTTAAGCTTGAATTATTTCTAACTTGCAACAAGTGTATGTATCCAGTGGAATTTAAAATATAACTGAACTGAACTGAAAAGAACTAGGATGCAAATCCAACGGTCAACAAACCTCTTTAATTGTTCTAACATTACGGACATACCACAAATTTTATCTCTTTTAATACTAGAAAAGGAAAATCAAAAGGAAACTCACCAATAAGCTGCAACTACGCTCGCAATTTTGAGGGACTTCACGAAAAGAGATTCCCCCATCTTCGTTTTTGAAAAGGAGAGTCTCCGCCGCATCAATAATGCCTCTTTTAATACTTTATGTATCGCAAAGACACTGTCTTCACTTTCTTGTTAAAGCAGAGGAGATTCAGGCAATACCAACACTTGGGAAAGTCTCTAAACCAACGAGAAATTGAAATAAAATGCCACGCAAATTTTACACGAAGTTGCATTCCAACGTTTTCACTGTAGCAGCCACAGCAACCAGGTGGTTGTTGTTGTTGCCAAGCGCACACTCCCACATAATCACAAAATATGAATTCAAATTTAATTCGCAGAATCATGGGCTCCGACAAAGGTTGAAAAGTGGAGGACCAAGGGAAAATTTAACACCCATAACAAAAGATTTTGAAAAAACTCTATTGTTTTGCAAAAAAGTGAGTACAGGCCCGGCCCCCCCCCCTTCGTTTGAGGCCCTGAGAATAACTAACAAACAATAGAAAAAATAATCAACTGTTAGCTCATTGAGTCAATGCATTTTAAATAACAAGATTGACAATAAATAAATTTTTTTATGAAAAAAGTTTTGTTGAATATATGAAAAAGCTGTCGGAGATGAAGAAAAATCTTCACAATAGCGTCCGAGCCAAATCCCTCCAGTTGCCAAAAATTGCAAAATTTGACAAGAGAAGTTGTTAGACCTTAAAATTAAAATAATAAGAGCAACGGTGAATTTTGAATTTTACAATATATCTGGGGCTAGTCTTAGCACTCAGTACGGATCTAAACTTGAAATCTTCAATGTGGAGAATGGTGTAGGTATTTTTTTTGTTTGCTGACAAAAGGTAACGTATCGTTTAATCTTTTTACAAATACATATTTGGATTTGTTTGAAATCGAACTCGAAGGTTGTTTGGAAATATCAAAAATAAATCTGCTTACTTCGCTTTGATAGATTAAATCAATCAAAGCCCTGGAATTATGGGTCGCCAGATCATCGTAAATGGAAAAGTCCTTTTGCGTGTATTTACTATGGCCAGATACAATCATGAACAAAAGTCGATAAAACCATTCTAGAAGAGCACATTGACCAACATTTCAGCTGAATTAACTAAAGCAGGAGGGGGAGATATAGTTGACATTTTGCTGAAATTATGTAACGAATGCTTTAGCAAGCAAGACCAGTGACCAACCAAATGGAAGGAAGCTTTTCTTCTAACTACATATATACAAGAAGGGCAATATGAAGTTGTGCGAATACTACAGAACCATTAGCCTTAACAGTCATTCAATTAAAGTACTGCTTCGAATACTTTAGGGGAGAACTGAACCTCGCATTGAATAAATAATAAAAAAGAACATAGTTCCGGAAAGATATTTTTCCATAGCTTCATTGACTTTAAAAAAGCGTTCCACCGGCAGGTATGGTACGATGCCTTGTAGCAATCCATTGCAAAGTACAAAATTAGGGAAAGCATTAGCACCTTGATCAGAACTCTTTATTAGCGAGCAAAGAGCATGGTTTTGCTTCATATTGCCACAATATGAGTTTTGCTTCATATTGTGTTCCTTTTTCACTTATCACCATTCTAGACAAACCTATAAACCTACAAATTAAGAATCGTATAACTAGAACTTCAGTAAGTTCAGTTTTACGGCACAAAATAATGTGACTCAATCAGCACTCTGATTTTCAAACACCCTGTGGCTATCCAGTTCCCAAACAGTGGCATAAAAAACTCAACAATACAATAATAATTCTATATTTTCTTAAAAATCCAGTTTGTACATACATGAACTTTCTAGAAAGATTAAATCATCAAACTTTAAAAAAATAATCATAACAAATCTATTTGTTGTTCAATAAAAGTGTGTACGAGTTCTATGTTCTGGGAACTTCATCATTTTATCAGAGTTCATGGTGGCATAGTCCCACAAATAATAATCTATTATGATGGAATTCAGATTTGATTTACCAAAATTTATCCCCCCATTTATATTTCCATTCTTGTTCATTGTGTTTAATAGACATTCAACTGCATGGATTGAGCAACCTCTTAATTCAACCTCTTCCTCTGATCCTGCCTGTACTTCTTCTTCCTTTTCTATCTTTTGTTGTAAGTCAGCTGAATATCTCAGAATTCCCAAAAACTGTAAACATTGTGGAACTCTATAGTCAGCAAACATTGTAAGCTCTGTGATATCATTGAAATGACCATACTTTTCCCCCTCAAAACATGCCCAAACATCAGCCACAAATATCTGTGCCCTTTTATAAAAAGAGACATGCTTTCCATTATAGAAAGCCTCATCCCTAAAGGATGAAAACATGGAAACTATTTTCCTAACAAGTGTGACAGCAGACTTATTGCAAGTCGAAATTAGATTTCCTACTGAATTGTCAAAATGTTTGCTTAGAATTTCCCCAGCCTCCCTTAGATGTGCAACTCGCCTTTCAATAAGTGGAAGCTCTGTTTCATTCGCTGAACGAAACATTCTTCTTGCATCTTCTACAGTAAGGCTTTTGTAATACTCTGGTGTGGTAATTGGCACATCTTCCTAAAATGAAAGTTCTATTGTGCAAACAGATATTGAACAAGTTATCTTATAACTATTACTAACATAGTTTACATTGAATTGTAAGTGTCATACATATTTGGAACACTTTTGTCATTTACTTAATTGTGAAAATGAAATTTAGCCTCTTAATTTTAAAAAATTTGCTTATTTCAATTCTGACTGGTTTACCTGTGCTTTAAAAGAGTAGATTTTGCAGGTAAAGCTGAATATTGATTTATTTGAAGATTAAAAAAAAGCTTTGTGGGCTTATTAAATATATCAAACTCAACATCGTAGCTAAAAGAAGCATCAATGGATCCTTTAATACTCCTATAAATTTACCTCTAAAGCTCTATTCACAACAGCACAAAGAGCTTCATAGTCATTGTAAACTTCTCCATTATATTCAACAGCATATGGCTCTTTGTCTTTGTAAACCCAAAAGGAGAAATTCAAACAATCAACAACAAATATCCATTGAAGTGCATCATCGTCCATTGCCTTTGGGTGCATCTTATGGCTTTTCCATGTTTTCATTGAATATTTTGCCTCGGTCATTCTCTTCAATATTACTTCTGATGCTGACTGGATTTCATCATAAACAACCTCAACATGTTTGCTCCTTGCAGCTATAAACTTAGCAGATTCTCTTGGAGACAATACATCCATGGCATTTGCAAGCTTGAATATAAAATGAAATATCAATTTCTAGGCCTGACCTGACATCATGCACAAACATAAAAAACTGACAGCAATAAAATAATACATACATACAAATAATGCTTGTTCATTTGTCAAGGATAAATTTTCAAAATAAAGATATCAAAAAGTTGTCTGAAAATTTTTGTTGTATCGATACCATACAGTTGATTAAGATACCCATGAAAGCAATGAAATGCAAGTGTTGGTAACTTGACAGACTACAGACGATCAAGGAAGCTTAAATTATTTATTCCAAAGATCATTTTTGTTGTTTGTCTTTTCACTGATTTGCTTTTTGTTTCAATTGCAAAGAAATGTGAACAAAAAAGTATGCGCATGTTTTATGTTTCTTACATACAAACATACATACATACATTATTTATTTAACAATGCAGGTCATCGAAATGGCAACTTTCGCTGATGTGGACCTGCTAATTAACTTATAAGTAAAGGTTAAAAAGTTTTAAATAGCTTAGATAAATTAATATTCTTAATTTACATGAATGGTTTCTCAAATCTAAAAGTAGATAAAATTTGGGTCAGTATACAATATGGTGGATGCTTGTCCAAAGGAGATGCTAGTATTTTCCTATGGTCTGATAGCTTTCTTTTAAATGTTTCCTAATTTTCCTGAATCATTATTGATGGCAGCAGTCTATTCCAAATTAACGCTACCCTATGCTTGAAACAAGTTCTGCCAACATTTGTTTTTGATCGGGTGAGATCCACTTTGCAACTGTTCCTAGATGATCTCTTAGATTTTTTTTATCACTAAATCTTTCAGGGTATTAGGACACTTGTTGTTGTATATTTTGTGAGTCAAGCATGCTACGTGTCTTTTATAGATATAATCAACAGTTTTCCAATTTGCTGTTTTGAGAATGTTATCCGCAGGTGTTGATTTAGGTAGCTTTGCTGCTCTCTAGTGCACTGTCTCAATTGGCTCTCTTGTACAGAATAAATATAATGGACAATGATAATATAGAAAAAAAAGATAATTATAATGATGTAGTTAGTAGATAAGCTTGTTTGATTCACTTTAAATGATCAGACATTTAATTCAACTTGTTAATTTCTAGTTTCCTTCATCAAAGAGCAGATCAATGGTAAAGGACCCAGTCTGCAGAGTTTGGCATGTGCACACCCGAGATATTTTTGTGCAAAACCTGTTGCACACCGGGTATTTTTGGGTGTGGCAAATAAGATTGGTGTGGCTTGGTGTGGTCCCATAGAAAATGTCAGCTGATAAAAACAAGCACAGTCGTGTATGAACAATTTGAGATATCATGAATCTAACTTGACAAATACACAAATAAAAACTTGCGCTATCTTCAACAGTATACTTCACACGCATTTTTAGGGTGAAATGCAAATTCACAAATTTTAGTCACAACAGGGGAAAATAGTCGGTGCACACCTGCACACCAGACATTTTTGGTGGTGCACACCGGCACACCAGGCTTTTTGCTCGTGCACACCGGAGATCTCGTCGAAAAGTACCGGTAAAGGACGAAATGCAAACACAATTTTGATTTACTTTTTCGACGATTTTAGTAACATGAAATTTCAGTTGGATAAACAAAATATCAGAAAGTTTGATTTTCGCTAATATACAGCATTTATAATAGAAGTAAATAAATGTATTACCTGCAATTTAATCGAATTTATTACTTCATGCAATTTGATCGAAGCTTCCAAGATACAACAGCAGCAACACTGACAACAGACTTTGAACGTGAGAACGAGTCGTTATCAAAATGGAAGCGAAGTTTGAAGGAAACATTGATGAGAAATGGCAGCAAACAAACGCTTGCCAAAAAATAAAGGAGATTCACTCAGTTCTAAGAAGGGAACTCAAAACAGGTGCATTTCTCAAAACTGTAAACCTCTTCATCTTAAAACTAACTGATTTCTTGGAGGGACGTTGGAACTGGCAGGTTTCTGCATGCAAACAATCAAAGAGCCCTCCGTAGGATCAGGACTGAAAGCACCTAAACTCAATTCCCAAAAGTTTTCGAACGGTCAGGGCAGGCACAATTATGGGCAAAGTTGTCCTCGCGCAAAGTGAAGACTTGATTTAATTTTGGCTGGGAAAGTAAAACGATAGCGTCAGGAATTAAACAGAGAATATTTCAGCAAGGTCTTTTTTGTTCTGAAATCGTTTACTCAGATACTTACTGCAAATGTTATTTTCAAAAGCGTTCAAAGCTATTTTTGTACGCATTCAAAACCATTGTCACATGAAAACGAAGTAGTGGCAACAGGTGACAACCTACTTTAACTTGCATGGAATTTTGTAAATATTGTTGATATTTCGTTCACCAAAGTCCCTCTTTATGTTCACTTGATGCACGATTACCTTTCAAATCAGAAGTTTAACTACATATTACATATGATTATTCATAAAAAGTTGATTTCAAAAAAAATTCTTTGCAAAAGAAAATATAGATGATCAGAAATTTTTTATTTTAACAGCAACATTACATATATGAGTTAATTTCAGCAAATTAAGACCTGCTTTTTTCATTGAAAAAGGGAAGAACTTTCAAGAAGTCTGGAAAGAACACAAAGACAATGAACAATTTTTGTTGGAATACTCTGAAGCCATGGTTTCACTGGCTGAAATATGGGAGTCATCTCATCCGCCATCTGAAAACAGAATAGACTGGTGTGTGTCTATATCAAGACAATATTTCATCATTGGAGGTTTGAGAAAGATATTGGAAAAAGAAATTAAAGGGCATTTCTATGAGTTGAAAAGAGCAGGACAGTGCCAACTGGATAACTTTGAGGAATTTTATAACAATGAGAGGAAAACAGCTCTAAGAGAAAAAATAAAGTAAGTCGTTTTGAGTCTTTAATTTTTCAAAATTTACCTTGGCAACAAGATGGCATAAACTTTTTGTCAATAAAGCAGTTGACCATACAACCAATATATATCAAGCATGCATGCTTGCTGAAAAAGAAAAAAGTTCACCCACTTTGTTTTCTTTCTTCTAATTTGTTTATTTTTAATGGGGAAAGATGCCCAAATAAGGTTATTTTATATGGCTGAAGCTTTTCTCGAATAATGAAAATCTTCCCATCATTCAAGGGTCTACAAAAATCTACTAGCATTCTTATGTATTCCAAGTTATAGATGAAATATGCAATTTTGAAATTTCTCAGTCTTTTTGTTTTGCAAATCTATATTTTTTTTAAATCTGAAATTTTGCTTCTGATATCAAATTTTAGTTATTTCAAGAACAGAAAATTGCGCTTGCTTGATGTTGGAAGTTGTTATAACCCATTCAGTAAATTTTCAGAAGAGTTTGAAGTTTTTGCAATCGATCTTTGTCCAGCAACAAAGGTATGTTGTTAAGCAAGGTTATAAGCCTTGTAAGGAAGAAATGTTTCTAAAGAATGACCGCTTTGATTTTTTTAAATTTGAGTAAGGGTGATTGTGTGTGATGCATAGAGCACTCGATTAAGTTCAGGAAAAGATGTGAGTTTGAAAAAATTAAAAAGTCGAGTTAAAGTGCAGCGAATATATTTAAACAGAAACATCCTTTTCGAAATCTATTTTGAAAGGATTTTATCTCTTGGTCGTTACTGTCTATAGGCAAATCTCTAATTATGTTACCACATCCCCCTTGATTTAAAGGTCCATATGCTATTATTTAAACCTAAGAAATTGGACTTTGGCTGAAGTGGCTATTGCCTACCCCTCCCAAGTCAGCTTTTCATCAAACGCCATATAATTTTTGTCTGTGTCTTCTTGTAAACTCGCTCAAATATACCTTAAGGTCAGTACTGCTTTAAAAAGCTTCTGATAAAAAGTCTTGGTTTGAATTTGGTTTTGAGGTGAAAACAATAAATATGTTTAAAATATATTACAAACTATATAGAAATGAAAAATTGTGGGCTCCTTCGCTTTCATTTTTCTTAAGCCTGTTAAAATTCTCATCTAGGATGTTTTCAAAGCTGATCTTCTTTCACTGAAGATAAACAAATGCAGCAAAGGAAAACATATTGTCATGGCGCAAGAACAGAATTTTGGTGCGTTTTTTAAGGCTCTTAGTTGTGAAGAGGATGGGGAAATAGATCTAAACAATCCCAACTCAAAAGAGGATATTATTGAAAAAGGTAGAAAAATGCTGGACGGATGTGCAGATCAATGCTTTGAAAAAGTGGCAACATTAGACGCTGAACAGTTGAGGTTGGCGGCTCATGGGGGAACAATTGAGGAGTTGCCAGCTAGTTCATTTGATATTGTAGTTTTATCTTTGGTTTTGTCGTATTTGCCGTCACCAAGACAGCGTTGGTTCAGTTGTATACAAGCAAACAAGTTACTTCATATGCATGGTCTTCTATGCATAATTGAGCCAGATTCCGCGCACCAAAATCGGAACGCCCACCAAATCCGTGCTTGGAAGGATGCACTTGCGCACCTTGGATTTGTACGATACCGGTACGAGAAGCTGCCACACTTGCACTGCATGGCATTTCGAAAAACAAAAGAGGTCTTTGTGGTTCATGAAATACCTGATAAGTCAGACTTGATGTTTATTCCACAGGATTTTCAAGACGAAGATCAAGAGGAAACGTGTTCAAATGAAAACAGAAACGAAGACCAAGATAAGGAAATCTCAAATTTGTTTGAGGCGCTACCAGTAGTTTTCTAGAACTGTGCCTCTCTCGGTCACTTGATATCCAATGTGTTTAGCTCCTTCTTTCAGTTTTTTCAATCGCAAATATCTGTTTTGCATTGAAGCAAATTATCATATAGGAATCACAGTTGATGTCTCTTTGTTAACTATGTTCTTATAAGGCTCAAGATGTGAAAAAATCATTCGCACCTCCATATTCGGATTGAAAACAATTTGACAGCGATAACTTCATAACCAAGGGATTTGTGAAGCCCTTTTAACGCGAGACAGACCCATTCACCCTCAGATAATTTTCATTTTATTGCCAATGCAGCCCCTTGGGGTTTTCGAGACAACAGCATTTTAGAGGTATGCCCCTTTTGCAACATTCCATTGCCACAATCTTGTAGAAGCGCTTTTTTGTGGCAAATAACCAAGAACTTTTCCCTAACAAAAAGATTTCTAACAGTTTTTAGCAGAATAAGGTGGGGTCAGGCCCTGTACCGTTAAGAAGCAGATATACGAAGACCCAATGGTAATAGTGTAAAAATATCATAAAGGTAAAACTCGCAGAAGCCGGGTCTGGACAGATAAATATGTTCACACGTGCGATGTTCGACATTCACGTTGCAACAGTCTCGCTTATTTGGTTCTAATTTCATAAGGGACTTCCCAAAACTTATGCAACCAAAATTGACGGTATTTGTAGCAAATGATCTTGAACCACGTGTTTTTTTTGAAGTTCCATGCATTTTTGTTGGAGCTGTGAATATCAGGCCTTTTGTGTTTAAATCAAGTGGGATTTGTCTTTGCTGCAGCCTGCAGTGTTTCTTCATTGATTCGTTTTCATCTTTGATGTCTTCTTTTAGCCGAAAACAGATATATTAGATAAGCATTTTCTTCTGGCTATATTCCGCAGTTATTTCTGCGCTAAACAGACCGTGCCCAGCAAGACCGAAACACACAAGAAGACGAAATAATTTTAAACCCAACGGCTTCCTGGCATGCGACGGTCTTGCTTCGAAGAATGCGGTGAAAAATATCTCTTGCTAACATGTACTTTTTGGGCGTAGTAGGGTTTTAACAGCAGCAAGCCTCGCTAAGCCATTCGTGCTTGTTTTATAATCTTAGCTAACGTACGAAGTAGTGTGAATTCAGCTTAAAAACGTTTTCCAAGGGAGGAGGCATATGGGAAGGTCCTGCCACCCAAGGGCGATTTATCCAGCTCCCTTGGTAATGGTCAAAGAAGTCGAAGTAAACGGACTCCAAATTTGTAGCGGTATAAGGGGGTCTGAGCGTTGATGTTTCAAAGACTCTTTTAATTTTGGGACTGGCAACGAGCTTTGTTGCGTTAGAGTCTCTTTGCGCTTGATTGGATCTTCTCCAAAAAAGTAAATAGGAGTATAGAGGAAGTGGTTCGAAAGATATAGCGTAATTGAAAGGGGTGGAAGGAGCTCCCACCACTATTAATGAAAGTTTTGGGAAGAAGAAGAAAAAGTAATTATCTATCAAAAATTAAATGCTTTACATTGGCAGCTATATATATATATCGGCCTTGTATGGGCGCAACATTCCCACCTTGTGTCGCATATTTTTTATGAGAAAGTAAGCTTGCGATTAACACTCCACTCGTCTAGTATGTTCTAATATGAATAATCCAAGTTTCTGATTTTTCGTTGATTCTTAGTTTTTTATTGAGTGCTGAAAGGTCTCTTAGTTTCTTTTAAAAATGGCTTTGAAAAAAGAAAACATTTCATAAGATGCTGAAAGTTTTCCATCTGACACCCCTCAGAATGCATAACGTCAACATAAGGGCCCGAAAGCGCAAGATGAAATTATCTACCTAGTTGTTGATCGAATAGGCCAATAAAAAGGTGTGAACACATGACCGGCATGGTTGTGCTTTCGAACCCTTATTCGGACGTTGTAAACTCTGAGGAGTGTCAGACGAAAAAGCTTTTAGTATCTTGTGAAACGTTTGCTTTTTCAAAGCCATTTTCAAATTATGAACCGCCAAAAAATTGCACACATTTTTAAGGGTTTTTAAATACCAAAATTGTAAATACCATACATTTTAGATAGACAAAAACATAGCGCGAGATAACATGAAAAACACCTAATAAGTCACAAGGAGCTTTTATTACTATTTTTCTCAATGCAAATAGGTGGCTAATCGTCGAAAAGAATTGCTCCAAACCTATCTTTAAAGGAAGGATATTCAAGCAGTGTCTTAAGTTGCGGGTGATTAATGCTATGGTCTCTTTGTCTTATATTCATTATAGAGCTCGATTTCACACGGACAAAAGAAAAGTAAGTATGTTTAAAAAAACTTTGTCATGGAAAAAATGATGGAAAAATTTGCAAAAGAAACTACTGGTGTGCTGTTGGTAACTGGACTTGTGCTTCAGTGTATAAAATACCTGAAGATGAAATCAATATGTTAAGATACGCGATCGTGTGTTAATGATGATACGGCGATCAGATCAGCTGTCGTGAAATCTGATTGGCTGCAGGTCTCAACATGCTATTGCTGATTGACGAGGTCGAGCTTGGTTTCTTCCTTGCAAGTCAACTTTATTCATTTTCAACGGCAGTGCTGCTTTTTATGCAACAGAACCTGATTAGATTGACCGCTCTGCTTCTAAGAAGAATGGAAGAGATGAATGATGATCGATGAGCAAGATAAGGGCTTTGCGTGGCTTTCAACACAGCCCGTTGCCGCAGGAGTATAATGATGTAGCTCTCTTGTACTGACATTACGCCACAAATTTTGTTTACGCTCAGCCGTTCAATTTTCATTAGGTTTTGCTCTGTAAATTTGGCTGCTTTGAGAAAGCAGAAAATGATTAATAATAGATGAGAATGGTGAATCCAAGTGAATTGTGAGCTTAAAACGAGCAAAATAAAGCGGCACAGGATGCCTCATATTCGTAGATTTTGAATTATTCCTGGGTCATTTAGATTAAATTTACTTGGAAAAGGTTTAGGCAGGAAGCCTCAAGCATAAAGAATTTAAGCCAGCCTGCTTCGATTCGAGATAAAACCCTTCATAGATACGACCGAAAATCTACTGCCTGCAACCACCAAAGAATAAAGTCTTCCAAACACGAGAAAGAGCCACTCGAGAAGGATTATCTCCTGCTTTGACAGCCATTGTTCAGTAAAACAACACTGTCTCCTTGTAAAATTGATTGGAAGCGTTTTTCTCTGCAAATGGCCTGCAATAACAGCTTCGAACGACTTCACAAGTTAATGTGCCAAGGCACACAAAATTGTCTGGGAAGACGATTAATGAAAAGTGTTAGCCTCTTCAACTTCAACATTTTATTATCAGTATATTTTAAAATAATTACAAGTGATACGATAATGCTAACATAAATGAATTAAAGATAAAAGCATACTTTACATGAAATTGTCAGTAGGAAAAAATTAAATACTGAAGGATACGTAGAAAAAACTCAGAAGAGCTTTCGAGCTCCGCACTTTTGTGATTCTGAAAGTGATATTGTACATATTTAAAGAAACATATTTGAGAAAAAACGCATACACAAAGTTGTATCAATAACAGTAACAGCAAGAATAGATAAAAGAAAGGAAACAACTTGAAAAAGTAAGAATAAAAATAAAGGAAATGAGATAAAAAGAAATAGAGAGAGAAAGAAAAGGGGAGTGCAATTCAAAAGTTGACAAATTGAAGGCCTATGAATATTTTTGTTCATTTTTTGTATTACGCAATTCAAGAGGCAGACAATTCCAAAATTTAACACCCTGATAAGAAATGAATTTCGAGGAGAAAGAAATAAAAGAAGGGAGATGAAACCAAAACAGTATTGACGAGCATTTCGATGATGTTCATCACTGCATTCTTGAACAAGCTGTTACATCCGAAGAAATCATAAACACGCTTTAGCTCTCAATATATTTGTATAGGTAGGTACAGATGCTCTGCAGTAAATATTATAAAAAAGCAGCCTCTTTTTGCAGCCGAGGCAAATGTGACAAAACTCTACCTTTACAAACGAGGCACTAGATAGAACGTGACCTTTAAATATGGCGTCACTAAATTGTTTACACCACTTACACTCTTTTCGTTCTATAAGAATATTGTTTATAAGAATATTCAGGATCAGAATTATTCAACTTTGAAGAATATGGTAACAAGCCGGTGGTCTTTACAACATCTTGGAAAATTCATCTAGAACAGAGGAAACATTATGTAGTTGTAGTAGATCAAAGATCAGACATGGCAGAAGTAAAATTTGGTGTACCCCAGGGGTCTTTGCTTGGTCCAAGGCTTTTTGCCATCCAAGTAAACGACCTACGTAAAATTCCTTCAAAAGGGATACTAAACATGTATACAGGCGACACTGTATACTGTCAACTTGAAATTTGTTGAATACATGTGCAAGCGAAGAGTTGCATGCATAGCACACAAATTGTATTACGAGAAAGGCCCAGACACCATGAAAGACTTGCTAGGACGCTCGAAATCAGGATCAATGAATCTCAGGGATAATGTAAAAGTCATCTTGAACAGGCCTAAAACTGCATATGGATGAAATTCATTCAAACACAGAGCAGGCTTAATATGGAACAGACTACCAATTAAAGTGAAAAGCATTGAGAACTATGAGCATTATAAAAAGAGTTATAAAAAATGTGTGTATGTATGTATGTATGTGTGTATGTATGTGTGTGTGTGTATGAGGCCTTTAATTGGTTTAAGTGAAGTAAAAAAGGCGTTCTAATGAGAGGGGTCAAGGTGCGGCCAAACTATGAAATGTTGCCGTATGAAATGGTTTCTGTGAAATAAAAATTGTATGGTCAAACTTGGTTGATATTTTCTGACAGACAATTTATTGTTTTCAATGTTCCAGTGATACCCTGCCCAACGAATTGAATTGAATTGGGAAAACATTGTTACACACGAAAGAGTCACAAAAAGGTTTATGATCATCAAACATATCTATGACAAGGTGTTGAAAGATTTTGTCGTACGAAATTCTGCGCAGCTTGTGAAACACAAAGAAAAACCAGAGCTTGTTCAAACTCACAGCACATTGACCACTTGAATTGACTCTCTTAACAAGAATGACATCAGCTGCTTAAATTTCGTTTAAAGTTACCCGCCGCATATAGATAAAATAATTTTATTATATATTTGTTTTTTTTTCAGAGAGGCCTATATTTATAGCCGATTCAATACCTAGTAGAAACAAGATATTATAAACTTAATTTCTTTTAACAAAATCTTTCCTTTTTCCAAGAATAATTAAGCAGATTCGCATCTTGCAAAAAGTACAGTTAAGGGTTGCGTGGGCATTTCTCTCTCGTTTAACTGTTGGAGGCAGGGGTGTTAATGTTATGGCATTTCGTCAATTTGAAGTAAGAAGTAAGACTCAAAGGAGTACATCTAATAAATAGAAATGAGTACGTGAAGACAATATTTATAACACTAAATTGGCGTTGATAGTAATATTAATGTGATAAAAATATATTTAATATGTATATTCATGTTAAACATGTTATTGCTGCTTACTGTAATTGACATTATACTTCTCGACATCTGCTACACGGTCGCCTAATACATGAGGAATACACGCGGAGTATTTCTAAAAATACCAAAACTTACATAATGACACAACGAAAATTCAGTCAACGTTTCTCAATTATCCCGAAACTGTATACGAGGCTTACACTTTTACAAATACGCAGGACACCTCGGAAAACTCCGGCCTAAGGCAGAAATATGCGGCACAAATCTCTTAAATGCTCAATGCCTCTCAAGACCTCTAGCCTAGCTTCTAGTCTTAATCTTGTCCTTCACCATTTGCTTTGTAATATATCGGTTTTCAAATGATACAACTTATACCGCAATTAGAACAAAGATATTTCAAAAATCTAAAAACTGCCACAAAATATTTGCTTTCTCGAGTTTTCCCTAATGGAAAGTAACCGGATAATCAAAAGAAAAGTGGTCCTCAGCCGTAACGAAAACACATGTATTGTGCAGGTACTTTGGACTTCAGAAATGCCCATTCCATTGCGGATACCCACAGAAACTTCAGCACACTATCAGCTGCATTGTATTGAATGCTGGCTTACAAAAGGGAAACACCAGGGATATCAAACGCTTGCTCAAATTTGAACAGTAAAAACAAGCAGTAGATATGATCCCAATAAAAAAGGGTGGACAGAATTCGCAGGATTGCAGCGAAAATGCGTGGATGGGATGGTAGACTTGTCACAGTGGTGAACAAATTCGAATAAAAGCTTCCTCGACAGACATGTGGTTTACCAACTTTAAATTACAAATTCCTCTAGGCACTTATCACGGAAGCATTCAAATGCGGTATCTGAAAATGAAAGATACTTTTTCTTCCGTTCAACAAAAGAACTCCGAAAATACCAACTTTCTCAAAGAACCTTACTTTGTTGGCATTGCTGATCTCATATAAGTACAACCTGTATTCCCTGTAGCCATGTCAAGCCCATTGCTTTTGTGCATTCTCCCTAATACATTCCTTGCGAAGGCGTGGCAACCAGGCATTATTGGTAGTATCAGACTTCAAGGCTTCTGCAGCGGTCAAGACTTCTTTGCCTGAAACCACGCAATTCGCATCTGGCTAAAACCTGTTCTTTTGCTAACATCAGCGGCTTTGGGCAAAATTTAAAATACAGTACAATGAATGCACAAAGGTATAGTTTAAACCACAGAAGCTCCACAGAAGCACGAAACATTTCAAACGAGGGATGGCCTAGGCAGACGAAAAAGGAGCACCTCCGTTAGCTGAGCTGCACCTCTACTTTTTAAAAATGGTACTTTATTTCTGTTTCTAGAAAGTGGGGGGAGGGGGGGGCACGTGCCGCCTGTGTTTTAACATCCATGGTTTAAACAGCAATTTATACTGTAGCCAGTGCTAACATAACCCTCGCCATGTTATAAGAAACATCTTGTGGAATTTATAATGATAACGAGGCAGTTTCTAACGAGTCAATGTAAATGTGCCTAATTGGTGAAAATTGCTTAACTGGTTATAAGATTCTAGATGAACATTTTGAATGGCACTTACTGCATTTATGATACCTATGATATAACACAACAGCCTTGAGAACGCTTCATATCAGATTTGTCCAAAATAGGTTCAGGTTCAGCCTCTTTACCCTCTGCAGCCTCATTTGCTTTCTCCGATTCAACACATTTATTATCATCCGGACTGGTTCCCTTTTCCTTTTCTTTCTTTTCTTCTGATTCAGATTTTTCGGCAACTTCGTCCTGGGCCTGGTCGTTTGCACTTCCGGTGACTGTCTCCTCATTCCTAACACCGCCTGTTTCAAGTACAACCGTGTAACTTGTTTTTGTAACCGTCTCCGTCTTTGTTACTATCGTTGAAGTATTTTTGGCCTTATCGTCATCTGATTTTTCAGTTACAACTTCGGTGTTTGTCACAATTGTTTCTTTCACTTCCGTTTCTTTTTCCTGTGTTTGTGCACCTGCATGTGGGATTACTGCATCATCGTCAGAGGCAGTGTCTTTTTTTGATACTGGCACTGATGCACCTGGTTCAGACATTTCAGTCCCCTCTTCTGACATTTTCGCTTCCTCGGCCGGTGCTTGTTCCTGCTGGGACTGAACTTGTGCCTCTTTTATTGGTGTTGCTACAACATTTTCCAAGGAAAATACCTCCTCCGTTGCCTTTTGTGCTCCCTCGGATGTTTCAGCTGTCTTCTTTGGTGGGACTGGCACTTCCGCAGCAGACTCTGCTGGTTTTCCATCACCAGATGTTGCAGTCTCTTTCGGTTGTGTCTCTTCTGGCTGTGCCAACTCTTTCTCTGTTACTTCTGGCTGCGTCTTTTCTTGGTTTATAATTTCCGTTAGTGTTACCACTGGGCGTGTCACCTCCTGCTCTGTCTTTGCCATTGTTTCACTTTTAGGTGATTCAGCTTCTTCAACGGGTCCTGTCTTCTCCTCAGGGGATGATTCTGCTACTTCTTCTGCAGCTGTTTCTGGTGCAGTTTCTGGTGCTGTTTCTGGTGCTGTTTCTGGTGCTGTTTCTGGTGCTGTTTCTGGTGCTGTTTCTGGTGCTGTTTCTGTGCTGTTTCTTGTGCTATTTCTGGTGCTGTGTATGGTGCTATTTCTGGCGCTGTCTCTGGTGCTGTTTCTGGTGCAGTTTCCTGTGCTGTCTCTGATGCAGGTTCTGATTCTGGAGCAGGTTCTGATTCTGGTTCAGGTTCTGATTCTGCTACAGGTTCTGATTCTGGTGCAGGTTCGGATTCTGGTGCAGTTTCTAGTGCTGTTTCTAGTGCACTTTCTGTCTTCGGTGCAGTTTCTGGTGCAGTTTCTGGTGCAGTTTCTGGTGCAGTTTCAGTTTCTGGCGCAGTTTCAGTCTCTGGTGCAGATTCAGTTTCTGGCGCAATTTTAGTTTCTGGTGCAGTTGCAGTTTCTGTTGAAGTTTCAATTTTTGGTGCACTTTCTGTTTCCGGTGCATTTTCTGTTGCAGGTTCTGTTGCAGATTCTGGCACTGTTTCAGGTGCAGTTTCAGTTTCTGGCGCAGTTTCAGTCTCTGGTGCAGTTTCTGGTGCAGTTTCAGTTTCTGGCGCAGTTTCAGTCTCTGGTGCAGTTTCAGTTTCTGGCGCAATTTTAGTTTCTGGTGCAGTTGCAGTTTCTGTTGAAGTTTCAATTTTTGGTGCACTTTCTGTTTCCGGTGCATTTTCTGTTGCAGGTTCTGTTGCAGATTCTGGCACTGTTTCAGGTGCAGTTTCAGTTTCTGGCGCAGTTTCAGTCTCTGGTGCAGTTTCTGGTGCAGTTTCAGTTTCTGGCGCAGTTTCAGTCTCTGGTGCAGTTTCAGTTTCTGGCGCAATTTTAGTTTCTGGTGCAGTTGCAGTTTCTGTTGAAGTTTCAATTTTTGGTGCACTTTCTGTTTCCGGTGCATTTTCTGTTGCAGGTTCTGTTGCAGATTCTGGCACTGTTTCAGGTGCAGGTGCAGTTTCAGTTTCTGGTGCAGTTTCAGTTTCTGGTGCAGTTCCAAGTGCAGTTTCTTGCGTTGTTTCTGGTGAATTTTCTGCTACTGCTTCTGATGCAGTTTCTGGCGCTGTTTCTGGTGCTATTTCTGGTGCTGTTTCTGGTGCTGTGTATGGTGCTATTTCAGGTGCTGTCTCTGGTGCTGTTTCTGACGCAGATTCTGGTACGGTTTCTGGTTCTGCTTCTAATGCAGTTTCTGATGCTGTTTCTGATGCTGTTTCTGGTGCAGATTCTGGTGCTGTTTCTGATGCTGGTTCTGGTGCAGTTTCTGGCACGTTTTCTGGCACGTTTTCTGGCACGTTTTCTGGTGCTGTTTCTGATACTGTTTCTGGTGCAGTTTCTGGTGCTGTTTCTGATGGTGGTTCTGGTGCAGTTTCTGGTGTTGTTTTCACTACTGGTATCAGTTCTCCAGCAGGTGCCTTCGGAGTCTCACTATCCGCACTCGCAGGGGGTGTTGCTTGGACAGTACCAACAACAACTTCAGCTTCCCCTGGTGCATCTTCTTCTTTCACATCTTCTACCTTCTCTACAACTGGTGATGTTTCTTCCTCAGCAGGTGCTGTTTTACCCCCAGCTTGTGACGTCATATCTGCATTTTGCATTAACAAATCTTCCGTGTGTGTAACTTCTTGCGCAGCTTCCGTGTGGGTTATCACCGTCGTCTCAGAATCCAAGGCCTCACTATTATCTGAAGAGCTGACAGTTTTTACTGTTAAAATTTCTTTATTAGATATAATTTCAGTAACTTCATTTGAAAAACTTGTGCCTTCATCAGAATTTTTTCTTACAGTTTCCAAAGATGCTTTGGCCTCAGAAACATGATCCTCGCTTGTACTCTCGTCTTCAACTGTATTCGAACTTGCCCCCTCGTTTTCCTGAGCTTTGGTGCTGCTGACTGTCTGAAAAATCTTTGATGTTTCAGAATTAAGTTCAGTTACAATAACGACAGTCTCCGAGTTTACATTCTTCTCGTCATTTTCACCGGTTTTCTCTAGTTCTTCGACCGTGGTTTCTGTGCAATTGTTATTGACTGAGGCGTCTACCGTTTCAAGCACCACGACATTTTTGCTGTCAACTGACTTCTCCACGATTTGTTCTTCGACGCAAATGCTCGTTACCACTTCAGTTTCAGTTTTATGAACACTGATTGTCTCGATTCTTTCGCTTTGCAACAGGTCTTGCGAATCATGGGTGTTGGCCACAACAACAGAATCCATTTCGCTTTTGCAGCTTTCAAGTTAGAGTCTTTTAGAAAAGTTCAAGAAAATCCTGTTAACGACAATTTTCAATAACCCTTTAGCAATCCTTGTTCCTGAATCAACTATCTTCTCAATTCTGGAACCTACCCAAGTTCTTTCCGCCGGTTTTTATCAACTTTCGCAGATCGACTTGCCCGGTGCTTACCGAATCTTTTGCAAATAACCGCAGCCTGATGCTTTGAAGCCGGGGTTTCCTCTGAATCAACAGTATCAAATATCGAAAACGTGAACAGATGAGCCGTCGTGTGACTTCAACTACTGCTTGCTTGCTGTGAGCTCTGATACCGCCCAATTGAATTCTTCGATTCTAGAATTTGAATATTTTGAGGAATGAATTCCTTCTGCTTTCCTTTATTTTCTAAATCCGATTCATCAATCTGCACACAGACCTGTTCTTTTGTTTCATTGCGCGGCTTATTCTGTACATCAATGAGATCTTGCGTCTAATAATCCTGTACTCTTTTGTTTTCAGTTTTTCTCTCGCATAATTTAGCATATTATTCGAGTAAAGCGTGTTGTGGGAAGTCGTAACCAAACCCTTAATGTCAATCTTCTTAGCAAAACCAAGCCCTTGTCAAAGAATGAAGGTGAACAAGTTTAATGACTACGATAATGGAGTCCGTTTCTGTCGCACCCGTTGTCAATGGAGGAAAAACCTATAAACTTGCCAAAGTAGGGGATATCGTGTTATACCGAATAAATTTAGTCGGGTTGAAACGAATTTATTAAGAATTAAAGACAAGAAGGGCATCTTGCCATGTGTTTCTAAGCAGCAGGTGCAAACTCAACCTGATCTGCATTCACGAATCGACATAACAAGGACACAACAAGGCGTTGTCCTCATAAAACGAACAAGAAACGTCGAAACAACGAAGAAATGAAAGAGTATCTGTTGCGGTTGGATGAGCAAATGCCTATTTGCCGCCAGATCGGGGGTGCCTTTAGCAAGAGTATCTATTCTCGGCGTAACCAAGCCAATGCCAGGGGCAGCCAAAGAGTTGTAACTGGGCAGCAAACGAAAAGTGGGAACAAAAAAAGGGGATGGAGAGAAAAAAGGAAATGGAGAAGGAAGGGGGAAAGGAGAAAAGAAATGAGCAAAAGAAAAGGCAGAATGGCATTAAAGGACATTGACGTGTGTGTGTGTGTGTTTGTGTGTTTCTGTTTGTGAGTGTGTGCGAATTTTTCCGAGATTTATGTTTGCAAATTTGACTTTTCATCAACTGTAAAAAGCCTCTAGTATTGCATAAGTTTTGGAAATGAAACCATTTAGAACTAAAAAATACAGCATTCACCAAACCCTCGAAACATTTTGGTACCACCTGCAAATTCATCTAAAGCGAGAAAACTACCATGAGCTTTTTAGTAAGTTTAATGCTTACGAAAATGTTGGTCAAATATTTTTCCAATACAAATACAAATATTAATCTTTTTTTACAAAATATCTTAAATGGGATCCGGGACAGTAACAGAAGAATTGAGAAGTTGTTTGGATATTTATAAAAATTCGCACCAGCAAAAAAAGGGAAGGGAAAGAAGAGAAGAACGGGCTCTTTTTTAAGTGAACAATGTTATGATAAGAGTATGTTCATAAAGTTGGCAGCTAAGTGCAAATGGCGTGTTTTCCCCAACTCTTAAGCGTGTGGGCAACAAAAATTTCCCGGACCCCCTGGTGACTGATTCCTCTTTGCCCTTCCAATTTTCCAAACCTGGATACGCCATTGTTTGGCTGAGAGTCATTCGTAAGTCGTAATTAAACGAATACAGTATTCTCTCCAATAAGCGGACGCCGTTGGGGCCAGAGCAAAGTTTCCGCTAATTGGAAGTGACCGCCTTTAAGTGGTGGCGCCAGGGGAGGGCTAGGGGGGCTACATCACCTCCGTCGGAAGCACCTAGCCCACCCCCCTCCGTCGGAGGAAACTTTCGGTAATTGTCGGAGCAAATTTGACAAAATAACATACGAAAACTGCATATTTTAGTCATTTTAGCCTCCCTGTCGGAAGCTCCAACCCATCTGTCAGAAGATTTCTGGCGCCACCTCTGGAAAGTTAAAAAACCAAATTGACTATATTGTGCAAACAATATTGTCCGTTAATTAGAGTGTCCGCTAATTAAGTGCCCGCTTTTTAGAAAGTTTTTTATGAGACTTTGACCAGAAAACGATCGGAGAAAAAAATTTGTCCGCTAATCAGAGGTGTCCACATTTTAGAGTGTCCGTTAATTGGAGAAAATACTGCCAACTTATGCCATTCACTTTAACCCCGACATATATGCCACAAAGGACCTAAACCACAGCATCACAAACAAGCTCCATTCATTGTGTGTGCATGTATCAACGTATCTCATCCCCTAATCTATTCTACGAGCAGCTGTGTGAAAGGTTCCTGTTAAATGATCGCGAAAACAGGGATGTAAAAACCCAGGCCCATGACAAGATAGAAAACGGGACTGATAAGAAAAAACAAAAATCAGATTGACGTGGCATGTTTTCCACTAAATTTTCGGTCAGGCAGAAGTTCAGTAGATTTTGGAAGAACAGCAGGGCCTGTTTCCCATATGTCATTCCGCGTGTTAAATCTATTGAAAATTGACTGAGATAAAGGAAGTTGAACATTTGAGTTTTGTTAATCGATTCCAACCATTTTATATATAAAAACATATAACAAGCTCAAATCTTATCAAAATTGTTTTTATTTTAAGAGTGATTTTTAGCAAATATTTGAGAAGTTACATAATGTTTTACTGACGTTTTACTATTTAAGGCGTTTTACTGGGTAAAGTTTAAAAATATAGCAATGACTGCTAGTGTTTATGGACAAACTTGCATAGTTTTGTTCTGTTGACATGACAAAATTTTCAAAATTTGAGTCTTTTCTTTTAAATTTCTCATCTGAAGCTGGGCATGTTCTAGCCTTGTTCCTATTTTTTGGGCAAATCGAGCCTCAGTGTTCTTATACAGTGTGTTCTTATAAAAAAGAGTGTACTTATTCTCAGTACTGATGTACATTTTCTTGTCTGGGCCGGTAAAATTATCCTGTTGATTCTTTATCCTTCTTATTTACAGAACATAAAAGAACCCTTAAATGCTTAATGAAGCTTTATATAGCGACTCCGAAAATAAATGAGGTAAAGTCAGGTTATCGTGTTATACAAACTTACATGTTAAAGAAAGAAACCTTTTGTATAAATATGTGGTAAAACGCATTTATGTGGCGAGAAACTCGTGTACAATGACAATGGAAAGTTTTTTTAGAAAATAGGTGTACTGATCTCTGCCAAATGGCAGGGATTTAATGGGACAGATTCAGCCACTTTGTAACAGTCATTTTTTCTATAAGCATGCTTCTATTCAAAGAAGAATAGATGGGTATTCCGAAAAATTTCTCAGGGGATATTTCGTCAGCTAAAGAACTGTTATTTTGTTGGATGTAGTTAACAGAAAAATCGGTGTTGCAGTATCACAAACATTAAGAGCACCTGAGCTTTAAGTTATTCTAAAAATAAGAACATCAAGCCTCGGGAAAAATTATCGGGTTCTTATAAAAAGAAGAATGTTAATCGATTTTGAACAAAAAGATGTGTTTTATAAAGCTAGGGTTATGTGGTCCAAATTCAAAGATTCTAAAAATCTATTTTTCGAACTCTATTTGTAGTTGAGGGGGTTCTAGCGTGATTAAAGAGGACCCAAAACGTGCTGAACGCGTTGTCGTGGCTGCCTTCGCGCTCTTGTTTGATGGAGCGTCTCTTAAATCACAACCGCCATCCCCAGACTTTTCAGAAAACGGATGATAGCGCTCTTTCCATAGAAATCGATTTACTGCATCATTGCAGCAGATGGCAGACAACGATGAGGCCCTATAAGGGGTATTTGAAATATGAAATAATTGCGATTTTTAGAGAAAAATAGAAATATTTAGGTTTTTAAGCTTTGAAATATGAAATAATATTGATTCCCAGAATGAAATATCAAAATAGCGAAATAACCGAGTGTTTTATTAAATTCTATATGAGGATTATTAATTTGATCGCAGAAGCCACACAAAACAGCGATAATTGAGCTGTTTAGATTTGAAGTGTTTCCAGAACCCCACCCAGCTATTCATAGATAGAGCAAGTAGCAAGCATATACTTCAGTTTAGTTGGTATCAAAGAATTAATAAATATAATTCCTTAATTGGAAGCAGGATGGGCCTTTTGATAATTTTGAAATATTTTATTTGTTAATTTTGAAATGTGAAATAATGTCAACCCCCCTTGAAGGGCCTCAACGGTCTATATGGGCAGGGGCAAGCTGTGAATCTCTTGTGAGAACAAGTTGCCCGTAGAAACATTGCATATGAGAAGAACTGGCAAGAGGATTCATTTGTCAGCGTGTACTCTGTTGAAATCATTGCAAACAAGTACCCAAGTTCGTGGCTACAGGAAAATACATTATCTCTTAAAGTCGCAAAAAGAGCACGATTCTTAGCACTGCAACTAACCTCAGATGACTAGACTGTAAGAGAGATTAAATCAACGGGTAATACCAAATATCTTGGGGTTCAAATTGATCCATTACTAAATTAGAAAGAGCAAATCAATGCTGCTATCAATAAGATTTCACAAGGAATAGGAATGATCAAGTACTCTAACAAGATATCATTCGTTGCAAACCAATCAAAAAATGTACTCAAGCTGATCCGCACTTTGGATATTGTTGCTCTGTTTTGGGGATGTGCTGGTGACACAATTCTGAGAAAATTGCAAAAGCTACAAAGTCAGGCAGCTCTTATCGTTACAAACAGTCTCTTTGATAAAACATGGCTGCCATTAATATCACAACTAGGGTGGTTAACTGTCAAAGAAATGATTGACTTTGAGACAGAGTGCATAGTATATGAAGCCTTGGATTGGCTTGCACCTCCCCACCTCCCTACATGCAATGTCTCACAAATTGTCTTGCAATCAGCCCTTACGTAATACCAGTACTGACCTCAGAATCATCTGAGTAAAACCTCAAATGGGCAGCGGAGCTTTTCGTACTGTTTGGAACTAGTCAAGCTAAAAACTGCTCCTTCGCAAGCTACTTTCAAAACCGAGGGGCAATTCACTCTTGAATATAGCGTACGAGATTTTCCCTCAAACAAAAGGATTTCTGGGGATTTTCAGATAAAACAATAGGATTTTCATAAAAGGTGTACGAGATTTTCTTGGATTGATTTGCCCCTCGTTCAAAACTAGACGGAAAACGTTTATAAATACTGAAAGAGATCGTTCATCTATTCAGGCATGCGTTTAACTTCCGAGTCCCTTTCTTTTTATGCACTTTTCTTTTCTTCTTTTGTACTAGATCTTCAAGCTAATTTGTAATTAGGCGACTTATGTTTTCAGCAGGGCACCCTGTAAAGCAGTTATTTAAATCTACTGAATGTATTTACCCTGTCGAAATAAATCAAATTGGAATGAAATAAATCAAATTAAAATTTATTTTTGTGACGTCATCACTCCGGAACTCTGATTGAATCTCGTTGTAACGTCAGCTGCAATGCTATGAGTCAAAAACGCGCACGGTATCTGGTCGACTCCAGAAAACGTCCGTGCAGCTTAAAGCGTGAGTAATGTCAAGTGCGCGCTCATATTCAACAGCTTACTTTGAAGAAAATACGGCAATTGAAATCATTGGTTTTTCAATAATTGCATGCTTTGTGATATTCTATTTGATAAAACTTCGGGCTTTAAGCCACATTTAATACAATTAAGATATGTTACATAAAATTCATACTACTATTTCTAATTTACATGATTTTACAACACCGTCTAATTTCATAATTAATTGAGATTTGATTAAAACTGATGCGTTAGAAATAAATAACGAGGCACCTATTTAAGCGGTATTAGTTTGAAAATGCAAGATTAGAAACTGTTCCTTCGCTGTTCATAATTGTGCAAAGGGATGGCATTCTAGTGCAAAATCGCATTCTAGGAGCAAAACGAGGAGGGGCACCAAGTGGCAGGTTGTTTTTGATATTTCACATTTATGATGCAGATCAAAGTGGGCCACTTAATACTTAGGATCTCTATGAACTTTCTTCAGAGCGGGTCACAATGGATTTTTGCAAGGCTTGAGTTCTGTCTTGGAGCGTCAAGCTGAGCTATTGGAGCAATGTCTTAAGAATAAAAACAAATATTACTTTATAAGTTAAAATGTACCTCGGAGCTAAGAAATTGTACAGTGGGGTTACTTTCGTGATTTTAAATCTACGAATGAGTTTAAAAGAATCAATTAGCAAATAAGGCGTCGTCAAATGTTTTTCGCGTGTGAACTTTCACACAAGTTAACCAGGCACCAGTTCTCCATGGCAAATGAAATTTCTGAATCGAAATACGGGAATGAATCGAATGAAGCAATGATAAGTGTAAACCTTTCAAATCATACCCAGTAAACGAAGAACCAGGTAAATGAAAATCCAGGACGTTGAACACTTTAATTGCTTGTTTAGATGTTGTTGATGACTTTCTTCTTCTTTCCTATGATCAATGCTTTGCTCAGTAGAAGCAGTGCCTTGTGCAGTTGTTCTCTCCGCAACAGTAACTCTTCAGTGTCAACTTCCGTGCACCTTTCTGGGAACTGGATACACAGAACTTTGATTATTCGGCGCTGCAAGAAACATACAGCAATGATTATTATATTTTTTCTAAAAATCAACGGAGTCGTGGATATTCAGGGTACAGGCGGGTATTAACCAGGCCAATTTTAAACCTTAAACCTCCTTACTTCCATACGAAAAAAACAACAAAGGAATCGGGATCGAATGGCTGCAATTAACCCGTAAAGAAAAAACTACATCAATTTTTCAATTTGAGTTGCTCATTTATTCTTTATAAAATGATGTTAGCTAGTATTGACTTGTCAGTAAAATTTTAGATCAACCATTTGGCAAGCCTTTTTTATTTCGATATTCCATAAGCAGCAAGCGATATTTATACATGAACACATCAAGATAGGGGCCTAGTTGATGGAGGTATAGGGGGTGTGACTCGCATTTTTCATGTATTGTTAGGTGAAAGCTTCAGTTGGTGGGCGAAATCGTTAGACAACCTTTGAAAGAAAATGCCTTTATCGTCAAACTTTCCTTTCCATGGCACTTATATCCCATCCCCTTCACCAGGTCCAAAAGGTCAAAGTGCTCCACTCAATCTTGAAGTGAATTTTGATGGTAATGGCACCTTTCTGTAGTTTTTATGGGTCAAAAGATGAGAATCTGACAAACAGATTTACAAAGTACAAAACAGTGAAGACACTGAAATAAATCGAGACAGAATTTGTAGATACGGGTACGTAAGACGTTTGTGTACTGTCTTCATTCCAATATCACAATGTCTAAAGCGTTTACTAAAAAAAACTTGTGTTACAAGGTCATTGTTACGAGATGCCCTCGACCTCGTTCATCATTCCCTGGTCTAAACTGCTTTTAATTTCAAATAAATCAAGTCAACCTTCCTGTTGTGATTCTTAGGTTTTGCTCCTTCTCTCGCAAACACAATGTTTATCGCACCATGTTTATCACACCATTCATCTTATTACGCAAATGATTATTGTCATTGTCAAGTTTCCATCCTCGAAATGACACCTTAGTCGACATAACGATAACCGTTATGCAGCTACTTTTATGCTTATTTTCTTTATAATTGTTTCTTTGTTTTTTAGTCGTTCAATTACTTTTACAGAAAGATTAACGAGGCCTTGACTGTAATAATATCACTGATGTCTAGACGAGATTAGAAATGATACCATGATATTTATTTTTATCTGAGCAGGGCGGCCCTCAATTGTCAAAACAGGCACCATTAAAAAATCTTATTTCCTTGGCAGCAGTGAATCATACATGTCAAAAAATTGAAAAACTATTTTAGTTATCGGATGGTCTACCGTTCCATCTCACAGATTTAGAATATATCTTTATAAAAAAATGAAAAAACGGGCAAGCGCCACTAATTGGGCAACCATTACAGTTATGTGATCACGTTTCTGTGATGTCCTAATTCGATCCACAACTGGGTATATATTTCTTAGTTTAGAGTTTTCGATACATGTTCGGACATTCAACGTTATACTCTGCAGAGCATCAGAAAAAAAATTGTGTGTTTCAAAATTTTTCCTTTTTTCGAAAATTTCTGTAATGTGAACAAGTGCTTCTAATGCCTTTACCCAAACTTACAAAGTGTATCTTATCGAGTAGCAGCCCCAAAACGAAGGTTATTCACGTTATATCGACTGTAACAGAAACTACAATTGAAAATCCCTCTAACGCAGACTTGGTGAATTCTTGCTTTGACTTCTTACAGCTTCATCAAACCTCTGATTGTTGCATTCCTTACACCTACATATGCTCTTTGAATGAAAGAGAATTCTAGTAGCCAATCTCTCAGGTCTTATCTCCTGCATCTCCGTTTAAATGCAAGTGCCCCCACTCAGGTTTTTGTTTAGTTGACTCTTCACGTTCATGAAAAACAATTTTCACATTCACGAGAACAAAGTGAAAACGAATAGTTATTGTAGTTATCCTCAACGCCCCCTCCACCAAGCTGCAGACACGTAGGTAACATCGATCTCATTAAAGAATTAAGATGCCTTCGTAATAACGAGAAAAAGTTTTAGCTATTAATCAGAAAATGTGTGATTAGAAAAGTGATTTACGCCTTGTTTAAATGATCTCTAAACATATTTGCCTTTGAAAATATGCAGCAAGACAAGTAGGGAAGAAAATGCCCCTGCATGCCAGTAGTGCAGTTGGCAAATGTTGGATTCGTTTTCCAACCATCCTAACAATTTTCCAACCATCCAAAATCAGACAAAGATTTCTCACTTAAAGCTGAATTCATATACTTCAGCGAAATATTAAAAATTTCCTTACATATAACAAAGAAAAAGAAACATGGCGGTAGAATGCTAAAAATAGCTTTGAGAAGAGCACACTTTTTAAACAAAGCTTTTTATGTGATATTCTTAAAAAAACGTCAGAATGATGATCGAAGAAATTCTGACGATCATTAACAGACGTCTGATGTTTCAAGAAGAAAAGCATTTGTATGTCTTGAAATTTTCAAATTAATTTTAGAATAGAAAAAAAGAAACCAATCATAGGAACCTAGGGAACAATCGGATAAAGACGGCTCAATCGCAAATATAAGAACAAACAGCTGCTTGAAAAGACTCAAGGATTCGACTTTTCGAAACCTTTACATAAATTTTTATTCCCTTTGCTTTTTTATGATATACTTGAGAAGAAGAATGAAGAATGGATGAAATATACGAACCAGGGCGACGACGTCTTGCTTCTTTGATGCATCTGAGCCATCCCGATGCCCGAAAACAGCAATTGAAACGGCTACTTTGAACAAGATCAGGAAACACAGGAGCGAAAGTAGAGACGATTTGTGGAGAGTCATCTCTCTGCATAGACAATTTGTATACAAGTGTACGCAACGTAGTCAAAAGGTGTCTTGTTAGTGAGTATTAATGCGATGAAGATGTAGTCAATGAAGGTGAACTCAACGAAGTGCCCTCTTGTAGTTACCACTCTCTAAAATGATTCATGCCATGTCATTGTGTTCACCAGCCTCTTTTGAGAAAAACATCCGGTATCAAAACAGCTGCTCACTCAATGCAAGTCGTCCTTTTAAAAGATTTTTGTGCAATGTTCCGTAAATGAGCACTACCCCCGCACTGTGTTCACATCACGTAAAAAGGACAATTGCCGGATCGCGCTCTTTCCAGCCAGGGCACAAAATAATAAGAAGGATTTTAAGCCACAGCCCTAAAAAATTGAAGGGGGACAAGGGTATGATATTTGGGGTATGTCCTACTATTTTGTTGCTAAGGGTAAAGCATCAGAAGATGAAGTAATGATTTGGGGTGAATCAAACAAAAAGTGTTCACACGAGTAGGAATACAAACAACAAAAAAGAATCACATATGGTGTTGGATCTTCTTAGATCGTTGGGTTTATCTAGCAGACTGACGACGATTTCCAATTGTGACGGGGACGGGCAACATGATGCTCAAGAGTTGGGAGGAGTTGGCAATTTACTCAGAAGGCCGGCTCAAAAGTTCTGTGTCGGGTCGCCTTTTGGTGCTGCCCTTGCCAAGATTGACAAAATCAGGTTTGAAGTCAATAGAAAAAAGCCTAGTTTGATGCGAATGCGTGACGTCTGATGTTGAAAAATTTCATTTTGATAAATTGCAAAAAGGCTGCTTCCAAATATGAGTGCTTATGGAGGATTTGATCCTCATCGCTTGGGAAAGAAGTTCAACACTCGCTTCACATCTAGTGATGTGATATACCTTGTGTAAATCGAAAATTTCATTCCTTGAACTTTCCATTTTACTCATAAAGGTCCAAGAACCACTAAAAATATTGCTGTCTAGGCAGCTGGTTTATAAAAAAAAAGATAAAAAATAGAAAATACAACTGATTGAAGTTAAAGAAGAACCCTTTACAAATTGCATATATTATCACAGATCATATTAACGGCTGATGTACCTTATGTTACTGTTTCTTGGAAAAAATGGGCATTTGGACACACCATAATGAATTTAGTGCAGGAAAGTAGTTTTAGTAATTATTCGTTTACAATACTCATAAAGCTTGCAAAGTTTTTCTTAAAAACAAAAAAATCAATCGATAGCAAATGGATTTCTGTATTTGGTCGACAACAGATTTGCTCTTGGTACGACAACAGTTACAAATGTTATATTTTTCAATCATTAATTTACTTTAAAAAATTAAATCATTTATTTGAGACTATAACCTGTTACTTTATAACGAACTACCAAAGATTTGCTCTTCTTGGAATGGCTGTAGCATATTATTTTCTGAGGTTATTTTGAATTCAATATAGAGACTTCAATCATTAGTTTTTGCAATAAAAAAGAGTGGTGAGTTGGTACCAATCCGTTGGAGCATAATTTGGATTTTATGTTAATGAAATCTGCAACAAATTGCTAAATAGTCACGAATAATTGAACCAATGAATTAGCTTCGAAGTGTGCAAAAGCGGGATTTCAGATGCTTCTTGCATGCCTTTCTAATTTCAAGTAAAAATTGAGTTGGCAAGACTTCCAACACGGTATATACTTCCTTTTATAATCGTCTTAAATAGTATTTAAAAGAAAAACACAGTAATTTAGAAAGGATTAAAGCAAAATGTGCTACTTCATTTGCATGGGTGAAGATTGCGGTGTCAATTGCTCACCTAAATCTAGTCTGCCAAATGACACATTTACAGAACTTCACGTGGATGAAAGACAGATTTACGCGGGCAGTTATCTGATTTTGAGAACATCAAAACTATACTTAAGCTCATTTATAACTAATCACTACAAAACAACTGCTACAAGACTGAAAAGACGACAAGGGATGCTGTTGTGAGATTAGATCTACAACTTTTTACAATCTCTAGAACAGCAGAAAATGTGTATGGTGATGGAGAGAAATCGCCCTCGACTGATATCCGCCTTGAAAACGAATCAGTGCTGCGATTTATTTAGGAAGCTCGTATCTAAACTTTTATCATTAAATTCTCCACTCATTGAATTCTTCTTACTCCAGTAAAGTATATCAGGAGTAGATAGTTCTGTGCATAAAGATTCTAGGTGATGATGTTGAAGGATGAACATAACCCACCCAACCAACCCAAGAGAGATAAAAAAATAGATCTTTTAACTCAATGGGTGGGTCAGCTTTCGCTTTAAATCGCTTTTTGCTACAAGCCTAGCGAGCAAAATCCAATTATCCGAAATAAGGTCAAAGAAATAAAGCTTACCCTGAAATTTGAAGTGAAAAACAAGGAGAGTCAGAAACCATAAAAATGGCAGGAGAAAATGAAACTTCATCGAATGGCCCATTTTGTGACGGCTAATTTCTATAAATTCTGGGAGAAGAAGCTTCAGTGGTGAGTTACATTTTGACTGTAAATATGCAAGCGAATTAGGTAAAGTTTCAAAGTAAGTAAGTAAGCGAATCCTGAACTGTTTATAATAAGTAGGTAAGCAAGTAGGGAATAATTTGCTGGTGCGTATGCGAGTGAATGATGAACAGCTTGTTGGTAAGTAGGTAAGTAGGCGAGGTACAGTTTGATTGGCTTACTGTCGAGTGACAGTGACTATGATTGGATTTGCGTAGGCCTAAATTCAACAAGTTTAAGTATTTTTCTGTTTGCACAGGTTTGAATAAGGTTGGGTCGTGGCGACAGTGAGCTGAAACACAAACAAAGATGCGTATATGTGCGCTGGACTGTGCTTTGGTGTGCGTGCCTTCAAGTGGCATCAGGAAGTTAGGCCTGCATGACTTTTGCTTGAGGTTAAGTGAGTTTAGGTGAGTATTCCTTTCCTCTTTGCAAAAAACATCAAATCAAATAACGAGGATAAGTTCAAAGTTGTTATGGTTACAGAGGTGCGCAGTAACAGGAGCATAAAATGAATTAAAACTGAATAATGAAGCAACTTAACTTTAACACAAAGAATCACTTTAGTTTTCCGGAAATAACGCCGTTAATGTTTAATAACAGTTTCAAGTATAATTTGTTTTTATCATATTAGCAACTGTAAATAATGACAGGAAATGTGAAATCTTAATATGTTTACAAACCAGTGAGATGCAGTGTGGTCCCATGAACAACAGTGATTCTTTGTTTTTGAGTCTTTAATTCTACTCAATCCCATTTCAGAATGAAAATGAAATTCAAGCATGACAACAGCATCGTCATTAAATGCGTTTTGTGTTGCGTTTTGTGTTGCGTTTTGTGTTGCGTTTTGTGTTGCGTTTTGTGTTGCGTTTTGTGTTGCGTTTTGTGCCAGTTACAAAGTTCAAAATATTTCTGAACGGGTCATCTGCTGTTATTACCGGGCCGAATTTAAAAGCAGTGTTGCAGCATTTAACGAATACTGACAGCCAAGATTGTACAGGTTTTTTCACATAGCAAAACACAGACTAGGAGACTAGACAGCCTCCAGCTGAGTTGTATATCAGATGTTAAGATATTGTGCACATTTTTGAAACAAAATCTTGCTACGTTAATCAAAGTGATGTCTATAAAACCTGCAGAATGTCCAAACGACAAAGACGTAATCAATTATCCATTTTCAAATTCAAAATTGCATTACATTTTTATCCCCTTCCTCACTACTTGCGCGGAAAAAAACTTTTGCGGGAAGGAAATTTAATCCACGAAACTTCCTGAAGTACAAAAGTCAATTTTTGCGAAATATCGCGGAACTTTGCTATTGATGTTTTTGAAAAATTGGATGACGAATGATTTTTTAACGACTTTTATCATTCTTTTCATTGTTATGTTGGCATTAAGTCGGATAAAAATAGAAAGAAACCTCAGTTTAATAGAAGTGTTTTTCGCGCAAAATTCATGATTTTTCATAAAGCGCAAAAGTTTATTCTCGTGAAAGATCCTTTTTGCTTCTTTGGTAAATTCCAAAGGTTCCCGCTTTTCTCAATTCGCGAAACTTTCTTTCCGCGAAACTTTCTTCCCTTAATGTATGTAACGACGTCATCAGGCTCTATAGAATTAGAGCACGTGACTTGTTTTTAGCGAGTTGATCAATATGCAGATGATATAAACATGTATACTCGTAACCAATGTAATTTTGTGACTTAGTATTGATAAACAAATGCAAAAATTAAAATACAACTCAAAATTACATACTTGTTGTCCCAATTGCAAATTTAAAAAAAATTGTTTTGTATCAACCGCAGTCTGGGATTCAGATAGCTTGAAGTATATATCTGTAGAATGAAAGATTGAAAAGTCAGAAATCAAATAAAAACGTATACAGTTTCAAATGAAAGTTTAGGAAAGTTAGTTTCAACAAAAGCTAATTAGATCAAATTGACTCAAAGCTATTGTGAATGAAATCCCTCCATCACTTTTATGTTGTTCAGGGTTCTATATTTGCTGAAGGTGATTTACGTTTCCTGTGTACACCTTTCACTACAGTCAATGCATTCCCAGAAAACCATGCAAAACTGCCAACCTAACATATTCCATTTCTTTTCTGAAACTTACAATTGACCGATGCCAGAAAAATGAGAAAAAAGCTGAGAAAAGTGGCTGAACAATTCCTTGTGAACACAAAAGCGCAAACATAATTTTGTTACAACTACAGTAGGTGTCCTTCCCCAAAAAAGAAACTCCCCAGAAAACTTCAAGAAAGCAACTTAAAAAGATTTTAAATGAAAATAATAATGCTTTGTTATGTAATAAGCTGCCTGTTTGCAATAAGTCTCCCAATTATCACTTCTATTTTAAACTTTTTTCTGCAATCAATTTCTACAGTTTTTTTGCTTGACATTTCACTATTTCAATTTTTCTCTTATCATTTGCTTCGTCAAAATATTTTTACTTTTTGAAGACAAATACTCTTTAATTAATATGATAAATCAAATTTTAGCTTTTCGCATCTTCGATAATGCTGAGAATATATAACAACCATACCACAGGCTGAGAAACAAATTTTATGTCTGTCCAAAAATAAAGAATGATTCTCTGACAAGCTGAGAACAAGTTGTGTCTGTTCAGAATGGCCCTGTTTCAACTTGGCCTGTTCAGTGTTATTACAAATAGATGATCACTACTTGTTTGGAAAGAAGATACAAAATCTGCCTGTTTTAGTAGTTAAAAAGTATGAGCATCAAACTCACTTACTTTTAAACATGCCTACTAACAATAACAGAGTGATGACTCACTTACAAGAAGAATTTTGCTTGCATGTCTCTTACAAGTAGTCAGCAATAGATACCTTACAGTTTGAATGCCAAAACTTTGTGCCAAAGAGGGATACCAATTTGAGAGGGGCTCAGTAGAGGGAGGCCTTATCTTTGGGGAGGAGCTTATTCAAGACTTGATCTCCTTTAGAGTGGAAGGCTCTAACAATAACAACAACAACAAAAACAGCAGGATTCATGACTCAATTAGAGAGGGAGGGCTTATTAGAAATTTGAAATAAAAAATTTTTAAAATGCCCTTGTCTGCATTTTTTGCTATAAAAATGTCATACAAATGTTCCCAAGAAACTTTTCTAGCAGCTTTGAAAGTTTGATTAATAAATTATAATGTCCTTATCTTCATCAGAATCACCAGGATAAATTGATAACCCTGGAACTGACTTCTAAGACACACAATTAAGTCTGCATGGGCTGTATTTGATGGATATGATCTTATCATAAGAGACCCACTAAATGCACATGTTTTTGTCTGACATCAAAGGCTAAAGAGGGGGGGGGCTTATTTCAAGTTTTTGCTTGATAAGGAGGGGTGCTTAATAGGTAGGGGACTTAATAGAGGAAGGGAATTAATAGAGAGGGGTCTTAATAGAGGGGGGCTTAATAGAGATTCTGCAGTATTTCATCTCTACATCCAAAGTGTAAGATTGGCAAAGCTACAACCCCATTTCTTGATCCAGGTGGAAAAACATGGTATAATTTTGGCTACACATAGCTGCAAGCAGGGTCTTTGCTAGCTATTGTACTCAAGGGGTACTCAGTTACGATTTGTCGGCCTTAGAGGTAAGGCCTCTGACCTGTGAACAAATATGCTTGAATTAATATATACATTTTTTGTAGTTAGTAATATTGAGGAAAGGGCAGGGAGCCTATAGTGATGCCCAAGCATGGGAAAAAAAGGGGTTAGGATTGGGGAGGTAAAGATTTGGCTTGTCAATTTTGGCTTTGAATAAAGACAGTTTATAAGAGTCTGGGAAGAAGGAAGAGGGTAGAGCATTTAAAAGTTTACGAGATCTAGGAAGGAAGGATGAGTTGTGTGACCGAGTTTGTGAATTTGGCAGAGACTTGAAAAGAGTAAGCACTACAAGAGTTTCCAGAGGGAACCAGGGATCATATCACTGATATCCTGTGAGCAATGAGAGATCGATCACACAGAAAATGAGAAATAGGTTGAAAAGGCTTTGTAAGGTTGCAGTTGTGAATGAAATGGCTTTGGATATGGATGGCTTTGGATTGGATTCTGTTTAGGGGGAACAGGTAAGACTTTAGAGCAATCCTTCCCCGAATATGAGAACAAAACTCTAAGAAAATATATTGAAAGACAAATGGACAGATCTGGAACTTATAATTTGTTAATAGTTGTCATGGTGAGAAGAACGTTTGTGCCCTAGAGAACCAGAGCTTTTGAGATGGTTTTTTAGCAATAGTAGAAATGTCTATATCAGTCTAATACGTGCCTTAAGTATATACAATTTCATAAATAAATTTGCAACATAATTTGCATGGTGGGTTAGGTAAGAGAGCAAGAAACTGCCACATATTTTTGTCCATCAAAAGAATAGCTGAAAGCAGACACAAGATTTCCAGTCTCTGATATTTGCTTCTGACTCATTGCAAGCTTGAAAGGGGTTTTTCCAATAATAATAGACAACCATTGATTGGCAAGCTGAAAGCGTGTTGTGCATTGTATAAACAAATATATTTTATTTACTGAAAATTAAAAAACTGCATTGCAAATAAGTTTATTTAACTAAAATCAACAATTTTGTAGTTGTTTCCAGAGTTGTTGTCCCAAAACTCAATGCCATCTACTTTGTACCAAATTGCAAAATGCATTTCAATCTTATCATTTGGAAATGTCAAATTAAATCCGAATTTGTCTCGCTTGGTACCATCTGCTGATGAGACATAATAGGCTGGAGACTCTAAAAATGTTTTCCACTGATCAAAAGTATATCTAATCATAACAGTTTTCTCGAAGGCCAAATTGTTCACAATAACAAAACCACTGACGGTTCTGCCATTCAGTCTTGTATCAGCTAAACAAACGTTTGTCTGTTTAACTTTTGCTTCAACCTCTTCTGGTTGTACCTTGTCATAGCATGCAGACAGGCAGTCATTCTCATTGCTTAGAGTACGGATGATACGAACTCGTCTGGCAAGCAATGTTGTCGATCCTTTAAGTTTCTTGAATTTAGTTTCGTTTTCACCTACGTCGTCATTCTCGGTGTTGTGAGTTCTTGTTTCTAATGGAACTTCGTTTAAGAAAACTTTTCTCAGCGCATCGAGATCGTCGTAACTGGGAACAAATGTCTTTATGTTTACAAGATCTTCACCCTCAGCAAAATGCACATACTTCTTATCTGAAAGTGGGCTTGTTGGAGCACTCCTCGCCATTGCAAACGACAAAGAGACGGTTTCCTCAAATATCCTTGTCTTGTTCCTTGACATTATTGAGTTTAAGATAAACAGGCGAATAGATTAAAAAAGAAACTACCAAAACTAGGTCCATGGACTTCTACAAGCAGCTGAAAACGCCGAATAATCGAGAACATTTGGGAACGAAGCCAGCTGAAGGCAGCGAAATGAAAAGTAAATAATGGCCTAAATCAAGTCATATTCCATTTGTCCTCAACTATGGCCAAATTGGTGAAAGAATTGCTTACGTAGCGTTCGTGCACTTATTCACGCAAATTCCATATCTCATAAAAGTTCAGCGAATAAAATAAACTTTACTGCAGTCCACAACACAAGACAATGTCAAACAGCCAACCAAAACAACAACTGAAGTGAACACGTGACCATTCCTTTAACAAGGTCATAAGTGAAGGTCAGAAATAGAGGGCAGACACCTAATAAAATTAAAATAGTGAGATTCTAAATTGAACAATCGATTCTTGACAGCGAGGATTCATTGCTATTAGAACAACCTTTGAAAAATCAACATCATAATTCCACCAAGCGTTCTGCATCGTTCCACATGAATGTTTGGGCAACACCTTGAACACACCAGGCCTTATTTTGAGGAAATTTTATCACTGCACAATCAGGGTAGTTTGATAAAAAGATTACCTCTAGAGGTAGGCTGTGCAAAGTGCGTGTCAGAGGCACGCATGTAATAACCGGGGCTCTGGGGGAGCTGTAAGCCCCTCAATGGGTCCAGGGCAGGGCCCTGGCAGGGGTCCAGGGGGCAGAGCCCCCGGAAACTCATGAGATTTTGCCGTCTCTGAGGCCTCGAAATGGCTTAAGATCCTGAAAATTCTCTTTCTGTACGATGATATAAAAGCACAAGAAATACACATATAGCCAACCCACTAGCAGAATATCCCTGAGTAACCAACCCACTAGCAGAATATCCCTGAGTAACCAACCCACTAGCAGAATATCCCTGAGTAACCAACCCACTAGCAGAATATTCCTGAGTAACCAACCCACTAGCAGAAAATTACACTCAGCAAAGTGCTCTCACGTGCCGCTAAATTTGATTGAATGTTTTATACCATCATGACTCTTCTTTTTCCCCTCCACATGAAGGGAATACTGCCTCAATCAAGTCCATATTAAGTATTTTGAAGCAGTGACATCGAAGAAAGGAAGAAAAAAGACGCAGAAAATGATATGAGAAAACGTTTTTAAAACATAGTAACTGTGAACTATTATACACCAGAAACTGTTGATTTGTTTGCTTCGCTTTGCATATTATTACCGTTATGTTCTGTTTGTTTATTTTTTGTTACTTTTTGTCGTACAATGCCAATGGTCACCCTTTCTTTCCCCAACGTCTGTCACTAGAGTTTTGGCATGACTACTCTCCTCCCAAAGTTTTTCTAAAAATCAATAATCGATGTTTTCTGAAAATTCTCGAATGGTCTATTCTGAGCGGTATAGTAATTTGTTAATTTTTAGTCTGGGAGATGCATTTTTAGCCATTCTAATAGGCTTAATTCCAAAAAAAAATTCTCATCTAAGACAATTGATGATACAAGAGATCGACCGATTACACTTTTAACACGTCGTACGTTCATTTTTACCCTGGGTACCAGACTCACTTTAAATAAAATAAGAGACAGAGTGAGTATGTACCCAAGGTAGTTCATTTTATGCAATTTGTTTTGTTTTCGTCAGTAAGAAATACGTTTGAAAATAACTTTTATTCGGAACAATCTGATGGAAATTTCGGCTAAACTGTACGTAATTGAAATTAAATATACAATTCACAAGCAGTTTTGAATTTGGTCATAAATTGTTTGATTGATTATTTAGTACTGGCTGATTTCTTATAAGCTATGTTCAAATTTTGCAAAAAGGGCACAGAGAGGTTATATAGGCCTCTGGGGGTAAAAAGGGAAAATGCAGATCATAATTTTTGGAAATTACGCCCCTTAGATTAGCTGAAAATTCCTTTTTAGAACGATTTCTCGGAGTAATTTCGACACATTAAACTGTTGTCAATTATCCGACGCAAGCCCAAATTTTCCGACCACATCGCTGATTGGGCGGCCCGAGCCCCCCAAACCCCCATAATTTCTGCCACTGCAAACAACAGTGCCCCAAAATATTCTATCCTTCCTAGAGAACCGTCTAATAAAAAAATAAAAATAATGATAATTGGTTTTTAGTGCTTACTTGTCGTTTTCAAAGACACATTCCAGTGTTTCGTAAGGAGCATTTGCATAGATACCTGAATAAAAGTTCGAGATGGATGCAAGTGCCATATTTACTCGATTAAACACTCACTCGAACAAGGGCTCCTTCGAAAAGCGCCTCCCTCAAATAGCCTCAGTACCTAATTTAAAGGTATTTTCCAAGAATATGAAAAATCTATGTGGGTCTGACCACGCCCCAATTGCTGTGGATTTGAAGTCGATCAATCGATCATACCAGTTCTGAGAGACATTGTTATGCAGCCATTCGATGCATCATTCATCTTCTGCATATCGGTATTGACGACAAAACCAAGCTCTTCTGAATGGCTTCCATCATGTAAATACCTGACGTTGTTTAGATCTTCCTGAAAGTCCTGGACTATTCCATTAGCATTCACGTGCTTCATCATCAGGTACCATCTTCTATCAGAAGGTTGGCTACCATGACCCTCCAACTATCCCAAAATCTGAGTTTTGGTTTGTTGTCATGGTCATAGATAAAACGTGCTTACTTTGCTTAAAGGAATTTCACGGGGTTGCCAAGACCAGGCACTGAGGGTGCCCCTTTTGGCACCATTTCATGCTACAAACATATGCCCACCAGCTCTTTGGTATATTGCGTTGTTTGCCTTGCCTATCTAGCTATCGATTGACGCACCACCCTCTATTAATAATGGTTGTAACAAACCTTTCAAACGGTCTGCAATGCAAGCAGCGGTGTGTATGCAAATGCAAATGCTCATCCATGTGTGTTTTCCTCATTGCTCCTCCAGCGCTTGTAGATTTTGGTAGCATAGGACCACCCCTGTTGATATTTATGTCATTTGATAACATCTGGATAATTTTAATTTGCTCTTCTTTAATTTTAAGTCAGTCAAGGTTTTCAAAACACGGTTCTTTGTCTATCTTGTCTCTTCTTCTTTTACGTGTCCCATCTTTATCAGTGCCAGCCTCTACCAAGCCTTCATTACTACCCAAACCTTCATTTTTTCTTTTTCTATAAATTCAGTGTATGCCGCTAGTTCTGGTTGTTTGAGTTCAGGTCATGTTGTTATTCGCTTTCCGACAACCTTCTTCTTGTTGTCATTCTTCTTCTATTCTCAACCACTCAGCATCACTTGGGTTGGGCTAGTATTAATTTAAAGCACGACTACATAAGTTAATTTTGCGATGCTTCTCTCTGCTTATCTGAACTAATGAAACAGAAGAATCTCCAGTAACAATTTTACATATGGTTTATGTCTCATTCTCTAAGAAAAATGGATGAAAAAGCACAAATTGAGATACCAGTGTAATACTGTGTTGAATTGTTAGTTATGAAAGCAGCCTCAAAGATGAACTCTTGTCAAGCTTTATATGGGTAGCTTTATGTATTCATCGCGTAGAAGAAGTAGACGAAGCCTCTGGCAAATTGTCAGTTTCTAGGGGAAGCAAGAGGAAACCGGCAATATTTAGGTGCGATCTATTTGACTTTGATTCTTACGGCTAGAAAGAGCTATTATACTTTTTCATTTCTCCCACTAATTTTGCTTTTCTCAGATCATTATTTAAAATTTCAAGGCCACTATTAGTGGGGAAAACACGCTTAGATTAGGGCAATGGCTGAATAAATAATAGCCACAGGACGTTTAATCGAGAGAATAAGGTATATCACCAGGAGTCGGTCTTCTCTACTGTTCTGTGGCATCTGTTTCTCAGTATAACTCCCGTAAAAAAACAATTCAATAAATATGCTTATCCTTGCTTTTAAAAACCGAATCAAGTTGGAGATAGCACAAAACATTGCATACTGAATCACTTCTCGTCCGACACTTTTTTAAGAGCATAAACGTCAGATAATGCCCGAAAGTGGGTAGATAATTCATATCCAGGTGTTGTTGTATTCAATCGACAAATCGTTGACTTGTGCGTACATACCGAGCTTCGGATCGCCACGAAAATTAATAAACAATTGAACCTTTTTGGTCGGAGGAAAGCAATTCTTTTCAATAAAAGAAAGCATGACCCGAGTTCTTTAGACCACACGAAGTTTCACTGTGGAAAATAGTCATCATGTGGAAAATAGTTAGCTAGGGCCCTTTTTTATTCTTGCTTCAGTATGCTATGAGTTCATTATTTCGCTTCTCCAAATTTAAAAAAAAATTTAAATCATGAGCAACATTTGTGTGAAACATCTACCTTTCAAGGCCGAAAATGACCCGGTCATGCCTATTAATATTCAAGCCTTGAGAATCTAAATTGTCATCTTGAAAGTTACTTTAACGTACGTCAAGAAACAATTTTTTTTAACAAGCAAACAATTCACGACGAACGAGAACAAAAATTTTGACGGAGGACGCAACTGATGGCAAAAACAAAAGCCAAGGAATTTATTCCAGCTTCAATAATAATCTTTTCAAGGAACAAACTGTTGAATACTCTTCAGCAAAGGCAGCCAGTAGTCTCATTGGGTTATCCAAATACGTTTTAGGCACCAAATTGATGGAAAATTAATGAGTGTAATCCAAACTTATGTATTAAAATGTTTGCTACATTGGATGATGTTATAAATGTACTTGCCAGTATTTGAAGTCTGCTATTTGAATTTCTCCTTTGCAGCAGCTTCTAAGATTTGATGCAGCAGTGGCGACTCTATATCTGCATTGATGATAATCAGTTCCATAAAAGTTTGGATAAAATGTGGAACACTGTTCTAACTGCATGATTGCAAACATAAACGAGATTAAAGACAGTCAATGCAAAATTCCAAGTTGAAGTATCCCTGCATTGTCATTGGTCTTTTAAATTGTCATTGCTTATATTAATTTTTTACAAATTTTCTACCCTAGTTGACTATAAAATGTCCCTGACTTTGTATACTTTTACAACAAAATTCACCTAGCTTTAGGAATTGCTGCTTGATTTCATTCAAATGTAGCAAAGTGAAGAAACACAATAAATCAACTGGGGTATGTGGTTCCAATTGAATACAACCAACTTATTCCTTGGATCTCAAACTGCTATTTAGCAATTTCTACTATTGCTATTTTCTATTCTTCCCAAACGTTGGTCATCATTAAAAAGTCATTCTGTAATTCACCTTACTCTTTGTTTAATATTCAATTAGAAATACTGTCTACCACACTCAATGCACAGTCTAAAGGCTGAAATACACAATCAGTTTTTCTCTGCCAGTTTTTCCCAAATATTCTATACATCTGTTTTTTCATCAGTTTAACTGAAGGAGCGCATGTTTACACGATCAGTCAAAATTCTTCAGTTTTGCAATGGATATCAACACAGAACGTGCTGCAGCTGCAATTATTATTGCCACAATTTCAAAACGAAAGAGGAAAAGAAAACAGAGGTCCACATGGGTAAAACCATGGCTACAAAAACGTTTGCAATTTGGAATGTATGATTGTATAAACTCACTGCACAGTCTAAGAGTTTTTGAAAGAGACTTTATGGAATGTGCAATTTATTGCCATTGGGATAAACTTCTAGTGCTTCATCTCTTTTGTCACCTTGCCAAACATTGTACCTGGGACTGCATACCCTTAAAGTGTCCTTGCTTATTCCAACTTATATGTCACACTCAGTTAGAGTCAAAATTTGGTTAAAAAATAGGACTCATTTCAGTTTGTATAGTGAACTAGTCACATGACTATTTGCTTTGATTAGTTGTTACAGTTGGATTAATTTACTTTGTGAATGAACAAATATTGACAGGTCATATTGAATAATTTCAACATCCAGTTCTATTTTGTGATAAAATAACTAAAGGCAGGTTCTGAACTAAGAAAAAAATCAGCTTACAGGCATCACAGGAGTAGCACCATACGCTTATGTCTGCATAACTGATTGCTACTGGATGACTGGTTTCCTGATTATGGACTACCATATGCTCATTCACGTATCTGCTACAAAATACGGAGCCACATGAAAGGCAAAGCCAGTTCTCTCCCTTTGCATCGCATTTGTTACATTTTTCATTTGGGTCAACGCCAACTTTCTGGTCCCCAGCTACAACAGACTGTTATCCAATCCATTAGTTATAAACATGGATAAACACAAAAAATCAACTGATATAACATGCACTGAAATTAGATAAAGAACATGTTGAAAAACAGATTTTCATTTGCAATTGCAAGAAGGGTTCAGATCAAACCTTGTAACCAAGATCATCTTCACAGCCTTGATACTTACAGTTACATGAAGAGTTTAAAAAAGAATATTTTTGCAGATTTAACAAAAACACAAATTGGAGTTTCTCAATTTACAGTTCATTTCTCCCAATACAGCTTCCTCAAGAATTACTAATTTGCATCCTTGCATTTTAGAGTTCATGTCAGTTATTTTTTTGCATGCCATTTACTCATGACATGAGTATTTGAAAATATTTTAAAATTGGTTCATGTAAATTTTATTGAGTTTTGCAAAAAAATGCCTCCTCAAGAACAATGAAACCATTTTCATGTCAGAAATATATCAAAGCCAAAAGGATTTCAATAAAAAAGCCAAAATGAAGAGAAGAAAACACCCATGATTGACAATTATTTTATTACCAAACCAATGCAAGGTTATGTTGATTCATCCTATTTTTAAGCTCTTGAATGAATGATATTCTTTATCTTCTCTAAATATTTGGATACATCCATGCCAATCTCAAAATTCAATCTTGCCACACTCTACACCATCATACATGATATCAGGTGTGGTACTTACTGATGCTCTTTCAGCACACCTATACTGCAGCCAAGACTCATTTTAAAATTCTACTTTTTCAACACTACAAACTTCTAAAAGTGCGTAAATTCAGGCGCACAGTAGCAAATTGTTAAAATGAACCGCGCAAGAAACAAAGTTTCCAGTTTGGTGTTTGGTACTAGACATTTTAAAAGGAAAATGTCTTGGGTGTTGCACGCTCTTGCAGTCTGCCGTTGCCCAAGTAAATTGAAATTTAAATATATTGATGAAAGAGTTATATCAGTCATACCGCTACGTGAGGACAATCTTTTTTCGGAGTTACGTAAAATCCTTTCCCCCCAGAACTTTCTGAACTTGCAGACGCTTCCGCCATGTTGATTGTGTTCCTAGCAGCCTCCAAATGAAGTGACTATGGACTTGCCTCATACTGAACCAGCGTTGAGAAAAGCGTGAGACGGATGTGGAACATCCAGAAAAAAAATAAAATCCGTAGAAATGCCGTAGAGTGGAGAATATGAAACATGTTGTACAGTGGAGTGGATAAACCTAGCAGCGTAGGATGGAAATATCTATGCAAACTAATCAAGGCCTCTCCCTAATAATCTATGGAGTAAAATGTATCTTTTCTTAATCTTGAACATGATCGCAATGATACCAGCTACGAGTTGTTCTGTGAATTTATCACAAAAAGAAAGAGAGGATCCCACATCCGTGTGACTGCCCAAATAATGGGTCTTTTCCAGTGGCTATCGGGGAAATTTTCTTTTGAAAAAAATAACATAACAAGCGTCTGTACAATAAACGGAGATGCAAGGTGATAAACTCATTTTTTATAAGAAACAGGATATAGGAAACGGTAGGTTCAATTTTTCGAAATTTAAGAAACAGCCCTACCCAAAAGAAAAAAGCTAAGAGACTTTTGTAATTTGCAATTTTAATTTTCCGAGTTCGAAAGAGTCTTGACATTGAACATCACTGTATATTGCAACACTACACTTGACATGCAGTTTGCATTCATCCTCAGTAAATTGCACACTCCCATTAGTAAGTTCCCATTTAAAAATTTGTTTTGACTTCAAATTGACATTCATGAAGATCAATGAGCTTTACTGTATACTGATCTCAACAGAGTTAGTCATACTAGGAAAACAAAATTCCACGATCACTTTGTTAGTTTATCTCTGAATGTGAGTAAACTATTTACTTTACCTTGGGAGCACGTTTAAAAAATTCATTACCTAGGAAGTTTAAGAAACACGTGAGAAACTTTTGATAGCAAAATGGTCAGAAAATTTATTTTATTTTCTATTAAAGAAATACGTGTAGTTTAGATGTTTCATAGTTTATACCTTCTTGACTGGTTTTAATGTCATCTGCAGCATTTTTTCCACACCACACTTTTTTGCAGTTTTCCTTTCTCCAAGTAGAAAATGTGATGAATTGGCTTTAATTTATCCATCAGATTGTATCTGATATCTCGATAACATTTTAATCTCGATATCACCAATACCGTTTATGCCAGCAGAAATATTATGTTTTCATGACTTTGTGTAAAGTTTATTCTTAACTTTAAGAATCTACTTTTTTGTAATCATTGGCTTATGTCAACTTTTTTTGTTGTTTCGTAAATAAAGAGATTGAATATCTCAGTTATGGTGCAATTTGTTTGTGATATGAATGACCTGTATTCATTCTAGTTCCAATGAAAGTATGAATCCAAGGGCCGGACTAATATTATTTGGCAAGACAAGGCCTCCCTTTCAACAAGTGCGAAAGTCCGAATATTTTATTTGTCGAAGCTGAGATAAAATAATTTCACGAGTTATTGAAAAATGAATTGAGAGCTAAAAACTTTGTCTCTGTAGTTACAAAAAAACTCCGGTTCAGTAGTTACCACCGGAGATGTAGTTGTCTTGTCGGTAGAATCTTCCTCTGAAAGTTCCTTAGGCAGGAATATTACATCAACCCTTGCTAGAAAAAATTTTCTGTGACTAGTTTCTCACTTTATTTCTGAAACTAAAAAATTGAGACTCTAGTACCCCGGGTACTTATCATCATGGATCAATTGGGACTGACCATTCCATGAATCATTCTGAAAACTGTGCGTAGTTAATTCGTTTACCATACCTTTCCCGCCTTGCGGAGGCAATGTTCTTTGCAAAAATTTCACATGAAACATAAAGAAGCTGAAACATTAACCCTATGAAACCTAATAAATCTTCCGAAAAACTCTCGGGGCCTCTTTTTGTTTGTGTTAGTTTTATTTCAGGGAATTCTTTATCATTTGGTTCCGACTGTGGATTTAAAGCACAAAATCCTTCCTGTTGCGTCTGAAAAAACATTGCTACTGTAGCATTGTGGCCTTTCAAACCTCCTTTGCATACAGTTTCTGACTACTGTAGTCAAATGTAAAAACATGGAGCAATTGGAACTTCAAAAAAATTCATTACACTAGCTGCTGAATGTTAGCGAAAAAATTTCCAACACAATATTCTGCTTCTATATTTTCTCGATTTCAAAACTACCGCACAGGAGGGACATTAGGTAACGATGATCGGACATCAGCTAATATCACTGAAAAATATTCATAATCATTTGAAAGAATTATCGCTTCTTGTCATAGAAATAGTAATCTATCAATGAAATGGCAAAAATTTGATGTATCTGGTTTTATTATCAACGACAAAAAACCAACTCAATCGTAAAATTTCATCGTTAAAGCCTGGTTTTCGTATAACTTTTATGCGTCGGCGATACGTCGGCGATGATTCTCTTCAGCCTAGTTTCCATATAGCCCTTACGTGTTGCCGACGTACCGGCGACACTCTTAGCCCAGGCCTTCTAGGGAGGCTTTCTAGGGAGGCTTTTGACCGTGCCCAACGAGTGGGCATGGTGATTGATAATGATTTTCATTGGCTAGTGTGTGTCATGTGTTCACACAGAGTCGCCGACGTGTCGCCGATGAATGTTTCCATGAAAATTTTCAGCCATCGCCGACGTCGCCGACTGAAAAAAGTTGAAATAGATTTAACTTTGCAGGGCATCGCCGACACGTCGGCAACAGCTTTGTGGCAGTGTTTCCATTGAGCTTTCACTCGTCGGCGATGCATCGCCGACGTATACGGAAACCAGGCTTTACTGTTACAAGTATCACATTCGGCACGACGTGTCAAATTCGGCAGGCTTTACTGTTACAAGTGTCACATTCGGTTTCCGAAGTTACATAGAAACCAGGCTTTACTGTTATAAGTGTCTCAATCGGCACGACGGAGGGCTTCGAGAGGGGCCTATATTAAATTACTCGAAAATTGCTTTCGTTTCAATCCTATTGGGAACAAAAATTGGTTCAAATTATTTTTTGGTTTCAATTGGGAACTTTAAGGGGCACCTAATTACTAAACGATGCAAAATATGTTAAGAAGAACTAATATTGTAATATGTTATTGATAATTACATCTATCTTATATGATGATAATATTAATGTCATAAGCCAATCAAGACCATTTGAATGCATAAGACAATAAAAGAAAAGACATACAAGTAGAGAACAAAGAAGATTAATACAAAACAGTAAGGATAGTTACGATTATCTGCATGAATGTTTTAGACTTCATTCACAATTCAAGTCGATCAAAAAGTGGCATCATTGGAACGAATGTTTTCGTAAGTCGTTTGGTCGTTACCTAGGACGTCCGCATGTTTGACTGGTGACAGATATTTGCTGTCTTCATTGGGAAGGATTTTAAGATAGAGAGCGTCACTTTCTTGCCGTTGCATTTTAATGTAATTGTCACAAAAATCTGGCAAATCCGGGGTCGAGTGAAAATGGATTTGATTTCTAGATGACGCTAAATCTACGTATGAATATGACCGTTCATCTTTACTGCCGGCTGGCCGAAGTGCCGCAAGCACTGCTGCGCGATCAGTTGCGTACATATACTGTGGGCTTTCTGTCCGGTTTTCCGTAACTGTTGATGCGCCTACAAAAGTTAATTCAACAACAACTTAATTCAAACAACTTCAATTTTATTCGTATACTACAGATGAATATTACTATATCAATATTGCAATATACAGAACCCAATGACAGTACAGAATAATATAGCTTGGACCGTTAACAAAAGGTATCATTAAAAACATAACAGTAATTACATTAACAAAAACAAATTTGGTTGTATACTTTATAAACTGGAACAAGATAATATAGCATGTGGATTACGTTTCATTTTTCTCTCAATTCATAATTCTAATATTTTGCCAGCATCTGTTTTCTTAGTGGCAAGGTAAAATTTATTTCTCTTTTATATTTTTTATAGGCTTTTGGAGATTAATCCATAGTTATGCTTCTTTATTTTGTAGCATTAAATCACGCAAACGCTTATTTAGTTTACTTTTCTGAAAATCATTTAATTGACGGGTTTCTTGTTTATGTTAAAGATATTTGTTTTAAAAAGTTTACATAGGGCTTGTGGCATCTTGTCATTATTATGCTTTATTCCATGCTTTAGCTGGAGAATCTTTAAGTCATACAGATCTTGTAGTTTGGGAAGTTTGATTCCTTGTGTTGGAAAAGATAGTCTTTAGAGTGTCAAATCCTTAATATTTCTTTTTTAGCCAGAAGATAGGTCTTAATGTAGTGGCTTATATTTAAATACACAATGGAATCATATAGTGTTTTCAGGCAGTCTTTAGGAAAATAATGCCTCAGTTTGAAAACATGGATGCATATTTAACAATTTTGTTGTTTATTTTGTCAACGTGCTTTTGCCACCATAGTTTATTATCAATTTTGATGCCAAGATACTTTATCATATCTGCTTGTTTGAGAGGCTCCCCTATTTTAAGGACAAACGCTTTGGTATTTAGTGGTTTGTGTGACGGCTTGAATATACAGTGGCTTGTTTTCTCAAGATGCACAACTAGTATTTGCTTTGAACCAATCATAGGTTTTTCTTAGTTCCATATTCGTTTCTTTAGCCAGGGTGCTAGTGCACTTTCCAAAACTGAGAAGGTTGGTATCATCCGCAAAAGTCTAGGTTTTGAATATGTTGCATTCAAGATATCATGAACATGAAAGGTGAAAAGGATTGGTCCTAGAACAGATCCTTGAGGCACTCCAATAGGCAAGATTTATAAAGAATTTTCGGCAGAAAAACAAAACAGGCAATTTTTTTCTAGGGGTTAATAAAAACGGTGCCTTCTACGTTTGAATTGGCTAATTGGATTGGCCACTTGAATTGAATGAAGAACTTCTGAGATTCGTTCAACATACAGAAAAGACATGCCGGATATCAAGCTGGGTGGTCATCTATGTAGGATATGAGTTGTGTGACTATGTGTTAGTGGTGAATTGGGGTGTCAATGGTGGGATGGGCTTTTAGTGGTGAGACTGGGTGTGTCAGTGGAGAGATGGTGTGACTAGGTGTTAGTGGTGGGACTGGGTACCAATGGTAGGTATGGTTTTTAGTGAGAATTGTATTAGTCTTGAGACTGGGTGTGTCATTGAAGAGATGGAGCAGCAGTGGTGTTATTGAGCATCAATGGCGAGATGGGGTGTCAGTTGTGTGACTAGGTGTCAGTGGTGAGACTGGTAGTGGGTACCAATGGTAGTGGGAGTGAGAGGAGGTATAAATGGTGTTTTGTGAGGCTATCGAAAAATAATGTTATGGCTTGGAATTTGCTAATCACCTGACTTACAAATGGTATCTATCTAATATGGTAGCATTGAAGAAAAGAAAAAAGGCTATATCAAAGACTTCTCTACCTCTTAGATCAACTTGCAGCAAGGCATCATTTTCAACATTGGTCGTAGAATTCCTTTCATTGTTAACAATGACATCTCTCCTTTAAGGCAAAAATAGAAAAATTCTTTACTCCTGATGGCTCAACTTATACTATAACTTATGGCACAAAACCAAAATTCTACACAAAATCTGGCAGTGATTTTTTACTGACGATGAGGATACCAAAGTTGCAACTACTTATAAGCTGTATATTATAACTTACCTAAATCTTTGGTAAGCCATTTTATACATCAAAAATGAAAAACGAAATGAAAAAATAAAAAGACAATGAAAATCTGGCTTCAGTTATATCGAAAATTCCAACTCACTTTGACCTCAAAAAGGTTGTCTTGTATTTGAGACTCAGAACAACAAAACCGATGATTGCTAGAAACAATGCAGAACCGGAGAAGCCAACAACAAAACCGATGATTGCTAGAAACAATGCAGAACCGGAGAAGCCAACAACTATTGTAGGAATTAATGAAAATGATGTTGAGTTGACATAAGGCTCTGTCTTGTTTTGAATGACCTGCAAATGTAAGCAAAAAGGTAACAATCAATGCTTTAAGGCTAGAAAAACAAAAATTGAATTATAGTTTTCAACAGCTAAGAAAATGTTGCTTCATTACAGGGTTTCCAGATTGGATTCATAAAAAAAGGCCAGACAGAAACTAACTTGAAATGAGCATGAAGCTTCTGTGCATCTTTGAGCTGCAGAAACCATGCAGGTTTAGTGGGAAATTGGCATATTCTACACAGGTGAGCAATGGTGAAAAGAGTAGTAGTAAAAAAGCTGCAAATTATTCAAAAAATGTGGTACATAAGCAAGTCAACCATTGCAGTCTTGAGGTATAGATTTTGCTATCTATTTTGTAATAATCGGGAAGGACAGAGGAATCAAAGGCATACATGCACTTGCACTAAAATGTGAGCAGTACAATTGGAGAGTGAGCTAAATCTTGATTTGCAGAAGAGGTTAGCAAAAATTCAACGCCTTCATCATTCCAAAGACTAGACCAGAGTATATTGCAAGACAAGCTTCATGACTATATTGCAAGACAAGAAGTTCATTAAAGGATCAACTTGAGCAATGCATTGTGGTTGAGGGTGTTGTACGAGAGGATGATGTACGAAAGGTATAAAGGGAACTGCTTTAAGACCTTGGGGAAAACTCATCCTAATTTTGAGAAGCTTTTAAAAGCATCATTAATGACACTGAACATCAATTACAGGGCCACCCCTTTACATTGAAAGTAGTGTTGAGGAGAAAAACATACATTCTCTTTCAAAATGTAATAATCTGGGGATATCATGCATAAGATAAGAAATATGAAAGTAATCTTGCAATTTACTGTTTAGGTTTGGTGGATTGCACAGATAAAGGCAAAAAGAAGAAATATTAAGATGAAATTTAAAATCAAGGATGGCGAGAGCAAATCTGCATATTTAATTTATTGTTTACAAACAGAATTACCCCTATGCAAGGAGAAATAAGGCCCTAAGTGTATAATTTTGCTCTATATAATCTTATATTTGGTTAAAAGTCTTGTTTGAGATCATTTTGGGAGAAAATGGACAGTATTTAGGGGACTTTGGACAAATTAGAGTGAGACCATTTTGATAAGGGAGACTTTGCGGGTGCTATCACTATGCTGAGCTTTGTTGAGTTTTTTGGGGGTTTGTTGAGTTTAATGTTCAAATCACAAATAATGGACCTGCCTGGTATTTCCATTAGCTGGTTCCAAAAGTTAAGAGTGTTTTGGGAAAGATCACAAGATCATATAAATCTAAAAGTTACAAGTTTCTTTGTGTTTCTTCAAAGGTTTTACAGAATGCATTAATTCAAAGTAGGTGTAAACTAAAAAAGACAAAAACATGAAATACTTACACTTGATGCTTCATGTGTAGTAGTTTTGAAATTGTGAGGAGCAGAAGTTGATGTTACGTGAGGAGCTGAAGTTGCTGTTGTGTTCCAAAGAAATGTGACAGCTGATGACAAAGTTTTTGAAATCATTTATAAGAAATCACTTAAGCCTACAAAATTTTAATATCCCCAGGTTAAATTTTACATGTAGTCTCATAAAACCATTTTTATTTTTAAAGGAAAGTCCATCTTTCAACTATCAAACATATTTAGATCATTTGTTTGCAGTAACGATTTCAAGACTGTTGATGGTTTTTACCGAATGTAGAACTCAAAAAACACATATATTCAAGAATTGGACTGAAAAGTCGATAACATGATTCAAATTTTGTTGGGGGAAGCACTCACCCTGACCATTGACCACAACTATGGTCCATAATCACTTCTACAATGTACCATGGTTCGAGAGAGAACAAATGACTTACTTTGCTTTGCTGTGCCCCCTCTTGTCATCTTCTGCAACATTTTACCATCCCAGTGACAGTTCTTTTAAAATGAATGTTCCAGCGGAAGACACAATAATAGGAGGAAAACATTGCTGTTGTTGTCGTCTTTAAAAAGTGAGGGGGCGGTCTTCAAAATCTCGATAGAGTGCCCCTCCCCCACGTAAGATCGCCTCCCCCCCTTATGTTTTCACTAGAGTCATAAGGGTCCTAAAGATCGTAAGAAACCCCCCCTCAAAAAAAAATTTCATTGTGCCCCCCGGAGCCCACCAAAATTTCATTGAGCCCCCCGTCGGCACTTCAAACTTGCCAAATGAACATAACTTCCACTTCGTGATTCTTTTTTAATTGTTTGATTTTTTTCAATTTTTTTTTCATTTATTGAACTAGAATTACCACAGCAGAAATGGTGTTATCTTTGTGGGTGGTTCACTCACTGTCGGCACTCTGACATTAACGCCCCCCCCCCAGCATTTTTTTCTGGCATCATCCCTGGACATAAGGACCTTACGACCGGATGTTCCTTTGTGATCAATATCGTGAGTAATATCATAATGAAAACTTCCAGGTATACTAAAATCATTGCTCGCAATCCGAATCTGGGGTCAAAAAGTTTGTACAAAATAATTTGAAGAACTTTTTCAAAAGGAGGCCGTAAGTCGAATTGGTCTATTAACTTGCATTTCTTCGACGCCTTCATCTTTTGACTTTTTCGCTCTGAGGCTCTGAGGAGAGGACCTTTATCATTATTGTCTCTAATATTATGTTATCTTAATATTGATTGGGAGGCTGGATTATTACTTAGAAATTGTTTTCAATTGAGTTATTATTTATGGGCCCCTAAAGCCAAGGGCCCCCGGGTCAGTGACCCCCCTGACCCCCCCTCTCCTCAGCACTGTGCTCGATCCATGCAGACAAGTGGCGAGGAAAAGGGCGCCACTTTCAAATCATAAGAAATCTCACTACTTTTACGATACTTCTGACGCTTATGAGAACAAAAGATTTTTTATTCTTACGATGATGGCATTTTAATCAGTGGCGTACCCAGGGTTGCAGCAGTGGGGAGGTCTGGGGCAGAGCCCCCAGAAATTTTTTTGGACCACGCCCTTCAAACACTCGCAAATGCGGGGAAACGCCTTTTTTTGCAAAAATGTTACCTCATTATTTGATTCATGTTAGCTACGGTACAAACATGCAGTATACTACCCCCCCCAACGAGTTTTACATCGCTTTTGGACTAATCTCAAGGAGCATATTTTAGAAAAGTGGGGGGTCCGGACCCCCCATTCCCCCCAGTGGCGGCCTGGCTGGGGACCGGGGGGGCCAGGGCCATCCCAGCTGACATTCTTATAGGGGCGCCAAAGCTTGTATAGGGCGCCAAAAACTCGAAAAAAGTTTGATAGGACCGACTTGTCTGATTATTAGGTCTCTAAGAGGTCAGCAGAGACAAAGAAGACGCCATAAAATTCAAAATTTTATTGGGGCGCACGCCGCCATACCCCCCCCCTAGAGCAGTCTCACTTCAAGGGCACGTCTTTGTGCCCCTTCAGTACTGTATTGTCCAGACAAAACATTTGTACTGTTCCCAGGGGCGAAAAAATTAATCAATTTTTTAGAGGATTGTCAGGAAACTAACAGTTAAATTCTTTGTGTGGAGCACACAGCACTTAAAGTGCACACATACTGTGTTTAGGGTGTCAGAGGACAGTCTGTGTTTAGGGTGTCCGGACTCATGAACCCTTTCCAGGAAAAATTTTGATTTTTGATGAGTCTCTTTGGCTCTGCTGGCCTTTAGAGACCTAATTAACAGACAATTTGGTTGTTTAATTGCTTCATCCTAGATTTGTCCATATGTTATATCTCAAGTCACTTCCACGCACGTACAGTTTCAAGTGCACAAGATAACAAGAAATAATGCTAAAAAGTGCATTCAAAGCTAAAACATAATGAAACCAGCTCTTATTAGGTTTTTTCATAAAGAATAAAATTAAACAGATGGCTCGAAAGTTGTGTCGGGCCTAATTTTCTTAACTGTTGCGTTTTGTTTGGCCTTTAATAATATTTCTTTAAAGTTCGATGAAATATTTACTTCATTTTTTATCAAATGACATGATGCATTCAAAGATATGCTGGAAACTCATTTTCTAGCCTTATGACTAACTGGAATCCTCCACTTATTGGCTAGAACCGACTCTTTCCATTATTTGCTACCCCTACACTCCCCTAATTTGCCCCTTGACTTTTAGTTGAGTTGTATGCATTTTTTGAGCTTGTTTAGCTGCCCCAAAGTACAAGTTCAGCAAAACAAAGGTAAATGTTTTATCTGGTGCTTTGGATTCCTCTCCAAGATGCCAAATGAACACAACAGTTACAAAGAGAACAAAACTCTCATTCTACCACATCGTAGGGTCTATTGAAAGTTCCCCAAATATGTTCTTGACACATTTTTATTTAGTTTATCTGCTTGGATTGGTTTCTAAGAGACAGTCAATTTTGTACGTGAGTCGGTCCAACTTGTCCTGACACCCCCATGTAAAATTATTTTATTTGCGTCCCTGTGCTCATGTGGGGGTCAGTAGATTTTGTCTCTTTGCTTTATTTCTCATGGAAGGACCAATTTGTCTCCACGATACAACGATAGGGTGGATTCTTTTCCCTATTACAAAGTAATGAAATCCATTTTAAGACTGGAATTAATCAAACGTACTAAAAGCATGCCTTAAAAATAGCAGAATTTTTTAAACGATTTCAAGAAAATGACGGCAATAAATACTTTGAAATGTATTTTAAGCTTATCTAAAGGGCGTGGTCGCAAAAATTGTCAGCTCGCTACGCTCGCAAGAAAGCCTTTATTGAGAGTTATACCAAGGGCCTCCGTGAACCTCTCGCCGACCCTTCCCAATGTTGGTTTTTTAGTCGAATAAAGCCATTAACTCGAGCCCCCCCCCCTTAATTTTGAATTTCTTGACACCACCCCTGGACTGCCAATATTGTCAGGAAAAAGACAATAATGTAAGTTATGGAGGGCGCCATTTTGATGCTGGCCCTACTAGGCGAAAAGGGCCAGGCCGCCACCGTTCCCCCCCCCTTGGGTACGCCACTGATTTTAATGATGGCGTTTTCATTTGGATTATAAGAAACATAAGCGACGCGGACTTAAAAATTATGTTTCTTATGGTCGTTATGACCCTGATGACCAGGGACGAAACTGCTGAGGGGGTATGGGGGTGCTGCATCCCCCCCAATCTGAAAAAACAGATTTTGTCGGGCAAATTTATGGCTGCCAGCATATCGGTCGGGCAAATAAGGAAATTTTGTTTAGGTCGCACTTTTATTACTACTTTTTGCCTCTGCGTGGTTTTTGAATTTATGGTTTTTTTCCCCCATCTTTTTCCCCCAATCAATCAATACTTTCTTTTCCAAATGTATGAAAGTTTCATCATAAATTCATAGGGTGTTATGCCCCGAAATTCTCTTAGGTTTTTACACTTACGGTCTGAAAGTATTGCACCTTTCGCCAAAAACTGGCCGCACAGCTGCCAAAGTTAATTAACTAAAAAAAACTCAAATGGCTGTAACAAATAACAGAAAGTTTTAAGCCTACAATTCAAGCAGGAAATGTAATTAAGTAATTAAGATATGAATTGCCAAAAACTTTCGAGTTTCTTCTATTTCTGAACAATATCCATGATTATAAAAACACGAAAATTGAGCTTTGATGACAGGTGTACCTGTAAAATATTTCCAATAAAAAACTTTTCTTTCCTTGAGGCAGGTGCGTAGCGTGCGGGGGTGTGGGGAATGTACACCCTCCTAACTTTCAGAGAACTCGTCGGTAGAATTAAATTTATAACAAAATATTAATGTAACAAAAGAATTTCTGTCGGTAAAATATGGATTTGCATCTCATACCCCCCCTCCTCCCCAGCGAGAATGGTCACGCGACGCCACTGGCTTGAGGGTTTTTGTTATGGTGAATTCAGAGATACTGACTTTCTGCTTTGGTGTCTAGAATGTTTAAATTCCTTACGGAGCAACCGAAAGTTGAAAATGAAACTCAGAAAATCTTTCGCGGTCCCCGATGATTTTAGCCCTTGAGGCGATGTGCTCTAAAAATGAAGTTCATGCATGACACGCCCTTTCATCAAGCTTGACACGCCCTTTCGTTGGGCATCTAAGCTTCATACCCCCCTAATAAAAATAGCGAAGTTTTACTCCTGCCTATGACTCTAGTGAAAACCAGGCTTAAGCGAGCGCTTCTCTCGATTGAGCGCCCCCCTTTCGTAGCGCTTATGTATCATGTTTTCAGATATCATGTCTTTTCAGAATTTCTCAGAAGTGAACCCCCGGGACCTTTAAACGTCACGTACAATAGTGTCTCAAGAACAAAATCGTAATGCGTGGGGAAAGGCAAATCGTTCTGTAGCAATAAGATGAGAAAATACAAAGTTTCCACTTTTCCGTTTGCCTATTTCTATAAGGCCCTATAACTTTCTTCCACATATACAGTTGAAACAGTTGGGAAAAATCTTTATTGGGAAAATGGGTCTTTTGTGTAAAATCTTAATCATGTAAAAGTTGACTTCTCCAAAGCTAACATAATTTTCCAACAAGAACTCTTTTTTCATATATAAAACAGACCCTAACTTCGGTGTGCAGAAAAGCTAGATTAAGACACAGTTGGTTCTTAAATCCCCCATGAGATTTGCAAATAAAAAAAGGCAAACTGCTGGGTGATCATTGCATTTCAGCAATAAAGGAAAGACCCTGAAGACCACAAATTCACATCTTTTACATTTTCCTTATCATTATAACTTCAAGCAGTAAATTCTGAAGTAAAAAGTACAAATAATGATGTTGCAGTCCAATTGTATATCAGTACAGTAGTGAAGCAATTGGTATCTCACTTAAATGCAAAAATCTTAATACAATTTGAATTTACATGCCCCTTATAAACGCAAAAAGTCACGAGACACTTAAAGTCAGCTACATATAAAATATCATTGATCAGCGGCAGACACTTGTCAAATAATGGGAGGGGGGCAAGCCTATTGTTTTGATAAAGACCATTCTCTTTACAAATATTGGGGGGTGTACCCCCTTTGCCCGCAGGTGTTTGCCACTAATATAGACATCATTTGAACAGATTTTATTGAGTCAGAAACTTTCAAACAGCTGCATTGCTGTAAAAATTTTGAACATATTTTGTTGATAATGATGCTAGTGCCCAGTTTACACAAACTATAATTGCAAATATAATTCAGACGAATGGATTCCAAGGACCTAAGATGACAAGAGGAGGATAATTGATACAAATATCATATTACTTCAAATGTTTAGTCTGACTCAAAGTGATAACAAATCAAAACTGCACAAAGTGTATATATTTGAAATGAAATTTATACCCTAAATAAAATGGTTCGATGAGAGTTTTACAGTACAAATTAACCATACAAACAGAAATAATTATTGTGAATACCATTTGGATGCAATATCATTTAACCATAGAAAATTGGATGCTACTCCATAGATGCACTTTACAACAAAGGAAAAAAGGGTGCTGACAGAGCATTTTTAATTCAGCAGGCACAGTCCCCTCCTGGTCTGGGTTTGCTGTCATTTGATAGCTTGATTTGATCTGGAAAGTCATTATATAACTCAACCTCAGTTTCCTGTGCTAGTGCCTTTCTTGCAATTGTTTGAAATGCTTGTTCAACATTTATTCCTTCCTTTGCACTGGTTTCAAAGTATGGAATATCATTCTTGCTGTGGCACCATTGTTGTGCCCTTTTTGCAGCTACCTAAATAAACAAATAAAAAACTTGACAGGAATGTGAATGCATATGGCAAAATTTGACAATGTAATTTTTGTAGGAAAAGGTAGGCTCTTGCAGGTTCCTCAAAAAGATTTGCTGTTACACTTGGACAGAAAGAATATGCTAGTGTAATTGCTTATACAAAGTGGATCGATACATCAGTTGAATGACTTACCAACAATGAGATTGTCTGTTACTTTTTGTGTGTTGTTTTAAAAAACTGTTCATAAGAGCATGGTCTACATGGACTCTCTTCTTAATCAATATAATGCAAAATATCCAAAAAAATGGTATTAGATTTATACCATTAATACTTCTCCCAGCTGACCTTGACAAACAGTAATGATGTGTTTGAGATGAATATTTGTAAATATTCTGACAAAAATCAAAAAACATAATTTCTACCAGATAGGACAAAGCAATTTTCATAACAGTGACAAATAAAAGTCTTGAGCACAAGGCTCTGTGAAGTAAGACATGGGATAATGAATAAAAAATTAAATATACACACCGCTCTATTTTCCAGATCAACCTTATTACCAAGAACAACAAATGGAAAATTTTCAGGGTCACGAGGGCTAGCTTGAATCAGGAATTCATCTCGCCAACTGTCTAATGTTTTGAAAGTATTTGGTGCAGTGACATCAAAAACCAGAACACAACAATCTGCTCCCCGGTAGAATGCAACTCCCAAGCTTTGAAACCTTTCTTGGCCTGCAGTATCCCAGATCTGGTAAAGAGGTAAAACTCATCATACATTTTACAATTTTACAAAACTCATCAAGATTTAACAATAATCTGATATATTAATCATAGTCTGTGGAATATCTATGTATGAAATTATTGTCTTTGTATTCTATTTATAATAATTTGGGACCAGAAAAATGTCTTTCACAAAATTATATGAGACACCACTATGAAGACCTTTTGTGTTCTTGTATGATGCTACGTTGTCACAAAACATTCTTTTAAAAGAATAACCCTGCCAAACACAGTGAGTAAATTGCTGAGCAAAATGTCCTTTGTGCCTTTTCGGCCAGTCAAATTCAAGCAGATCATTTTTGTTTGCAAATTGGCCTTTTAAGGGTCTGAAAAAAGTATCTAACAATTTTTGTCTGATCCACTCTTGGCCAAATTTCACTGTGTGCACACTCGCTGAGAATGTTACACACTGCCTTGAGAAAAATTTAACTGCATTACTTCGGCACCCAACACATATAAACAAAAACACCATACCATAAGATACTTCTATTGTTTGATTCTAACATGAATTCATAATAGCTATGTACTGAACAAGCGTAACTACACATTTTATTCTAAACTGTTTAGATGTTTTTAATCTAAAAATTTCCTTCTTAAATGATAAAAAGTGTGATACAGATTTTTTATTGTTCTCTACCACTCAACCAGCACCGGCAGTTTTCCTTGTTTAACATTAATATTTTATCATGGTATTTCCTAAATGATGAATGCTATAATTTAAAAATGATTCCAGGAGCAACAAGACAAAGTTTTCAATAAAACAGTAATCTCTACAAAATGCAAAGCAATATAAAGCTTCTTTGTGAGAAGCAGGTTTGTGACAAAATGTGCAATCATTGAGCTAGAAGCTTGCATTGGCTGTATTCGGTATAAAATAACAGCAGTTGATTGGTACCTGCATTGTAACAAGACGATCATCCACATTTACTTCTTTTGTCAAGAAGTCAGCACCAATAGTTGCTTTATACTGATTACTAAACTTTTTGTTTACATATTGGTTCATCAATGATGTTTTTCCAACACTAAAAAGAAGAATATTTGGATACTGTATGTAAACAAACAATATTACACATATATAAATATATATAATTAAAGCCATGTTCTGAAGATTGCCTTTGGCAAGAGCTAGTACCATTTATTATGTACGAAGAATGAGTACATATAGCTGTGATGGGGGACCCTATTTAAGTAAGTAATTAAGTAAGTATATAAGTAAGTAACCAACTAAGTGACAAGGTTTCCGTAACAGAATGCTATACGAATAATTCCAGTTTTCCTCTAATTAGTGTCCCGCTTTTGGCTGGAAAATTTCAGCAAGTCAATTTTGCAAATTTTTATTCTGGCCATGCCAAAAGAGAAGTTGGCACAATTTCAAAGGAAGCTGCAGCACACATTTCATTAATTGTGCACTCATACAATGGAAGAAATGGCTTTTGTGGAAATTAGGGTTTCCTATCCGATAAAATTTTCAATTATTGACAAAGCTGTTTGATAACACTGAAACAATCCCCATGAAAATTTTCTCAGATCATTGGTTGAATTGCAATTAGCTGTTTTGTCAATGGAACAGTGTCTAGATGGATGTATGTCATAAAGAAACTTCCAGAATCTGTGACGCAGTTAAAATGTTCATCTTCAAAATCTTACTACTTCAAATGAAACAAAAAACTCTTAAGGTAGTACACCCCCAACTGGGAAAATTTCTACATTCTAAAGAATATCTCATTGAAATTTTGCAATTTTATGAACTTTGGCCTAAAGAATGCAAAAATTTAATAACTTTAATTTAATATGCAAATTAGGCAAAATGGCGGAAGAAACAAAAGAGCAAATGTCATGTATGCTTGTAACAATAAATTTTTTTTCATGGTGGAGACATCAAGCTCAAAATTTGCAAATTAAATCTATATGGATAGAGCTAGGGAATGAGTGATTTTAGGCTTCACACTCAACTCACAGCCAAAGAAAAAAATGGTTCAAATTACTGTACCTAAAATTTGTTGTGGGCATATAAATTCTTCTGATCACAGAGTTTTTTGTAAGAGCTTTGAGCACCCTAAAATCACTCATTCTCTAGAGCTACATGTAATAGACAACTCCTGAAAGTTTCAAGTCAATATGTCAAGGGATGCCAGAAAATCATTGTCACAAGTATAGACATTTGTCCGGTTTTGAAAAATTAAAAAAAACGTCAAAACAATGTTCGAGTTTGGGAAAATGTCAATTACTTAAATCTAATGGGCCCCAGATTCATAAATTGGCCCCTCTTTTTCTTTATTTCTGTCCCATAGCCCCTTTTTGATAGCCCTCAGCTTTTTTCTTCTTAGCTTTCCCTTTTCTGTTGATTGTAGTCCAGCGATGGCAATTCTTGCATTGTTTCTTTTTAATATCCCCATCGTAGTGTGGTAGCCAGGCACTATTCCAAGTTGCCCTAAAACTCTGGCAACTGATGCTAGTCCATCATTGTAAGTGGCTACTGCACTTGCAGTACATAGTTCCACAACCTTCTTTCCCTGGTATATTTTTTTGGGGCATCTTTTCCATACCAGGTTGTTCAATGACTCATTCGGGTTCTGGGTGTAAGAGTCAAGACATCGTGACAGCAGAGTATGATCAGCTAGTGAATCATAGATTGGTATTACAGCATCGATAACTGCCTTTGGTAGGCCTTTCTTGTGCTGATACTGATTTGTTCCATTTGCAAAATCTCTTTGCCATCCACACCAAGAATCTTTGCCCTTTGGACACAAATGGTGCTGTGGGGTTTCTTCTGAGGAGGCAAGATGGTAAAGACTTGCTTTGACCTCATTGGCCATGCCAATCAAGTTATTTTTATTTTTGCGGATGGCAAGGCCATAATAATTTTGCATGGTATCTATCATCTTATCCGTCAATCTACCCCTTCCACCAATAGCTTTCCCATCAGCCAGTTTCCTTTTTGTGTAGGTAGTTTTCAATTTTCTAAGTCTAGTGCCTAGCCTTTTCTGGACATGCCCCACACACTCTTTTTTGACAATGGTAACCTCTTCTCCATAGGGCTTTTGATTAGACACAGTTTGATATGTGGAGGAGTCACCATCTCCTACAAAGGATATATATCTGAGGCCATGTTTTTCCTCAGATCTTTTAAACATCTCTAATATTCCATCAACTTCCATTTTCCCTGATGATCCAACATGATTAGTTCCACAAACCAAACCATGATCAAGTTTCCAAGCTAAATATTTTGAACTTGTTTCATCCATATTTTTATGAGCTTCACAGCTTTTACATTTTTTTGACTTTACCTGAAAATCCAGGACTTTGCCAGTCAATACTGATATGGCAGATACAACACCATTTAGGGATGCATGACCTGGCTTCTGCCAAGAGCCGTCAAAACTAGCAGTAATATCTGTTGACTGTTCTTTTGCTTTGACCTGTTCAGCTGCATTTTTCATACTTTGTTCAGCCTCATTCATATAAACAGTATGCAGAGAGTCAATCAATTTATTATAATTATTTCTTGTCATTGGTTGCTGCATATTCATATGCATACAAAAGCTTTCAAGGCCGTCATGACCAATGCCAAGATTTCGCATTGCCATGACTGCTCTTACATTGACCTCAAAGCTGTTCTTTGATTTCTTTCCCTCCTCTTTGGCATAGTTACTAGAAAGAAATTCATGTTTCCACAAACAAATTGAGCATTGCATTTGAAATGCAGCAACGAGTCCTTGTTTCTTTCTAGGAATCTCTTTTATTTTTACTCCTTCGCTTTTACATCCAGGACAAGATACAATCGAGAATAGACTTCTTAGCACATCAACACTAAAAAAAACAAATCCGCCTTTCTCCTCTTCCTCATCAATACATGGAACTGCTACATCATCAAGCTTCTTTGATGAACTGCTTACATTTTGTCTTGGCAAAACAGGAACGGAACTGACAACCGGGGTTAGGCCCACTGCAAATTCAGGAGTCGAACATGGCGGTGCTTCTTCCAGCGATCCTATCTCCTTTACCAACTTTGCTTCTTTTGCCGTCTCTACTTCAGTTTGATTTCTTTTTCGCTTTCTGGATGTTGTCCTTGCTCTGTTCTTGAGGTTTCCCATGGTTATATTTTAAAATTTGTTTAGAAACGCAACGAGAGAGAAACACGAGAAACAAACGTACTAAAGATGAGTCTAGTACTTCATTTAAAACGCACTAATCTGCCTCTCTTGGACTTAGCCACTTCATTGAACGATTCACTTCAATTGACAGCTCGTTCTGCGACTGGTGGGGGAAATTCGGGGTAATAAAATGCAGTTTTCACGTTGCTAAGGGCGTTACTAAGGAAATTTGGCTCAGGTGCTAAATTTTGATCCCCTAAATTTCAGTTGCAGCTAACTCTGCTGGTAAATTAAATCTGCTGGTTTGAAAGAGTATAGTTCAAACTATTTTTAAAGAAATTAATAATATTTTCAAACAAAATCAATTTTTGACTGATATTTTGGGGGTGTAGTACCTTAAAGTTTGCAACATCTCTGCATAATCATGAACTATTATAAATGAATGCAAATGGTTATGAACCAGCAAAAATCACCATTAAGCAGTGTTAATAATCATGAATCATTGTGAGTGATAGAGAATCGTCATGAGTCATAATAAATTTGTGATGGTCAAGGCGGATCAGCTCAAACAATCATGAATCATTGTAAATTGGCATCCCTTAAAAGCTCTATTAGCCCTCTCTCTTTGAAGCCAAATTACCATGCCAAAATTTAAAATAAGCCACCCCTCTTCATCAACACCCCACTTTAGCCCCTAATGTCAAACAAAGAATACATGTACATTGAGTGTTTCTCTTGACAGGTCAGGGTTGCCTTGTGTGCCATGTTGATTATTTCAAAGAAATCCCAAAGCATTATGGCATTTTTATTCTATGTTTAATTTTTAATAATTAATAAGCCCTCTTTGCAAATAAGCTCCCCTTTCAAATAAGCCCCCTTCTAGGACTGAAAAAATAAATAGGCCCCCTGGGTCTCAATAGAGCTTTTACAGTAAATCAAAACAAATCAGCCCATAAGATCGTACTCCACCGTCAATGACAATTTCAACGAAAGTAAATTCTCGCCGAGACCCTGTATTCTGATATTGTTTCTTTATAAACATCTTCACAGAAAAGCCCAATCTGTCTTTACTGAGCTCATATTACGTACCAGACATCTTCTTCACACATAGCCATTGGGCCCCTATGTTATATCTTCAAATATTTAGCCTATATGCAAACTTAACAAATAGAGGAAATTGTAAAGTCTGTGCAACAGAGCTCATTTTCTTGTATACAGTACATCACAACTTCTTGAGGGAATTCAGCAATTTAAAACCCTTGCAGAAAAATATGGATTTCAAAAAACTTTGGAAATTAAACATACAAAGTATACTTACCCACTATCTCCAAGAATTATAACCTTTAGAAGAACCTTCTTTCTTGATGACATCTTAACTGTTTTATGCACTAAAAGAAAAAGTTGCTATTAGAATATACATCTAATGAAAATGTCACATTCTTATTCATTTTATTGAGCAATTTCAGTGACTCAGTTGTAACTTTCAACAGTTAGTTCAAAACTCTGAACAGCAAACTGACAATAAATTCTTGCCCCGTGAGGATTATCAATTTAGGATGTTTTTGAATTAAAGCTTATTTGCGGAAGAGGTAGGTTGAACAAGGAGGGAGCACACAAAAATTATCTGAAAGTGACCATGAATATAGCTCATTTTGCCTTTTGCAAGTTCACTTCCTGTCTAAAGTATATACATATCTGATTTTCTGTTGAATAATGGTTGATCATGAACTATTTTTCTATAAAACCCCAACCTCTTCGAAGAAAATTTCATTGCAAAAACAAGGAGCTTTTTGCAATATAGGGGTGCTCTGTCTGAAAACTTTAAGACATGTCAGCAAAAAGATGTTTCACCCAGTTTGTCAGCAAATGGGACCTGAGCAAACACCCCCCCCCCCACCTGCCTTGAGCATAATAGCCAGCTGCAACCTGGCTTGCCTCATTCTGTAGATCTACTTTCAAGCCCTGCAAAGATGTGGAGATGTGGTTTCATGATGATATCAGGTCCCAAAAGTATGCTTATTATACCTAACTGTCTGTTGTAGCAAAGACAATCAGACACGCCATGCACTCATTACTGATCTTTGTCTTATGAAACCATGTTCTTTACTTAAATTTTGTGGATAAGTAGCCAATAGTTCATTTCTTCATCAAAAAATTGAAACTGGTATTGTGTTATGTTGGGTTTGGAAAAGTATGGTTACTTTGCTTATTTTTGGCCACCAAGCAGAAAAGCTTTTCCAACTTTATTTAGCAAAAAAGTTTGCCTTTTCTTTAATAATTTGCCCTGTCTATCTGCCAATCTGGTGATAAGCTTAATTCTATGTTACATTAATAAAACTACTTTTGCTTTATATTAGTTTTCAACAGACAACCATCTAAAATCATATAAATTGTATCTGCCAAAAAGGTCAAGCATTTTTGCTAGATCTCCTGTGCTTTTTGAAAGTCTGTATTTTTTATTCATTTTATTTAATGTTTGTTTACACAATAATAGCTAATAAACAGCTATCATAATAAACACCAACTGTTGCCAGTCTGTCAGCTAAAACCATCAGTAGAGAGTTATAAGAAATGGGCTCATACCTAGCAGTTGCTTGCAATGTCACATTAAGATTTGCTATGCATATATTAGTTGTATGAAACAAAGATTTTGGAATATCACTCTACTTCTTAATATTTTTGTTGATTTTGGTACCAACATTTACTTAAGGTTTCTTGAGCTATAAACACTAAAACCTAACGTGAGATAATATTGAATGCATAACAGCAATGATCTCTTCTTCACATGACCTTGAATTGGGTGGTTGCTTTGAAATTTATTGCTTTGAAAGTTCCACTTTTTAGAATGACCAAACTAAACATTTACTGAACGACATTATGAAACTGAAATACTGTCTGTGTCTGGTTTATCACATTTAATGCAGAAGGACAATTAGCCTTACGCTATCAACCATTTTCCGAAAACATTAGCGATTTTGTGTGGTAGCAGCAGGTTGAAAACTAAAATTTTGTGTGGTAGCAGCAGGCTTTCATGATGGTTGAATTGGGCCAATGCACACGACAAAAATTGCGAGCAGTTTTTGAGCTATGGAAACCCGTCTAATTGACAAGTTGCTATCAATTTTGAATAATCTTACATAGTTTGATTAGATGTCCTTACAGACATAAAATATCCTTACTGCTCAACAAAAAACCTGTTTCTCTAGGTATTGACAAAGCCCAGCCCACAATTTTCGCTGCCAAATTAGGCCGTCCGATAATTGAACCGAACCCTTTAAATTTTTTTAATTTGTAGAAATGGCTCGGCACAGATATCTTAACTTGTAGATTGCAAATGCAGCAACTATGTTTGACATAATTCGTGGATTTACCCCTATACAATATCTATTTTACCTTCAAATGAAACAGCGTAGATGTGTCCTTTCTTTCCTCTTCGTCGCTCCGTTCGCTCCAGAGGAAGGCAACACTGGTCACGAGAAAATTACGTAGCGTATCCCGTCATGCAATTCTTCAGGTACGGCTGTACGATGAAGGAAGTGGGTAAAATTTTGTTAAGGGTAAAAAGGGTAGTCATAGGTAATGTCGGACACCTTTTTTTGACAACTTGTTTTTTATACCATTATCATTAATGTTTGTTTCAGATTACCAAACCAAAAACCGATAGCAAATAAGGATAAGATGGTTTTCAGAATGTTTTACCGTTGTCAACCGTAAGACTGAAGTTGGCGTTCTCTCATCATTTGTACCATTTATTTTTGGGCTGTCGGTGCGCCAATCGCAAAGACGGCCATAAATAAAACCCCGACCGTTTTTGAGGGGATTGAGAAGAAGAAACAATGGCCTTCTTGCGCCGACTAGCAACACTTTGTAATGCAAAAGTCACAAGCCATACGACCATTAGCTGATGCACGAAAAAAGTACCTAGACATTGGTTTGGTTTGGCAGGGTCGCAAGAAAAACTTTTGCTCTCCACAGTCAAACTCCTGAAGTAACATGTTTTGTAACGTGTGAGGATGAAACTATAACAACATTAAGTTTATATACCCAAGGACAATGCCCACTTGCACGCTTGTTGCTGTCGCCGTATAAAAGACCTCCTATCACATATCAAAGGTAATTAAATTTCATTTAATCAAGTCTGATTGTTATTATTACATTTATTTGTTTGTGCGGGTCGGCTTTGAGAGGTATTGCATGCAAATATAGCAACAAATTGTGTGGTAGCACTTCAAAAATTAATGTACTATGTAGAAGAAATTAAAATTTCTATTTGGTCCAGTTGCAGTATCATTTTCAAATTCATTTTATATTTCTATATCTGATATTTTCAAGTTTGCTGTTCCAGTTTCTCAAAACTGTCTTTTTAGTATTTCAGTTCAATTTGATTCGATATAGCATGATGCTTCAACTAGGCCTAAGGGTGTCAGATTTTTGACGCCATTAAAGATATGTAATTTCCCCTGTAAGGATGATATGATGACTAAAACTTTGTGCAATATGACACAATTTCTACTTTAAATTCAAAATCTTATAAGGGTACTTTTGAAATTGGGAAGAACCAAGCTGGCGCATTTTATCGGGAAAATAACATTGCAACAAACAAAGTCAATTGGCTTACTAGTGGCAGTATTTCAAAGAAAGCGGTGGGTCAATTTAAATGGCTAATGTTACCTTTGCACCACCAGCAGCATTAGCTAAAAGACCCATGTTAGCAGGTAAATTGCAAAACTGTACAAAACGATATTGAAGCGGTAGAACACATAAAAACCTCAGAAAGAGACCGGATAATACATAAACTATCTATCATTACGTTTGTTCCTGTGTTAATCCTGAATTTTCAGGCTCTGGTTCCGATTGCCGACCTAGCCCCCTCCCACCTGTCAGATGAGAAAGTCCCTCCATCGGACTCTTTTCTGGTGCCATCAGAGAGTGCCACCCAGTTCAATGGTGCCACCCTGCTTGTTTGCAGCTACAGCCTCTACGCAGCTCTAATATGCACTCTTCCCAGCCTCTTTCTGATCAATATCGCACATGTGGCTAGGTGTGGTCTCAAGAACTGAGCATTGAGATGGAAGTATAGGAACTAATCATTAACATGTTCCTGTTCGTTACGTGGAAGTTTCCTTTTACCTTGTGCTTCCCAACCCTCACGTTTTACGGTTTACAGTTTATAATATCCCTGTTAATTTTTTAAAGTGCGTCACTGCCGAAAATGCGGATGCTAGCTTTTTATCTGGAACTTGAAGTAGTAGGGGGAGTAGCAGAGGTGGCGCTAGAGAAATTTCTTAGGGGGTTGTCAAGTGCCAGGTTGCGGAGTTGTGAGTAGGAAATTGTTCACTTAAATAAAATTAAGGCATATTCTGTTGTCGAAAATAGAAAGAACCCTCTCCCCCGTTTATCAATTTAAGGAAATATGTTACCGCTATCAATTTAAGAAAATCGACTACGAGGACGGGGCTTAGGACATCCCCTCGTTGCCAGTTCATAATCAGACTCGCTTCGCTCGTGTGCCCTGTTGTAGTTACACTGCTATTTCCAGGTTTTCAGTGAAAGCGACATCTGCTGTACCCATGTCTATGGCTGTACCACTGTACCCGCACTTGTCAGTGCGCCTGTAGGGACCTCCTTTTCAATACATAAAGTGTGTGCGAGGCATGTTTTCCAAAATTGAGAAAGTTTCAGTTTCGGAGGGAAACAAACGGAAGGGGCACTGCCAGAATGAAGATTGGAGTGATGCCGGCGTTAAAAAGACATCTTATATTATCGATTCTTACGACAATTTCAATATGGAAATACAGCACAAGTTACAGAATAACACGACCGTCAAGCAGCACCTCTCAAGGGGATGAGTACGATAAAGGGATCTTTGTTTATCAACATCTAGATCGGCTTGTTGAGATAGATTGTCCAGCCACTGCACCACCTTGTCAATGCAATATAGGAGGAACGTTTATCTTTAATGTGTCGTCATCTGGAATAGTTAACAAAGAGATTTGCATTGGAGACTATGGTTTACAAAAACTCGGTAAGATGAAAATTACTCAGAAATTCGTGTTTGATTTTGATGTCTCTACCGGCAATCAGCAATGATCATCCTCCCTTAAATCACCACATTTGTTGAAAAAATTTTGAAAAAGATTTCTACTCTAGTTCCCTGCTTGAAAATTTCTATTGCACAGACTACAAAGTGGTCAAACATAAATGTCATCCTTTAAGAGGGGGAGGGGTTTATGATTTTGGTGATGGAATAAGGTGACATTCCAGGCTGGAAAACTTGCATATGCTCGCAGCGACGCTAGACTTCTTGTGCTCGCACCTCGCACCTCTAGTGACCCAAAATATCAAGAAATTCATATATCACACTATAGTTCAATGTCTATATGGGCATCGTTGCTCGCAGCTCAAATGCTTCCGCTCGCAGGTCGCAGCTGATAATGTGCCGTTGGTCGCATTGACGCGTCCGCAAAATCATACATGTTTTTCAACCTGGGTGACATTGTGAGAAGAGAAGGGAAGGGGTTTTTGATGATGTCACTTTGTCATGTAAAGGTCCTCAGCTGTCAAAAAGCATAATGTTCTACAATTTTCTGAATTACACCCAAGTTTTCCCATAAGTTATGAATCAAAATATTATACCAGTTTGAATATGGTCAGGTGCAGGTATACCAGACCTTTCTGTTGCATATGGGTGGTGATGGCCCTCCCAACTGCCCGTGCTGAATTATTGGTGGGGGCGTATTTGCAGGGGGGGGGGGGTTATTGGCTATTATGGGACCTGGCAAGAACATGTCCTTTGACACAGCAAGAGCATTTAGGGAAATGTTTCAATAACTTCCGGAATTCCCAAATGAACGCTTTATTTTCAGCATACATCAAGTTGTTTATTTGAATATTCAAGTGTGATTACATTTGATATGTAATCACACATTTATAAAACCAGGCTAGACAATTATAGCCTGATGGCATACCCTAATACCCCTTCAGGTCCTGGAAGACTTTCTTTAACAAATATTGCTCAACAGGTGAATGCCCTTGTAAGATCACCAATGTAGGCAGTCTTGTGAAAATTTCCACATGAAATGGCCTGGGTACACACAGGGGCAAGGGTTAAGGGATGTGTGGATGCTGCATCCCAAATTTTATTAAAACTGTAAAAAGTTGGTCCTTTCTATGGCTCTTCTAGGACTGGATGAGAACAGCCAAAGTGGTAAGACAGATAAATGAACAGATAGGGCTCTTACCAATGTGTCAAGCTTTTTGTTATATGTCCTGCAGATTAGTTCAAACAAAGAGGTACGGTGCGGAAGGACTCCCTGCAAAGCATTTGCTTTCTTGAACAAATTAGGGGACCAAAAAGAAAATTTTGATGTGCCCATAGTTTTTCACTCAAAAGAAACAGATAAACAGCCTTTCATAAGACAAGGAAATGTAATTTTTGCCCAAAGTCCTTCTCACTTGGGAATTCTTGACTCCTGTTTTTCAACTCTTTTGGGGAAGGTTGTAAGGTTTAAAAATATTTTTGTGTGATGTCACTAATGTATCACCCTTAATGTTCTATTTTCTCAAAAAGTTTCCTCAAAAAAGTTAGACTGATCATCAATGATGATTGTTTCAGTGTGAAATGTTTGATTGTCAACGATGATTGTTTGATTAGAGTAAAGCATTTGATTGTCAATGATGATTGTTTGATTAGAGTAAATTGTCTGATTGTCAATTATGCTTGTAACATCAGTGTAAAGTGTTTTATTGTCAATTATGCTTGTTAGATCAGATTAAAGTGTTTGATTTTCCATGATGATTGTTTGATCAAGTGTTTGATTGTCAATGATGAGTGTTTGATTAGAGGAAAGCATTTGATCATCACTAATGACTGTTTGATTGTATTGGCATTAATCGAGCTCAAATATCTAGCTACTTATAAATAGGAATGGCAATCATCACATTAAAACTAAATATAATTTGATTGACTTTATACAGAGAAACTGATTATTTCATTTTTACATCCATGTCATTTGCTTACACATCTTGCTATCTATATTTTTTTTTATTTTGAAATGTTTTGTTTTTAATTTCCTGAAAGTTGTCAAGTTCAAGTTTCAAGTTGTTGGCTACTTTCTAGTCCTTTAGACATTTTTTTCATCAAACTACATGTTCCAGGGTGTGAATTCAGATTTGATACTGGGGACAATTATGTCAAAGTTGCTTCAAGGAAGACAACTATTGGGACTGTTAAACTAGGTTACAATGAAGTCGTTGAAATCTCCATGCTGAAAGCATATTACTGGAATATGACTTGGAACCCAATTGCTCCAATCCCATTTGAAGTGAAATCAGATGTGATTAAGGTCTGTAGCCAAGTATTTTGTTATTTATTGCCTCATACAAAATGCTACTCGAAATCCCAATTGCTCACATTTGTTGGACTCAGTCTCATTATTTCATGTAGCCCCATGTTCTAAGGTTATTTCATTCTACACCAAATAAGCTTAACATATGAGTTAGCTTAAAGGAACAAAAAATATTTAAGTGCCCAGCCTTTAAAACACTGACTCTTTGACGATCCTTGCTCACTCCTTCAGCTACGATTCTTTTATGGCTTCGAATCTGAGTTTTCTTGGCATCAACAATACAATCTTGCATAGGCTTTTTAAATTTTTGGGAGACTCTTATAAACATCTAATTATACATTTTAAATGTTTTTTGAAAAGGAACCAGTTATGAAACCAGTTATTATGCAAAAAAATGTTATTTTAACTTGAGAAAAAATCTTGAAATATTGCCAAGCGTAGTGTGCGATCGAGCAAGCAGAAATAACGTTTACTTGTGCATTTACTACAAGTGTAAATCAATTTGCCCGTGCGTGGGCAAATTGTGCCCAGGCCCTTAGCGCTGATTCTTAAACAACCTTAGGTTTCCTCCGTGTTTTATAGCTACCTGTCCTGTAACAACAAGTGCTTACTGATATGTTTTTTGTGAACCTGATGAGACGAGTTTTTTTCCTTTTCCACAATGTGCTTTAGATACATATTTTTACGATTACTATTTTCATTTCATATTAAATACAATATATATCAAATCAAGTGTGTTATACAAACAAAAAATTGACTGATGTCAATATGATGACAAATTCTTACTTGATCACATTATCATACTGATCGCTATGGTGCCTTATTCATCTTCTTTGTGAATTTAGTGGAATGGAGATACAGCGCAACTTTTGCAAAAATACACTGGCATGCTGTTGAAGTTAGAAATGGAGAAAACACATGGAACAAGAATAAAAAGTTGTCTGTTGCTTAAAATCCCTGGTTCAAGAGACTGTAAGTATAGAATAACTTTAATTGAAGAATTCTAAATGAGCCTGGGTTATTTTGGCAAGTGGTTCCTTTTGATTTGGTTTCTTTACAGCCCACTTGAAAATCAATTCAAGGTTATTTTTACATGCAATGTAAGTATTTTTAAGGAGAAACAGTCAATCCTTTGAACTAAAGCAAGGAAAATATTCTTTAACAGCAGGTAAAAGCCAACGATTAGTTCAACTTGTGAAATGATTCAGCATTGAACTTCATTTTGTATTGTATGCAACTTTGAACAAAGGACAGATAAAAGTCACAAAAATATGCGTCACAAAATGGACATTTATAGTTGTCCAACAAATACCATTTGCCTTTAGAAAGATCAACACTGGAGTGGAGTCCATGAGAGAAAATGAATTCCAGTCTACACAACAGTAGTTCCTTTTCGTTTGTATGTAGATCGATTCCAAAACTGCTTGATGAAAAGAGAAGCGGGCGCTGCCAATGATCTGAAGCATGTTGTCATTATAGACTTTGGCAGAATCTGAATCTCCTAAAAAATGGCCGATGGCAGAATCATTTGTTTTAGCGGTGTTTTTAGATATACAAAGTCGAGGGACAGTTGTTTTCTTATGTTGGAAGGAACATGTTGTTTTATTATATTCCCTGCACGTAAATTCATAAACAACGAAACGCTTTTGGGTGGTAGAAGCGCAATTCTTTTGAATGGACAGAAGGGCTCTCCTAGTGCTGTAAACCATTGATTGCAAAGAAACATCTTATGATTGCCTATTGAACCTGTCTTTCAAATCGTTAGAATATGTTACCAATCCATGGCAGCTTCAGATAAACAGCGGCACTTTTGTGGACCAAACTTTTGAACAGCCGAAAAACTTGCGATCTTTTCCCTAGTGTAAGAAGAGATGTTTCCAAATCATGTTGTAAAATATTTCCGTTTTTCAAAGCCATCTTCAAATTTTATAATGTCAAAAAGTTGTACACATTGTATAGTCATGATACATTGTAAGGATTAGCAATTAATAGGGAAGATGTTACATAAATGCTCTTTTGAAGACGAACCTGCTGCTTTATTGCTGATAAAGGTTTTTACTTTTATCTGGTTCTTTTATTGGCTTAAACTTTTTAAACTTCTTTATACAAGTATTGTATATCTTTATTACAAGTTTAGATAGCCTGACCCAACTAAGTGCAGTAAAAGAGCCAAAAGAGTTTCTTGTGACGTGGGAAAGCTATTTGTTCGTGAAGCTTCTCTCTCTTATTTTTCACTAAAATTTGATTCTATTTCATCTCTTTTTATCAACAAAAATGATTTTTTTGAATCATTGATCCTTGTGAAAGACATTTTTCATTCTAAAGAATGTTATTCACTTTGGGTCTTTATTTACCGTTGTGTTTTCATGAGTTTGTCCATGACGTCACGTCAGATCATTTGTTGAGCAAGTAGCATTGCACACTGTAATACACTTAAAACAGTTTTATAGTGTGTTTTTCTGCATCATTCAGATTTCAAGTTTTTTCACTATTCAAACTTTCTGTATAGCTCATTCGTTTCCATTTAACCAAATGTAATTTTTCTCTGCTCAGATCCACTGTCTCCCTATATCCCGAGAAAAACGAGTGACATTGTATTGCGGCCAACATCACAGCTGATGACAACAACAACGATGGTTCAAAAACCATCAACTGAAATTGCAATCAAAGTTGCGACATCATCAGCGTCATTAGGATTGACAACCGCGATAAAGAGAAGTTTCATCAGAGCTTCGCCATCCTCAATTTCCAGGGTCAGTCAAGGAGACAAACAAATATCCACACATTGCTCCCTTGATTCATTAGGCCTCTCGTGTGGAAACTTTCGGGGGACAGTGTCGAAATATGCCAAGCTCACTCCCGTTGATTCCGTGACTCTTTCAGCTTCAACAGTAAGTCTCGTTATGATAATAAATTATAGAGGCGTAACATAAGATTCTAGTGCCATCCCAGCTACAATGAGTGGAATACATAATATGATATGCAGATTAGCTAATTTTACGTTTAGCTAAGAAGGAGAAGATTTCTCGACATGACTGGCATGTAAAGTCACCTTCATTCAGTTCACTTTCACCTCTTTTATGAGACTTAAAATTGGGTTCGCAGATTCGAAGTCTGAAAATTAAATTGTCCTGCCGGTTGTTGATTAAAAGCTTTTCAATATATAGATACAGTGGCAACTCCGAAATATTAGAGTCCCAAACCAGTTTCGCTTTTCCATTTCTTCGCGTTCTTTTACCATGACCCTGCAGATGCTAAAAATTGAACGTTATAATAGTTTACATCAATTTAATTTAATTCTGCTTGAAATTTAAAAATGTCTTTGAAATAACAAATAACGTATTTAGAGGAAGAACGGAAACACTTATTTTAATATGTTTGATCAAAATGCACCGCTATTGCCTAGACAGAAGGAGTTGCCACTATCAGGGTATTATTTGTTTTTAAATGTTTTTAAACAAACCACAACGTTAGGTTGAGTTTCTGTAACGATAGAAACAGTATTGGAATTATTTTGCAGACGATTAATGGGACATTTTGGAACATCCAGCTTTTGGCTTTTTTCAGGGCTCTTTGCATTTCGCTCCTTCGTCTGTCATCAAGCCGACGCCACCAGGTGTTGAGACAAAAGATGAGAGCAAGGCTAGCCTCGGTATCATCGTCGGTGCTTCCATCGGTGGCATTGCGCTCATAATTCTGATCGTTGTTGCTGTCATCTTCCTTCGCAAGCAGCAGTTGTATGTTTTTTTCGTTTGTTTTTTTAACTGCTCAAGGAGCAAGGTCAAATTATTACACCGAACAACATGTTGGAGTTCACAATGCAGTTGTACCGGGTTGTTGTTAATCATGATGTGTAAAGTTCTTTTTCTCCTTCTCATTGGCATGAAGCAATACCATTGTCGGCCCATGCATTTGTATTCCCCCTATTGTATAACTGGCTATTGTATAACTTTCTTTACCTAATTTACCAGTTTTTTTACTGCTTTTAGAATAGTTTTAACGGGCCAGGATTTGGTTAAACTGTTAAGTAGGGGAAGAAAGACGCTTCGATATCAAACTCTATAATGCAAATTACTTTTAACTCTATTACAGTTTTGGAAAAAAGAATACGCAAAACCAGGTTGGTTGTCTCTGTTCTTCCGATTCAATTCTTCTCAACATAAAAGACATTCCTAATGAACTTGTATGATATATATTGAAGTGCTATTTGAGCTAGAAATTTGTTAATTCATTTTTTCGCATTCAGGATTCGCTTAAAGTGAGCCTTCAGAACAGGGAAGCCGACAAAGCAAAAAGCAAGGAAGGGGTGACCCAAGGGAGATTTGGTACGCGCGCTATTTCTAGCTATGTCTCGATTTTCAAATTACTGAAAAAAAATTCTTCGATTAGCCTTTACAATGTATTGCCTGAACCGCTTGCCTATGGCTTCCTAAAGTTTGTATCATAAGATCTAACGATTCATATGATCAGTGGTTTCTTAAGGCCCTTGCTGATTTTCATTTTCAGCTTATGAGAATTTCTTCTTTTTAGAGATTATAGTATTTTAATTAAGATTTTGTCTTTCTCAAATATAGATCTTGCAGAAAACCCAGTTTATGACAAGAATCTGAGACTGGGTTCTGTCTCGGCAAACAAAGGACTGTCGCTAGAGCTGTATGATTATGCGTATGAAGGGACGGCAAATGGAAAGGAGGTGAGTTCTGTCGTTGACCATATTATCCTTCCCATCAACCGTATGTTTGACATTGGCGTAACACAATTAAGGGTACCTTCGTTCGATAACTAAAGGCTCTCGCCCAAAGAGATCCCCAAACTATTATTGTATCCTTGTTTTTAATGACTTCGCTCAAGTTCAACTCCTTTTCAGAAACTTTTAAAGCCCTTCAACTGAAGAGTTTTCAACTCCGTCTCTCAGGAAACAAAAAATTATCATTTTTGCATCTTGCTATTGTGTTTGACATGTGATATATCCTTGGATGGAACTTTGTTGCAGTCCGTAAATAAAAGCCCTATCTCAGTTTTATCTTTAAGGCTCCAGATGCTTCCGTTGCGCCTAATGATGTTTGGGTTCTAAGTGCACAGCAGACCGCTATAATCAATATTCCCCATTGGTCTTTCTTTTATAGCTAGCGTCGAAAAACTGTAAGGGGAACGACACAGCCCGTTCAGCAGACCCTGTTTACAGTGAACTTGATGGGGACGAAAGGCCAGTGTACCATGAAGTGGGTGGCGTTTACCAAGCAATTGATGAAAATACAGTGGACAAAGCAGACTGCTACCAAGGCCTTAACTTGTCCAATATAAATAAGAGCAATCTTGCAAGAGGCAATCCGAATGCTCCATCGCCAGTTTACCAGGAGCTTGAGCAGCAAAATGACAATAGAACCGAACCGGTGTCTCCTGTGTACCAAACAGTCGAATCTGATTTAGGTGGCAAACTGAGTTCTCTTGAGAAGGGTGACGGGCGGACAAATACTGATCCAATTTATCGTGAACTAGAAGGAAATCAATAGCGACATAAATGGAAACAAAATCAAGTGTTGCCGCTATACAAGCAACCATTTCATGAAATGTGTGTATGTGGCATCATTTTATTTCACTTTTTATAGAGCCTTTTGAGGCCAGAGTAGAATTTGCCCAACGAATTTTCTAGAGTCAGACAGTGGCGTAACTAGATGGTTTCTTATCAAGCTCATCAAATTGAATAACGAGAATGATTTTCTGATATCGAGAAACAGTGGAAGCACATCTCTAATGCCCTTCCTGGCTACGCCTCTGGTTAATGAAACCTCGGGGGGGGGGGGGTAACTTAACATGTTTGAAGGTACGGAGACGTGCCATTATTTAGGGGTACCCTCTTTCTGAGAAGTGCGGAATTATCGGTTTCAGTTTTTTGAAATATGTGCGTTACTATGGGTACCATTTGAAGAAACATGCAGAATTATGGGTACCATTTTGGGGAAAATATTGCAAAATTATTAGGAGAGAGATTTAACATTAACAAAATGAATTTCCAGTTAGAAATAAAAGTATGAATATGTGTAACATTGAGATTTTGGGGCACAGGACATGCAAAGTTGGTTTGATGATTTTTTATGTGCTTAAAACAATTTTATTTGCTTTTGCGGAATTATGGGTATAGTTTTCATCGCGTTCGCGGAATTATGAGTCACATTTTTTCAGACATTTGCGGAATTGTGAGTCTAAATTTTTAACCAAAATTGCACTTTCCCGTCCAAAATTAGGCTTACTTGACCCCCCCCCCTTCCGAGAATGAAACCGGTTTCAGTTTTAAAAGTATGAGGCGATTTGTAGTCGATTTAGTAAAGTGGACTCAAACCTGAGCTGTAATTGAGTCCGTCTGTTCATACTCGTTCCTTTCAATCACATTTGGACTAGTAGATATGTATATATAAACTTTCGGTTTACAGCTTATTAAATTGCTTTGTAAGATAGTTTATGCAAGTAGAATAATGTTCTCCAGTCTTTGCAGCATTGACTGATTTACACCGTCATAGTAAAATCCATCCGTAAAATTTTGTATCAGCGATCTCTAGCGATTCAAAGTATGTATTAGTACAAAATAGAATTATCACGCAGCATGCCATTTATGCGATATTTGCAATGTTTTGTTTTTAAAAGCTCGCTTTGTATTCAATTTGTATTTTTCGTTTTGCATAGCATATCCCCTACTACCCCCATTTCCCATATCTATATTGCTATCTCTTTGTCCTTTGTCACTGACACGAGGTATAAATTAATATTCAGGAATACCTGGAGTAAACTTTAGAAGTAATCTAGGAAGGAATTTTATGCTTACAAACGCTTCCAGCTTGCCCCGAAATGCCTACTCCTCCCAGTTTTTATACGTCATATTTAGTTAGGTGCTGCCTTAAAGGCTTTTTAATCACAAATAATCTTAACATCGATTCGCAATTTGCATTCAGACGAATCAAAATAATTCTTCCTTGTCTTTTTTGTCGACCCCTTACAGATATATCTACGAAAAGAAAGTAAGAAAAGTTACTCAACCCTAAAGGATGACTTGAAAGTTTAATAAAATAAAACTGAGCTAAAAAGATTTCAACATTGCGTGGACACCTTTTCATCAACTCCACCGTCAAACATAGAATACTTACAATCCGTTTTTGTGTGTACACGAGATATTCCACAGCCTCAACGTCAACGTTCCTCGTTCCACTTAAGACAAGCTGCCATAAGATATAGCAGGAAGCATCTAAATTATGAACAATACAAGAACGTATATTAATATAACATTATATATTGATGGATAGACACAACGCTTTCAAAATGATCTTGGTTTCAGAAGGCTCCCACCTTTTCCAATACATTGTATTTTCAATAAAGAAAACTGTCAAGTTACGAACACGCGGATTTGGTTCTGGCCGCGAAGTGAATTGATGGTAACTATCTGAGGGAATTTGTCCTTTATAATCAATTTATTTACAGTAGGCGGTTATAATATAGCTATCTATGTACAATTAATGTACAAGCTAATTTAGGCCTACTTTACAAAAACTTAGAATAAAAAGCAATTGAGAATGTATAATTAATAATTACATATATAAAACAATTAGATAATTAATGAAAAAAATGAAATTGAAGATTAAAAAAACCCTTTTAAATTTTACAATGCGTTTATAGTTAAAAGATGTTTTAAAATTTTCACACCAAAACTGTCAAGGAATCCAACCTGAGCTACGTAGCATCTACATAATTTGCAACAACATTCTTCTCCTTTCCATTTTTTTATCTGAGTTTAAACTGGGCAATATTTGATGCCTCTTTCTTTTCTGTGGACAACTTATGCCATAGTTTCCTCCCTAGATATGAAATGGTTTCTATTCCAAAGGTGGTAGTTCTGACTTTTGGAAGAGGCATTTCTATTCCAAAGGTGGTAGTTCTGACTTTTGGAAGAGGCATTTCTATTCCAAAGGTGGTAGTTCTGTCTTTCTTAAATATACGGGATATATCAGCTTCTTTGAGGCTTTCAGGGAAGCTGCTGTTTTCTACGCAAATGTTACAACTACTATGAAGAAAAAGGGCAAAAATTTCACAATTTTCTTGTGTTTTTGAGTATTTTCGAGAGCATGCTATCAATCGGTGAAGCTTTTTTTGGGTTCAGTCTCTTGAGCTGATCAAAAACCTCGATGGCATCAACCTCATTAAACTCAAATATTTCCTGGGGGTACCCATTGCTTTTTGACCATTTTAATTCTAGGGTGGTTTTTGTATTTGTATACTGATTTATCTATAGGGTCTTCGATGTTCATTGCGGGGGAGAGGCTGGCTTCATTTTCTTTAATTTCTAGCTCATTGGTAATATTTGTAAAGTATTCGTTCAGGATTCGTGCAATTTTAAGGTCGTTAATTACAAGTTTACTATCTCCGAGGAAGTCATGTTTCTTCTTCAACACATCTTTAGATGTTTTTCAGATTTCTTTCTAACTATGGGCGAGATGGAATTTCCCCGAGAACGATAGGGATACTGTTCCACGCAGTAGGAGCTGAAAAATGAAAGTCTTTTTCACAAGTTCAAAATTATATCTTAAAATGTGGATATCCTTGCAATTTCTCGTATTGTAGTTTGAATGCCAGGATAGCAGGGGGAGTTTATCCCAAAGGTTCTCACGGCACATCCAATTCTTAATCTTGAAAGTAATGGCTTATCGATCGAATTTAAATTGTTGTTCAACATCAAATCAATTATGTGGCCAGTTATCTTTAGTTTTACCTCTCTCAATAATAGTTCGGGTTCGGTCCTGTAGATTTTGTAAAATATTTATTTTGGAACTAGGAATACTTTACCATAACATTTGCATAGCACAAAGGCCCGATATGCGCTTATCAATTCTCGTCCACTCTGAAATATGTAAAAGTTCTCTTTGAGCATTCTCAAGTAGATTTTCAAGATTGGTAGATGTTATTATAACATATGTGTCACGTGCATGCATGCTGGCTTCTGATAATTCTAGGCACGAGTCGCTAGCTGCACGGGTCTTTATTTTTTATGGACATGGTATTCGCATGTAATGTAAGTAGCACTGTGTAAGTAGTCAGCTCAGCTCCTTTTGGAGAAGATGCATAGTCGTAGCAAACATTGGGTCTGGAAGGGCTGCATCCCTCCCAATCAGGCCAAATTGTCCGCATTAATGATCTTTTCCGGCAGCTCCGTCTCGATAAAACAATTCTACTCGGGAAAGATCCATGCAATAGTGTCCTCGCTATGCCCACGTACAATTTTTAATGATAGTTTGATATAATATTTAGTTGTATGGAAACTTATTGGCCGTTCTAACTGCTATCAAGATAAATGCCGTTTCCGCTTCTCTAGTAATCTCGCATTTGTTGTTTACTTTGAAAAGTTATTCCTCGTGATTACAATCGAATTGGAGGCTGCAAGAACAATGCGGAAGTCATAAAATATATTGAGAAAGAAAGAAGCAACAACGAATTAGAATAGCAGGCAAGACTCTAGGCTGATGCCATGTTTGGTTTTTCGTTTGTTGTGTTTTTTTGAAGAATATGAAGATCTGCAGCGTCCAGGTAGAATATGTGGTGGTTTTTGTTTTTATCGTTAATGCTGTCGGAAAGTATTCGTGTTTTCGAGTAGAGAGGCTTTCGACAAGAGCTGGAGATGTTTTCGAGAAGAACACTCCGATAATGGTAGATGGCAGTACAATGACAATAAGTGACTGTAATGTTGGAGGCGAGGGGAACGGGTACTGGAAAAACAGCACTCATTGTCAATGTAGCTACGATGAAACTTTCGTCATAGATTGGGACCAAAGGAAAGCTAAGTGCATGGAGGAATATGGAGAAGACAGAAAGGACATGGGTGAGTTGACAATACTAAATTCAGTTGCTTCTAGTGCCTCAGCGAGTATACGCTATTAGACCTGGTGTACAGAGAAGTTGATTGAGAAGATATATAATTCTTTATTGCACATGCATTTTCAAACGGTGGCCAGTTATGTTAATACAATAGCCAAACAAGAATTGCTGATTATCAATGTTTTAGCAAACAAAGCTGCTTCCAATGTAGAAAATGCAAGTATAGGTGCAAAACTACAACTTCGTCTCGATTAAAATTACATTACATTTATAACTCGAACAGCCTTTACTATAGTGTGGTAAAAAGGGAAAGGGGTTGTCGGAATCAATCAGAAATCATAAGAGAATAATAATTGTTTCCTCGCTGCCAAAATTATATTTCCTCATTTCGCAAAATATCCTCCTAGGGGGATGGTATCCATGTAACCCATACATAAACCAGATATTGGCCAGTAATTTATGAAGCTGCACAGATGGTTCTACATGATATTGCTAAGGCCAGACAGTTGTATGATAAAATGCATTACAGGAACTATGGATCAGTCTTTTTGCCAACAATGGCTGTTTTCAAATCATATGGTAGCCCTCTTTTTTGCCTCAGAACACAGAGGGAATTATGAAGTCCATGCTGGATATCTAGCACATTGATTCTATCCTGGCCCTCTACCATTTCCTAATTCAGGTCTTTCATAGACTATAGCTGAAGAAAATAAAAGATTCAGTTTATTTGCACATTGGTTTAAGAGGCACAGTTCCCTATGATTTTTTCCAGATTATATTGCCCCAATTCAAAAATTCTAAAAAAATTCAAGAAGAGACCACGCTGATCAAGAAAAAGCTACTGTTCAGGGCTGCACTAACATTTTTAGGGCCTTTGGGCCCAGGCATATACGGGACCTCTCTATCAACATATAAAAATCTGAGCACTTATTTTTAGAAACTGAGATAAAAGAAATTTCATGAGTCATTGAAAAATTAATTGGATGCTTAAAAATTTGCCTCTGTAGCTACAAAAGTTTAAATTAATGAGTCAAAAAATACATTTTTGCTATGTATATGAAAAATTTTGTTGCTCAATTTTTTAGTATAAGTATTCATCCTTAATCGTAACAAAATGTCTCAAATTTTGTACTACCCGAGGCGGCACAGGTTAATGCGGAAGGGTAAGAAAATTTTTGAACATGAGTTATTCCAGTTTGCTTGAAAATGCACTCTTTGAAGCAATTTTACCTATGCAACATTATTGGATGGGTTTTCTTCATATCCAGACAACAATCCTTATATCCAGTTGTTGGGACAAAGTCTTGATATCGGGACTTATTGGGAGGGCTTGTGTTGTGAATAAAAAAGGAGTTCAATAACTGAATTTTCATCATTTCTTGGCCCAACGTTACTATGAAAGAGCACAGCACATTGAAATTAATGTTAAAATTATTTCTAGCGAAAACCTCATAGAGGAGGTACAAACTGTAGTTTTTTGTGCTAGCTTTTTGTACTTTTTGAATGAAAATTTTTAGAATCTCTTTCAATGTTTTTATCAACCATATCATCATTATCATCCAATTTCTTGTACTTTCTGTCAGCAGATTGGACGATTTCATTCTCTCTTACTGGTCCAAAGATTCTAATGCTTATTTTCTTAATAAAGTTAAAAAGGTCTTGAATAATGTCCACGTTTCCGATGATTTCTCATAACAAGATGTTGTTTTTTAGTACTTGAAGCCATGTATAAACTATGTTTTGTTCATATTGCTTTTCGGGGAAGGCGTGATTGCAAAAACTCTGCTCTTTCAATTCCATTCATAAAATAACTGATAATGTAAGAGGTTGTTTATTGTATAAAGTTTTTGGCCCAAGACATTTGATAATTTAACATTGCTAGATAGATGTATTATGTGTGAAAAGCATCTGATTGACTGGATGACTGATTGACTATAATGAAATGTAATGATTGATGGATTGGTTTGATTTAATATTCAAATCCTTCTCTTCTTTTGTGAAGGGGGGGGGGGGCAAAAAGACTTAAGTAGCATAAGAAAAATACTTTTATTTTATCAAATATGGCTGTTGGCCCACCAACCCCACCACCCCCTAAACAAAAGTTGTATCTTGGTCTTTGGATACCATATAGAAATTCCTTGAGGCCCCTATTTGTTTTGGGAGCCAAGTGTAGCCCTGCTGCTGTTTGTGTGGTTTAGGTTTGTTTCATAGTAATGTGGAGAAGATCAACAAAAGTGTTGTTAGGGAACGGTAGCCCGAGTATATGACTGTATTACTGCCCATAAATTGTACATAAATGTTAAATAAAACTACCCCAGTATTGCATATTTAATATTTTCATTTACATTTGTAGGATGTAAGTTCCATTTCAGTAGAATTAATTATGTTAAAAATTTGAATCCAACAAGTGCCAGTCGAGACATAGGCTCAGTATTGTATGATGGAGACCTTTGCAGCTCATTCTCACTCCTGAAGGCAGAAGTATGGAACATAAAATGGGAGGTGATCCCTGATGTTTTTGTGATCAGCAGCGATGGCAATCTTAAGGTAAATCACTGTTAAGTTTTGTCCAGTTTGTGTCTCTTCGTCAATGAAATGTTTTAATTTGTATCTAGTGGAGTTTCATCTTTGATATCAGAAACATTTTCTGAATCTACAGTTAAAAGTTTGCAATGGGCAGCATTCCTGCTTTGATCAGGAAGCAAATTGACCTTTTTGACAAAGTGAATCCCAAAAAATCTTTGTTTATTAACTATGTCATATCTTTGGTTATTTTTGGAGGCTATTGCCCTGGATCTAGTTTGCAAGGAGAAGAATTACCCTATAATCTCGCATATAGGCGCCGCTCGTATATAGGCGCCGGCGCTTATATCTTGATAAAAGCGCCGTGGCGCCTATATCCGGCCCGGGTTTTTGAATATCATATTTCTTACCGTATATTGACAGATAAATAACATAAAGCGATTTTCATATAGAAGATTCAATTATTTTCACTTAGTCTTTTACATACATCTTTAATAATTGGTTCTACTTTTGATAGAATATGTTCTGAAACCTTGACAGTCACTAAACAAGGGACCTCCAGCCCCTTTCCTCTTTTGTTCTCTCGTTTTCCTGTCACGCAAACTTTCATGGAGCCACCGGAGAACAAAATGAGGGTGCAAGTTTTAGAAAATAGTCGCGGAATGTGTCCTACAATTTCGCGGAATATTGATCGTGTTGATTATCAGGCTTTCTTTTACAAGTCAGCTCCTCTTGAATACGTGGGGTCCATATTTCTTTATATACGTGATGTACAGTGATGAAACAGTTAAATTCAAATACATAGGGACGACATTTAGTTGCTCTGGCCATTGCAGAATCATGTAAAAGGAAATATTTACCACAAACGCTAAACTCTAAATATAAACTTTCAAATTTTACCCATAATATCTGAACAAAATTATATTAATGCAATCATAACATTCGAACGCTGTCATAACATTCATGCCAAAACATTTCACTGGAATAAAGCTCGGAATAAAGTAGGACGTGTTGTTTTTTGTGCGAGAAAGTTTTTAAGAATGGAAACCAACGACACGAGAAAAAGCTATACGCTGTACGATTAAAGAAAGGCAGTAGAAAATGCCAACGAAGTTGGAATTCGAGAAGCATCTAGACTGCTAGGCATTCCAAGGAGAAATTTGCAGCGATGGAGCAAGCAAACGGAAGAATTAAAGTCGGCTGCCCTTACTCCAGGAATTACCGTTCGGTCGCAAAGAAGGATCAGACAGTCAAACGCTAAATGTCCATTGATTGAATCTGCTTTATTGGACTACATCAAAGAAGAGAGAGGTAAACGTAATTCTGTCACTGGTAAGCAGATACATAGAAAGGCGATGGTTATATTTCCAGCTATGTATCTAAGCAATAATGAGCGCTTTTCTGCTTCTTGCGGATGGCTACTTCGAATGATTAGACGGAATAACCTAAAGTTTCGTCGAGTTACAAGTGGTGGGCAGAAGATTCCTGATGATGCCCCAGAACGTTGTGATACATTCTTAGCCTTGATTAAAACGTTGGATGATTTTGACATCATAATGAATATGGATGAAACTCCTTGCTATTTTGATATGCCATCGTCCACCACCTTCTATTTGAAAGGGGTAAAGACAGTGAACATTAGAAATACTGGCAATGAAAAATTGAGATTTACCACTGTGTTGACTGCTGGAGTACGCAAAATCGATGATTATTACGAAGGAATATCCTTGCCACTAATGGTCATCTTCAAAAACCTAACCAAGGCCCTTGGATTCTGCCAAATCTCACTTGGAAGATGTGCCTTAGTTTTTCAAGAGGTACACCACAGAATGTAAAATCATCGATGGAGGTATGACTCCATTGCTCCAGTTTATTGACACACATATCAATAAGCCGTTCAAAGATGTTCTCAAAGAGAGGTGGGGAGAGTGGATCGCATGTGGTACCGAAGAGTTCACCAAGCAGGGCAACCGCCGCCGTGCATCTTACGAAATGCTTTGTCAGTGGGTACTTCAAGCATGGAAGGCAGTATCAAAACCAGCATTCATCGTCAGTGGATTCAAGCAATGCGGATACATCGAATGGGATGATGACTACCACAAGCTTCATTCACGGTTCCGTGATACGATTTTGAATCGAGCTGTGCCTTTAGAAGCAATCTTAGAGGTAAACGAAATGTTGCTGGAGCTTGGAGAGGCGAGCAAGGATGTTTATAATGAAATTTACGAAGACAGAGATCATTGTAACACAGTCGATGAGAACGAGAACGAGAACGAAGGCTCTGGTTCTGATGAAGAACACGACGAGGACATTATCGTAGAACTATAGCATTGTGTTTTTAATCTGTGAAATTTCTGCAGTTGAGTTGTTTCTTAGTATAAGCTGTGATGCAAAATGATTCTTTTTCGCGATTTAAAGTGATTTTGTTGCCAGAAAATTATAGGCGCCTGGCGCCTATACGCGGCCCACTTTTCTTGACTTGAAAACCCAGAAATTTTAAATATCCGGATATAGGCGCCGGCGCCTTTTTGGGAGACTATAGGGTAGAAATAATTGTCAAACTCAAACAAACATTTAGTGGGACAGTGGTTTCCTATGTTACTGTGTAGTGAGTCAATATCAAGGGCTGCCAAGAGGTTTCGAAAGCCCGGAGGTAAAGTCCCCTGGTGTTGAAGCAAGCAGTAAACTTATGCAACCATGCCTTTTAGATTGCAAGATATTTCTTGCCATCGTTTTTTGCAATCTTTAAAACCTGGCCCCAAAGCAGATTCAAATTAATTTTCTTTTTTTTGCTGCACGGTCCAAAAATTGGTGGAATTGAGCCAGTACATGTTTGCTGACTGTCAGCATTTTCCTTTTCACCACAGGAAAAACAGATAAATAACTCTTTTCCAAATAAGCAGCCCCAAACAAATACAATTTTGTAGCGTTTTTGTAAGCTCAGCTGTTATTAACTGCAATGCTGTAATTATGATTCTATATCACTGTTGATATAGTTTAACACATTCAGGTATCAATCACTGATACAAAAACTATAACCAGGCCAGTATCTTAACTCTCATTGCAATAACTGATTTTAGTGGTCATCAGGCAATCCAACCATCGTAGCAAGGCGATATGCTGGGACACTAATCAAACTTGATCTGCAAGCATACAGACGAGGAAAAAAGAAAGAAAGCTGTTTGTTGTTAAAAATGACAGGCACCAGATACTGTAAGTTCATAACCATAGCTTATACCTATAAGTTTTTTATCTTTGATTTCTCTTCTAGAGCACTTATATGAAGCTAGCAAGATTTTTTGTGAAATTTTTGCAATTTAGAAACTTAAATGCACTGGAAGCAGGGCTTGATAGTCTCTATAAACTAGAATGCTGATATAAAATAATTAATAGGGATTTTAAATTAGCATCGAAGAGTGGAAAGATATACTTAAGTACTTTTCATCAACGCTCCTCAGAGTATGAAGGCATACCTGGCATGCTACTCTGGTGTTCGGCCGTAAGATATTGCGTATAAAACCATAACTTTGTTTAGAAAAGAATAATTTAACCATAAAAACTGTTTTTTTGTCATTCATGAATTATGGATGCAAAACAAATGCAGAATAAAAACCTAATGTAAACAACAATGAGACTCAGTATGAATACCACATAATGAAAAATAGTACAGTTTTAAAAGATTCACTTAAGAAACCACCAATCCAACTTTGTTGAATCGATCATTTTCAGAATATACGGAACTAACCTTCAAGTTAGGCAGCACGCTCTCGTTAATTTTAATATGGCACGAAATGTTTCATATTGTTTAAAACAAACATATTAAAAATACATTCGAAGTGGAAGAAAGCGTTTTAAGCTTACATTTTAAGACTTAAAATTCAGTGAAAATGCGTCAGACTTGACAGGAATGTAAAGGTCCAATGACGTCTTAAGGTAAGCAGAATTTTTCGGCTCAAATTTTTAGGTACCAATTTGGTTATAGGAAATAAACCAAGATGTTTTACTGTTTTGCTTATGTGTCAACATTTTTTGACAATTTTGAAAGCACTACAATGGAAAATGTGGTTGGTTAAAAAAAAATTCACTTTCAATCTGGTATCAAAATTTTCCAGTTTTCAACCGTTCAACTTTAAAATATCATTTGATTTCCGAAATCTCTTTCAAATATAAGATTGTGTTTTCTCAATTTTTTCAAACTTTTGGCTCTAAAATTCCTTTCCAAATATACTATATTTTAGGTTATGCTATATTTTAAGTATTAGGATTTTGCTATAGTTATTTTCGGCTGGAACTTTCAAGTTCCATGTCCACATCAGCCAACACGAGGCTGCTATAGACTAAATCTGTGTTATAAAATGAAACATACATGTATGCAAATCAATGTATGTTTAGCATGTTAAGATCCATGAAAAACTTTCTTACATTTGTACGTTGTCTTCTTTTTTTTAGACCCATTGACTTTTCCTGTGGAACAAAGCTCCCAAGGGCTGGTTTCCACTACAACGCTTCAAAGTAGTCATTATAGATTGTCTTCTTCTGAATCAATACCACACTCAAGAAATTTTCAGCTGACAAAGACATTATCAGTTACGGATACCCCAAAGCTAAGCTCTATAATTTCACAATCGTCAGGAGCATCAGCAACTACTTCAGCAATCGAAAGAAGATCAACGCAAACAGTAATGACGACACCAATGTCACTGACAGGTGTCTCCCAAGTGAAAGTGACAATGTCGTCATCAGTGCACAGGATGACAACAAGAAGTGTCTCTCAGCCATCTGTTAACCCAAAGACTCAGTCAAGTAGCACAGAAGCGCCAACCTCAGCACTAAGAACCCCAACCTCAGTTCTGTCGACAAATAGCATACTCAGATCTTATTCATCTAAATTTTTGCCCATATCCTCCAAGATTTCACCAAGCTTAGCTGTAATGCAAAGCCCAAGCTCCTTTGCAAAGTCACTTGAAACATCTTTCCTTAAACTTCAAACTGATACTTCTTACGGAGAGCAAAACACAGTTCATACCACAAAGGTACTTATATGCTTTTTTCTCTACGGTGAACGTAAAATATACTGCGTTGAAAGTTAAATTATATTTTTACTATCATTTTCAAACACTTAGCCGTGATTATACTATTTTTGATAGCCTTGCATTTTGCAATAATTTTTTGTGTTATTTTATTATTTTGTCTTTCGATAATTTATGACTTTGTTTCTAGGTGCCAGTGCATTCGATGTTCTTGTCTTCTGTAGGCATCCAAATTCCTGGCGTAGGAGCTGCGGCCCAGAAGCGGTCCAACAAGGAGACAGTGATGATTGGTGCAACGATTTCTGCTGCAATTGTTTTTGTGTTTGCTAGCATTGCAGTTTTTATTTTGTATAGGAAGAAACATTTGTAAGTGTTCAGGAAAACACTTTTCTCTATTCGGACTTAGATGTAATACAGTTTTATATTTTCGTTGAGCATTTGAAGATGATAATTACAAGTGTTTCATTATTTTTGACAACCATAATCGAACAACTAAACTTTGAATCCTTTCCGAAAATTCTTTTTTATAAAGCATGATTTGAAATTAAAAGGTTGATATGTTCATTATTTTGCAGACCAAAAGGTAAAAACAGAAAAAGAAAGGTATTATTGCTATTTGCATTTCATTAAGATCCTCTATGACCATGCTAAGACCAAATTTACAAACAACAGTCACAGTTTTCAATAAATCATTCTTTCGAGTCTTTTTTCTAAATCCACATTTCTAATCGCATCAAAGATTATGTCTCAAAGAGCGAGAGTTTTATTGAATGTCGCATCATCAGTCTTGGTAAAACATTATACGAATAGAAAAGTAATTTTTTCAAATTATTGTCGTCATTGATCGAAAAACCTGGTTGAAAGAAATTATGGTTCGTGTTTTCTTGTTTTTCTCTTGTTTTTTGTCATTTGATTCAATTATTATTTTCCATTTAAAAGGAGACATTAAAACTTGGATTGACAAGCAATTCGTTTACGAATCACTCGACAAATGATGGCAGCATCGACGGAGGATCACTCAAGAAAAATATAGGTTCAAATTTCATATGATAAGAACTTGTCTGTTTTATAGAAAACTGTATACTAACAGTATAAAAGCTTATAAGATATAATGCTACAACTGATAATGATATAAGAAGGTTTCTTTGTTTATTGAAGCTCTTATGTTCAATAGTGTTGTCATACATAAATAGCAATAGTGTTGTCATACATAAATAGCAATAGTGTTGTCATACATAAATAGCAATAGTGTTGTCATACATAAATAGCAATAGTGTTGTCATACATAAATAGCAATAGTGTTGTCATACATAAATAGCAATAGTGTTGTCATACATAAATAGCAATAGTGTTGTCATACATAAATAGCAATAGTGTTGTCATACATAAATAGCAATAGTGTTGTCATACATAAATAGCAATAGTGTTGTCATACATAAATAGCAATAGTGTTGTCATACATAAATAGCAATAGTGTTGTCATATTTGCTCAATTTAACTTCTTCTTGCAAATTTTGAAGGGTAGATAGAGCTCAAGGAAGAAATGTAGACCCTGAAATCCAACTTGATTTTACAGAAATTGGGGAAAATTAAGAATTCTCAATATCTGTTTGGTGATTTACCACTAATGAGTTTCACTTTTACTTTTTTTTATTTTCATAATTTGATTTCGTTTAGGTAACCCATTGTATCAAGATCATTTACGTTTGCGGACCGAATCGGCTAATGACAGACCCCCTGCCGCCGTATACGAAGACGAATATTTAGTGGTAAGTCATTGCCAGCTTCTCCTTTGATTGTTCTATCCCTTGCTAGTGGGTTTCTTCCCGCCGCTACACTGGCCTACGCGAGGGAGTGGCAGCCACAACACTATGAGCTTTTTCGTGGAGCTCCTTCTGTAACTATACTAGGACTTCTGCAAGGCGGTCTATTAAGCCAATTGGCGTTTTCTTTAGTACCTTCTTAAGCATATTGCCCCCTGCCTATTATCCAAGTACGTTGTTTTCACGTGTATTGTTTCGTTAGAGGCTAACTCTTGGTCTTTCATAAACAACTTGCTACTCTATTCCTTTCGTGATGTACACATGAGGGAATTTATATATTACTAAATAGAACCTAAACTTCACAACATGTTGAGCACCAACAGGCTTTGAGAAAATACAATGAGAAAATATATGAGCGAGTGACACTGGCATGGCAGACACTTGATGGAATATGACTACGATGTTTTAACTATCAAATGGCGTATCCTCGCTTTGGTATTCCTCCCTGTGCTTTTCTCCAGCCTGTCAGGGTCTTTGGTAAACCTAACCTTGACTTTGTCCTTTCATTTTTATCGCTTCCTCTCTGCTGATTTTTATTTTACAGCCACCGAAACCCGTGCTTGCCTTCCTGTGCCTACGCTTCTCTTTGATAAAGAAGGAGTTTTCTTAAACTACCTTTTTCTTCCTCTACATTACACAGAGAAATTCGATTTTGATAGTTTTCAATTTCATATGAAATTTCCCCTTTCCTTTGAAAAGAAAGTTTACTTTACCTAATGTGATCATGATTGCAGCCGTCAGAGCCAGTTTACAGAGAAATTATTGAGGATGGGCCAATATACTCAGAAACTGGTGGAATTTACCAACCAATTGATGAGAACAATGTCGGATTGTCTGAGAGTTATCAACCTCTAGACTCAGCAACTTTGACTCGACAAAATGCACCAGGTTGCACCACAGCACACCAAGCCCCGATTTATCACTGCCTTGAGGAAGGTTATGCTCCTCCGAAAGATGCAGCGCAGCCACCAATCTACCTCACCCTTGAGCAAGAGTCTCGCCAGAAACCATTGTTAAGCGAACCAGTGTATCAAGAGCTTGAATGTGGCCATGGTTCTGTCAATGTCGTTTATGAAGAAGAACAGGTTTAATTGGTCTGTTGTACCGAATCAATTATTAATGGGGTTTATGAGTCATTCTCTTGCTTTTATGACAATCGATTTAAGTACAACATACGGAAGAGAATTTTCTATCAACTTTTATGGGGAATTTATAAAGCTTTGGTTTTTTCATGTATTTAATTTAACATTTAAGAATAAATACCGGAAGTTGTTTTGGTCAGGAGCCCAGGGTGCATTCCATGTAGTTTACGCCGGAGATCTCCGGCGTGGACTTAGCTTTTTCCTCGGCGTAGCGGCGTGAAATTTGCTATTTGCGAGCCTTGGCGCATTGGCGTACGTGATAATTTTTCGCGATCGGCGTAGCAAAAACGGTACTTGTACAGAATACGTGGGCAGCCTGATTATATTGATATGGACAGTAAAAGCAATGCAAACTATATATTAATCGAAAGCTTTTATGTTTTACACTTGGCGTAGCAACTAGAATAGGTTGAAATTTCTCTGGCGTGGGTCTAACATGGAATGCACCCTGGTCAGGAGCGGGTCAGGAGGCGATTGTTAAAGAACTGGTCTTTAAAAAGGACATTTCAACCGAAGGATGTATACCAAAGGACGTCCATTAAAGTTCCCATGAACGCTAAGAAAAAATCTTTCAATTGGCACAAATACCCTTCTCCCTCTTCTGAGCCTGATGGTTCCTCAATGTAAATTGTTTGTCAGATCCGTTTAATCCAAAGTAAATCTACATGACTTTTTTATTATTATACGTTTTTGTACATGAGTATTTTTATTTGTTGATTCTTTTTTTGGTAAAAAAGAAATATTTGCAGCATTATAAACAATCGACGTTGAATTTTGTAAATTGTGTCAAATGGATCCTTAATATTATTCGACTTTGTAATTCAATTGATACGGATATCAACGAAAAGTTTTTTTTATGTTTGAATTTACTGCAGAACAAACTGGCATTTCGATGAAGTAGTCCTCTAATCCGGGCTTGTTCAACGCGTGGCCCGCGGGCCATGTTGCGGCCCGTAATGTTGTGTGATGTGGCCCGCGCTGAGATCAAAGTTGATAGACCGTAAATCCTCGAATAAGCCCCCACGCTCGAATAAGCTCCCCTCTCCCTCGAATAAGCCCCCACCTAAAATTCTTTTTTGCAAATGAGCCCCTTCGAGGGAAGCATAATTGCAGAAAAATTCTATCTTGTTTCAAGAAAGCCCCGCAAGACAATAGCTATTCAGTATGACTTTCTTTGACTGGAGACCAAAAAGCAAAAGAGCGACTTTTGTGATGATGATAAGTTATAATATTTGTTAGATCTTCACGCATTTTGTAATTGTTCAATTTATTTCATTGAGAAAATTATGTCGTTTTTATGTCGACCTTTGAGGAAAATACTAAACTTTGAAATAAGCCCCCCCTCAAATAAGCCCGAATAAGCCCCCCCCCCGAATAAGCCCCACCCAAAAATTATTTTTTGCAAATAAGCCCCGGGCGCACTAACGCACATGCACATTTCGTGAGTTCCGGTTCCGGGCAGTGGGCCCAACCCCCTATTCCGTGCCCAAACCATGAACACATTACGCTTGTTTTAAAAATTCAAGATGGGTATAATCTATATTTCTAAAAAACAGACAAAAGAGACAGATGGTGAAAACAATTCTAAATTTTCCTGGACAACCATTTTTTGTAGCTCAGCATAACGACTCTGTTTGAGTTTTATTTGTTTGGAAAAAATTGCAGTGCAGAAGGAATACAATAAAACAATCATCTTGTAATTAGCGACACGGCCAGTTGCATCTTCATAAATTAGAATTCTTTAAAAGAAAGTTTCTTTCCAACAATCTCCAAGCAAATCAAATTTCAACAGTTCGGACTGTGCCACAAAAGGTCAGCATGCCTTGATTTCCTTTTATTTTTTGGGTGGGATACCAGGTTTCATGCTTCTATCACAATGTGAATCATTTGTTTTCACTAACAGCCCCGACCCAAACGTTGGGCTACATTTTCCACCCCAGTCTACCCCGTGTCGACGCCACTGCTTGCTCTGCGATTCACCAACGAAGGAAGGAATAGGGATTCCCCTTCTGGGCAAAGAAAACATTGATCATCGCATACACTCTTTTTCATTAGAATATTTTTATAAGAATATTCAGGCTCAGAATCATCCAATTTTTAAGGACATTTCCCAGCTTCAGCCTGCAAATCTGTGTCACATTTTTCAAAAGATGCCTGCTTTGCGATGTTCATAACAGAAGATAGCGTGACTGAAACCTCGTCTTTTCAAAAAGCTTGGTTCCTATTCAAGCGTGGGCGATTTGGTATCTCAGATTCGAAAAATGTAAGAATACTTTGAGAATACATTCAGGCTCAAAACGAAAATTTCTAAAGAATATTTAGTAGAATATTTCTAAAGAATCTCTTTGATAACACGAGTTCTTGTTCCAAAGGCCCACTATTTTTGTGCACCAGCAATTCCATCCTTGACAAAAAGGAACACAAAAGAGCTACCAACCCATGTTTGCACATGCAGATGCGCAACGGAATATTGAAAAGCCTGGAGACCATTGCCTCTTTAGGAGAGTGGACGATCCCTCCAAGTCATTGCTAGGAAGAATATTTTAATTTTCGTGCTCAAAGGCAATAAAAGGACAAGAATGTATTCTTCCAATTACGTGAACAGGCTAAGGCATTCGTACAAACCGTAGTTGCTTGTTCGAATTGGTTCGAAGGAACAAAGCTGAAAAATGCCGGAAGAGAAAACAACGTTGATTCCAAGCCACTAGATTTTATTGACCCCTGGCTTTCTCTCCTTGGACAACTATATTTGCACGGTTAAGATTATTGGTTAATGATTTTCAACAATAAACATGCACTTTGAATTCCAGTTGAAGCGTTGAGAAGCCGTTTGCCTCACTAGGAAGGAGAAGTAACCTTTTATATTGACCTTGACGAGGTTTATTCACAGAGTTTCTAAGAAAAATGGAGCCCAACTATGGCTAAAAGTTATAGGTACGCTGATTGACGAAGTTCCTATATTTAATTTTGGTTTTGTTGTTGCGAATGCTGTCGTTTTTATGTCTGATTTAACGTGCAGAAAACACGGAGCCAGCAAGAGACGATATTGCGTGACCGTTGCGTCTTGATGAATTTACTGACTGACTTATTACAATTTAGGGCGTATACACATATAACAAGGGGACGCTACAAATGTGTTGTTTATTACGTTACGTGGATACGAAGACAATGGAAAGTGTTAATGACAGAGACACAATGGAGGACATGATAACGTTTAGACAATGGTCACTACAAAGTGACATGATGAGATGACAGAACACGTGATCAGATGATGCTCTCTGAACTTTAACGCAACTCTATTTAGCCATTGTATAAAGCCCCGGCCAACCGACTCAATTTTTCACTCGATTTTTTACTCAACAAGAAATCGAGTGAAAAACCGTTTGGCCACCTTGTCGAGCGAGTCGAATGACGTCGAGTGATGTCGAGTGAAGTTTGATCTTTATCAAAAAAAATTCGAGTGAAAAAGGTGTTGTCGAATGAAAATCGAATCGTTGGCCACCTTGTCGAGTGAGCGCATGCGCAGTTATCATCTCCTATGCTTAGTTATTTTTAACGAGCGACGCTTGAGTTCGTCAAGTTAATGTAAAAGGATATTTGCATGTAAGATAAGCACGGCAGCCGCTTTGCATTTCTTCGTTTTGTTGGCGTGAGTGAAAAGTCGAGTGAAAAATAGAGTCGTTTGGCTGAGGCTTAAAAAGATGACTCGAACCATACTCTTTTGTAGAATAGCTCAATTAAAGTAATATATGATTTAATGAAGGTAACCAAACTGGACATCGTTGGAATGAAAATAGAACGTACTTTCAAGTGGTGTGCGTCAAATTAATCCAGATGTCGTCATTTCCTGCAGAATCTCGAATAAAGATGGGCTACGTTTTTTGACACCCTGTAACCATTTATTATTTTGATAAGGAAACAATCTTTTCGTGGTACAGAAGTTAAAATGCACCGACACCCAATCGCCTTTCCTATGATGAAGGAATGTAGCCTCAAGACCTGATTTGATGAAGGATTTGGCGATGTCTTCTGAGGGAGCTATTTTATTCAAACTCAAGAAATTCATTTGTCGATGTTTTATTCCTCGACTAAGAAATCAATGTAAAGTATTCTTATAAAGAAGAGTGTATATCGTCCATCGTCCCAGTGACGGATTATCTATGGGACCTTTGTGGCCCAGGCCCCCGGCCCACCGTCAAATGGTCTTTATTTCTGGGGCTAATTTTCTTGGGATGATAATAATGACTATAGTTTTATTATATTATATTGTTTATAATAGTTTTTTTTATTATCCCATTATGACTAACCTCTACAGCACCACCAACATTCCCTCAGATCACCCACCACTCCTTCCTCCTTCTTCATCCAATTCTTTCTCCGCTGCGCTGCAATCACACCATTCCACATCAAAAAATCCAGCTTAACCATCGCACATTTCAAATTTATCTACTCGCTCGTGCTCGTTACATCTACTCTGATGGAGCTTTGTATGCCGGGCCGAAATATTAGTATTTATCAAATTTATGTTAATTCATATTCTATTTCACTACATTTGATTCTCTTCGCCGTGTTACATTGTTCCTTACTAATAGACCTTTCCCCTAATTACGTCATGGCGCAATGCATTCCGGTACTTGTAGTTAAACCCGCGAATATTTGCTCAGAACTAACACACGGCGATCAGATGAAATTCTGTTATTATTCGACGCTCTTTGCTCAAATAGTGAAACAAATAATGGAAAACACGGCAGAATAAACCTTTTGCGAGATTCACTGAATCTGGCAGACAGCATATCCTGATCCGTTTTAATAGATTCCCGTGAATTATTCGTATCTGGTCCATCTGCAATAATTAGTACCCACGAAATTTGCAAAAAAAATCGACAAAAATGAGTTTTTGCAAAAATTTATTCCCTTAAAAACTTGATTGGGTTATAAACTTGAAAAATGAAGTAAACTTTATTCTTATTCTTTTCAAATATATTAAATACAAAATTATTTATTATATGGGAAGCATTTTCTCAATACAAATCAACTTTGTATAAAAATGTGAAAACATAAACTACAAAGAAGATTGAGACGACAAAACATTTGAATGCATGAGTTTAAACGCTCAAGTTGAAGTTGAATGTTTTCTGTTGTAACCCATACATATGCAAACTGAAAGCAATTCATCAGAAAACAACATCTTGTAATAAGGAGTCAAGCAAGCTAATAAAATGGTTGGCTGTTTTTTAACTTTGGCCTGGCCATTCTATAACCAGAAAAACACCTGACTTTGCCTAGCTTAGTGAACCAGAAGATTGCCTCCAGCAGATTAGAAAATTTAACGAAAAAGCTATGTATCAAATCATAATTTGGAATTCTATACTCTTTCAAGTATACGTCAGATTTGGGTAGCTTGTCTCTTCTCAGCCTCGAGCATGGTGTAATAAACAGGGGCGTCGCCAAAGGGGGATGCGGTACGCTCCCAACATTCTGTTCGTCAGCACATTAAGGATTTTTGCCGGGCAAAAGATGTTTTTTTACTCACTCTGTAACTTTTTTCGCAACAATTGTAACATATTGTCATTTCTGTGTAGTTGAACTTTCAAAGTATGGCACTAGAGTATAAACTTTGAAACAGAAACGCATAAAAGTAGCATATAAGAGTATTATCTTTTGACCGCACCCTTAAAGAGGGAGACACGCCCTTTTGTCGGCTTTATTTCTAACTTTGCAGTTTGAGAACTCATAGAAAGTTAATATAAGGCATTTTATGACACAAACTTATTGTTTGACATTTTTCTAGTTATATCTTAATTTGTAATTAAAATTGTCGATTCAAGTTTTTGCAATATTCGTTAATGACGTTAATGCTTTGTTATTATATAATATTATATTTCTTTGAAAAAGTTGGTTCTAAGATATCTTAAGCCCCCTGCCCTGGTATTGGTTAATCCGCCACTGCATCGTCCCCTTTTCTTCTGCGGCAAAGCATTAGATAATGCGCCATGTATAACTTCAACCCAAAAGACATGGGGTACTTTGTTCCCGTCGACAAAAGATGTAGTTATAATCAGCAGTGTAGAGCCAAAAAATGTAGAGGGGCCATATAGCTTTCTCTTAATTGCATACAAAATGAACTTTTCAGTTATTTTCGTTTGCATGGCTCCTCAATATCAATTTCTTTACCTTTCCATATTTTCTAGGGTTAAATCACAGGTTGAATTATCTTCCAATGTCTACCTGTTACTTGAGTAGAAAAATCTTAAAAATAGAAAAAATTAAAGTAGTAAAATTTGGCCAGCATTAATTGAGTTTTTAGATATCCATACAAATGAATGCAAATGTCAAAAAGTAATATCGGCTCGTTTGATCCTGGCAGAAATTAGCCACGATATTTGAGAATTACCCAGAAGAAACAGGAGGGGGCGCAGCTCCCCTTCGAAAAAAAGTAGGGGGCTGAGCCCCCCTCTTCTACAGTCCTGGTTATAATGTTATCGTTATTTGAACACTGATCAGTGGATTTGGAGCATTCAAAAGAGTTCAGGGTGGAAAAGGATCGTGGGCTCTCACCATTGTCACGAGCTTCGTTATAAGAAAAGGCGGCCCCCTTTGGATTCCAAAAAATATTGCTGACTCATTCATCGTGGAAACATGGCGCCTACTCTAGCGTACTGGCAGATCAGAGGGGTAAGTGGTCGTTTTCTTGAATTGACGCAATTAGCACTAATTGTTTTGATTGTAAAATGACATAAAAAGGCGATAGACCGTTTAAATAGCTTAGCAACTAGCATAGACTGAAGTGCTGCTGTAGGTTTTCGACGACCTCGCGTTTTAACTAGCAAGGCAGGAGGGGAGCTCCCATGTCACCCCAATTTGATACCTACCCTTTCTCCGGAGAAAACAAAATATGACTCTGTTCTTAACAAAAACAGCAAGCATTTCTGTTCTTACTAATTGGTAATTGGTTAATACCGTAAATCCTCGAATCAGCCCGCCCCTGGGAGCTTATTTATTTTTGATATTTTTGGATGGGGGCCTATTCGAGGAGGGGGGCTTATATGAGGGGGGGACTTATAAAATTATTCTAGACTTTAAGAAGACATTATTAAAAGACCTCGTTTATTTTAGTAGGAATTTCTTTCTGAGCATTAAATTAATTACTACCATGAGCATTTATGAGCATATAAGTATGAGTTTGTTGTATTATTTAATAAAACACCATAGAGGCAACCTCAGATTGGCAACAATCATCAAATGGAGGGGTCCAATTCGAGATTTTAAAGTAGCAGTTGGGACTTATTTTAGGGGGGGATATTATCATTGATTTGTAGTTCTAGGGTGGGGGATTATTTGAGGGGTGGGCTTTTTTGAGGGGGGGGGGGCAATTTGAGGATTTACGGTATCCCTGTTCTGTGTTTTAAGGGGATTTTAGGTTTTTATCAACAAGGCCTATAATTCTGTAAACTTCCTTTCCCAATAAAACCCACATAAAAGATGATGTTAATCAAAGAATTTCCAAAGTAGGCATCCAAAGTAGGCAACAAAAATTTTCTGATTGAGTATGCATCCAAAGACAAGATCAAAATAAAGAATTTTTGCAAAATGCAAAAAACTCTAACACACTTTGTATTTTGCAAAAACTTCGAAATGGTCTCGTAAAGGAGCTGTAGTTACAAAAAAAATTTATATTTTATATTGCAAACTAAACAGCAAACTAAACAGCAACTTAAACCAGAATTAAACCAAAAATGCAAAGGCAAACTTTCTGAAGTTAGCAAGTTTATGTATGGCATATTTCAAGGTAATCACTCAAGTTCCCCTAAATAACTATTTTACCAAATGTCTTTTCTTCACAACTATAAAGCAGAAGTAGCCTACAATGAATTTATCTGCCACTGAATAGAAATAAAATCAGTTAAATCATATGCAACAATTAACTTCTCAACTTGAAAAAAAGAACAAGATCCAAAAACTCGGTTGTTAATAAGACAATAAAAAACACTTCACAATTTGCTAATAGGGAATAGCCTTTCTTGCCTTTTCTTGTTTTTTTGCTGACTAATCTTGTTTTTTTCTGAATTATTCTTAGAGTAAATCTTGTCCTTAAAGTTCTTCCTGTTCTTTTAAGTATTCTAACGTTATATTCTTTTTTATCAAACTTATGGTTATAAAATAATTAAGATTTTAATTCAGTTCCATTAGTTCAGCCTGGTACCAATTGTAATACACCTTAAAGGTCAACCCCAGGCAAGTGACTTGATAGCTCCTGCAAGTTTTTTCCAACAGCTGTTTCCAGCATTTGGTTATCAAACATGTAAAGCTTTTTTACTCTTAAATTTTACTTTTTAATTAAAAATTAATCAAATATATATACATTTTCTAAATATGCTTTCTTAATAAATAATTTCATAAATCTATTATTTTGGAAAGCCTTCAGTTAAATTTCATTTCTTTACTTAGTCCATAACATTTTCCTAGCAGGCATTTTCCTAAGAAGTAGCTAATCTGAATTGACCAAGGCTCTCATGTCATGTAGTAAATAAATGCCACTGCAATGCAAAAAGAATGAACAACAACAGAAACATATAAAAATCAGTAATGGCTAATATTTCGCCCCGGGATACGAGGCTTCTCTCAGGGCATGTTTCATTTTGTGCAGGGGATTGCTCAAGGTAAAAATAACCAGCAGTAATGATAAAAATCAACAATTCTAAAAAGAACCTTAATGTTTATAAAAATGGTATAATCCTGTTATAAGGTTCTTTGGTGCAAGGTAACATCAAATGAAAAAAACTGTTACAATGCCCTCCAAGAATTATTTAATACCCAATATAAATGTGTTTCCTTTATAATTTTTATGTCCATTACAAAGATCATATAGAACATGATTGCCCTATGATAGAAAATTATTGTATCTAACCTTTTAAAAAGTGCTTTGGCTGCCCAGATGATGTTTCCAGGGCAAATATAGTTCAAGTACTGTGTTTCTAAAGTATATCTTAACATGCACAGTGGATTTCATATTCAATTGCATTTTTCCATTGAGATGTGGTTAAATCAGCTTACTTATATTTGTGTGTTTTGACATACCTGCTTTGTATCATTTATGTCACTTGCTTGAGTCACAAAAGTAGACTGGCAAGGATGTATTGATAAAACATGTATTCCTCACACTGTTTTGCACCAGCGATCAAACACTTGCATGGTTGGGTTGTGCAAGTGCTGATGCAATTGCGAGTAGACAATTTATTAAGAACTGAATTTTCAAATTAAAATTAACAGATTTTAAAGCAGAGTATAAAGTCCCAAGGAGGGATTTAGTATTATGAAGCAAAATTTATTTGAGTTTTGTAGTGGTCAATCACAGTCAAAAAAGAACCACAAAGAAAATTAGCTTCTAGACCTATGTTTAGTGGATAACCACCCTAGTAGTGGCATTTTTTAGAAGTACAAGCATGTTAAAAAATTAGTGCATAGTTTCAACAACCATTCATTTCTTGAAATGTTTCTAAAGAATTGCCTTTTTTTAGCTTGCACAGCCATTAAGACTAATTCTTGGCTACACCAAAACAGACTTTGAGGATAAAACATATGCAGTTGGAGATGGTAAGGTCACTAATTTTTGCATAAAATAATGTAGATTCTACATGTACGTTGTGTAAAGGCCATTGTAACAGAACTGCTCAATGGACTTTATATAAAACTGGCAGCAAAGGAGATCAAGAGAATTAAGAGAAAATGAAACATTTAAACCAGAGGGAGAAAATGAAACATTTGGGGGCAGGCCTATCGTTTTAATAAGATGACATCACATTTTTCTATAGTTTGAGCACAAAAAACCAGACGACCGCGCCCCTCCCCCCAGGTATCTGTCACTCATTTCAACACGCCAAGAATAACCAAAATGACAACAAATAATTGGTATTTGAAAATGGCTTGTGCAATCATTATTATAAACAAAATGCAATCATTATAAGCTTGATGAATACATCTCTTTTCCAGGACCAACGTTTGATAAATCAGGCTGGACCTCTGTAAAGGATTCATTAGGCCTTGATTTCCCAAATGTAAGCAAGAGTCATATTTTGTTTTATGTCTGCATGAAAATAGGCTGTATAAAGTGTGTGCATATCTTGGTGACTTTGCGCATTCCATAGCTTGCAATATAAGCAACTTTTATCGCAGTTTGTCATTCCTGTAATCAAGAAATATGAGGTTCTGCTTTAAAAGGAACCTTGTGTGCTATCAACTAAACAGATACCATGGAAATTGATGGAGAAACTATTCCTGTTCTTTTTTTAAGATGCTGAAGTTAATTCATTTTCAAATTTCCAGGAAGTAATCATATAATTTTTTGCAATCATTTGAAAGTATCTGGATTGAGTAAATTTCAATTTTTTATAGACACTACCCTCTATCGAAATATTGCTATGCAACATCACTGACTTAGACTGTGTTTACACAATGCCGGGTAACTTCAGATCCAGATGAGGCTAAAATATTAGTGCCAAGCTTTGATTTTCATAACCTAGCTCGGTTTGCTTGGTAGCATAGCTTATCTGCTGTTGATAAGAGCTCTCAAAGGATCCAGCACATCAGAAGAATTCTTAAAAAAACATCTGGGAAGAAAAGCATATCAAAGGGTGTACAGCACTGTGTAAATATGATCTATATAACTTTTTATCTGGATCAAAAGTTATCCAACATTGTGGCCTTAAGTATGGTCGCCAAGGTGGATATCATAGCAGATATTCATGAAGCGCCTCATCATATGGGGGAATTTCCCTAGATCATGGGTTTTTTCTAGTTGAAAGACTATAACAGTCCCTCTATCTAGTGAAAACCCTTTGATGCTAATATCGCGGGGCCAGTGCCTTGCTGTTTTTTATCGGGCTTCTTTGCATGATAATGTAACATTCGTAATATACCCAACTACTTTACTTTGACACTGCCTTTCAGCTGCTTTAGAAATTCCTTTTGACGCTGATTGAACTGCCTTTAAATTTGTGCCTTTGCCTTTCAGCTGCTTTAGAAATCTTAGAAAAATATTTTTGAACTCTTTAATGCTCTTTCTCGCAAATTTTCGTTTTGCATTTGTGATGTTTCACAAGCCTCAGACAATTTAGGTGTGTGTGCAATGGCACGCCTCATATTACAAAGACTGCTCACTGCTCCTGTTGCTAGCCATGAGGCAACAAATTTTTCATGACTCTCCTATTGATTTTTTTGTTACATCTTATACTGTTTTCAGCTGCCATATTACATTGATGGAGATGTCAAAATTACACAGAGCAATGCTGTAAGGCCCCACATATCAATTTTTTTTCTTTTTTCCATTTTTCTCTTGTCTACACTTTACCCTTTTAGCTGATATCTATGTATTCTTAAGTCAGAGTTTAGTTATTTGCTAATTTTATTGAGCTGCCACTTTTATCTTGAATCAGTTTTAGTGAATCAGTATTTGCAGAGTTACAGATACTATATTTTTTCTGTTTTCTTCCCTATGAAAATACAAGATTTAAGCTGCCAAGTATAAGGGCCAATGCCAAATTTAGAAGCAGAAATTTTTTTTGCATTCACTATTGAATTATGTTGCTTCAACTTTCAGACTTCTTTAGTCTTTGCCTAATTTCCCTGTATTAAATGTGAAAATTTTCAACATCGACAATGTTGTTTGCATCAGAGCAAGATCAACTAGAGCAGCTTATCCTCACTTCAAAGGTTTGTTCCCTTTATAGGAAATGGTTCTAAGTCAAAGATTATTTTTTTAAAAATCTTTTTACAGATTCTCCGGTATATTGGCAGAAAATACAAACTAGGTAACAAGCCTGTTTTGTGCTAGTACGGCATTCTGTTTTGGTAAAACCATTGTAACATAGTAATTCTGATTTTTTTTGCTAGGCTACATATATATCATGTCGAAGAAATATCCTTTCTTCCCTTTGATTTTGTTTTGTTTTTAAATTGGAAATAGCATTGTCATTGTTGTTGGGGAGAGAAGGGCAAACTCTCAATACCCTGAAGCCTATGGTTTTAGATAAGAGAGGATTTTGTAAATTCCTTGCAATTTTTGTCTACAGCAATAACAACATACTACAGACTTTACATAATTAAAATTATTGAGCCATCTGCACTTGTCTGGCATTTGTAAAGTTCTGCTATTTGAAGACAAATATTGGTAGCAAGAAAATCTTATAGCTTTAAATAATTTTTGAAGTCTTCAGAAATATAATGTTGTCTAAAAATATGAATACCTGGAGGTCCAAGTAATTTTACTTTTGTGATACAGTTGGCCCATTGTGCTATTGATTAGCCTCTTTATCCTGGCATCCGTAGTGAGATGTTTATGGTTATTTAATGGTTATAACATTTTTATTGTTATTTTTAAGATGGAGAAACCGAAGAGGAGAAGAGAAGAGTTGACCTAATGGAAAATCAGGTATACTTCTACTTTGCTAAGTTGTTTAGGAGCTATGTAGCCATTGGTAGGACTTTACATGCTTTGTGTCCTTATATTGATTGCCTGCTTGATTTAATGATAATAGTTAAGTTTTTTGCAGCTATGTTTTCTCTTTTTCTTGTAGGCCATGGATTTCCGCAATGGATTTGTGAGACTATGTTACAACCCTAGATTTGTATGTATCTTTGCTTATTTCTTTGTCAATGTTCTAACAAGCTTTGGTAAAAAATGAGGCAATGCACTTATGGAATATTTTGAGACTTTTTGTCAAGGCTGTGCAAGATAAAATGACCAGCAACGGAATAATTCAATTTTTTTTATTGGGTAGATTGATTGGTAACTGTTGATTGGTCTGCTGTATAGCGGTAAAAGGCTGTTTGACAGAGCTATGCATGTTTTGTATGTGAGAGACCTGAACCATCATGCTCTTTATACCAAAGCACAATGATCAAACTGAAACAAGTTGACAGGCCTCTCCGGGAAAAAAACAATGCTGGCTATAAAAAGCCCTTGCCAGTTTGGCTGCATGTGCTATTTAGCCCTTGCAGAAATGTTGTTAATTTTTACATATTGAAGCATTTTCAAAGACAAAAATACATTACCTTGCAAATTCTCTAAACACTATTCACCTTAAGAAAACATTTTTGTGTGTGTTATTATCTTTAAATTTTGTATTACCACTCCTTAAAATGAGATAAAAGAGGAATATAAGAGAGGAACATGACATAGACGTGCAAGACCTATTTCTCTTTATTTACTAGCCCCCTGATATTTAGTGTTAAGTAGTACAAACATTGGGAAGCTAAACTGTGTAGATTAAATGGGAACGTTGGTTTGAAAAACTGAGCGGGCAGAAAAAGTCCTCGCAAATTCATTTTGCGTGAGGTTTGCGCGGGCTATAGCCTGCGTCTCCGGGAAAGGCCTGCAAGTCGGGCAGCTGAATTCATAGCTGTGACTTTGCTGCCAATCAGATCTTTCATCATTTTGATAAAGTGTTTAGGCCTTTTCGTTTTACACAAGCCATAGCCTTGGATTGGGTCAGCACCAGGACAAACTTAATCATGTGAGTTTTGAACACCCGGGTAATAAAGTAAGTGTCTGGAACATTGCTCTGTTATTTTTGATAAAATCACAGGAGTCATAATTAAATTGTGTGAATGTATCATGGACAAACGCATAGCTAAGAGCCATTATATTTGTGAAGAATCTTGCTTTTTTGCTGTCGTACAGGATGACTTGGTTGATGATTACAAAAGAAATATAGCAGCAATGCTGAAGCAGTTTAGCGCCTTTCTTGGAGAAAGGAAGTTTTTTGCTGGTGACAAGGTGAGCTTCTGCTGGCTGCATTTATACATTGCATGAAATTAATGTAAATTACTTTATTTTAATGTTTCCTAATCTCAGCAACACATGGGTTCTCGTTTGGTTTTTATTGGAACTTTCGAATCCTAGAACGGTTCCTTGTTCTTTTAGCTCACTATGGTGGATTTTGTGATGTATGAGCTTCTTGATCAACACAAAGCTCTTGATGCATCATTACTTGGGCCATTTGACAATCTTTTGGTGAGTCCTTCTATTGTTTTTCTAATTTGTCCCAAATTTTGGTGCGTGTTTTGGCAATTAGCAGCCGAAGTCAACCGCAGTTTATAATATCCGAGATATTTGTTTGTCAGTTAAGCTACCGTCTCAATATGTTAATTATAAAATTATAAGAAACCTTTCTGCTTATTGTCAACCAAGATGACAGTTATATATGATATAAATTTTGTATTTTTTAGGCATTTCTCAAGAGATTTGAGGTAATTACAAATTTTCTGTGCCATCTGTACCTGTGATGCTGGTTCCAATTCTATATGAAACATGCTCTTCTTAAAGTTTAAGCCAGGGAGAATTTAAGCCAGGGAAAGTTTAAGCCAGGGAAATAGGGTTTAATGCACCCAATGTCTTATGTGCAGGTTATAATCACTTTTCTTCAATTTCATGTAGGTGCTAAGTTTTGTGTTCTTCCCTAAAAAATTGTTCATCTGATCAAATTTCTGAAACCTTCATTGACCTAAAGCCTGTGTTGCTAGAGGAATTCTACAGGCATTCTACAGGATAGGGCATTCTCAATTATTGAAAATGCCAAACGAAAGGACCCCTGGACCACTGATTAGCTAAGCGTTGATCAGATCATCTCTTTTGATCGACCTATCGTGACACACAAAATAGTTAATAAGCAGCGCCCTGAGAGCCTCTGAATCAAGTAAAATCAGAGGATTAAAATTTCTAGTTATAACACAAGAAACAATAGAAATCTCGACATCTCAAAATTTAAGCTTGAGAGTACAAAAAAGGTTCTGGGCTTAAAGCTTGGAACGAAATACCCATAGAATTAAGGGAGATCCCCTCGCTCTGTCAGCTCAAACGAGAATTAAAAAAACATTTGAAGAACTCGGGAAACCCGAAATAAAACACGACTCCCAGGAAGATCAGATAGTTTTCGTATTATTAAATAATAGAATTCAATCATTTCTTAATTGTTGTCTTCCATTATTAGATTTTTAATTTATCATAACTTGTACTTAGATTTCTGATGGGATATCATGTTGAAGTAAGAATTTAATAAATTATGAAAAATGTATGAAGGAAGAGGGGACCAGCATCCTGCATTCGCATGTTTGGTATAATTCAAACGATACCTGAATTTGCTTACGTAAGGCAATACATATTACACGCTGTTAGCTAGGAATTAATTGATTTCAACAGCTTATTTAGTAAGAAAAATTTTTTTTTCAAAAGTGAATAGTACATTTCTCTGGGTACCAGCGCCACATAAAGTCGAGTTCGGAAATGATAGAGGACCAAAACATGGATCGCCACGTTTCCTTCCTCTTAGCTAGGCCCTCTTCTGCTTCGCTGCTTCTCTCTTTCTTCACGCACTCGAATTTATGTGTCAATTTTGTATCCAGAGTTCTATAACATTTCAGTACGTTCTTTGCTCTTGATTTTACAATTTTTTGCAAATACAGGAAATTCCTGAGATTGCAGAGTTCCAAAAATCGGACAAATGTTTCAAAGGCCCCATCAATAACAAGCAAGCAAAGTTCAGATAGATAATGACTCTTTGCCAATCTGCTTTTTAAAATCAGAGAACAACCACGATTATCAAAATTAGAAATTTATCCATCTAGAAAGTAACGATTTTAGCAGGTGTACTCCTTTAGAAGGTGTACTCGATTTTAGCAGGTGTATAATGATTTTTTATGAATGATTTGACAAAGCAAAAGTTAAATAGAGGTAATCGATTACCGTGCTGAAGTGATTTCTCCAAAGTTTTTTTCTCTGTCAATCCTTTCTGCTGCCTGGAATTTGAAGCAAATGCTAAAGAAGTTAAAGATCAATAACGCTTGAAGGGCACCTGCAGAAACGCCGGAGCGGGGGGGGGGCATGAGGGGGTCAGCGCTACTACATATTTTCAACCTGCTACTCTTGAATTGCAGACACAGCTCTAAACATAACACGATAAGCCATTTCGCAAATGAGCATTGTCAATATTGAAAATAGTACAATTAAACCAAGCGAAAGAGCACTAAATCTTGGTGTAGTCTTTGATGCTAATTTGTCACTTAAGTCGCATGTTATGTCACTCAGCTAGGTATTACTTGCATATTATCCACCTACCTCGGAAGTATCTCACTAAAGAAGCTGATGAAAAAGCCATCATGCTTTTTTCACATCTCGACTAGATTGCAACAGTTCTCTTTTATATGGTTTGCCAATGTGCGAGTTTAGAAGGTTGCAAAAAATTCAGAATACTGCCAGCAGAATTTTGACCGGTGCGAAGAGAGACAGTCACATAGCCCCAGTGTTAAAACAGCTTCATTGGTTGCCAATATCATGCAGGATAAAATATAAGATCTTAACGTTGACTTACAAATGCATCAATAACCTTGCACCAGTATATCTTACTGAGTTAGTCACATTACGAACAACAGTGCGACGGACAAGATCTGAAGATGATGACTGGACTCTCGAAACACCAAGGACAAAGCTAGTGACTGCTGGAGGTCGTGCATTTTTAGGTGCCTCTCCTCTTCTTTGGAACAGACTGCCATACACGTTGCGAGCAGTGGATTCTTTTGACACTGAAAATGCAACTTTTTCAAGAATATTTTAATTCGATTTTATTTATTTTACGAACATTTTACGAGCCTTTTTCAAGTATTCTTTGTAATACTGTCTATTTTATCACACTATTAGTTTTATGAACATTATGTAAAGGTCAATCTCCATTGGGCGAAATTTTTTCGCTTCTTCGCCGGCGTGAGGCTATAAGCATGCGTATTTGAATTGTTTCGTTTCCTGTGCTGTGTGCGACGTTCGCCTTGAAAGTTCAAACTATTTGAACTTTTTTCTCTGTCGCCGGCGAATTTGACGTCCTATGTACATGTCTGAGTCCAAAAGCAGCTTCGTGTTTGATGAGGAAATAATAGAATTTCTTGTTACAAGTACGTTACGTGTTTCTTTTATAATCCTATCAACAGTTCTGGGGCCAGTCATATAGCTCATGCCAATTGATACATGCGATTCGCCAGAAAAGGTGTCAAAGAGTCACACATAGTCTTTCTTAGCACCTACTGGTTTGCGAAACTTCGATTCGTTCACTAGATATGGGGCCACCAAAGTCAACAATTACTCAAACTTTGCAAACGAAAATAGGTAAAAAATAGTTAGTGGTCATATAATTGTAGGGCTATAACCAGATTTTTGCAAGCACCTAGCTCTTGGTAACACTTATGTACCCAAAACCTTTATTTGCTTTTGGTTTCTTTGTTTCGTACGCTTCAACTAATGAAGCAAAATCAGAAGATTTGTATTCTCATCCGACATCTTGAAATGTTTGGCACGAAAGTATTTGCTTTCTTTTTGGCATGCAAAGCTATCGTGAGCTGGAGATGTGCGCCATGTAGTTTTCGCCTTTTGCCAGCGCAAAAGCGAAAACATTTCGCCCAATGGAGATTAGCCGTGATGCGCCTTTGAGCCGCGTGGATAAATGGCGCAATATAAATGCCTTTATTATTATCATTATTATTAGCATTTGACACGTTAAGTCTTGAATCAGAAACCTTCTGTATTCCCTAGCTATTGGTTTCTACCTCTGTTGTAATCGCGATGAAGTGAGGGATATTGGTCACTCACACCTTCAAAAAAACCACTCAGTGTTTCCATTACATACAAAGGTGATATTATTTTTAGGAGAATAAGAGAAGGAGAGCATGGTCTTTAATTTAGAAACAAGCACTTCTACTTCGGAAGTGGTGCCTAGTAATTGAATGAAAATTAGAGTGTAATTGGAATAGGTTTAAAAATTGTGTTTATTCTTGCAAGTTTTCATACTTCAGTTTCTTTATACCCAACCAATATAGTAATTAAGGATGGACCGTCTGTCTTCAGGCCAAATCAAGGAATGAACCAACCAATTCATATGCAACAATTGCAGAGTTCGCAATGATTTAACTATTAAAGCTGCAGAGTTGCCTTCACATAAAAAACATATTTCCTCAAACACGGCTGTTTATACTGTTTGCAACTTAATGGCTTTGAAATACGGAAGTTTTATCTCAATTTGAACCACATGGTGGTGTGAACATTTTATACGCGTACCAGTCTTCTAGATGTCCTGCTTTTGTAAGCAGAGCTCATTTATTCAGATGACGATGATGATTTCCTGCGAACAGAATCCTTGTCTTTGTGTCGGCTGTTGTTCTTCAGGATGAACTCTGCTATGGCTGCAGAAAAAAGAATATTTTTCATTTGTAGTCTTATTTTAATATTCTGTTATTGTTTTTTAAAATCTCCCAATTTCAAGGTTCATTGCGAAGACTGTTCTAGTCATTTGGCAGATATCACTTAATACACAAAAGCACTTAGTAAAGCATTTGCAGAAATCCCCTCACTTTAAATTTGGTGCTTTGTAGCGTTTTGTAACTTGACCGATTTGGTGACGCAAGTTGACAAATGACAGAAGCATGGTGGGGGACTGATGCAGGCTTTGAATAGGCTATTGGCTGGTCTTGAAGCGGTCCCAGGGTATTTTTTTATGAAAAAAGTATTGTCCTTACCACTGAGGAATTAAGCAATATTAGCGGTGTTCCCAAGTTTATAAATAGCTAGGATCTTATTAAGATTTTTACGTTGATACCTGGTTTAGACAGAAGAGCTCTGATATTCGCTTGGTTTTGCACGATCTGCTCAATCCTTGTGTTGAAGGTTTCTTCGATATGTTCTTGCATTGTGTCTATGTCTTCTATGGCCTTCATCACTATCTCTGCAGAATTGAGTAGCTCCTTGCTGTGATCTTCGTTTATTTTGTTGCCTAATGTAGTAAAGGCTTTCTCAAGCTTTTCCGATCGCTCAGATACACTGTTGGCAGCTTCCTCAAGTTCATGGCTCTGACTTTTCATGCGTGTTAACTGTATATCGTACGTTTCCTAATCGATAGACACGTTTTTTTTACTTGCTAGAAATTCATCAATGGTTTTTATTATTTATTATGTTCGTCGCTGACATGCTACGCCCTTCACGAATTCAACTTGAGTACGATGTTTTCTAACTTAATGGTGATATTTCGCCTGCCTGATTTCAAACGACTGCATTGAGAAGACAGTACATGTGCCGCGCGAGAAGTCAATACAGCGTTAGCAAACGCTGTTTCAACAGTTAAGAAAGAAAAGCGAATCTCTTGCTAAGCCTCCCTGTTTATCAAAAATTAATAAAGTTCGGTATTATCTGGACCTTTTTATGCTCTTTTCAGGTAAAAGAAGCTTCCTTAGAGAATTATAACTCTTTCCTAGCCCTTGATATTTGCCGCCTTTAAAGAACTGTAAGAAACACTTGAGTAGCTAACTGGGTCACATGTATCCTTAAATATTAATCACATGGCTGCTGCTATCCAATTAAGATTTATGGATTCTTGTTATCGCCTTTATAAAAGTAAAATGCACCATGTAGAAATGCTAGAATTCCCTGTGTGTTTCTGCATGACAACCTGTGTAATTTCGATGTTGTTGCCCGGTATGAGGGATGGGCGGAAGCACGGCACTAGACAAGCTACAGAAAGTACAAAATCGCTCAGCGCTTAGCCAGAATTGTAGCCAATAGTACGAACAATGCTTCTGCCCTTCCAGTTATAAAGAAACTGGCAGACAGTTAATAACTTGATTGTAAAAGAAACTTTGAAAATAGTTTACAAGTGAACAAATAATGAGGCTCCCTCGTATCTTGCGTGCCTGTTCGACAGGTTATTAGAAACCAGTACCCGAGACCTCACCGAAACTGATATTCGTGTCCCGTTTCCACGAATAACATCTGGCCAAAAATGCTTTTCTTCAAGAGGGGTGAAACTATGGAATGGCCTGGACGCAAAAACAAAATGAACTTAAAATTTCAAACAATTTAGATCCTGTCTTGAAAACTCCAGCACATAAAGTAACCTTTTTTATTCCTGGCGTTTGTTCCAGTGTTTCTAACGGCTTTTATTTTATTATTTTTTTTGTATATTTGTATTATTAAATTGTAGGGTTTATCTTTTTCTTGTTCAGGGCAGCTTGGAAAGCAATTTATGTAGATATAGTTGATGTAATTATTTACACAGCTTTACCCTGTGTAAATAATTAAGAATGAAATGAAATGGAAAATGTGTCTTGAGTGCTCATCAAATTTTTTTGGTTCCTCATTTCCACATTCCCTGAAACTGGTATTTTATTTCCTGAATTCATTTTATTTGATTTATTCTACACACAGCAAGGCCCTGCTTGTCCGCCATTATATTTCAGCACGCAGAACGCAAACGCGCCTCGGCCCATGTCGGGTTTATCAACAAAATGGAATCCTATCTTAACGATCTTTTTGCAATTTGAGCTTCGTTTTGTGTGCAAACTTTAATGCTGCAAATGCCTGTTGTATTATACCATAATATAAAGTACCCTGATAATAATATCATAATTTGATTCTCCTTAACTCACCAAAGGGTTGCATTCCTGCTTCATTCTTTTCCTGCTCTTTTTCGAATTTTTCCAACTGAGATTTTTTTCCACTTGCAAAATATAGTCAGCACTTTGCAGCAGTGCAGTAGCTCTTGCCGTGTTGTACGTTCGTCCAAATAGATGACTTAGCAATGATATAAATAAGTTTGCTGCAATTATTTTCATTAATGCATAAAATATGGAGACCATTAGATTTGCCAGTTTTATGTCAACAGCTTCAAGGGGCTTCGTTGTGAATGGACCGCCAACAGTTACCCATTCCAATACAAATGTCTGCAAAGAGATATCTTCTCTAAGCTTCCAGTATTACTTCTAATATTTATTGCCACAATACAATTAACATCAAATTTCAATTTTCTAAAAGGCACTGCAATTAACTTAAGTTATAGTCTTTTTTTAACTTGTTATTAGCATTTGCCATAACCTAGATGGTACTAAACAATCAAAATGACACTTAAAAGTCGAGATCATACCATATACCAAACAGCTAAGATGATCTTAAACAAAGACTCCCGGTGATACCAAACAATTCAAATGAAATCAAATGACCAATGTGATATCAGAACCTTAAGATGATAATAAACATCCTATACGATAAACGTCAATCCAGACGATATCAAAACAGTCCGCATGGTACCAAACATCCAAAATGATATCAAACAATCCAGATGATACTACACTGCCCAGAAGATACAAATTAATCCAAAAGATATTAAAAATCCGATATTAAACAAATAAGTTCAGATGATATCAAAACAGTCCGCATGATACCAAACAGCGAAGATGATATCAAACAGTCCAGATAATATTACACTGCCCAGAAGATACAAATTAATCCAAAAAATAATAAACATCCGATATTTTACAGGTCAGTCCAGATGATATCAAAACAGTCCGCATGATACCAAACAGCCAAGATGGTATCAAACTGTCCAGATAATACTACACTGCCTGGAGGATACAAATCAATCCAAAAGTTATTAAGCATCCGATATTATACAGGTCAGTCCAGATGATATCAAAACAGTCCGCATGATACCAAACAGACAAGATGGTATCAAACTGTCCAGATAATACTACACTGCCTAGAGGATACAAATCAATCCAAAAGTTATTAAGCATCCGATATTATACAGGTCAATCCAGATGATATCAAAACAGTCCGCATGATACCAAACAGCCAAGATGGTATCAAACTGTCCAGATAATACTACACTGCCCAGAAGATACAAATCAATCCAAAATATATTAAGCATCCGATATTATACAGGTCAATCCAGATGATATCAAAACAGTCCGCATGATACCAAACAGCCAAGATGATAAAAAACTGTCCAGATAATACTACACTGCCTAGAGGATACAAATCAATCCAAAAGTTATTAAGCATCCGATATTATACAGGTAAGTCCAGATGATATCAAAACAGTCCGCATGATACCAAACAGCCAAGATGATATCAAACAATCCAGATAATACTACACTGCCTAGAGGATACAAATCAATCCAAAAGTTATTAAGCATCCGATATTATACAGGTAAGTCCAGATGATATCAAAACAGTCCGCATGATACCAAACAGCCAAGATGATATCAAACTGTCCAGATAATACTACACTGCCTAGAGGATACAAATCAATCCAAAAGTTATTAAGCATCCGATATTATACAGGTCAATCCAGATGATATCAAAACAGTCCGCATGATACCAAACAGCCAAGATGATATCAAACAATCCAGATAATACTACACTGCCTAGAGGATACAAATCAATCCAAAAGTTATTAAGCATCCGATATTATACAGGTAAGTCCAGATGATATCAAAACAGTCCGCATGATACCAAACAGCCAAGATGGTATCAAACTGTCCAGATAATACTACACTGCCTAGAGGATAATCCAAAAGATTTTAAGTCTGCGTGATGTCAAACAATACAGATGATATTGAACAAGAGTTCCTTGTCTCTCCTGGTGTCTTCAACTAAGTGAAGAGGCTAGCGGTCGCTGATTTGTAGAAAACAGAAGAACCAATCAAACGCGTCTTTCTTCCTCTCATGTTGTTTTTGATCCACTCCTTGATATGAATGTTCCGCTCACTCTTAGTGACTGTCCGATGTTTATACTGTGAAGAGTGTCGGACAAAAAATACTTCTGTATGCTAGGAGTTTCCATTAGGAGTTTACTTTTATGAATGGCCATGAGAGCGATCAACCAGAACAAATAGTATGAAATAGATGTAATAATATTTGCCACATCGACGTTGTTTGTAAGGTATAAAAATTTGTTTGACTCACCATTCGGTCAAGGGAGCTGAAACTTAGAACGTCATCGCTGTTTCCAATTTTTGCCACCATTTTTTGAACATGGACACTGCCTCCAAACATTATGTGAAACGCTGTAACCAGGGGCACAAAGAATTCCATAAATATGTAGATGTAACGAATGCTTCCCTTTGCAATTTCGCCTGAAAATGTATGCATTGTTTACTTATCATTGATTTCCTATAGACGTTCAAAAATCTTGCTAGAGTCAACATTTACATATGATTTCAATTGCTTTATGCGTCGCCCTCTGATTTTACTAGCCGCACTTTGTTAGCGTCTACTGCCTGCCTTTTAACTTTCTCGAAAACCTTTTTGCTGTTTCTATTAGCTAAAAAGTATTACACGTCCATTAAGGTAACCAAGAGCACCGATCTTTGCTCTACTGAAACAGTAAATTGTTCTTGGAACAAAACAAAAGGTGTGTTTTTCAATTAAAGCCCTGTCCACACGGTGCCAGAAATTTTTAAAAGACAATTATTTTTATCCGTTTTGAAGTTAATCTGCATCCATTTTACTTCTTCACAATGATAATAATTTTAAACATCAGGAAAAAAACAATAAATAGCAAAGCAAAGAAACCTTCAGTGTATTGAGTGAGTCGTTTGCTTGCACATACGACGAAGTTGAGCTATTACTGAAAGTTGCTTTTTATTATAAAGTTCATTTGATATGATTACATGTTTCGAAGATTATAGAAAGAAATTTTTTATCTGCAAGCAAGCTTTCAGGGTTGACAAAAAAGATACCAGTAGAACGATTACTTCATTCGGCATCTTGGCTGGAAATGGTTTGTGTGAACGACAGCGTTTTCGAAAAATTCCGTTTTCGCTGTCCACACCTGATCACGAAAAATTTTTTTTGAAAAATTTTCACTCTGGAGAGCGTTTTCAAATACGTGCGGACGGAAGGTGAAAACGGATAAGAATAATTGCGTTTTCAAAAATATCCGTCACCGTGTTGACGGGGTCTAAAAGTTCCTTACCTAACATGACGATAAGCCCGGATAAGGCTTGAATCGTTTTGCATGGTCGCAAAAGTCGGAGCCAAATAAGAAACATGTTGATTGAGTAAGAGAAGACCAGTGCATTATCTGAATATTTGTTTGGCATCTTGATGCATGTGAATTGGGAAACAACAATAGCAGTCATGGCAAGAAAACTAATCAATTCGTAGTAAGTCCAGGCCTCTGTGTAGGAACATGACATGTCCTCAATTCGGTGAATCTCCTTCTTAAGGTAGCGCCTTTCTTCGGGCCACTGGGGATGGCAATATTTGAGGTCTCGGGAGATGCACTTTATCCGCCATTTTTGCCATCTTTTGTGTCTTTGCTTTGCCCGTCTCCCTCCCAGTATTTGCTGGAAAGGAATATCAAGAAAAATAAGCAAGGCTTTAGTTTTACGAAATAATTCGGCTAATTAGGAGCAAGCTTGAACATGATTTGTTTTGGAAGGTACGTTACCCGAATTATGAAGAAAAGGGTCATAATGACAAATAATGCCTCAAAGCCGATGCGCCAGCCTTTCTGTGACAAAGGCGTGTATATTCTTTTTCTGTCCAGCGTTGTTGCCAATACCGTTCCAATGCATGCATAAAAGAAATTCACTGCAATATCGAGTAATGCCGTGCGTTTGGCAATCATGTGCCATTTTGTCTCAATCAATTTGTTGATAACACCATGCTGAGCCAAATCTTTGTCTTTACTATAAGCCAGCGTCTATAAGCAAAACAAACTAGGGATATTATCTGCAAGATTTGTTAAGGGTTTGGTTAATCATATTTCAGTTTAGCAAATCATATTTCATTTAGCAATACCTTGTAAATTATAAACCTTGCACAAGAAAATGGAAGGATTTTATGACTTCTTTACGCCGTCACTCACCAAATAATGACGAAAAAGTAATCCGTATGTTTATTTTTGTTCAAAGATAGCTCGAGGGGAAGAGGGCGCGTTAGTTGGTTCCTTGCTCTAACCAATCAGTAACTGCTTACATCTTGCCTTTTTGTCAGCCCAAATCCAGGTTTTCTTTTGACATTAAAAGATAAAGTGTCTAACGGACAACGGACAATGGACCTCAATTTTTTCGTCATTTCAAATTTTGGTTCACCCTGGATTGCTATGTAAACGTTGGGCTACAGCCAAATCATATTCTGTTTGGTTATTTTTTTTTTAATTCAAAGTAGAGGTTCTCCTCCAGGTATTGTTTTTGCTGAACGCTCAAGGACACAATTGCAATTCTTTTGCCACGGACACCTCTAGACTTATGATGTTGCAATTAGTAGGAACGCAGTTTTTTAATTGAAAGGAATACAGCCTCCTTTATTTTGCCCAGGTATCCTTAATTTTAAAAGACCCATTGTTTTTAAGAAACCTCTAGGATTGGCGACTATTCGTGGAAATCAAATGTAATGGCTATAGCAAACTGCTTTCTACTGTTTTGTTTTTAATGTATCGTTTGTGTTCGCTGTAGTTTATATAACAAAAGCTTTTTTTAAATTTGCGTATATGAGAAATGAACGATCGCCTTGGGTCCAAACTAGAAACTTCACTCTGTTAGAACTCTCTGGTCCACTTCTAGGTTTAATTTCCCTGCACTTTTTTTGTCATTTTCCAAAGTTTATACACTAAAGAAGTGGATAGATGGGAATTGCATTGTGTATTGCAAATTTCCATCCGTTCCACGGCTCACGTTTGCAATGTCAAAGCTTTTTAGTTTAATCATTAAATTGTATATTAGTGGATAAAGCAGGACAACTTTATTTGTTACCTCAAGAGCTGATCTGGCAGGAGTCTGCCCGAATTTGCAGGATACAGCATATTCGAGGCTGCACAGATAGAAGTAAATCTTTCTATTCGGTTTGTCTTCCACAATGAATTGGTCTAAAGCTTGTACGGCCAAATCCGGCATTTTTTCTATCATGAGCGAAACAGCAGAATTGCCTTGGTCGTCGTAGACAGCTGCAGCTACACCAAGATTCAGTAAAAACTTTGTCGCATCTCGCTGCCCTGGGAATTGTTTGAAATAGTATGTAGTTTTAATAAAACATATTTAGTTCGAAATTATTGACGTAAGCGAGGTAAGTTTAGCCATTTTTGCGATATCAAAGGAGTTTAAATCGCCTGAATTTATCGATAACTTTACTTTTCTAAAAACTGAAGCTTTTCTATATAAATCATTTTGTTAAACCCATACCAAGAGCAATAGCTGCATTTCACATCTTCACAAGCCAATAAATCACACCAAACTGTTCTAAAATTTAAATACACTTTTTTTACTTTGATTTGTTTACTTAGTAGCTTTGAGAAAGCTCGGCCGGCATACCGGAGCAAAATATCAATAGCTTTTAGTATCTTTTTGGTCGGTGGCTTTTTCTTTAGGCATCAATTATTTTGTACAATCTACCTTGCTCTGCCGCCAAAAACAAAGGCGTTCTGTCGTTGTAATCCCGGTCACTGACTTTTGCACCAAACTTTAGCAAACACTTGAGACTAGCGACTGCGTTGAACTTTGCAGCGTAGTGGATCGGAGTCTGCAGTTCTCCCTCGGTCTGGCCGTGCAAGTCCGCTACAAAGTAATTTCGAACTTAATTCTTCTGTTATCTGTTTTCTTAAATCAAATTTACTCTCTTAAATTTTCATCCAACATTTTCTTTTCCTTTTCATCCAACATTCCGTTTGCGGTCGATTGCGTTTCAGCTTTAGGAACTTAGTCGTCACCGCATAGCAGGTTTGCAGGGCGAATATGGTCTCCGAGGTGCTTATGTTTAACGTTTGAAAGTAAAGTTGCTTGTTACAAGGTCATTGCTGCAGATAAAGTTTTCCTACCAGTTTTACCCCGGTCAAGCGAATTCTTATTTTGTGCCTCGCTCTTATCGTATCATTACTCTAGAAACAATCAGCCGTTATTTCTTGTGTCAGTCGCCGTTGTTTCTTGTGTCAGTCGCCGTTGTTTCTTGTGTCAGTCGCCGTTGTTTCTTGTCTCAGTCGCTGTTGTTTTCTTGTTTCAGTCGCCGTTGTTTCTTGTCTCAGTCGCCGTTGTTTCTTGTTTCAGTCGCGTTATTTCTTGCCCCAGTCGCCGTTGTTTCTTGTTTCAGTCCCCGTTATTTCTTGTGTCAGTCGCTGTTTTTTTCGTGTCAGTCGCTGTTTCATGTGTCAGTCGCAGTTTTTCTTTACGAAACCACACGAGAAAGGTCTAGGTGCACTCACCTCCGTTGTTTAAAAGAAACTCAATCATCTCAGGATAGTTGACCGCTGCAGCAACATGAAGAGGTGTTCGTCCAAACCTGTCTCGAGCGTTAACGTCGCTGCCATTGTCAATCACGTACCTTGCGACATCGATGTGCCAGTCGCGGGCAACTGCATGCAATATCGTTTGGCCATACTTATCACCTATGTTTATATTTGCACCTGCTCTAAGGAGAGACTTCAAGAAAACTAAGTCTACTCTTTCATTTTGGGCGGATGTTTGACCAATTCGTGCGAAGTAAGTTAGCATACCGCGATTGGTAGGATTCTCTTCGTCAAAATCTGCAATAAATGGATAGTTGCGAAGTGGTGAACAAAACAAATAACGATCTCGACTTTTTACTGGACCACTAGAGCGGTTTATCACCTTGTTGAGGGCCGTCGAGCGAAGACGAGAACAGTTGAACAAAGTTTGAGCGCGTTACTTTAAAAAGGCAAAGCGGAGTCACATAACCTTCCTATTGTTTAAGGTGTTGTTGAGCGTAGTCGAGTGTCTTTGGACACCTTACTCGACATTCCCTCGTTCGACTACGCTCAACACTTCTCGATAACGCACAACAAAAATCGAAAGTAGTCGAGTAAAATGTCAAGAGCGTTTGAACATGGCAGCGCCCAGTTTGGAGCCCCCTACCCTGGGTACCAGACCCACTCTGTATAAGATAAGATTAGAGTCTCTAATACTTTAGGGAACATGTTTGGTGAGACGTTTCAAACTCTGAAAAATGTCAGACGAAAAGCTTTTAGTTTACTCAAATGTTTGTTTTTTCAAAGCCATATGTTTTTCAAATAGGAAGTGTGCTTTCTACACAAAGTTGTTTGACCAACCCCCCCCCCCCCTACCTCCTTTGAAATATTTTGATGTGTAGTTAAATCCCAAAGAAGTTTGGCCGTACAATCGTTGCATTTTTGGCCGTAATTCAAAACGAGATTGCCCGCATTTGGCCGTAAGTTTCAACAAGCTTGTCCGTAGAGCCTCGTTTCAATCTTGCAACCCTTGTCTCGACGTTTTTAAAGGCATTTTTCAGGCTATCCTTACCTGGCAGGAAAACTGTCCTCGAATCAAGATATCTGTAAGTAAATCTCTAATCGTCAATATATTTATCTAAGTGTTTTTCATATTGGTTTTTCAACCTGTATAAAACGTGATAGGGTTAGGGCCTAAAGAGAGAGAATGCTAGAGACGGCTAAATGCTAGAGAGAGAATTACAGGACCTAAATTATAGAGACAGAAGTTTTTCTCACCAGAATTTCCAGTCATCTCAATTGGGTTCAAAGTGGCGTGTGTGAGTTTTGAAGGGCCTCGTTCTGAAACCGGTATGTCTTCGATGGGCATTGGGCCTTGTCTAATGCAACCGTCCTCCCGCTCTCTTTGTTTTGTCTGTAGTTTCATTAATTGCAACATTTCTCCTATGGTGCCTTGTACTTTCGGCGATCTTTCTTTGGGTCTTTTCTTCTTTTTCTTCAAGATGCTTTTCAATGCAATATTGTTTTCAATGACGATCGCATCTCCATCATCATTCTCTTGTGTCTCTCGCGACATCCAGTTTCGTAGAGTTGAGATCGCTGATGTTGCATGTTGGAAAATAACTCTCGAGATTCCTCCAAACAAGGATCTTTTCTCGTTTTCCATTATCTTTGTAACTCAGTCTTGATTTTTTATCGTTGAGTACCAGTGTGGGACATCATCTGCCACCATCTGCTTCCTTTTCTACTAAATGGTTGCGCTCTTCGTCTTAAGGTCCTTAAATATTTTCCGTACAGTGAAGTGAAACAAAACAATCAGAAGTTTGAATGTTGCGCATGACTTAGCCCATTTAGAGAGTCATGGAATGAGGGTCATGGAATGAGAAACCTCAAAGTTATTGTACAATACAGTTTCGAAAGCATAGGTGACTCTGTTCATTGGAGTTGAGCGCCTTTTGTTATACACTGATGAAATTCGTAAGTGAACTTGCCGCTTCGACGATTTGCAAAGACTAGCATCAGAAGTGGCATCTCCATAAATAGAGTGCAGAAGTTAAACAAAGCGAAACAGATAAACAAAAAATTTCACAGAAACAGACGACCATATATTTGAAGGAATTTATACGATTTGCTGTTTGTAAACGACAAAAGTGCTAGTACAAGACTCGCCTAGCTTAAATTTCGCAATTTGGAGCCTAAGATGATAAATGAGAAAACTCTTGGTTCTGAGTAAAGCCAACGTGATATTGGTTGAGAATGAGCGAAAGTCCACAAAGATATTCAGCTCTTAAGAGCAAAGGGATTCAGAAAAATGGAACAGAAGATGATGAAAAATCAATCAGAATTGACACAGCGTCTTCTACTGGAATGAAGGGAACTGCCGAAAGCTGTGGAAGTGAAGAGAATGTGCAAATGTCAATACCAACTGTCTCATTTAGGCCAAAAGAGTCATTAAGTTTGGCGGAAGAAAAAGAAGGCAACGGCAGCGCAAGTGAAAGTTTTTTGTCGGGTCTCCAGAAGAAAGCAAAATATTTTGGACTTCGTTCCTCCGCTAGTGATTTAACAAACAGTGAACATGACAAAGAGCATGAAAAGAAAGTAACAAAAGAATCTGCTGATAAATGGAAAGACGCTGCGGATATATCTGTCGAAAACAAGTACACAACGACGAGAAGGAAAATCATAAGCGATTCGAGTAAATACCGGCGTGGTCCGGTACCCGTTGAGAGCCTACCGAGTTCGGCTCACGGGCTGCAAGCGCCAACGCACGGAACTATTGACAGTGATGATGAATACGAAAACAACTGCAGGCCAAGTAGCAAAGGTTTATTGGTCTACTTTGCAAGGCTTGGAGAGATTTGGGACGAAAACGAAAAGGTCGATATCAATTTCATTGGGTCACTTTTTAAGGCTGGAGCAAATGTGAATCACGAAGACAGGTCTGTAAGCTTTATGATCATTGTTCCACACATTTCAATTGATATATTTCTATTGATTCTATTGATAACCTTTGATAAAGAAAGGTATACCCCTTTTCAGATATGGGCAAACTGCACTGCATGCGGCTGCACGAGACTGGAACATCGACGTTGCAAAATATTTGCTGGATAACGGAGCCTTGTTAGACAAAGGAGACAAACATGGACGAACACCCCTGCATCTTGCTGCCGCTGTTGATCATCACGAAATGATCCGGTTTCTAGTCCTTAATGGAGGTAGTTTTGTGGTTTTCTATTCTCCATTTTTTTGCATTTTTATTTTCTTTTTTTTTTGCATCTTCCTCTTGATATACCATCAAAAATCCTTGCCTTGATAAATAGAAGACCAACGGAATTTTTTAGGTGCGAATCTTTTGAAAATGATGATATGGTTTCAGCAAAGATTTATTTTCATAATTAATGTTATGAATTTTAATAGGCCTACTTTGTTTTGAGATAAATGAATTGCATTGGTTTTTCACAGCAAACATCGACGAAAAATCTGTTGAAGGCCAAACCCCATTGCACTTTGCTTGCAAAAATGATGCTGTGAACAGTATCAAAACCTTACTCTCTCTTGGCGCTCAGATAAACCTGAGAGATAACAAGTTGAGGACTCCACTTTTTGTTGCAGCCGAGTCAGGTATGCTCCCAGATTTTGGCTGCAAATGTTGATTTTAAATATACATTTGGGTATGAATCTACATACAAGGAATTCGGTAGTTTTAAGTGGTTTTGGTGGCATGCTTGCCTTATCAAAAGTAATGCGATTGGGCAACATATCGCTTATTTTATCGGCAACATATGTCAGAGATGGGAAACAGAGATTGGTACTGGGAATGTTTGTTGAATCAAAAACATCAATTATAAAGAGACCCAAACGCGTTCCTTTCAGTAATTTTCATTTCATTTCATTTTAAATATTTTATCCACGGACTGGCTTTCAAGGGGCCGTGCCAAAACCTTAAAAAAATCTACTTTAACTAATAATAAGAAATGGAAACTGATTACAATCATAAAAATTTATTAACAACTATGTACACTTAATTTGTAAAAACCCTTTAAAAGAAGGTAATAAGGCAGAAACTTTAGCTCAATATGTGAGACTTCGTGTGAGCATGTCGACTTTGTGTGAGCATGCGCACTCAATTTGATTTTTAGGACGTTAGATTCAGTCCACCATGCCGAATGACGTTTGTTGTTTTCAGGACGCGCGCATGCGGCAACAGCGCTTCTTGATGCCGATGCACCCGCTGGGGTATATGACATCTACGGAACTTCAGCGTTGGCCTGCATGGTCGAGAAGATGCCTGCAGTTGCTTACAATGCCATTTCCCAATTTTACATTGACGATAAGGCATTGAGAAGGAAGTACTTTTATCTTGATCAGTTGGAGAGTGATGTTAACGCCAAAGATAAGAGCAAAAGTTTCGCAAAAAATGCTTTGGAGGTTAGACAATGATGTTTGTTCAGTAGGTTGCCTATAACGCTTTGCTACAGGGCTTTGCTACAAGGCCAATTTGTGTTTTAGTGTACCTTCAAAAATATGCTATAAGTCATGGCTTCTGTTGTAAGGTGTAAGGTCTTAGGGATAACTCTATTGATCAACAACAAATGATATAGAAACTGTAAATTTTGAATTAAGGTTGAGGTGGGGATTTCTCTGGCTGGCTGCACATCTCTATTAAAAGGGTTAACCTTTTTGCGCCATTCAATTAATTCTAAAACAATTTTTTGGCTGTAAAACATTTTAAAATAGCTTCGAAAAAAGTATTTGAAACTTGATTTGGCTTTTCTTCTGATTCTCTCCAGAGTTCAAATTTCAAAAAATTTATCAAAAACTCTCAGTTAAGATGCTTCCTAACATGGTTTTTGCGAAGATATATATTTCCTAACTTCGAGTGTTCGATCAATGTTCTGAAGTTTCATGCTCCAAAGAGTCAGAAGTGAAGGCATGTTAGACAAATCTTTTATCACAAACTGCCTAGCATTAGTTAATTTGCATTAGTTTTTTGACATTTAAAACTATTATATTATCGCTGTCTTTACTGAACTACAGTGCAATTACTTGTATTTGAATTATCAAAGCATAATTTTTTTGTTAGATGATAGTCGTGTACAGAGAGACAGATCTGGTGATGCATCAAGTAATCCAAAAGATGATTAACGTGAAGTGGAATCTCTTTGCACGGAAGAAGTCCATTATTGAACTTGTCATCAACTTCATTTATACCCTTATCTGGGTCATTCTTGCCCTTTTGATTCCAAGAGATGGAAAGTTCCACACTCCGTTGGCTAGCAAGTCTTGGCGCATTGTTCTGGAAGCAATATTTTTCTTCCTTACCGTTTACTTTGCATTCAAGGTTTGTTCTTCACCTCATGTAGAAGTCCAAGTTGATTCTTTTTTAATATATTATACAAAATCACCGCTATAAGATTGAAATGATGTACAATAAACATTAAGCTTTCTAAAAAACGTCTGCTTTTTAGACGTCACGTTATCAATGTAAATCTAGTCCATGTGAAGTAAATCAAATTGAGACTATTGAGGAATTTTGAGCTCAAATGGATTTTATAAAATCTGGAAAAGATGCATAAGATGCCGAAATGCAGGAAATGTATGCAAAAAATATCTTTGAAATGAAGATTTTTGTCATTAGGTTTACTTGAATTTTCTCATATTTTGATTATGTTCAGTTCTTGAACAACGTCATTCATCAGTTGTTGCTTTTAGCACGGCTTAAATGGCCAAAAATGCCATTTTCCAAATGAAATAGCCGGGCTTTGAAAAGTCTCATTGTCCTTTATGCCATCGGTAACTTTAACAGGGCATGCGCAGTTAATTGAGGGGTCAGTAGCGTCGCCAGCTCGAAAAAACTGGAATGGACAAAACCACATTTTCTCGGCCACGACCTTCATACTCATACTGGAAAATCCTCTTTTAGTATTTTTTATCAATTTTGAAATTTTTTGACAAGTAACTTTCTAAAGCAGCATTTTTCGTAACGGTGGCTTTTTTGCCAATGCGAAAATCGAAATCGATCTGATCAGCCCAACTCAACTCCTCCCCCCCCCCTTAAGGTTTTTCAACGGATTTCGAGAAATTAGAAAATCGACTCCTGGGAAAATCAACCCTATGGCGACGCCACTGTGAGGGGTGTTAATATAAGGGGTGGTAGGGTGTGTTTTCCCTCATTTTTGAAAATTACCCTGTCATTTTCAAGCTTGGACCAGACCTTATGCGCAGATAACTCATATCTTAGTCATTTCGTCATTGTTTTGATCAAATTTTCTCTAAAGGAAATCTTTATGTTCAAACTCATGCGAAAAATTGATTCAAGATGGCGCAAATGGGCAATACACAATCTAGAAGATGAACTAGAAAGCTGCCATCCGAAATGGCCAGAAGAGCGAAAGTACGTTGAAAGTGAAATACAACGAGTTTGGGGATTTAGAGGAAGCTACTCCAGAAATATCGGATGGAGCGTCTATGAATGGTGCTGCCACGTCAGCGTTCTTGCTGTTGCCGCTGCCGAGGTGCGCTATTCGCTTTTCTTTCTTCTTGCTGTCTGGTACCCAGAATTACGTCACTTCATCAAATTCTGCTTTTGACGATTCATAATTCAATCAATTTTTGTCAATTCTATCTCGTCTTTTCACAATCAATGAGCATGCGCAGTAATGATCCTGTTCTATGCACATGCTCAAGCAAGTAAAACAGAACAATAGATGGGTAATGTTAGTTTACTCACTTAGAATAGGCTGGATAAATCTATATATTTATTTCAATTCTATCGGCGCAGCCCACTACGAAAGATCTACCGACGGCGTGCGAAGCTTTCATAACCTAACATGCATTCATAACAGTTATTCTACTTTTCAGGTTTTAGGAATCGAAAGCGAATACATTTAAAAAGTTTCTTTCCATTCTGAAAGTAAATTGTATTGCCATTTGTAGTAAATTGTAATTTGCCCAGAGATGGCAGGCAGTAAGTCAGAGGGTAGTGCTCGTTTTGTCAAGGTAAAAGAGAATCTAAAAATACATTCTATTACATTTGATTACATTACATGTCCTCATTATCAACTGTTTCCACATGTTAAATTCAGCATCTTCTTCAGCATCTTCATCTTCTCGATGCCTAACATTCTTTGTGTCATCCACATACTCTCCGGTCAGGGGATACTCGATATCTTTCACTTCATTTTCATTTCATTTCATTTTAATTTCTTTAAGCACGGTAACCCCGTCAATCGATAGATTGCATTTCAGGGGGTCACGAAAACGTACAATTCTTCAGGCTCATCCCACGTGACTGATGCCTTTATTGAAATCTCCAATCCACTTTGGCGTTAAGTTTTTATGTAATTGTGTTGTTCTTCCCATACTGAATTTGAAGTTATCCTGATAAAAAAGTTTTGCTGGCATTAAAAGTTTGCGTTAATTAACACACATTTGAAATCCAATCTCTCTATTCACGTTAATTTGTGATCACATTAATTCGTTCCGCATTATTTGGTGTACCTCTTTATTTCGTGTAATAAGATTATATCATACATGGAATAGAAAGTTTTTATCAGTGGCGGCTCGTGTATTGGGGATAGTGGGGCTCAGCCCCACCAAAGATTTCCAAAAATAAGCTTTAGATTTATAAATGTAAATAAAATCAACGTCCATTATTAAGCACTGTTCACTAATTTCGTTGCTTCGAGTTTCACTGTTTGTCCATTCTCTAGTTTGTTTAGGTCCCACTGCCCGCGGTTCTTTCGAAAACTGAACAAACACGCGTATCAGAAACCATCTCCCGAGCTTTTGAGGCTAGCCCCAAACTAGCGGAGAATGCACCAATCAAGTGTCTCTCATGACTCGACTATTCAATTGATGACTGCCTTCTGATTGGCCAATTCTGCTCGAATCTGCATTCCTTTGGGGCTAGTTTCAACTAGCCCCAAATAATTCAATTCAACGGTAGCTGAATTTTTGTTGTTGTGATGTGATACGCAATGTTGCTCTTGAAGTGGAACGCAGCAGAGTAGCGTGTTTTCGATGACTCGCATTTTCAGCTTTAAAACTTTGAAATAAAGCATACAAGTTAGATCTTTATCAGAATTAATTTTGCTGATCTTCAAATAAGCTCGTAATGGGAAGGCTAGGCCGTAGGCCTTCCAAAGGCATAAAGCATATTTCCAATGCAGGCTTTCAACTGGAACAATTTTAGCTTCACGGCATATGAAAATTGATCAATTAACAGTTTGAACTTTTTATTCTTTAAAAATTTTTTAATTGCCATGATATGCAATGCAAAGGATATCGTCTAAGGGTTGGCCATATTCAAGTTGTCTATGTTTTTATGGACATCCCCCGCGAACTCCCTTTTTTGTGAAGAGAGAAACGGTTCAGCGGACTAGAATAAATAAATTTGAGCACACCAACATTTCACATAGTTTATTACTTTGCTTATTAAAAATTATACATGATTAATAGTGCCACTTGTTTTTTTTTCAATCAAACCTTCCAAAATGATGACAGCCTTGTTGATTAGAGGTAGTAAAGAATGGAAATGCTTTTTATTATTCTTGGCGTTCCATGTCTATGGCTTTAGATTTCGAATATTACGTCATCAGCCCCACCAAAAATTTACCCCACGAGCCGCCACTGGTTTTTATCTTTTTTTAAAATTTGACAGTTGCAGTCCTTTTCACTCCAAACTTTTATTTGTTTCTGATAAGGGCAGATGCAGTTTCATTAAGACACTGCCACGAAAAACTATACTATCATTTCCATATCTAATAGGGTTAGTTTGAGTTGAATACTATGAATTGTGCAGTTATTTTGTGTGAATAGTCATTGTGTAGAATTTGAAGTTCTCTCTTATGGGTTTATCCACAAAACATCCATATCAATGGACAATAATTAAACTGCGATGTTATAAATGAGTAGTAATTTATGCATGTTAGTTAAATTTCAATTTGGAATCAATTGTTACCCCCCCCCCTCTTTTTCAATATGGTCATTCTGTTTGTGACATCAAAAGAGCATCCGCCTATCTCTTGGGCTATGCTTTTATTAGAATTCAAGACTAATACCATAATTTGAAATTTTGATTTATTTACAACCGTTTGGTTTGTTTGAAGCCAGGAAATCGATTCATAGTTCTAGAGAAGAGAAAATGGTATTACTATCTGAAAAATGTCATGCCTCCGACTGCCCAGTAACGTAAATGAAGTTATTGAGGACAATTTTTAAGAGTAACGGACCTAGCAAGAGCCTTATGGTACACCGGTCTTCGTATTCAATCAAATCCTGTATTTCGTACCTATGTTTGCTCTTAATTTCCTTCAGGAGAGGTGATTTTCAATTAACCTTAGGCTCTGTATCCCAAACCCTATGTGTTCAATTTAGCAATGAGCAAATCCTAAGGCATACACTCAAATACCTTTGATAGATCCATTGAGATCATGCCCGCAACACCTTTCGAATCTAGTCTCGCGTACTTTTTCAATCACTCAGATGATTACATGCTCAGCCTAACAGTTTTTTCTATAAGCGCATAAAAGATTCGCATAAAAGATTTGATATTTAAGTGTCAATAAAAAGTACGACTTCCTTTTTTAAAATTGGTCGAAAACATTGGACATTCTGTGTTGGTACGCTAATAGATCTATGATTGATTTAAAAGGTGGGGTCAGCACCTTTGTGGATTGCAGATATATCTCACCCTCAAGAAGTCAGGGAATTCGCAGGATAGGACCATTGAGTTAAAGTATTCAGCTCTTCGAGCACCGTAGTTTTCTTTATGATATCAACTGAGAGTTGTCCGCTGGTTTTCTTCGAATTTTCTAGTTTGTTTATTTCATTTGCTATGTCAGCATAGCTGATTAACTAGCACTCAAAGATTTGCGTATATCGTATGTTACTATTAATCAATACGATGCTGGAATGACTTTCATATTTTCTGGGCGTGTCAATAAAAGGGTCCTTCAATAAGAAGATGGCATAGTCATATAGAGATAAATAGGCAGTGAATCTTTGATACTTGCCAAGTACTGGTTAAAGCATTCTGTTATTACCATGATTTATTTGAAGAAAGAAGCTGAAAGGTTTTCCAAAAGCGCTTATCACTAATTAGGCTAGATATCTCTATTCCCTGATAAACCTTTATTCTTGCCAATTTTTTCTGTTTGATAACTTTATTTCTCTTTTCTTTATACTTCCGGATATCTTTCTCTTCACCCCTTTCTTTGCTGTAATTTTAGCCTTGATGCTATGCATAATTTCTTTTTTTAGCTCCTTCAAGACATATGCCTTGTTTTTGCCCCTTATAGTTGCTTTTTGATAGGTGCATGCTTTGCTAGAAGTTGCTCAATCGGAATTTCAAAATTATTCGAGTAGACAGGAAGGTTGAAGCAAAGTTTGGGGGTCTTCAGAAATACCAAAGAACTGAGGGGACATTCCTAACCTCATGCTAACTCTAAAAGCCTTCTTCTTATGCTAAATGACAGATCTGAGTAGCACTAGTGTCTTCTTTCGCATTGGCAGGTATACTATGAGCTGCACCCCACTGTCGCAGTTGCCGGAAAAGTCTACAAAATAATCCTGAGTGTTAGCATCATGATGGTCTGCATCAGGTTAATGAAGATCTGCCGGGCATTCACTTTTCTTTCTGCATTCATCGTTTTGCTCGGTATGTTTATTCTGCATCCCATTAGTTTACTTTGCATGTATATATCACCTTATGTATATATCAAGTTGATCACTGAATAAGCAACTTAATCAACTAAGAAAGATTTTTCCGGATAACGGCTATCCATAAGATGTTATTTCATCGTATGTTAGAGGAAAAGTCACAAATTTCTCGATGGCTCGATGGTCCGCAAAAATGCCCTGTTTATCTATAACTACAATCGATCGGTAACATTTCCTTGGGTTTTGCAAAAAGTCAGATTAAACAGGCCATTGCAAAATTTTCCTTTGCTGTCAATCCCCAGTATTGTTTACAGCACTAAAAAGACCGTTCAAAAGATTGGCTTCCTACCATCTTATGCTGCCACCAAAAAGAGTCCTGTCATTTTTGAGTTCACGTGCCAGTGTGATTCTGGCTACGTATGAGACAGCCTAAAATCAGAAAATAGCACTTTCTTTCTTCCAGTAACAGAAAAAAACCTTTCCTCTGTGGAATCAGCCTACTTGGTCTTGCAGACCTTAAACAACATCTAAAACATGTGTGCATCATTTTCTAAAAAACGCTAGTAAACAGTTTCTAGAAGATTGTACGGTAAAATTTGTACCATAAAGTAAATGGCGAAATTTTTTTAGATTTGCAGATCCCTGTCTTTATTCTATCTAACAGATCTAGAATCAATCTATCTGAACATGAAAAACACTTCTTTTGTATTGGCAACCTTGACTGTAATCTGCTCGCATCTACAACTGGGTATATATATACATGTCCTAGCTTAGGAAAAATTTTAAGCTGATGTTTTAAACTTTGAATAGTGGCAGATGAAAAGCTTTAATATGTGCTGAAATATTTGCTTTGTTGAAAGTAATAGTTCAAAATATTAATGCTTCTGTAATAGCACTCCCTTCAAGGTCAATAACTACATTCAGCCATTCATTCTTAAAACTGAACCAGATATGAATGCCTTGAAATCTCACCCTGTTAAACTTTACGCAACCCAAACCATTTTAAGCATGAACCTAAAAATGACAATATGTCTTTGATTACATTTTCCTTGCAGTTCATTTTTTAGAATAAAAAGAAATTTTAAAGAAAGTGCAACTTGCTTGCCTACAAGTCACCAACTACATTTTTATATTTTCCACCCTTCGGCAGTTTTGACAGTGCAATCACATGTGTAATGAAGTGTAGTCAAATTGTCTATAGGAAAACACCATGTCTTTTTGTTGTTGATATATTCAAGGAAAGTGCATCAGGTTTTGCCAATACCAAATTATGGTTTGTTTTAACACCTCCTACGATATGATATTTTATCCAAAGTTATTTGCACTGAGGCTTTTTTCCAAACTTGGAAATATGAATAATTGCATAGCTGGATTCGGATTCTTTATTAAGGGAGTTGGTGATTAAAAAAGATTTTAAAAATTTGACGATACTTGCCCTCATGACGAACTCTGTTTGTAATCCTTTCTCAGTCTGTGATTCTGTAACCATTCACATGGAAGAATGACAGGCCAAAAGTGGTTCAAAAAAGAGATACGATGATGTTTTTGCAAAAATCGGTATATCATAATAAAACATCCCCTTCAAAGTCTCTTCAAAGTGTGTCAGCTCCTTTTCTTTGGGAGCCGGTGTAATATGCGTTTTGGTACCCTATGCAAACATGTAACATTGTGAAACGCAATGTGTTTCAAATCATGTGACTTCATCGTAGTGCAATATTATGACACGTTATAATTAACAAATTGAACAAAATGCTTCTTGAGTTTAAAATTTTACACTTTTCGATCAAGAAAACTTTGGAGTAGCCATTAATGTTGTACTTTTTTGCATAAACTTAACAAGGGAAATCACAGCACGACTTCTTGTTAGTACCTCCTTGCTAGAAATAGTTCGATTGTTCTTTACATTCTGAATAATATGAACCAGAACAATTGTGTTCCCAGACCGGTTCGCATGCTAAATTCCGCCATTCGTTTCTGTTCTCTGTTTTTTCAAAGCTTGGATACGTTTTTGTATAAGCAAAATTGTCATGCGTTTGTGTACCGGCACCGTTTTGCATGCGAAATTCCACGTTTGTTTTGGTACCCTTTTGTTCAGGTGCTTGGGTACGATTTTGCATAAACAAAGCTGCCATGCGTTTGTGTACCCGGACCGTTTTGCATGCTAAATTCCACCATTCGTTTTGGTACCCTATTGTTTAAGTGTTTAGGTACGATTTTGCATAACCAAAATTGCCAAGCGTTTGAGAACCCGGACCGAAATGCATATGACACCGGCAGGCAATATTTAGCTGTTTTAAAATGCCTTAACCTTTTCTCCTACCATTGAAGCAAATTTTCATACAAGCTGCAGTATTGTTAAAGAGTTTTTGTAAAACAAGTTCTTCTTTTCACAGGCCATGTTGTGGGAGCAACACTGCGATTTGCATTTCTCTTTTTTGAGTTCTTTATTCCATATGTTTGCATTTTATGGATCGTGTTTGGTGGAGATGAAAATGCAAAAAATATCGATAAAATCTCAAAAGGTGATGGAGAAAGGTTTCGTACATTCGATGAAATTGTAAGTTTGCTAAAAAATTTTAACGGGAATGTAGAACGATGTTTTTGTGGGGGGGGGGGGGGGGCGGTTGCTACAATGTTTTTGCACAGATGATATGAATGACTCACATGTGAGCTACTGGGTCACCAAATCTTATACAGTTTGATCAAAGTCAGTTTTCTGCCAACATTTACATGCCCGATAACGCTATTAAATGCCCAATTGTGATTTTTTTCTCTATCTGATAGATTTATATCACGTGGTTAATGACCGTCACAGCAGACATCCCCTTTTCTCCAATGGTGCAGTATCACAGAATTCTGGCTTCCATTATTGTTGGTACCTATTATGCCCTCGTCTCCGTTGTTTGCATCAATCTCTACATCGCCCTTATGTCCGAAACATTCACGCGTGTTTATGAAAACGCAGAGGCAAATGCTTCTCTACAACAAGCCTTGTTAATCATTTTCATGGAAAGGCAAATGGGACCAGCAGAGAGTGCTAAAATGAGAAAACATTTTGCGAAAAAGTGCTCACCTCTTGTAAGTACTGGTTCAAAGAAATCAAAATTAAGAATCGTTTTTTGTGCTTCCGTGCATAACTTTCTAACTCTTTATATTCATTACCAATTTCCTAGTTGTTTGAAAATGCAACATATTTACATAATCATGAAGGAACGTCTTATTTATCCATGCATGAAAAATAATCCTAATTAGTCTGTAAAATAATGTCATCAAGTGTTGTGGTTATTGTGGACAGCAATGCCTAGGGTATAAACAAGAACCCATGTTTAAATATCTTGTATATTTTTATTAACTTGATTAGCAAATTGAATTGAATTGATACGAATCTAAGAGATATAATGTTTTTTGCACAGGAGCAACTCGAGTATGGTCAGGAGAATAGCAGAGCTTCATCTTATGATGTAGAAGCAAGTTTGGTGCTGGGCAACGTTGATCGGCGACTGCAGACCCTAGCAAGAACAGTAGATCAAAGCGAACAAGAGGCCGGGAGGTTTCCCAATCAGGATGCAGATGCCACACTAATGAAAGAGCTGAAAACAAAATGTCGCGGAGTCAGGCAACGCCATCACTCGTTTGCCAAGAGTGTAGCAGGTTCTCTTGAAGATGTAATGAAGGTGCAGTTAGATATCACCAAAACTCTACAATCAATTGGTAAATGAGATTTTTAATTTAATACATCTCATGCAATGCAATAAAGAAAGAAGTCTATTTACATTCAGTATCATTATAACAAATTCATATTGAAAACCGCTCATTTAGTTGTTTCTTATTCAGACCTATGTCTAAAAGAAAAAACACAGTTTTGCAATTGTTGGAGCGTGGCTGCAGCCCTGCACCTCAACCCCCCCCTCCCTCCCCCCCCCTTGAAGATAATGAAAATAATAAAAGTTCCGAAGATGACGAAGACAATAAGAATGGTGACGATTACAAAATGATGACAGTGACATTGACAAAGACGACACAATAAAGATAATGAATACTTGTAGGTTCTAAAGATGACAAAGAAGACAATGAAAATATGACGACAGTGGCAATCCCGGTTATGATGACTTGCCAACGGCAGGGTCTATAATGAGGAAGATAAAGTTTCGGCAAGGTGCCAATTGAATAAATAGCCTTGTTGCATTCTGCTTGAGCAGTAGAAGTAAGGCAATGTACCAAGGAAACATCTCGTGCATTTTGCTGCATCTGCACACAATGTTCTAATTCTTCGTACATGAAAAGGACGAAAACGATATATCAATAGATATACAATACACAAAAAAGATATGTAAAAATTGTAGTTTAATTTTTCTTTTTCAAATACTTTGTATCAAAAAGTCGTAAATTTTGTGTTTTTTAAGCACATTGTGACTTTCATGATAATGCTATATGCTGTTAACTTACTTTATCAAGGTTTAATTGATGGGTTACCTAGATTGAAAAATTCAGAAAATCATATGTGTGATGATATTTGCCCCGATTCTTCATCAATAACGTCCAGTCTTTTGCAATTGCAGCATCAAGAGCTCCACAGAATCGCTCGAAAGGAAAAGGGAACCTTCGAAGAACAAAATCGTCTCAGTCGATTGCATAAGAAATGACTTTTAAGATCTTTATTAAACGAGGGTAAGATTCTTGCAATTATGCTAAGGGTAAGGTTCTTTGTATCAAGCCTGCGTCTTTTGCTTAGTTATGGTTTTTGCTTTGATGAAATGAAAGACGTTTTAAGTATAATTTTACATACAATTTATTATTCGAGAAGACCAGATTGACGAACTGGAACAAGGCACAGAAGTTGTGCTTGGTTCTTGCCACAAGTGATTGCTAGTTTTTCCAAGCATGAATTTGACTTTCAAGACATCGTTATTTTAGACGATTTATTGAAATTCAAATAAAAACAATTCCACACAGAGGACGGAGCACTAGGCGTTTGTCATGAGTGCTGATTATATGATCCCTTTTGAGCACGGCATCCGAGCTGTCTCAGTAGCCGGGATAGCTCGCTTTGTCTAAAAATCGAATTAAACTGTATTTCTGTATCATACAAATCTTTTCTTCCCGGAACCCGATCTGGCTCTCGTACAACAGTTTAGACAATGGAAAGCTTGTTGGTTTGGTACTGATTGACTTGAGTGAAGCATTTGACACCGTCAATCGTAGAAATCTTTGTCAGAAATTAGAATACTACGGAATTCGAAAAAGGGAACTTTCATGGTTCAAGTATTACTTTCCAACTGCAAACAGCAGTACCGCGGAAACTGAAAATGGACTGGACCCTGAACAAGTTTTTCAAAACGCCGCAGTCACAAAGTACGCTGATGACAGCAGTTTTTCTTGTAGGTATAAAAGCAATGCTTGTCGAACGACATAAGAAATAAGGACATAAATAGTGTTTTTGATCGGCTGCAGGGCAGCAGGCTTGCCTTTAATGTTACAAAACAGGAGCAGTGGTGATATAAACAAACCAAAAAAATTTTTACTGAAATAAGGATATTATATTCAAGAGTATACAAAGAGGAACAATAAATCATGTCAAAACTGCAAAATATATTGGAAAAAAGTAGATCCTATCAGACCTCTATTCAGATAGGCAATAGGAAAAATAAAAAAAAATAAACTAAGATTTGAGTGATTGGATGGAAACAAAGCAAGGAGTTCCTCAAGGATCAATCTTAGGTCCGTTGCTTTTCAATATTTACATAAATGATATTTTTCTGCATTTGAACAAAAGCAACTTATGCAACTATGCAGATGATAATACAATTTAGCTGTCAAGTACTGATATGAACGAACTAACTAACGACTTAGAATCGGAAGCCGCTATTCTTAATAAATTGTTTTATGAAATTTTTTGGTGCACAATGGCGATAAAAGCAAGCTTATAACATTTAAAGCCAATCGATCCAATTTAGAGGAATCTAAAATTCAAATAAATGGTTCTACTATAATAGAAAGTAAGAATGTTAAACTTTTGGGAATAGCAACAACTTAGATTAGAAGAACATATTTAAATTTTTTGTAAAGAAGCTGGGAAAAAGGTAAACGCTCTAGCCAGGATTGCTTCGTATATGGACAAATCTAAGCGAATTCTTTTAATGAAAACGTTCATATTATCATGTTATAATTATTGTCCTCTTATATGGATGTTTTGCAGTAGGAAAAGTAATAACCGGATAAACCGGATTCATGAAAGAGCCATGAGAATAGCTCATGATGATTATGAATCAACTTCGAACAACTTTTAATAAAGAATAAAACAATAACTTCTCATAAAAAATTTTTACAATATCTTGCGATAGAAATTTACAAAACATTAAACGGATTGAATCCACCTTTTATGGATGTAATATTTTCCATAAATGAATGTCCATATTACTTAAGAAACTCCCAATTCAAAACAGCGGAGCCACATTACAAAATATATGGATTTAATACCTTATCATACAGATGTAGCCAAATATGGAACTCAGTTCCAAATGAGATAAAGTACTCCCCTACTTTATCAATATTCAAGAAAAAAATCTCAAAATTTACATCGTTTAATTGTACTTGTAATCTTTGATAGGAATACGTTAGCAACATCGGTTATATTTGATTTATATTATATTTAGCGTTGGTATTTCAAATTAGTTGGTTTTAATTAGCTTGCGTATGCATACGCATAGCTAAAAATTGTACCAACTTTAAATAAAGAAAGAAAAAAAAGGAGTTTGTTTTCTCTTTTGAACTCAGTGGTAAATTTTTCTATAGGCATGTGGCACTGATTGGAAAACTATGCCCGTCATGTGCTTGCGTTTTTCTGATTGGCCTATTTCGATCCACAACTCGGTATATATTATCCATTATGTTCTTTCGAACCCTTATTCTGACGTTCTATACTCTAAGGAATATCCAACGAAACAACTTTTAATATGTTTATTATAATTTAATGTCTTGAAAGAAACAGTGCTCACTGCTCATTATTGTTTCCCACTAATATGAACCACCTCGTCGTTTCAGTCCTAAAAACCAATATTTCTGATGCCTAATGTTATGAGCCATACTCGGGGAGGGGGAACCTTAATAGGATTTGAGGTGCAGGAATATGCCATTATTTACGGACACCTTTTTTCTTAAAAGTGCAGAATTATCGGTACTAGTTTTTGAAACATGTGCGGAATTATAGGAACCAAATCAAGAAACATGCAGAGTTATGGGTACCATTTTGGGGAAAATATTGCAAAATTGTTACAGGAACATTTAGCATGAGGAAACTGAATGTTTAGTTAGAAGTGAAAGTATGAAATATGTGTAATATTGAGATTTTGGGCAAAGGACAAGCAAAATTTGCTTGAAGATTTTGTTGTGTTTTCAAAATGTTTCAAATGTTTGATGACTTGCGGAATTTTTTGTATAGTTTTCATCATGTTTGCAGTTTTTTTTCGAAAATCTGAGGCTGGCTTGTTCTTAATTTGTTTTTAAAAGGGTGTAAGCCAGTGGCGGGAATTGAGCATTTTTACTAAGAAGGGGGGCAAAGACACTAAAGAAACCAACAAAAGTTTTGCATACATTTCTAGCAGGGATTTCGTCGTAAAATTTTAACAAGGAAGGGTTCTATGAAATTTGTAAGTTGTTCTTTTCATGTGATAATTGCGTGCAATTTGCAATCTGAATGCAATTATTTTCGTGCAATCTGAACATGACGAGTGTTGATGTGTTGTACGAATCATGGGTTGAGAAGCCTGGAACATTGATTGTGTGTAAGGGGGGCAACTGATATCAGAACATAGATACCATGGAAAGGGGGGGGGGGGAAACTTGATTGCAAGTGAGAGGGGAAAATGTTTATATTGCTCTGGGGTGTAGTGAAAGCCGTCACCATGGTTGGCGGCGAGAAAAATTTTGAAATATGACATTCTAAGAATGGCCAGAAAATGCATATAAAATATTTATAGCATCGATAAGAATGAACTTTTTTTGAAATTAATGACTCATTGGTTGGATTTTGAATTGACACATTTTTTCTTGTGTTTCTCAGAAATTTTCTTTCTATAGTTGTCATACTTGTGTATATTTTCATGCATATAAAGCTTGCTATGCGTTTAAATCTGTCAGTTGCTCTTTTTTCCTTTTCTGGTTTAATTGTCAATAGGTGTCTTGTGGTGAAGTGACAATTCTTAATAGCTTTCTTTGCGTTACATGATTCTAGGCTATGTCCATGCACAAACGATGAGGGGGGCTGAGCCCCCACTTTTTTCAAAAATTCCAACATGGGGCCACTCCCCCTGAACTCCACCACTGCTACATCCATGATTTCTAGGCACTATCTAAGTGTTCATTCTTCCACATATTAATTTTTGAATCATTCGCAAGGCCTCCCTCACGGCCTTTATATTTTATTTGATTAATTTTCTATTGTGGATATGAGTTTATTCTGGATATGCTAGCCTTCGGGGACATCCTAAATTCACAGTTGCGCGACAGGATATGTTTTGCCTCCTCCTACCCTCGAGTTAATAGCTTTATTTTACTAAAAAACCAATATTGGGAAGGGCCGGCGAGAGGTTGTCAGAGGCCTTTGGTATAACTCTGAATAAAAGAGGCTTTCTTGCGAGGTTTGGTATACCCTGGGTACCAGACTCACTATATATGAAATAAAATAGAGAGTCTGGTCTAGTGCGCCTCATTCTCGTTCTGGTGTGCTTATATTAACCAATCAGGAGCGAGTGTACAGATTTCTGTACGTTCAAAGGTCACAGCGAAACAATAAACTTAGCTTTGGTGTAAAACATTGAACAGAACAGAACATAAATAAATGCTAGCGACCTTAACGATTGAGTTTGAAGATGCTGTTAAAACTGTACTCAAAGAATATTTTCCGCATGTTGTGGAACTTAACACAGAACAGCATTGAAAGCCTTGTTTGTAAAGAGAAGAGACACCTTCGCCATATTGCCAACTGGCTTTGGAAAGTCTCTGATTTTTCAGGCTGTGCCTCTCGTTGCAAGAAATTAGGCCTTGTAGGGAAAGGTAGTAGATAAGAAACACCGCAAGGCTCCGAGAACAAACAACAATAAACACAGTTAATCAGTTATAGCTAATATTTCGCCTGGCATACGGGGCTTCGCTTGTCGTATTGGCCATAATTGCTGTGGTGACCTTCCAACGTGATGATTCTAACCGCCGCGGTGTCCAAGCGCGCTGCCTTCACAGTGAGGAAGTAGACGTTCAAAGTACACACAATTTATGAGGAAAACTACAAAAGACTTATTTTAAGTTGTATACGAAATTTGATAATGATTAACATTTAATAACTGCATTGTGCTAACTTTAATTTCATGCTTCGCACATGTTTTTTGCTGCCAAATGGCGTTTTGAACCTGATTTGATTGTTATCTTGAGGCAGAAAAGTCTATTACCACTGTATCAAAAATGTCGACTTTAAAGAACTAAATAAAACACATTTGCTTTAAGATTTCCCAAAACTCCTCTGACTACTGAGTTTCTTTGTTATTTATCTGACAGTCTTGTTTCACAGGCCTAGTCTGTTAAATAGACTTCAGTTCTTTCAAGTAAGTTCACCAGAACGAGAATGGGGCTCACTAGACCAGACTCTCTATTATGTTATATAGTGAGTCTGGTACCCAGGGTAGGTTTGGTATAACTCTGAAAATTTTTGCGACCACGCCCTTTAGATTGGCTTAAAATACATCTCAAAATATTTCTTCGATCATTTTCTTGAAATCGTTTAAAAATTTTGCTATTTTTAAGGCATCCTTCACGCACGTTTGATTAATTCCAGTCTTAAAATGGATTTCATTACTTTGTAATAAGGAAAAGAATCCATCCATCTTTGTATCGTCGAGAAAAATTGGTCCTTTCATGAGAAATGAAGCAAAGAGACAAAATCTACTGACCCCCACATGAGCAGGTCTCTGAAGGCCAGCAGAGCCAAAGAGATTCGTTGAAAATCAAAATTTTAGAGTCCGGACACCCTAAACACAGACTGTCCCCGACACCCTAAACCATAGTCATAAGAAAAAACTATGCCTACTACTTTTTTTATGACTATGCCCTAAACACAGTCTGTGCGCACTATGAGTGCTGTATTCTCCACACGAAAGAATTTAACTACGTACGTTTCCTGACAATTTTCGCCCCTGCGAACAGTACAAATGTTTTGTCTGGATAATACATTACTGAAGGGGCACAAAGACGTGCCCTTGAAGTGAGAATGTTCTTGGGGGTATGGGGGCGTGCGCCCCAATAAAGTTTTGAATTTTATGGAGTCTTTTTTGTCTTTGCTGGCCTCCTAGAGACCTAATAAACAGACAAGTTGGTCGTATCAAACTTTTTTTAATTTTCGGCGCCCTATACAAGCTTTGGCGTCCCTATAAAAATGTCAGCTGGGAGAGCCCTGGCCCCCGGCCCCCCTGCCAGGCCGCTACTGACCCCCACAAGTTCCGCCACTGGTATAAGCAGTGCGATTGCTAGCCTTTTCGCTCTAGGGAGGTAGGTGTTTAGGCCTCTTTTGCCAACAAAGTGAGTGAGACAACCTTCATTTCCATCAGTTTGAATGTTCACCGAATGAGCGCCCACACATGGCTAAAATCCTCTTTTTTGAGATAAAACCTTGTTCAAAATTTATTTTACCGTAGCTCAGCCTTAGCTGGCTGTTCTTAATTTGTCCTTAACTTTTGACCAATTTTGAGGCATGTGTTCGTGTAAACTTGTTCTTATAAAAAAGTATTATATATTTTGAATAAAACCAATTGACGCATTGAACTTAAAGCCTAAAAAACTAAAGAATCCAAAATATCTTGAATTCTTAGTTATTGGGCTCATTAATATTCAAGAGTGGGCTTTTTTGTTATTTTCAAATGTTAATTTCAAACGCTGATGACGGCTGCGCATGCGGCTGCGCTTCACTTTAGTGATTGTTATCTGAAGTACCTTGCTAACCTCTCTTCCACTGAGGCTTTCGGCTTGCTGATTTCAAGAGTTTTATTTCAAGGTTTCAAGCAGAGATAGTAGAGATCTCTTTTGAGAAGGCAAAAAAGTAAAGGCTGTTAATGCGACAGGATGGAACTGACAAACAGTTCAGTGTCTTTAGAGCGTAAAAATGGACAACATTTTGTGTTTAGATGTGAATTGAACGATGGCTTCGGCCTCGTTCTGCAAGGAATTCTTGCATTTACAGCATTCTGCATTTTAATATGTAAGTCAAATTACTCAAAATATCACACTTTTAGAATTATTGTTTAGCCTCATTCCTACCAAGATGGCAATTATTTACAAGAAATAAATTTTGATTATTAGGACTTTGTAGGTATCTGTAACACAGGAAAATTTTGAGTTGTTTTCAATAAAGAAGAATAATGTTTACAATCGTCGACCAGTTCGAGTTTCAGTTTTTGTTCATCGAAATAAAACTCGCCTTCCGAGAAACGCTTTTAGAATGTTTCCTTAGAAGATAGAAACTTTTTGAAGACGGTTGAAACTACAAAAATTGGGAATCTAAGGAATTGGGTTGATTCACAGCAGCTTCCAAAGCGGGAACACCAACATAACTCCGCGAAGGATGAAAGCCATTGCAAAATAAGAGTTAGGGCACGCGAACATTAAGAGCCAAATTTTAACAAGTGCTCCTATCAGTAGCCAATGCCTATCACCTTCTCAAATTAGAACGTTGGTTGAATTTCTAATCAGATTTTGTTTCTTACTCTCTAAGGGTGAAAGCATTCAAGGAGCAGTAATCTTGGGTTACCAATTTGTTCTTAAGTGCCATTAACAGCGCCCACGCCACTGGGGGGACTGGAGGGGCCATGGCCTCCCACTTTTTTGGTAAGCAAAAATATTTGCAAAGAGGCCCTGTTTGAAGCACTAAATTCAAGCTCGATTAATAGCGTTTGGCCCCTCCATTTTGAAATCCGTGGGACGGGCCCTGATTTTAAATAAAAAGGCTTTTTAGATATGACCTTCCCAAAGTTTCATATAAACATGTATTCTTTCACCAGATATGTCACATTTTCAACTTTGGGCATGTTTTGGGTAAATAACTGGTGGTAGTCATTTTGAATTAAATCAGAAATGAACTTAATTATTGTCCTCTTTTTCTATATATTCCTTGCCATTTTTCTAACATCTAACAAATCAATTAAGTCAGCAGCTATGTGTTAAATTTTTAAATTAATTTTCCTTTTGCGTAATTTATATGTTTTATTACTTATTGCTAACCTTAACTTAGTATTTGTGGATCCATCTGGTGCATTTCATTCTGATCCTGGAATAAAACTTCGAGTTATTCATTCCTTTTGGTTTGTTTTGTCAAGATAAAATTATAGAACCTAGATAGTCAAACTAAAACCCCTAAGTTTACCTACCTTTTTGCATCCCAATTTTTGGTGGAACAGGCTCTGTTGTCCGAAACAAGACCACCTTTGACAAGAGCAAGCCTTGACAAGATGAAAGAGTTGTGCTTATACATTTCTATCTGTTTTAGTATGGTTTCTAACCACTTTTCCTTAGTCCTGGTAATTTTAGGCATGCAATCGCACATGCATGCCTCCACACACGCCTAAAACTCCAGAGGAGTGCTTTCCATCACATGCGCAGTTCCACATTTTGCATTACTTTTCTTTTTCTTTTTTGTTTTTTAAATTTCTTGTTTATTTTCTCTAAAGTAATTTTTAATTTCTCTTGTATGGGTAATTTCTATTTGTATTGTATTAATGGGATTCCTGGAGGCATTTTAACTCTTTACTTTGTTTCCATTAGGCCCTGTTTCAATTACTCTGTTTGTGTGTGTCTCCACTTTGAACAGCGTTTTTGGAAAGCTTTGGTTTGGTATCAAATGACACTGTTTTTGATTGTATTAAATGAAACTCAAAATGTAAAACAGATTCACTTGAATCTGTTTTCATACGGAAATGAGTAATGGCAACAGGGCCTAAAAACTTGCATCCTTTTTTTTTAATTATTTTGTTTTCAAAAAACTTATTCTAAAGTTCCATATAAAAACATTTTGGTTTTATGGATCTCACATCATCGCACACCATTGCACGCCTAAAATTCTCAAGGCGTGTGATTACCAGCACACTGCCAAATTTCATATTACCACCAGGGCTGACTTTTCCTTGACCAACTTTCATTTTTTGTATGCCCTTTACAAAGGCAAAGTGACAAAGTGATCGATCTTGAAACTATTGTTCATCATATGTTTTCATCATTCCATTTTGTATAACAAAACAGGAACTTCAGATGATGATGTGCTTAAAATCTAAGTAGATTGCTATACTGCATGTCCACAGAAAATGTTTTAGTCTGAACCAAGGGATTTGATGACAAATTTCCCCCCTACAGTGAGATAAGTTTCAAGCTTTCTGTAATTCAAATTTAAGTTATCACAAGAAAGCATCACATCAAGATGAAGAGACAAAACATTGAACTTACTTTGAAACGTTGGAAAATGCAATTACAACAAAATTTGGTGCAGTTTTGTATTATGAAAGGTTTATTCATTGTGTAAAGAGATATTGTTTGTTCTAGTAAAGAGATATAGAGAGCCTGCTTCAGAAAGAAGACCAGTTAAAGTCTGGTATGTTATCTTTAATTTTCTTGTTTCTAAAGTAAATTGAATTAGCAAATACAGGAGACTGAAATTGAAAACATTTGATGGTCTTGAGATATGTGGAAATCATAGCAAGTGATCTTTTATAATTAAAAAAAAATTAGTATTAAGCATTATCAGTCCCTGTCAAAACTTTTCAAATAAAGCAATAAAGTAATCACAAGTTTATATTATTTTTCCTTTTTAAGGCATTTTCCTTTTTATAAATTTTGCCCAGGTTATTTTTTTGGAGTTTTAGTTTTGTGCAAATATAAGTGCTTTTTCAGTCTACTTACTTTAGTTGTATTTGAGATTAAATAAGCCCTAATTCTCTCTTCAAAATGATTTGCCTTTTGTGATGAAACCTTGATGCTACAGGTGATACAATATAAAATGATATTTTTTACCATGATAGGAGGCTTAATTATATAGCAGATCTTTTGACTGTTTTATTTGTTCAGGGGAACAACAGTCTGAGCTTTTGAAGTTTGAAATGGTATGCCCTTGCTTGGCTTCCAAAAATTTGAAAACATACTTTATTCATAATGACAATTTTGAAGTAAAAAGGTTTCGATAAACTTTTAATGTAATCTCCATCGCAAAATTTTGTTATGTCAAATTGGTGAAATGTTAGTGTCAAACTTTTCTCTTGAATTTTTGTTAAAGGTTTGACTTTGCACATTATATTTACCAGGTTTTTTGATACATCAAAGCAAGCCATTGGAGCAGTCATTATCCATTTTGCCAATGTCTTTTTAGCAAGTGCTTTCAAAGGAGACCCATGTACTTGGTAAAAACTGTTTAATAATTGATTGAATTTCCTTGGTTGATCTTGTAAATATGTATATTTCACTGTCACTTTGAGTGGGTTATCAAGCTATTATGTGGAAACTGATATCATTGAAAAATGTCTTCATTAAAGCTCTTAAACTGTCATCCACCTTAAACTGTCATCTACATGTAAATATGCTGTCAGTTAAACTGCAACTTATTCTTGCACAGGATAAAAAAGGCTTTTATTTCTGGCAAGAAAATCTTTCTAGTGAAAATTTAAAGCCTTTTGTAAGAAAACTTTCCACAATTTTCCTAGTGTTTTCAGTTTCTACTAAAATGTAAAAATACAATTTCAAAACCAACAAACAGCAAAAAGGCAAACTTGAGGTGATAGACGGGCTTATCCCTTGAATGTTTTTAGAGGTATGGCCTTTAGATTGCTTGGCCTAACCTGCTATGCAAAGAATAATTTTGAAAACATACAGATGACATGTTTTTATGTAAGCTAGTTTCAGTTGTCTACTCAATATTCATTGAGTCCAAGTTAATAACATACCTTTCAGCTCACAAATCGCTGTTATTTTACTAAAATGGTGATTGGCTAGTGGAAACAGAGGTCGTTTCTTTCTTTAACCAAAAAATTTAGATATTTGAAAGAAAACCTTGTTAGGAATCCATATAAATATTTCTGGAATTTCATCACAGGTCTTGTGCTTTGAAAGACACAAAAACAGACTTGTTTTCTACAGACTGAAAATGCAGTAAATTCAGCACAACGCTTTCCCCAGTGTGGTTCTCGACTAATCCAGAAAAAATGTGTTAACTATCCATTACACTCAATTTTTTTTGCTGCCGTTACAAGTATGAAAAAAAGAAGTAAAACTTTTGAAATTGCTTGGCTTTGAAAGTAGGAAGACATATCATTTTGACTGTCGCAGGGCTGACGCCATAAGTTTCCTTTGAAGTAGATTTCCTGAGAACATTTCTTATCCACATATGTAAATTTATTTTTCATGAAGGGTTTTTTCATGCTGAGTTTTTTGTAATTCAACAATAGTTTTGTCCTTTAATTGTTTATGTGCTATATATTCTTTGTTTTAGGTATTTTATCAATTTCCTTCTTGACACAACTATTGGTCTTGTGATTATTTGGCTTTTTCTGAAAATGGCGTCAATTTTTGGAAGGTTTAATGGTTGGCGATCATTTCGATTTGGTGAATATGGTAAAGATGATACGATTTTTCTTTCGCTACATATGTTACTTGATGGTACTGTCTTTGTCTAAGGTTGTTTAATTGTCTGATTTGAAATGATAACATTAATATTATTTTTAATAACAGCTGCGTAAGCTCTTCTCGTTTATGAAAACATTTCAAGTCCCACTTGAAGCTTTTTAAAATAACACTGGTCTGTCAAAGATCTGCACCTTCTTATTCCTTTCTACAAAAACAACATACTTAATGCAAACAATTACGCAGCCTGTAGATTTCATTTCTGCTGGATGGTATTTGGAAGTGAAACCATGTTGTGGCAAGTAGTCCTGCCACATTTCTATGGTATTATTTTGAACATAAATAGGCGAATTTTGAAACTCGAACGGCGGTTGTCTCAGCAGGTGAGTGGATGTGGTGTAAATCAAAATGTGGGGAGGGGTATGTTTATTTCAGCATAGGCACAAGCACAAGAGTATCACCTTCACACCTTTTCATCAAAGATCTACCTTTTCTAACTCTCTAAATATTCTCTTTTTCGCTGATGCCACTTATGTAAGCGCTTCATTCGGCTTCGGAATCTCCTTTGATTCGGAACACGATTCTGTTATGAACGCTTCCTTTCAGAAAAACCTCAGCTTCACTTCTCACAGATTATCTGACAGTAAATGAGAACTGGGGTAAACAAATCTCGTTAGATTTCATCAAATTAGATCCTCCATTTTCGTTTTACGTAAATGCACCCCTTACTTTCCACCTGTTTCAATGAATGTTCCTGACTTTGATATTCTACCTTCTGTACCTTTCAACCCCTTATGCTTCGAACATGTAAAAAATATCAACTTCTTCCTTTTTTGAGTACTGCTCTTACATTTGGGGTGGCGATTAGAGATGCTACCCCCGGCCCCTGATACATATTCATAACCTCAAAACTCTTCTTGCTCAACTTCTCCAAGTCTTCGTATCAAATTCACGAGGTCAGCCCTACAACAAAACTTTCCTTCTCAGAGCCTTACGCTGCATCCTCTTTTGCTTCCCAAACTCTTGTATCTTTTCTCATTTACAACTAGCTTTTCCCTCTCCTCTTAGCGTCTCCTTCTTTTCCCTTTACAGAGCTTTGCTATAGGCCTTCGGGTTTTTCCTTATTATCACCGAAATAGATAACCTATTGCGGTATCTATTATTTCACATTTTCACACCATTGTAAATACTTTCATGGCTTCAGAAGACTTTTGCATTTTTTGACGATGAACACCAGAAAAATAATTTTAACTGCCCTTTCCAGGAAAATTTTGGGCATATGTTTCTAGCTGTATTATTTAATCTTGCTTCATGTTTTAGTCGCTTGTTTATTGATTCTGAAGATTTTGTCTCCAGCCTCGATAAAAAACCTTTTGTAAACTAATCATTTGTAAACATGTGATCTGATGCTTTTGGGTACCTGATTTAACAATATACTTTTTGCTATTTATGGATACAAGAACAAGAATACAGGGACAGATGTATTTAAACTGGTTATTATAGGAAACAGTCTTAATTGCCTTTACTACAGGTCTCTGATGTGCTCAACAATTAGATTTTGCATTTTGATATTTCAGGGTCTTACTATTATTTAGCTGATCATTTTAGCTGTTAACTTTGAGTCAGTTAAATCTGTTTTTGATACTTTTAGGTGAATTTTAATAACTGTGGATGGACCTCCCCGTATATAAAAAGTTTGAATGACTACCCGGGGCATTAAGCTAAACTCCCAGGGTGCGACATCGGTCAATCACGGTATTTTTTTAAATACCCCAAGATCATGGCCGTGATCATTGTGACTATTTACGCACACACCTAAGCTAACATGTGTTTTAACCTTGATTTAGGGAACCCCCCTCAACGTTCATGGTGGTTTCGACAGTGTTTTGTGTACATCATTGTTATGTTGATCGAGAAGAGCATCATTGTCCTGTTGGTGCAATTATCCTTTTGGGATGATGTACGCAAATTCATTCTAACGCCCTTCAAGTACCATCCAAAATTGGAAGCAGGAGTTGTTATGCTAATTGTACCTTTCATTATGAATGTGAGTACAAATTCAATGTAATGCCTTTTTACTTCACCAAGATCATTGTTACATTCAGAATGCCATTGATCATTGTTACATTCAGAATGCCATTTGTCACTTTTAAGGAAGGAGTATTTTAATTGAATTTTACTGTTTTAGTCTTTTTTCTGCAATTATGCCTTTCGACAAGCTATTTTTAAGCAACATGTTTTTACTCATTTTCAGGCCCTAATGTTTTGGGTAGTTGACAATTTTCTGATGCATCGGAAGCTTAGAAAAAATGTTACACTTGTGAATGAGGACAGTAATGTGGTGAAGTTTTTAGCAAGACCTCGTGACACACACGCATCAGATGATGAAGTTGTTCTTCATAGTCTAATGGAAAACGAGTCACATGATACAATTGTTAACGACGACAGTGATTTTCTACATAGACGCGATTACAGTAGATGAGCAGTGAGCATGCGTTTTCTCGCCAGCAATGTTATGAAAATTTAACAAGGTGGTTTGCAGAAATAACAGAATTTGTGCCAGGAATACATGATTGTGGTAGACCCTGTGTCGATGCACCCACCTCTAACCTTCAAGGTATTTTTCTGTGGACCACACGTATAGCCCATGGTGTTTTAGTTTAGAGTCCTACAATTTATGATTTGTCATGATTAGTTTTCATGACCAGTCTAGAGATGAAAGAACAGATGGGACAAAATGAAACAGTCTCTTGGACGACACAATTTTGGCTACATAAGGAAAAACTTTCCCATTTCAAGTAAACTTGCCAATGGTATCTTTGAATTTCAGTAAAAAGTAATGTTATAGTATTTGACAGGTTTGCCTTTATTACAATAGGTACACACATAGCTTCTATTTTTCTTGTTGTAAGAAAATGACTGGAAGATGCGAGTGTTTAGATGAACTTGATACTATGAATGATAGCTAATATTTTACAGTATTTTCTATAGATAATGTAACATTTCCATCCTTTATAATTGTCTTTGAAGTTAAGTTTGATTGAGCAAATAATTAATGTTTTAATATGAATATTTTGCCTATGTTATGTTGCTTATGCTATGATATCTCCAGCTGTGAACTGGGTTCATTGCACGCACGAGCGACATTGTTCCTGGAAAGTGTAGTTGCTCTTCGAGGGTGTTACGTCACAGCTAATTAAAACCGGCAAATCAAGATTTTTCAATGAGCGCATTACACAGCCTATTCGAAGGCAAATTTGCTGCGGGGACAAGCTTTGTTTATATAGAGAAGAGGAAAAAGACCTTTGCACTCGATGTGCCTGTAGCTTGTCTTTTCATCTCTCAGATACCAGCAAAATATCTAGGTTTAGTAACAGATTTATAAAGATATTTTGTTTAATGTTATTTGCTTTTTTCCCCTTACCATTACCTGGTAAAATGGGATCGGCAGCCCGCCCATAATGAAAGAAGGCAGTGGATCACCCTGCCTATTTCAAAACTGTCTTAAAATTTGCATCCTGCCAGAGTAAGGCCCCAATATTTACTCACTTTCATTAAATTTTGATATAAATTACAATCCTTTAGCATATCAAAATTGACCGTATTATAGCCTCTACTCGCCATCAATTTTTACAAGTTTGCCCCACTTGATGTCATAAAAAACAATACAATTCAATGTGGCGTGCTAGAGAAAATCTTTTAGCCTTGTGTCACTGACTGCTTGCCTTTGATAAACAAATCTTCGACGACAGTAATAAATTCTAATTTCATTATTCAAAAACAGGGGCGTAGCGTGTAGGGTGTGTGGGGGGATGTCCCCCCCAACTTTAAGAAAACTCGTCGGTAGAATTAAATTTATAACAAAATATTAATGTAAAAAAGAATTTCTGTCGGTAAAATATGGTTTTGCATCTCTTACACCCCCCAGAGAGAATGGTCACGCGACGCCACTGTTCAAAAAGTGTTTTTGGTCTAGATTTTGAACCTTAGAAATTGGATCAAATCCAAACTGGATCGGAGCTACTTTTGATTTGCTTTTACATGAGACCTCGTAGATCTGATCCAGTTCTAGTCCCCTATCCTACCTTTCTCTGGGTAGCTTGCTAAAAGGGTCCACTTTAGAGCTGAGTTACTTACCCATCCGATCCAAAAGACAGAGTGGTAGAGTGATCCGATCCAAAATTGCCAACTATGAAGCAGAATGGGAGCAGAATATAAATTGCCAAATCTAATTGGCGCTAAAACGAAGTTTGTTTTACTTCAAACAGTAGAAAGGATTTGCTGACAATTTCTAAAAGATGTTTTCAATACAAAAGTGGTTACTGGTTTTTTTCTATAGTTTAAAATTATGTAGTTCATCTCATCATCCAAGAATGATGCTGTTATAATCAGATATAAGAAGGGAGCAGTTTAACTACCATAAATTCTCTATTAAGGCCCTTTCTCAATAAAACACCCCTCTCTTACTAGTCCCCCCTTTTCAGAAGGAAAAATTTACTAAGCCCCCACTCAGTTTAGCTGCCCTCCCCCCAAGAAAATTTCATTTATGCCAAAATATGTAAACTTGAAAAACGGAGATTTTAATTAATTCATTGGTACTCTAAGGTCCTTAATAGAAGGGGGGACGCTTATTAATTTATCGATTTTTTTCTGACCCCATCGGAGCTTATTTGGACCCCTCCGCTTTTTAATTTTGATATGCAATCATTCATATCCCTTATTTCATTTGTTCTTTGTTCTTTCAGGTGTGAAATTTCTGTAAAGTTTCTCTTAAATAAAGAAGTTGCATTGTGCAAAAGTTTTAACATAGGAAAGTAGTATAACATCCGAAAAAAATTACATAGGCCTTGCTGATGTACACAATGACAAGCGTCTGCTCATTTTAGTAATAAAACAATGCATTATTACATGGTGATAATTGTCATTTTGCTATGGATTGTATTCAGAAGAAAATCTCATTTGACCCCAAAAAAGAATCATCGCGTGATTTTTCAGATTTTTCACATTTCCGACCCCCCCCCCACTTACTAGAACCCCCACCCCCCGCTTATTTATTTTTTGAAAAATTTCTGACCTCCCCCCCCATCAAGACCCCTCTTCTATAGGACCTTAGATCCGACGACAAAGATTAGGCACGGGCCATGTGAGGGACTTGGTACTCAGATGGATGAAGTCGACCCTTCCGAATGCCCGATTTCAGCAGACGACATGGGCAAAGAAGATTTTTTAGACCAATCAGTATATTTTTCTTTAGGCACGCGGCACTGATTGGTCAACTATACCGGTCTTGTGCTTGCGTTTCTCTGATTGGCCTATTTCAATCCACAACTGGGTATATATTTTTCATCGTGTTCTTTCGGACCCTTATTCTGATGTTTTATGCTCTGAGGAGCGTCAGACGAAAAAGCTTTTAGTCAATATGTTGTAAAATGTTTGCTTCTTTCAAAGCCATTTTCAAGTTCTGTACCGCCAAAAAACTGTTCAAATTAATAATTGATGACGATGACAATATTATTGATGTTGGAGCCTGATTTAATGTTTTTTTATTTCGCAAATTAAGAGAACATTTGTCTACCACTGAAAATTGTTTTCTATTACAAAATATTTATTAAGCCCCCCTCTCTCAAACAATAATCCCCCTGGGGGCTTAAAAGAGATAATCAATTTTACAATCTTAAATAACGCAATACAAGAAATCAACTGACATGATTTCCCCTTCAAAGATTAGATTATCGCAAATTCTAAACACGAAATGTGAATCATAAAGCTATTGTTATCATATAGACCTCTGACTAAGCTAAGCCAAATTGCTATTTCAAAACCCGAAATTTGAACAATTCAGGAACGACTGAACCTCGTAGGGGCAGGGGGTAATCCCAGAAATTTAGGATGAATACTTTAACGAAGCGATCGATCACAATGTGAAAGCAGAAAGTGATATGTCCATACACTCTGTTCTTTTTATAGGGTATTGTTTGTAAGAAAATTTAGCTCAAACGAAAATTTCTTAAGAAAATCGAAGCTAGAATTTAGAGCCTTTTCTAAGTGACTTTTGTTTTGGGGCAAGCCTGTGCTGATATAAAATAAAAAGTCCATTGTCTGAAAAAGGTCTCTTTGGCTTTATGGGCCGTTACCCCCTTGGCCCTAGGTATCACATTTAAAAAGGCCCTGAAAAATTCGACTGTTGGCGTAAACCTTTTCGAAATTTTTTAAGGCATTGAGTCGTATTAAGTAGTGTGGGTAAAAGGTATCTTTTGCGTTATAGGCCATATCTTGTTGCATGAAATCTTAGAGGTCGAGTCCCCAATAATTCTCGACAGTGGTGATTATCGTATTCTGTGTGCAATTTCGTGAAGTACTAAGATATTATCATGATAATACTGATCTCATGAATTTACCTCGAGCTGGATCTGAAAACAGGTATTATCAAAGGCCAGTTACAAACAACGGTTTACAGAAATCTATTATTATCACACACAAGGCAAATGACGCCCCGGATGTACGGAACTTTCGCGCAAAAGTAGAACGCACAGTCAAGATGGTTTCTTTGCTTTGATTCGCGTTCGCTCCAATTCCTGTTTTTACCAGTTTTAGCAGAATTGCTTTTCAGCCAATCGGAGACGTCGTTTAAAGACTAAACCATAATCAGTTGGAATCTTCATAAATAATTGCACATGGAAGAATTTCAAGTCGCAAACCAGGAATAGCCAGTTTGGATAGCGCAGAACGACGATTGATATAAAATAAAACCTGCAGGTATGAGTAGAAGAGGTCATTCGTCAGCGAAGGATAGAAGTGCTTGAAGATCAGAAAAGAGAAGACAGCAGGAAAATGCCAAACGAAGGTTTCTGATCGTTCATATGACTTAACTCGTTGAATGTTAAATGCTTGCTTGCTACAGAAGTCCTCAAAACAGGTTGCTACAGAAGTCTTAATTTGCTAATACGAATTTCGTTTTATTCTGCAGGAGGAAAAGGCAAAGGGAAGGAGGACAAGAAGAAGCCTGCTGCTGACGAGGTAACCTATGATTTACTTCGTTAACCTTCCTCGAATCCGAATTTAGTTGCAGACTGTTATGTCTCAATTAAACGTTTGCTGTTGAGAATGAAAAGTTTTATGTAAAAGTAAATAAACTACAACTTGTTTTTTCAGGGGAAAAAGGAGGCAGAGAAGAAGCCAGAAGCAGCAAAAGGCGGCAAAGGTAAGACTTAATGCCATCCTGTTTCTTGATGCTGTGGGGGGTGGGGGTTGGTGCTAAAGTATTTGATGACACGTGGAAAGTGCTATGAACACATCTGTCATGGGTCATTTCCTACGTAGCTTTACACCACGCCTGAAACTTCACTAAATGTTAAAAAATGTTCACTCGATTTTGCTCTGTTCACATGTCTTTGCAAAACAATTGTTGCGATTCTCTAGTTTTCCATGGCCGCCGAAATTGCAGTGCCACGCCTCCCCCACCTCTCGACAGGGTATATTTTGCATTTCGTCTAAATCTATTGATAATGTCAACCTGCCTCCATGATGTAAGATAATACTAGAGTATGTTGATATAAACCTATTTCCACCTGTTTTACCTGTTTTCTATTACCTTGTTTTTGTTTTGATATTAATGGCCCTATTCAATTTTTCAACCACCAGGAAAGGGCAAAAAAGAAGGTCAAAAGAAATGAACATGGCTGTTGAGCATCAAACAAAAGTGTTTCAGAAGGAAGACAGCTGAATGAACATGGCTTTAAAAGGCAACAGAACATGAATCTTTAAGACAAACAAATGAAGAAATTAACACAACTCTGTATTGTATTAAAATCAAGCCTTGCTGGTTTCATAAACAATTTTTCCATTTGTTTGAAAAACGATTAAAAAAACAAAGATTGGAATGCTTGTCTTTCTTGAAGAACAGCTTTGTATGCCCAGAATCCTTTGTATGCCCAGAATCTTACAATCAAATGGAATGATCTTCAGCTGTTGTAAATTGAGTTTTGGCAGATCCTGTTTACTACTTAAATTTTTATTTCATTTCGTTTTTGAAAAGTTTACCAGGGATAAAATTCAGCATAATAAAAAAATATAGGAATGACTATCAAATATTGACAACAAAGAAAAAATAGGTTAGCCCACGCCTAAATATTTATAGATGTACACCCCCTCCATAATCTGATGGGAAGGCAGTTGTGATACAGGTCAAAACATCTAGAATATTGTCAGCTCAAGCTTGGCTTTGTTCACAACTGGGTCAATTTAGTCTACTTCATTTCCTAATGGATTTAATGCTAAACTGAGTAAGCTGCAAGAAACGCAAATAAATTGTGGCTGAAGCCGTTGTCATTTTTGGTCAAGCCTGTTATGACCTCTAGGTGAGATATGAACATTCTTCATGAAAAAAGTAAAGGTGAGCTTTAAAAAGAGTTACCAGATAAAATGAGCTACAAAATCGATGGGCTTGCCTTTTCTGTTAAATTTCTTTGGTTATGCTTTTGAGGGAACTTTTCATGCAAACAAATTGGAAACAAAATCCTTTTTGTGGATTTATTAGAACAGGTAGCAAAAAAGAAGAAGGGTTATTTATAAATACAGTTTCTTATGCACAAATTTCCTTTTACAATGAGTGATGATAATTCTTGGCAAAACTCCCTTTAAATGTCTGCTTGTCATTTTGATTCACTTCTTACCAGACTTCTTTATTCCACCCGCACCTGTAAAGTTAAATATATAATAGTTATAAAAGCTTTAATATATTAAAATAATTATAAGCAACATATTGGGCAACAATATTAGAAAAATGGACTGTTTTTACTTGTCTGTCTGGTAGTGTTTAATGCTGTGTCTGCTCATGCTTGGTGTATTGAACAAGGCAATTTTAAGTTATTATACCAATTTTCCATTACATTTGGTCACCAGGAAACTTTTTCATCGTTGCAATTATCTATATCACTTTCAAGCAAAAAACATATCACTTCAAAAGAAAGCAAGAATCTGAGAACAAGGACTAATGAGGTAAGCATGGTTCACTCAGCTTTGTTTCTAAGCTGGCTGTGTGAAATCCCAGCATGAGTTGAAAGGTTGGTATAAAGGGCACTTTGATTGGTGATGTGTAATAAATTTAGATATGTCAAAAGCTAATACTTAGAGGTCCCTTCTGCCCTGCAACTTTCTTCATTTCCTCCAACTTCTTCTTTTCTTCTTTTTGTTTCTGTTTAAAGGCTACATCATCCTATTATTTTAATGAAAGGATAATTGGAGCTGTTTACTAGTAGGATATTGCAAGAGGAAAGGATACATAACAAAGTATGACTGAACAACTTCATTATGTGTTCATAACATTTTAGTCAATGGGTAAGGTATTTCCTGTCACAAGACTCAATACAATCAACTGTTGAATCTACCAAAGTACCTACTGGATGACATGAACAACAGCCTCCTTGATCTTGTAGGTAAAAAAACACAGTAAAAACTAGTGATTCTGACATTGGACAACACCTTTTAGACAACCAAGATTGTGCAAACTCTGTAATGACGACATGTTTCAGATAACTGGCAGAGCCTGGTCATCTTTTCATCTAGCAATTTTAGAATGGGTCTACATGCAAACGGAAAAGCCACTTTTGTGTAGTCAGAAGGGGTTTGTTTCCTCTTGGACTCTGAGTGGTACTTATTGTATAGGCATGCATGACTGATTGGACATCTATACCAGTCATGTGATTGCATTTTTCTGTTTGGCCTATTTCGATCCACAACTGGGTATATATTTTCCATAATGTTCTTTTGGACCCTTATTCCGATGTTTTATACTCTAAGAAGTATACAAAAATGCTCTATACTCTACAAAAAAGCTTTTAGTATGTTGTGAAATATTTGCTCTTTTCAAAACCATTGTCATAGTGATTTTTTTATGATAGGCAAAAGGAGCTTTTAATGCAGAAAATGTGCCTGAAATGGCCATACACATGCAGTGATGGTTCAAGAACTGTCGTAATTTGCAGACTGGATCATAGAGTTGTTAAGCAATGAGCAAATACCTCATCCAAATCTTTTGTGTCCTTTTTTGGTGCTTTAAGAGGTTTTTTCTTTCCACCTTGAACAAACAAATATAAAATCATAATTTTTTGCTGTAAAAGAAGACCAAACAATTTAAAAAGAGTGCTCAAAATTTTGTAGTAGTTTATTTGCAAAAATATTTTGTGGGCTATAATCAAAGCACACAGAAAATTTATTTCTACCACAAGGCTTGGATTCATATAGCCGTAACTGCCGCTTAACTGCCAGCGACACCCCTAGCTTCCATCCTTAGCTGCCATCCTTAAATGCCATTTAAATGTTGTCTTTATTACAACCTCTCTGCCATGAACCTCTCTGTTCTGCCTTAATATAATCACAAGTGCCCATTGATAATACAGAGTTTCTTTTCCTATAACAAAAATTATGAATGGGGGGGGGGGGGGGGGTATTGAGATGCTTGGAAAAATTTGTCACCATGCTTTTGTAATTTTTTTTGGGCCTTATCAACGTTGATTTCCGAATTCTTGGATTTTTGAGACAGGCATTTTTTAAGCTGTGGGATTTTCTATCCTTTACAAGACTAAAAAATAGCTCAATAGTTATTTCTGATACAATAAGAATAACCATGTCATGCTAATCTGGGACAAAAGTGAAAATCCATGAAAGAATAGACTTTAGAAAATTGTGGACGCTCAAGGGTGTTTACACAATGCAAAATGATAATTTGCTTAATCCATAGTAAAATAACCACTTATCATTATTTAATCAGAGATATGTTCAAACGCCAAAAGGAAGAAAAGATGTCATTCACTCCATTCAGAAAGAAAGTTCTCTTTTAGATATTTCTTCAAAGAAAATGATTTTTTCTGAATCTTCTACTTTAAATGAACCATTCAATGAACCAAAATATGCTGGTAATGCTAAGTTTAAAAAAATAAATCTAAGTGGACAAAGAAATGGCCTCACATGTGTTAGATTGTGCAAAGCACAAGGAAAGAGTGAAAAATGCATCATCATCAATGAAACTCTCAGGCTTTTGCTTCTGAACTGAAACAGTCCCATTTCAAGAGTAGGTACAGTTAATTTTTACAGACCTTTTTCCATGTGTATCTGACAGTGTTTTACTGAGTCAATTTCATCTGAGTTTTCTTACACTTTTCTTACATCTGAGATTTCATTTTTTATTTTAAAAACTTTTCTCTTAGGAAAAACATGCAGAAGCCAATACATTGCTTCTTGTGAAAAATATCCAGATAGATTTTGCAGACAAGCTCTGTAACATTTTAAAGATATCTTCCCAGACAAAAAATGACCAAAGAATATGAATCAAAAGGGACCAAAACACACTTCCTGGAGAACACTGTTGAGACAATGAAAACATATTTATTTTCATTGTAAACTGATGGTTCCAACGACACAGATATTTAAAAGATGAATTGAGTTATAGTGTGCTGTTTGACATTAACATCAAACATAATTTTTGAAAAAGTGCTGTAAGTCAGGGAAGTTCTTATTGTAAGTAAGTTCTATAATTCTAATTCTAAGTCATTCTAACCTAACCCACTGATTTTGTCCTTTAAGAAATTCCTGCATGCAAATCTCATTCGTTTTTGCAAAATCATCTCAATTGTTTTCCTTGTTCTCTAATCCTCTCATTTTATGTAATTTATTTCATCTTTTGTAACCTGTTGCTTTATTTTAAAAGATTTGTATGTATTGATTTTAAAAATGAACTGAACTGAACTGAACTGAACTGTAAATTTTGGCTCCTTATAATACATTCTGATTATATTCAGTTTCTTGAACAAAAAATGTGTCTTTTCACATTTCATCATTTTGATGACTCATGTAGCTATTTTTATAGTGATAAAGTGACAAATTTCTTTTGCGTGTTCCTTGAAATCCTTTGGTAGTTCAAGCATCCACAAGCCTTATATATCAAAATCCACACATTTTCAAAACTGAAACTTGACTGGTCTGAGATAACACAAAATTGATGATAGCAAAATAAAATAATAAAATGAAGAGCACCGATGCAGGAACATCTTCACACAAATACCTTGACGCCCCGACATTTTGTTAATCACTCTCCTTGTCGCAAAAACACGAGATGATCTCGCTTTAAAAGCCTCGATTAAGAGCTGCTCTCTATCCATATAGAGGCTAAAATGATCCCAGAATGCTTATCCTCCTCCTTTTCCATTGGACTCATCATGGCTGCTCCGGGCATTTTCGCCAAGCTAACCCTGTTCCAGTCGCCAGCATGGTAGGCCTTTACTTTGTATCATATTTATAGGAGAAACGATATTAATGTAAGCTGAGATGATAGGAACGAAATTATGTGGCATTTCAAGATGATAAAACTAGTATGCCCATTGTAATACCCCCAGAGATCTTGTGGCCTAACTTTGCTTTTTTAAGTTAGGATAACATCCAGTCTGCAGAGTATGACATGTGCACACCGGAGATATTTTTGTGCAAAACCTGTTGCACACCGGGTATTTTGGGGTGTGGCAACTAAAATGGGTATGGCATGGTGTGGTCCCATAGAAAATGTCAGCTGATAAAAACCAGGGTGCATTCCCATGTTAGACCCACGCCAGAGAAATTTCAACCTATTCTAGTTGCTACGCCAAGTGTAAAACATACAAGCTTTCGATTAATCTATAGTTTGCATTGCTTTTACTGTCCATATCAAAATAATCAGGCTGTCCATGTATTCTGTACAAGTACCGTTTTTTCTACGCCGATCGCAAAAATTTATCAAGTACGCCAATGCGCCAAGGCTCGCAAATAGCAAATTTCACGCCGCTACGCCGAGGAAAAAGCTAAGTCCACGCCAGAGATCTCCGGCGTAAACTACATGGAATGCACCCTGGGATAAAAACAAGCACAGTTGTGTATGATGAACAATTTGAGATATCATGAATCTTACTTGACAAATATACAAATAAAAACTTGCGCTATCTTCAACAGTATACTTAACACCCATTTTTACGGTGAAATGCAAATTCACAAATTTTAACCACAACAGGGAGAAATAGTCAGTGCACACCAGCACACCAGACATTTTTGGTGGTGCACACCGGCACACCAGGCTTTTTGCTGGTGCACACCGGAGATCTCGTCGAAAAGTGCCATACTCTGCAGACCGGGATAATATCATCATTTCAGTTTTCAATTTCATTTCATTTTCAAAAATAATTAATTACCATAGTACAAATTGCTTTTGATGTTATATAAACATTACTTGATTTACAATCATGCAAGGTATAGATAAAACATCAACTTTATAGGATATTGCTGAAGAACATGTGGAAAGAGCTCTGAAAAGAGCTTTTGACGCCATATGCCCTCATCATATCATGTACAAGGGATGATAAGACAAGGCTATCATAATGAAAGATTATTTTTTGATCGGGGGAGGAAGGAGGAGTATTGCCATAATGTAATACGCGTCTTTGAGAGTATTGCCATAATGAAGAAATAATGGTTTGTATTCATTAGCAACTTGACCTTTCATTCAGAATTAAATTACCCAGTCTGGAAAACTTGCATATGCTCGCAGCAATGCTACACTCGTGTACTCACACCTGGGACCTCTAGTGACCCAAAATATTGATGACTTCACATGTATTATACCATAGTAACGTATATATGGGCAATTTTGCTCGCAGCTCAAATGCTTTTGCTTGCAGGTCGTAGCTGATATTTGCATCTGGTCACACCACAGTGACACGTCTACAAAATCATACATGTTTTCCAACCTCGAGAATTAACTTAATTTGTTGGAACTAACTTTTCCATAAATGCTCTTCCTGTATTTTGCAGATGAGACATGTTTTTGCGAGGGCAGTCAATAGCCCCTTCTAATAATTTTGGTAAGGGTATTGTAGACAGGGGCTTTAAAAAACATAAAAAAGGCAAATTTCTGACTGAAAATTAATGCTTGGAATATGATGCTCTTTATTTCTATGTGATTAACATAAAAAAGCTGGTCTTCCAAAGAAATGTGTCTAAGATGTGACAGATATGTTTAGCTTAAAATGCCAAAATCTAAGGTTTACGTAAAATTGGTGGAGAGGGGGGCAATTAATTGCTGATTAAATGATTAATTTCTTGAGTGATAGCAAAATTGTGTCCAGTATTATGTATTTATGTCAACAAATAGAACATATTTTGGTTTAAAGGATTTTTCTTGCACATCCATTCACATGGCTTCCTATTGAAGTATGAACTTTTAGCTTATTAAGGCATACAAAATCACAAAAGTCGCATCTACTTAGAATTGAATGAATTATTTTTTATTTCAGTGTTGGTGCAAGGAACATGGCAACATTGAAAGACAGTATGTTTACTTCTGTATTCTTTATTTTTGTGTGTTATCTTTTTCATTGTTATGGTGTTTCTAAGTCTATAAAAATTAATTTTTGTATCTACAGCACGTTTATTAATATGTGTGTTTGAAAGTTATCTCAAAAGTTAGCTCAAAAAGCAAGAGTGAAAAATTTCAATTAAAAGAATCATTAATAGAATTTTCAATTGCCAACAAAGTGTTAATGCATTTAACAGAGTGGGTTTCAGCAGTATAAACTATTTATGTATCATTACAAGAAAAATACAGCAGTTTCTGTTTACATTGTTTGTTGTCAATTCTCTTTTTGTAGGAAGAGCTCAAATGCATTCTTGATGTAACTTTTGTTTCTCCTTAGGACCCTTCATTAAATTGAGCTTTTATGCATAATAGTTAAAGTGTATAATATGAGAAAAGAAATGTTTCAAGGTCTATATGCATCTCTAAATGCAGTCCTTTCTTCAAAGTTTTCTTTCTCTTTTAATAGTTCGACTCCGATTGAGATCTGTGAAGAACATCCAGAAGATAACAAAGTCAATGAAGATGGTTTCTGCAGCTAAGTTTGCGAGAGCTGAAAGAGAGCTTAAGTCAGCCAAAGTTTATGGAAAAGGAGCAACAGGTAGAACATAATTATCAATTATATTTAGGTTATATTTTTTAAGCTATTCCATTATTGCAGGGGCGGCTAGGAGTCAAATTTTTCTGGTATTAGTTCTTTGAAATTTCGAACAGCTCAAAAACAATTTTTGACATTTTTCCACATAATGATGCTATGGAATTTTGCTCCTGCAGGCTTGATGCTTTTCCTGTATTGAAAAGAAAATACCCCCAAGCATCCTTACTCAAGGCATCAAAGTTTTTTTTTTTGCTTTCGTATAAGAAAATTGAAAAATCGTGTTTTTGATTTTGTTTACAATCAAAACCAATTGTTAAAGAAATCCATAGCTATTGGTTAAAGAACACGAAACTAGTGTTCTTCCCTACCTAACAACTGGATAACAAATTTTCTGCTATACATGTACGCTTTGTTCATTTTAAAGAAAAAGGTGTCTTGTTAATACACCTCCTTTGTTTCCAATTTCAAGGGCTGTCTAACTGCCTACACTTACGGAGTCATTGGTCTATTAGCAGGTAGCGGGCTTAGGGGAGGGCCAGTTGACATAGGATACACAGACAGCACACAGCCCTTGCTGTATCGCCACCTCGAGGGCACGGTATGAGAATCGTTATTCTAATACCATGGCCAGAGAATGCGGTAAAGAGCTTGAAGCCACAGCTAAAATCATTGCTGGTGGCCTAGAGCCGTTTTGGTTATTGCCACTAACTTGTCAGGGTATTAAGATCGCAAATCAAAAAGCTGATACTAGATAAATTCAGTGAAAAGTACTTTACCCCAACCAAAACACAACAATTGGATCTGTCAATCCATACTTATCACCATCCCTTTTTTACATTTTTAATACCTGATCTGGAAAAATGCTACTTTAGGAAACTACAATGCCTGCCAAAAGTCTTGGAACACTGACATCAATTTCCAAGGTCAAAACCAATCATCCCCCTCTCCCCCACGGAACAATGTTGGTTTACTATCAAACGGACTAGGATTTTAGGAAGCACTTTCTTTTGCGCTTCTTTTATGATATTTCTCTAAATCATCAACATTGTTTGAGGGGGAAGGGGGCGGAAGTAGCAAATTTTTTTCATGAAAGGAATGAAAGATATCAAATGCAGCGTAAATTGGTGGGTGTTCCAAGTACTTTTGGCAGGCATTGTACCTAAAAAGTACTAAATTATCTAAGGGAAAAAATTCAAATTCAGATAAGTCACACATAAAGCAACATGTCCTTCAAAAACAGATACTCCTCTTCACTTAGACACTTAGACAATAGTTTATTGACATCACGGTATGAGAAATGAGACACTAATACTGTGGCCATAACTGCCCTTGAGATTTGATTGCTATCAACAGTAATATAAAATATGATTCATTAACGGATCAGAAGGCAATTAAAAATCTTTTCTCGGAGCAATTCAAACACAAATTTATGTTATTTTTACATTTGAATTACCATTGACAAAGTAATGTGCTCTCTGCTACTGCTTCAATGCAGTACAAAACGGCTAGAAGAGATATCTCTCCAAGAGCCCATGAATTTTAAGGTTTTTTCTAGGACCACCTTTGGAAACTAAATGGTATGAGGCTCATATAGTTTATACCACTGCATGCCACCTTGCATTATTGGTTTATGACAACCAATGTGATGAAACATATACAGAAGCTCTTAATGCTTCTGGTTGCCATATCGGTTGTAATTTCCTTATACTCTTTCTGTATTTTGATAGGCTTTATTATCATGGCAAATTGCTGATTTTTACAGTCTCAGTACTAAATTAACTTTTTAATTTTGTATGATATTCCAAGTGGTGTTATGTTCAAAACTTTGCCTTTCAATTTTAGCTTTGTACGAGAAAGGGGAAATTGGCTCAGACGAGAGTAAGCCAAACCATTTAATGTTTGCAATTTCGTCAGATCGGGGTCTATGTGGTGGGATCCACTCAGGAATGGCTAAAGCAATCAAAGCCAAAGTAGTGGAGAAAGGCAATGCCTCAAATCCAATGATAGTTATCTGTGGAGATAAAGTGCGAGGAATCTTGCAGAGAACCCTAGGTACATGTCTTTATTGGCTGCTTTCATTTTTTTGCTTATCAGTTTTCATGCATGTTTATGTATCTTTGGCTTAATGGGTAAAATGTATGTTCATGTATCAACAGTTGTCTGATGATTGCAAATGTGAAACTTGGATTTGCAACTTTGTACAGCTGTGCCTAAAACGCATCAAGCACTCAATGATAGGCTGGTAAACAGTATGAAATGGTTTTCACCAAAGACAAGCTAATTATAAACTGATCAGGAATGTCCTTGTATATGCTATTTCAATACACTGAAATTAATCTCCTAGTTGCAGCATAAAAAACAGTTATCGCCATTAATTAGCCATTGAGTCATGGCCTTATCTCAAATACCTGTCTTTCTGATTATCACACACTCGCACACACACCTCTGTATCCAAATTTGATTTTGCGGCTTGTTTGTTACGCTTAAAAGAATATTGAATGTATGTGTGAAAAAATTGTACCAGACTGTAGACTACCTTATTATATAGTGAGGTTTACAATTGTATTTTGTTAAACAATGTTATCAATGAAAAGTTTCCATTATCATCCTAGAATTTCCTTTGAAGGTATGAACATACTATCTGTGTATCACTTCTACTGTATATGTATCTTCATACTGTCTTTGTATCTAATATTGTGTAGGTTTATTTCTAGTTTCATTGTATATTTTTTTATTTTGTCATTTCATTTGTTATTTTATTGTATATCTATTTCATTTTTTTTTCAGGTGATAAAGTTCTCATGCATATGAGTGAAACTGGTAGAAAGCCACCAGTGTTTAGCGAGGCTTCATTTATTGCTGGTGAAATTCTTGATAGTGGCTTTGAATTTGATGCTGGGGAAATGTTCTATAATGAATTCAAGTATGTCTGCCTTTGCTAAGCCCTTCTTTAGATTTATAATGGAAGTGGTTTGAACCCCAACAGGTCAAACTTGTGTTTTTGTTTTGTGTTTTTAGTTTAGCAGCGGATCATTTCATTTATAGATCAGATGAATTATAGCAAGCATGGTGTCATGAATTGCACTATCCTTGCACAATTAAATTGGTTTGCAGTTGAGCTGACTTCTAATATTCTGTTTTCTTGAAGCAGATTCAATAGAACCAGAATTGTCTTGAGATTGCAAAGAATGAAATAATATCATGATCAAGCACTGAAAACACTTTGCTAATTTCAACATAGGAAATTGACAGCTTGGTCTTGATATACAGCTTTAAAAATGAGCTTCCAAAATCTTCAAAGAAAGGAACAGAAGACTAATTGGTGCAGGTAGATGATAGTTGTAGGAGCATGCTTAGGCAGCTGGGACCCTTTAAATTTTAGAAAGCATTGTCTAAAGGTTTATTGCAGTCAAAACATCCATCTTCCCAGCAGTTATCACAAATTGGCAGTTGCAGCAAGCCGTCTTGTCATCAAGCATAAACATAGTGATCCTGGTCTTGTTATCTTTTCTTCCTACGTTTATGGAAATTATCCAGTTCTGGAAACTGTTTTCCCCGAAAACTCGATTAATTAACTATTTATTGTAAGTTCACTGTTAATTTCCAACGGTTGATATTTTAAAATGGTAGACGCAGCGACAAGATTTTATCTTTATACAAGAACTTTCACTTTGAATACAGTTAATATTCAGATTGTACGACACCCTATGAATACTTCATATCTTTAAACGGCTGTTCAACGTGAAAATTGGAAATGACTGAAATACAGGCTCCTATTTAGTAACAAGTATTTCATTTTTGCTGATAGAAGCACTATTCGTAGAGTTAACTAAAATTCGAGTATAGCCTGAAACCTTCTTTTCTTTCAAGGAGCGTGGTTTCATTCAAAGTCAGATCTAAGGACCTTCCTCCTCTTGATGCAGTTGCAGATTCCGGTAGCTTTCACATTTTTAGAATCAGTGCTTTAGAAATTATTCGTCTTCATTTTCAATTAAGGTCAATATCCAATGCATTATTTTACGTCTTATTGAAGTTCTTGGCAACTGTAGAAGATGTCCTCTATATTTCAGAAGATGTATCAGCGCTTGTTGCCGTTGATGCATATTAAACATTGAAGAAATAGCTAGCTGTTGCCAAAAAGAGATGTTTGCGTGGCCATAAAAGCCATTGTAGAAATTTGGGATTTTTTTTCTTTTGCTTTTTTAAAAGTGTTTATAGTCTTTCAACAAGTTGACTCCAAGTCACAAATAGATGCTTTTGTGATTTTAACATTCGCTCCTTTTTCGACCCGTACCTCCCGCGAAAAAATCTCTTGAGCCCCGATTCTTTATGATGATGTGTCGTGAATCATCTTGAATTAACTGAGTCTAACAAAATATTTTGTGTATTTCCTGCCAGAAAACATAAACCTATATGATGATGTTGATGCTGACGTGTTGCGTAATTACCACGAGTTCACTTTGGCAAGTATTGTTTATTATGGCCTGAAAGAGTCTGCGTGTAGCGAGCAAAGTTCCAGGATGACAGCAATGGACTCAGCCAGCAAAAATGCAGGTAAGCTAGCACTATCAATTACAAACATTTCAAGTCATGTTTCTGTAAGTCCAGGTTAGTGTATGCTTGACTTTAGACTGTAGAATACGAATGAAGTGTCATGCAGACCGTGTCATGCAGACCGTGTCATGCAGACCGTGTCATGCAGACCTTTTAAGTACACTCATTTGAAAAAGAAATAATTGTATATGCTATTTGTTTGTAATCAAAGCGAGAGAAGTAGCATCTTTTTTAAGGAATCGTGTGTGTGTATCTATTCGTTTATGTACATGTCTTTTCTTTTCAGGTGAAATGATTGATAAACTTACGTTGACGTTTAATCGCACCCGACAAGCAGTGATAACAAAGGAATTGATTGAAATTGTGTCTGGTGCAGCGGCCTTGGAATAAACCTTCTGTGGTGGAATACGCGTGTTCTGTCAAACAAATGCTCAAATGAAGCAGTTTGCTTTCTTTCAGTGATATGTATTTTACAATATTGATAGTTTTGAAATATTAAGTTGGTCATATGATGCTTTTTTGAACCCTTTCAAGAGTACGTGTAATCATTGCCTGTTACGTCGACTAAGATGAACATAATGAATTAGTTCCAATTGTGCTGTTTTAATATTTTTGTTTCACTTGGTACCACCCCTATGCGAATTCACACCACTATTGTACACGGATTAGTATAAGATGTAGCCACAATGAATATAGCAATATGGACACTACTGTATCATTATTGTATCAAACTAGGTATAGGTTGTTGTAACCAAGCTCATAATTGATGTTTGCGTTTCTCCAAAGATCCAGATGGGTGGATTGGTATAAGCTCTATTTAGTTGTCTATTTAGTTGTCTATCAGCCCTCATAACACAATCGAGATAAAGTCAAATTCTCATGTTTCAATTGGTTACAACAAGATTCAATAAGGAAACAGTCCCTTTATGACAGCTAATTGCGTTTTTCCTGGCTCTGAAAAACTTTTCACCCTTTAAATTTGGTCTTATTTAGGCCACATGATTCACCATAGCTCTACTTTCCTTTGTGCCTAAGCTTTCCTGTCGTAGCTGTATGGAACTGCATTTTAAATTAAACTACAAAATTGTTTTTCTTACCATCTACATTAAAAATGGCCAGTGGTGTGTCTTTTCAAGAGCAGCACAGTTGTTTAGCCAAACCTGACATCTTATTGAAATTAAGCAACTCCTCTTAAGCAGAAGTATATCAAAGCAACAATCAAATTTTCTGCTAAGCTGAGGTCTCCTCAAGAGGTTTCCGCCGGGAAGGGGGTTTTGGCTAAATTTTGGACAGGGTTCTACCACTGGCATACCCAAAGTGGTACCGTTGGTTAGACTAATTTTTCACGAAAATGGCGACCTTGGCTAGACCAATTTCCGCCAAAATTGGCTTGACTAGAGGTCCGAAAAGGTATACCCTAGCTCGCGGCACATCTCAGGGTATCTTTACTATAGAAACAATTTCCACGGTCAACAAATTAACGAATTGAAATAACAAATAAACCAAGCAAAAAACAACAATTTATTAATATGTATTAGATTGTCGCTTGTAGGAAAATAAAAAACCCACGGTAATAAGAACGTTGAAGAGCGGATAAATGATACTAGGCTATAGATCAATCCAGGATTTTAAATCTTTCATAAACTACGCATATCTAAGTAAGTCTGTCGCTAATGCAACAATAATCCAACCACAATCCAACCATTTGCGCTGTGAAAAACATAACCAAAGGAAGAAAAAACCAGTTTTTCGAAAATTTAACGTTTGTTGGTTTTAAGGCAGTCGTGTCATCGTGACGAATGTTGTAGCTAATGTGTATCCTTTTCAAATTTCCCAGCTCAAAACTAGAAGCCGTTACCAACTGCAAATCATCCTATTCTTTTAGACAAACTTACATTACGGTATCAGCGAAACAGCATCAAGTTTGTTTAAATCTTATCTCTCCATCAGAAGCCGTCAGAAATGTAAATTGTTGGCAGAGCTTGTTCTAAGGAAAGTTCCCAGCTCAACAAATCAATATGATATTTTTCAGCATCATTCACGCTTTAAGGGCAGGCTTCAACCAGAGCAAATACAAACCAATCCAATCGATATTTTCATTCTAGTAAATCAACTTGTTGGTATGGCCGGCGAGGGGTTTAGGAGACTCTGGGGGCAACACCAAAAGTTGAGGACCCTGCGAGCGAAAAGATCAGAAAATGTTTGCGGCCACGCCCTTTAGATTGGCCAAAATGCATTTCATAATAATTCGTTTAGTCTTATTCTTCTAACCGTTTTAAACATCTTAATGATTTTTACGCATAATTTTTTTGTGTTTAATTAATCCAATTCTTAGAATTGAATTCATTACTACATGAGGCCCCCGAGACCTCGAGGCCCTGGCGCAATTTGCCCCCTCTCTCAGCGGCCCTGGGTGTTGGTTGAACCTCTATCGCCATCTACCCTATCCTAGATGTATTGTCCCACATTCGCAGACAGAAGTCTTTATGCCCTAAAATAAAAATCAATAGCAAAAGCAAGACCAAGTTAAGAAGTTTTGTTATATTCTATGATAAACAGCCGAATCAGCCACATAAGCTGATCAAGACAGTGTACACAGGGGATCTTTTAACATACAAACTAGTGGGGAAAATCCCCACCAGGCCCATAAATTTCCCCACTAGTTGGCCAATGATTCCCTACTAGCAAGTGCCCTTTTGTTGAAAATTGTTTTAAACACCAATTTGATTTATCTCCAATTACTGTTCGTTGTGTCGTCGTCGTGTTATATGTGTCAAATTATTCGTTATTTCTTTGGTCTTATTGCTGTCAACCAATCTCTGTTTGACGTTCTTGCACTACACCAAGGCGAGGCAATGAAATCCGCGGGAAATGTTGCTTGCGTCATTGATCTCCAAACATGCCAAGATCTGAAATCTGAACGCTCGTTAAAAAGAAAGCAGAAAGAAGCTCAAGAAATTGCTTCAAAATGCAGAAAATTAACAAATTTTTATGGATCAAAATTAAAAATGGACAACAAAGGTACAGAAGAGAAAGAAATAGGAGCCTCCAGCCATCCAGATTCACCTCAAGCGGAAGAAATTGAAAGCCAAGATATTAACAACCCGCTGCAATCAACACACACTGTTCAAACACAAAAAAATAGCACGGCTTTTGCAATGTACGAAGAATGTGGAGGAATGGTACTTCGATATTATGAATTGGCGATGTGGACAAAACTGATGATGATGATGATGATGATTGATGATGATGATGATTATGATTATGATGATGATTGATGATTATGATGATGATGATTGATGATGATGATTATGATGACGACGATGACAATGATGACGACAACGAAGATTCCAAATGTATTAAAAGTCTGAACTTTTCTAAATGCGCTTCCAGTCTGTTTCCCAGACAACTAAGAACCTTTATGCTCTATGAGATTGCGATTCACAGACTTAAAATACCTAAAAAACGGTGGCACGAGCTATGACTCGCCAAGATTCAGAACTCATTTATTGGGGCTCTGTGAGTGGAACCTAACTGGGAATCTGTTTTTTTATTTGACGAAGGACATTTTTTGCTTGATAACATAACACGAATAATTATTCTTATTCGGTTGCTTTTTCAAAATGCGTTTCGCAGATTTACACTTTCTTGATAAACAGCGGGCAATGCTATGACGCAGTAAGTTTACCAAACCCAGATCTTTGAATTCCACTATCAACCTTTGCAAGAAGGAGAAATCGATGCGTGCCTAACGATCCCTAACGACCCGCGCTGACAAAACGGTTCCAGCATAATGATCTCGCGGCAGTGCAATTACTTGATTACGAAGGGGAATCTTTCGTAAGTAATTGTGAGCAGCAAAACTTTTAATTTCGTAAACTTCCTAGTTGTGAGTGCAAAGATTTCTTCAACTCGGCAATTCAACTATTTGATGAAGAAATGTAGTCACAGATCCCAAGATTATTAATTGGTCATTTTCGTAACTGTTGGTCTGACCTCAGACTTTTAACAAATTTCCATTGTTTCTATGTTTTTCCTACACCAAACTACCTTATCCAACGGGGTCTGAAGAATTTCGAATGAATTTTGGATCAACCCAAGAGAAAATTGAAAAGTCCCTGCAAGCATTTTGTGACAATTTCGCAAAGCCTGGAAATCTTCGAATAACTTTCACCGACTTTGCAAAACTTGCGAAAAACTAAACAGATTTGAAACACTTACAATATATTTTCCACGACTCATGCATGAAAGTTGATTCTTGCAGAAACTCGTGAAATCGCATATTCCCGCACTTTCTTTTGTATCCTACATAGCAAATTGCAAATAATAGGTCTAATTACGTTGACGCTTGACAGGATGAAAGCACCATTCTCGATTACGAGAAGTTTCTGATCTATTCTGGCTACCGTTCAACATGCACGTCCAGAACCAATTTTAACTGCACAACGTCACGTGCAAATCTAAAGGTGATTGGTCGAATCTAAGAGGATGACCACAAAGGGGATCTCAGGCTAGCAGCCGAACCCAATTTAATAGCACGATTATAGACCTAAGTGTCGATTAGCGAACCTCAATTGCCCACTTAATCGGGAAACTCACGATTCTCGATTGTTCGTTTGGGAAAATTGGGAAAATCCTTTGATTTTGGCATTCTATGCCTGCATTGTTTCGATTGTCTCCCGCCTTTGAATTCGGCTTCTATGTTTCCATTGTTGAACTCATCAAAATGCCGATCCATTGTTACACAATTGGCAACAATTCTACATATATATATATATATATATATATATATATATGGATGCCCATCGAGCCGAGCAAAATCCCCCCTTCATGTACTCATTCTTCGTACATAAAAATAGCACGGCTTTTGCAATGTACGAAGAATGTGGAGGAATGGTACTTCGATATTATGAATTGGCGATGTGGACAAAACTGATGATGATGATTGTTATATTCTTGTTTTATCACAAATAGATCTTAGTCAGAGAGAAACAACTGTACACATCGGTCGAATAATAACAACTGAACAGAACAATGGTTAGGATTAACAACAACAACATATTAAAATATCACAAGGATTACGACATAGGGTGTCCATGTTTATACTATATTACATCACTTCCCCTTTTGAGAAGTTATTTGTTCATGTTATAATGTTCGATGGCATAGCTTCGCCAAATCTTTCTGGTGGTCTTCTCAATCTTTGAGAACGACGATTTCCTGGACCAATAACTCCAGTTCCAGTTTCTGTCTGTTTATTTCTGTGTTCTTGAGAAGTACGTTGTTCTGCTACTTCATTACCAACATCACTATCTGTTTCCGACTCTTCTGTGCGAATTACAGAATTATTGAATCGCTTGAAGTGAGATACATTTCTCGTGACTCGGTGTTTTTGGCTGTTTTCTGCAGTTACTTGTGTTCCTTTCCTTTCAACAACCAAGTACGGTGTCTTATTAAAACGAGATGTGATCTTGTTGCGGCGTTGTTGTTTAACTAGAACTGTATCACCAACTGCTATAGAGCTCTCTTTAGCATTTCTACGTTGATTTGCGTATTTCGTGTGATAGTTCTGACTCTTAATTTCATTTTCGCG